GGTGGAGGGTTGGGGGGGTGAGAAAGATTGATAGATCATCAAAAAGTCGTCTTTCTGTCATTGTTTCAAATTTCGATGCCTCTTCAATGCAATTCATACGTTTAATCAAGCTCTGTATCAAAGAGACGAAACATCCATGGATAGACAGTATCAATGTAGGGCGGGATAGCCCGCAAAATGTGGGTCAACGTTGCGGGAGCAAGGACCCCCTTTTCTCGGCGGCCTCCGCTTTGCGATATCCAACCCATGCGCTCGATTCGTCCATCGATCTCTTGTTCTCTACCGGACTCTTAGCTAATGAGCAGTCTACTAGAGCTGTAATGCTCTACTCAACTGTGGTAATGCAGTTCAATACGTGACGTCTCGCAGGACGAGTTCGAACGGCTGCTGTTCAGTTTGCCAATGCCGGGAGTCCTTGTCAGACCTGCGCAGACCATCTACTTGGACTGAACCACGAACCAAATCTCCATCCGTACGATTGCGTGGTACTCCAGTAATTCTCCCACTGACCGTGTCGCAGATATCAAGCAACACCATCCCAAACGACAAACCACCCTCACTTCGCAAACAGCGCATACAAATCCTGCTTGACATCCAAAATCTCACCTTCAAGAGGTCCACCAGTCCTCAAATTCCCTCCATTCGCAGTGATATTATCCTGGATAGAAGTCCACAACTCTCCAACACTGGGTCTTGCAGCAGGAGTAAATTCAAAACAGCTCTTGACCAAATCGCAGAGATCCTCGCCGTACCTCGCTTCTACGCCCTCCTTCCATTCCAGAGTCAAGATGGCATCGACGTCGTGGTTGAATTTGATTGGTACGTAGTCGACTTGCAGGTTCATGAGGGATAGCATGACTTTTCCGACTGCCCATACTTCGCTTACAGGACAGGTGATGGCTCGGGCTTTGGAGGCTGTGTCGGTGTATATCTCTTGCTCCTGTGTAGGGTCAGTCTTTCCGAGAGTATTGCTGAAAATGCTTTGCACTTACAGGTGCACGAAAGCCATCGGTACCACGACCTGGCTTTGTCYAGCCTAGGTCTGATGTCCTGATAGCGAYTCCAAAGTCTCCTAGCTTGGTGGTCGGGATCCCTTGCCAGAATTCAGGATCAGCAGCTGCTAAGAAGACTGAGTTCAGGCTGTATCAGTACGTGAAGTTCATGCGTTGAATATGCTGAACACTTACTGTTCGCGGGCTTGATGTCACGATGAAGGATCAGGGTATGACCTGCCACGAACGAGGGTGTTGCTTTTCCATACTGACACAAGCAAAGCGCTGTGACAAGTCCGTCGAAAATGGCCCACACTTGACGGACGGGAATGTCGCTGAAATCACATGTCAGCACGCATCTTGGTTCAGAGCCGCCATTACTTCCACATACTATCTCAGCACGGTATTGTCTGCGGTTTTGCGTCTCTGGGCATTTGCTCCCCGTGCACGATCAATGAGCTCGGCAAGATCGCCGTGCTGACAGTATTCCATATATCTACAACCCTTGATCAGTACACATTTCATGGGYAGCCGTTGTAGCTTTGACCGAAGTTTGGCTTCGAAACAGGACTCACACTCTGTACATTCGCAGCTTCTCATATAACGCATATCCCTCGGAGTGAKCAATATTCTCGGAGCCTACCATCGCGGAGAGCTCTCTTGTGATATTTTCTTCTTTCACAACTCGGCGGAACATTTGGTCCACCCACCACTTCTCGCTGTTGAAGTCGTTCTCCAGGTAGGTCTCTTTCACAACTTTTCGTTCGAGGATATTCCCGAGATTATCGTATCTTAGCCAAAGTCCAGCGTGTCCAAAGCCGCCTTCTCCAACCGGACATCGATAGGTCCAGACGCCGTTTACRCCGCTCCGGTCTCCGCCGAAACCCAGTATGGAGGCTCGGACGGAGTATGAGACAACATCAGGAGCAGCTTCATGAGGCGGAAAGTCCAGTCCCATACCAAAGAGTCGATCCCTTGTAGCCCTGAAAGCCAACAGTTCTCGCATCTCGTCGGCGTTGGCGTTGGAACGAACCAAGTCCTGGTATGAATCCCATATCAAGTTAGCATTTCGAGTCATCTTCTTTCTAGCGTTTTTCACGAGTCTCTCGCAAAACCCGCTCTCCAATGTTTCCTCGGGAACTTCAAGACATTCAACTAGAACACCGTATCGTCTTGAGAACGAAATCACTTCGTCGTGAAGGTCTTCGATACGAGCTTTGGTATGCCTATCAACGCTTTGATCCTCGGCTCTCTCGCGAACACCTCGCCATGTGTTTAGATCGAAAGCTTGGCTCTCTCCCCAGAGGGGTTCGCCCGACTGACGAAACGCTGTCATCATTTGGTTGCGAAGGGTTTCTAAAAGCTGTTGCATGTAGTCGTTTGGTCGTAGGTCCGCTTCTTGAGCAATGGCAAGATCCCAGCTTCTGTCGAAGCTGTTCAGATTTTGATCAAGGACGGCTTGGCGAACGAGGACCATGTACCCAGCTGGCGTCATTGCTTGGTCCCAATCAGCCGATGGCGGTTCGGTCACAATCCCTCGGGTGATCAGGGCGAATGCCTGGTCTCTCAACTCATTGAATTCAGCTTGTTCAACTCCAGCTGGGTCGCGATTCGTGACCTCAATTGCAAGATCCAGCCAGCGTTGTCTCACGTTCGCAAGATGATCAGGATCGTATGGCATGCCTCCAGCTCTCACATGACTGAGCATGTAATGGTAGTCTCGGTAATCAAGCTTGCGAGTGTCAAGGTTGATCTCCTCCTTGATGCGGGCTTTCCACTGACTGCTCGCTGCGTCCAAATGCCGTGCCTTGAGGTTTTCAATAATCTTCTCCAACTGCTTGCACATCTTCTCGTATGTTTCTAGTTGCCGAACGAAGCCTTGAATATCAGAAGACGGCCAAGGATTGATGTACTGGATGAAACGTCGATAATGATTGATGTAGTTGAATTGTGCTTGGAACCAAGCCATTGTCGTCGGGCTCCGCTCTGCGACGACATCATGAAGCTCCCTCATCCATATCCTTGAAACCTCGCTTTCGGATGTCTGAAGACGGTTGGTGCCTCCATCAAGGCCGTACGCTGTAATGGCAGTTGCAAGGGCTGTGCGAAGATCGTTTACTGCAGTGACACCAAAATCTGCCGACATTCGYCGATACGTAGCAGTCCATGTCTCCAGATCCTTCTGAACATCCGTGATGAATGTGGTAACAGCTTTGATGTACCCATTATGATCTGTGCCAGCCGTGAAGAGAGGCGGATTGGTTGGGATTACCTCAGGGCCTGGTTGGGCCATGTGGATTGCTATTGATAATTGCTCGGCAAAGTCTCTGAGTATGTCGACTTCCGGCTCATCAAGCTTCAGCTGCGTCAGAACGTTGAACCAATTCGACCTCGTTCGGTCCAGATCACTGGTTGGTGGGTCGGGGATGGGGTTGTCGCTCCACAGAGTATCGAATGCCGCTCCCTGGTCAAGATAAATCTCAATCGGCCACGCATTCACCCAGTCATCCCCTGAGCCATGCATGTTGACTATCTCTAGCATCCGATCAAAGCAAGCGTCGGCATCGGGTCGTGCTATCAAAGCATTCCTGTATGCATAACAGGCAGGATCTGCTGCTCCGCCTGTAATGGATTGATCGAGGCGGTCATGAGCTGCGCTTGTGGGGAYTTGGCCACTAGCTGCTCCGCCTCCTCCTCTTATTCGACCTCTTCCTGTTGCTGCAGCTTTCTTCACGCCTTTGATTCTCCCTTTCTTGCCGCCCTTGTTTCCAATTACTCCTCCTCCTGTAGTACGTCCAGATCTCCTCTGTGGTCGTGGACCCACAAGAATCAATCTCGGAGGCATGATTCCAGTCCGAATTGCCGTTTGCCAGTAGTTACAGTTGTAAACTTTCCAGAAAGATGTTCTGTCATGCAATTTGTATGTCGCTTTGTTCCTTTTGCTGAACCACCATGCCCGCTGAAGCTCCATGCTTGCCCGATGTTTGCCTTCCCTGAATTCGGATTGTTCATCTTTTGAACCAGGAAAAGTAGATTTGAGTTCAGCTGCATTTTCGTTGTGCATTGGAAGATCCAGGGCCGTTAATATGACAAGACAGGAGCAAGAGCGGTGCCATAAACCTCTCCGTCCATTGAAAGATGGCCCAGTCTGGATGTCAAAGATCCTAGCAGCTCCAGTCTCCAGAGTCGTCGAACTTGCAGAGACTACGGCCTTGGGACGGCATGAAAACAACTGAAAGTATCTTGTCTCGCGAGATAATCCTCATGTCGATGCTCCTGGCGCCGTTGGTAGGCAGATATTAGCAGGAGTTCGTCGTCGCTGAAGGCGAATTCCCAAGTGTGGTCGGACCACAAATGCTGAGGGAGATGTGGGTGGCAAAGGAGATATCCACGCCATGCTTCCAAGGGCAGCAGTCTTCTCGGCTGGATTACTCAWGTTGGTATACAGCTGTGAAGATCTACACTATCGTCTTTGGGATGGCTGGGGAGTGAGAGTAGCCGAGGATAGTGGATACCGAGAAATGCGTTTTGGGAAGCTACGAAGCATGAATGTGGTGGTCGTTGCCCGTGGACTAACTGTCTTAGCTGAGTGAGCATTTACGATCACACGCCACGCTTTATGTATAATTTTGCTCTGACACGACAGCAACCAACAGACATTCAGTATATCACCTTCTATCAGACTCTAAGACACCAAGAAAGACTCTCAAGTACCCTCAGCATCGCCATCGTCAAGATCCTCGCCATGCACACTACCCAAACCCTAACCCCAACCCTAACAGCATCTCGCCCAAGCCCAAAAYCACGCCCACAATCAAACTTCAGCTCCAATCTCAAACACAACGACAACCCTTGCAATGGAAACCAAGCACCAATAAATCACTCCCTACCCCTCCTCAAACTATTCCTCAATCCCTTAAACATCCCCGCCTTATTCCTCTTACTCCCCACAGCAAACCCACGTCTCACACTCCCACTCCTCCTCAACGGAGTCACAATCTCTTCACGAGCAGGCTCAACATCTCTTTCTTCCCGCTGCAGTTCCAATGGCTTTCCATTCTCGGCTTCCTGCCCAGCATCTGAAAGTCGTACATGCACGACACTACTACTGCTCCCACCTTCAGCCGTTGCGAAGGACTTCTCCGAGCCTGCTGGGGAGACGATGCTGGGATTATTGGATATGATTTTGATGTTTGGGAGGGTGGCGGCTGCTGCTGATGATGGGGTGTGTGCTTGTTGGATGGGAGGTGCGGCAGATGATGGAGTTTTGAGGGTATGGGGATGCAGGGCGATGGGAGATTGCGCAGGCTGGTTTCCCTGTTCGGAGTCCTGCTGCTCCGGCTCGGGAGATTTGAACGGCTCGCTATGTTGGACTCCAGATGTCGATTGAGAGATAAGCAAGCCACTTGTAGCGGAGCTCGATCCCTGCAGGTCACTCTCAGCATCCTCAGCGGGCTTGACCTGAGAAGACGATACACCAGGTACAAATCCAGTCGTTGAGAGAGAGGCAGCGGCGTCCAACGGTTCTCTCTCTCGCAAATCCACTGACAGAGAAGGATACGCAGCAATCCCAGTCTCTGGTTGATCCTGCACTCTTCCCACTGATGCCATCGAAGGCAGAACATCACCAACATACCCCTGGGATTCGTCCTTCTCCTGACCCTGTTGCACCAACGAAGCAGCAGCAGCAACAACACCCGTCGAAGAAAGATCCTCATCCAGCGGAGGATTTCTAAAATGCACCTCAAAAGGCCGATGACCATCTCCTCGACCCATCTCACTCCTCCGCTCTTCGACTCCGCCAACCGAAACTTCCTCTTTCAGCTGCGCGACACTCTCCCCAACCTCAAGCCTCCCCTGCTGCTCTCTACCCCCCTTGGATTTTCCATGCAGCACAGTAAAAGATCGATGCACCTGTACCTTCTCGATCCCCACTCTCGGATCAGGATTCCTATACCCAGCCTCAAAAGCTCGATGCGGCTGCTGCTCCCCACCCACCTCCTCCTTATCCTTCCCCTCATCGACGGCCGCAGCCACATCACCAACATCGCTCGGATTCCTGTAAGTAGGAGAAAAAGGCCGATGAGCTTCTCCCTCCACCACTCCCAGATCCAATGCAGTCTGAGACGGCGAGAAAGATTTAGATTCATACAAACTACTCATCTGGCTCAGTGGTACTTCTTCCCCTTCTGCGTTCCGATGAGTCGATGGGAAAGGCCGATGAGGTTCATTCGCAGATCCCTGCTTCTCCTCAGCAGCGATATCCAGCAAAGAAGGACTCGGCATAACACTCGGATTCCGATAAGTCGGTGGAAAAGCTCGATGAGCTTCATCCATAAATCCCTGCTTCTCCTCAGCAGCGATTTCCACCAAAGAAGCAGGCAGAGCGCTCGGATTCCGATGCGTAGGTGGAAAAGCTCGATGAGGTCCATCTATAACCTCCCGCTTCTTCACCACAGCGATATCCAGCGAAGAACTCGGCATAAAACTCGGATTCCGATGCGTGGATGGAAAAGGTCGATGTAGTTCATTCGCAGATCCCCGCTTCTCCTTAGCAGCGACATTCAGCGGAGAACTCGGCATGAGAGTCGGATTCCGGTACGTGGGTGGAAAAGCTCGATGGGGTTCATTCTTCGCATATCCCATCTTCTCCGTTGGACTGACGACACAGGGCGAGGAATTGGGCATGAGAGTTGCAAAAGGTCTCTTATGGGCCGCCGGCGTAGAAGACGTGGGAGCAGCAGCAGCAGCGACGACAGCGATATTCGGAGACGTCGAAAATTCTGAAGTGGAAGAGTTCATATTCTGAGCGATAGATTTCGCTTCTCGCCGACTAAAAGGTATCACAAAAACATCAGAAACAGATCATCTCTCATCATCTGCACCAAATAATAGAAAAAAAAAAACTTTCGGAACCCAAGGAAAGAAGATGTCACCGATCGCTCACTTTTTAGCCTCGTAAATCCATCCCGTCCTTCGAACCTCATCCTCCTCATCTTTCCCTCGTCCCTGCCTTTCCAACTCCCGTACAAGCGGCAAGACCTCCCGTCCAAAAGCCTCCACTTCCTCTTCATAATGCAAGAAAGCCGTTAGGATGATATTCACTCCCAGACTCTTCAACATGACGATTCGCTCCGCGATCTGCTCTTTCGTACCAATTAACTTGGTTTTGAAACCATCATTGTATTGCACTAGATCCTCCATTGATGAGTTCGCCCACATGCCGCTCTTGTTCTTCGTCGAAGAGCCTGCGTTGGCGACTTGTTGGCGGAAACCTTCGACGGCTTCATGGTTGGCTTTGCCTTGAATTTCCGCCAAGACGCGGAGAGCTTCCTCTTCGGTTTCTCTGCAGATGACAAAAGCGTTGAGTGCGAAGCCGACTTCTCCCTCACGGTTGTTCTTCTTGGCGCGGTCTTTCACGTCGTGGATTTGAGCGCGGAAGCCTTCAAGAGTGTTGCCGTTCATGAAGTAGTAGTCTGAAGCACTACCGGCGTTCTCCTTTGCGTCGTCGGAGTTGCCTCCTTGGAAGATCTCGGGGTATGGACGGCCGGGGAGGTTGAGAGGCTTAGGCTTGAGAGGGTAATCGTGGAATTGGTAGAAATCTCCCTTGAAGGTGAAGGAGTCTTGTGTCCAGATTCCCTTGAGACATTGGATGAATTCCTTGGATCTGCGGTATCGTTCGGCGTGATCGAGCCACCATTGGCCGATGCTTGTGAATTCGAGCTTGAACCAGCCAGAGACGACGTTGACGGCGACACGGCCGTCGGRGATGATATCGAGGGATGCGCAGGCTTTGGCTGCGATGGCTGGGTTCCATGGCCCCGGTAGAAGTGCCACGATCAGCTTCAGTCTTTCGGTCTTCATGAGTAGGGCCTGGGAGAGAGTGAGAGGCTCATGCTGGTTGTCTGCTCCGTAGCCCGCCATGAAGCGAATCTGAGAGAGGGCGAACTCAAAGCCCACCCGCTCAGCAGTTTGTGCGTATTTGATGTTTGATTTATGATCCCAATATGTGCGCTGTGCGATCTTGGAAATGACCAGCCCTCCACTCACGTTGGGAACCCAGTATGCGAATCGCACACGATCGGGGTCGGAGTTGAGCGAGTCGGCGTAGGAGAAGTCGGCGGAAGTGTGATCGAAAGACTTGGATGCAATACCGTTTGGAACGACGCCATTGGAGGGAGAAGGAGTGGAGTCCTTGGATTCGTTACCAACGGCCACCACGATGCGCTTACCGCCAATGGTGCCAGTGCGCATGCGGTCGAGAGCGTCGTTGATTCCTGCAAGACCGCCTTGAGCAACTTCAACCTCGGGCAGTCTGAGGCTCTTTTCCACAAGAAGTTTCTCCAGCCAAAGAGAAATGGCTTCTCCGACCGAAGGAGCTTCGTGGAAGATCTTGATGGGAACTTTGTGATGGACAACTCCTCTGCCGACAGATTTGGGCAGACCGGCAAGACCCAACAAGTGGGACTTCAAACCGGAATCGCTTTGAGAGAGAGCGTCTTGAAGGGATGTGGCGGATTCCTTGCCGTTGCAGTCGAAGCCGAATCGGAGCTTGCCTCCAGTGACCGCCTTGAGGATGTCAACAGCACGCTTGTCGTCGTACTTGTCGACCATGAAGTCAGCGCCGAGCTCTGAAAGACGAGTGCCACCGCGGGCAATGTCCGCAATGCAGGCGACCTTCAATCCAGCGTGCTTGGCGAGTTGGAGAGCAACCTGCCCGGTCATGCTGTTGGCTCCCCAAATCGCAATCCACTCGCCAGGTTGAGGGCGCTCCGAGGTGGGGATACCCGAGAAGATCTCATCTCTGATGTCCTCGGGCACTTCTCTTGGGTCGAGACCTCGCACAAGTTGGACGAGATCTGGTCCTTGAGGAGCATTTCTCAGTGATGAAAAGTCGACGCCGAAGCTGATTCCCAAGCTGACAACCGCCGCAACCCAAGCCACACCCAACGCCGCACCCTCCTTGACATCCACGCCTTGAGGTATCCGTGAGACATTGTAGTCTGTGGTGACGACATATTCTTGGTATGCCGCTTTGCGCACATCTCTGTAGTCGGTGGATGGACCGAACACCACATCTCCTTGCTTGATGTGAGAGTCTGTGCGAGCTGTGCGGACGACGATTCCTGCAAAGTCTCGGCCATTGACCCATGGGTAGCTGGGCTGGGAGAAGCCGTAGTCTGCACCTTTCCAGTCGACTGGGTTCAAGCCAATGGCAAGAACTTGTACGAGAATCTCCCTTTCGCCTTGCAGCTCGGGAATGTCCTTGCTCTTCTCCAACTTGTACTTTTGTCGCGGACCGTGCAGGAGAAGCAGGTCTTGTTGAGGAGCGTCGAGACGGAGGAACTCGTCGTTGTGGAGGGAGTGGCCGTTGCCGTTGGTGTGCGAGTTCGGGCTGCCGTGGCCATTGGTGTGTGAGTAGCCATTGCTGTTACCGTTGGTGGTGGGAGTTGCGGTGCCGCTGAGAGAGGAGAAGCTCTTTGGCGAGGAGACTTTGGAACGTCCGCAGTCGTGGTCGGGGCGGAGGGAGAGGAAAGGTCCCGAGTTGAGGGAGGAGGGCATCTTGGTGAGCAATCTCTGGGCGAGGAGGAGGGTAAGAAAGATCAATGCAGTGAGGGAGAGGAGGAGGAGAGGGTGCGATGATAGAACGACCGCCTGTATGTCAAAATCAAGGGTGGAGAGGAATGACGAGGGAGACGGAGGTGAGGGATGGTTCATGGGAAGGAAAAAGGTGTCGGCGAAAGAAGCGAGAGTAGAGAGCACTTATTCCTCACGCCGGCGATCATCGAACAATTGTCGCAGCCGATCGCCCCAATAGTCGACCCCGAGGCGTTGGTCCGCGTCGTCGTTGGACGTGTCGTTGGTGCATTGCCGGATGGCGTGCTCGCCAACCCCGCCTCTTCGCAAAATCCTGGGCCAAATAGTCCATCACGTCAGAAAGTTACTTCCTCTGCTAAGACTTGCACGCGATTTGAGTGCTGGAAGAGGTGATACCTAACTTGGCAGTTGGGGATCCCGATGGTAACTGCACTGGCTTGTCCACGTATCGCGCAGTGTTGAGACGTTGTGTAGAACAGTCGTCTTTAACGGTATTGTCTCTGTTTTAACCATCTTCAACCATCTTCCCCAGATGGACATGTCCCCTTCTTTGACAGCTTCCCCCACGTGTTCGCTGCATCCTCCCTGCGTCCCCACCTGTCACTTGGCGTTGTAACGACTCGACATTTCGATGCAGGTCGTTGGCGTAGGAAGGAGGACCGACATGACATCGTACGGGCGTTGGTCGATGCCATCTAGAATATATCGTCCGGGTGGAAGATCAAAAGCCTTCTCCTCGGTCCGCACTTCTCAATGATATAACCAAGGCTTCATGATGTTGCGTACACTTCATGTCAGTAGTACAGTCACAGCAGCAACGTGTCCGTTGCGAATTTCTTCTCTGGTTTGACATCGTCACCTCATGCTCTCATCTCGCAGTTGCATCCTTCCAAAGTCGTGGGAAAACTTGCCGGGCTCGGGCTTTGACTTTGACCGCCTCCATTTCTGGTGACTTTTCGTTCCGTCTCTTCACCTGTTTCCCATCTTGTAAAGATCATGGGGATTCTGCGACGACATTCTGTGAAAAATTGTATGATGCTTCTTCAATGGTTATGAGTCTCGCGATGCCTGTCCAGCAATCGATCGCATTTGACGACGAATGTCCTGGTCCAACTCGCCTTGCGACCGCCGTCCTGGATGAACAAGATCTGCCTAGGTACTCTCATATTGGAACAAGGACATTCATCGCAGTTCTTGCTCCTTGAATGCCAACAGGAAAAGATACTTAGTCGCAGCGTACAAGAGCGAAGCCGTCTCACCTCATCACTCGCTCTTCCTTCTTTGACCTACAATCCCACCACTTTCACACCCGACACAGCTTCCTCTCATCCCGGACCTGATCGGCTGGCTTGATCCTCAACTTCTATTTCTCGTCCTCAGTTGCAGAAACAATCACATCCACAACGTCTATTTTTCTCCACTGAATCYTTCAGAAAGAAGACTGAGAGAAGTTCATTGCAAGAATGCCACCGCAAGGCGTACGGGCGCTCCGGCTGCTGGATCTGCCCCGCGAGATAAGAGACAAAATCTACGAATACTCCCGCACTTTCTCCTGGATTGACATCGCCAATATGCCCAAAGAGATCCATCAGCCCAGCATCACCAAGGTCTCCCATCAGATCCGTGATGAAGCTTTGGATGTGTTTTACGGAAGGAATCGGTACGTCGACCTCTTCACTTTGACTCACTTTCTTTCACTACCCCTCTCCCTCTCTCTCCTCTTCCCACCATCTCCTTCTTCAAACTCATCTTCACTTGCTGATGGGAATCTCAAGATTTATGCTCGACCTCCGTAACCACATTCACTCCTCCTATCACCCTCTCACCCCACCTCAAATCCTGACCCGCTGGATCACCGCAATCGGAGATGCCAACACATCCCGCTTACGTATCCTCTCTTTCTACGTCTATAATTTTGCCGTACATTTCACAATCCTCCCTCCCTCCCCTTCCCAACCAATGTCCATCTCCCTCCGATTCAAACAGACTCGCAGCTCCATGGATGTTGCCGATGACGCCGGACCCGCTTATAGCGCCAAGCTGGCCGTCTGGCGAGCGGAAGCTTATCTGCAGAATGCGGTGCAAATGCTGGTCCAGGAAATTGGAGGGAGAGGGTTGGTGGCGGACGATGTGTTGAGATTGGAGAATTTCGTCGAGGATGTGAAGCCGGCTTTGTGTACTAGGAATGGGGTGGGATGGAAAGGTGCGATTCTGACTGGGGATGTGCGGAAGCAGCCAGAGGTGAGGAAACATTTGGAGGCTTGTGCGGAGTGTCGTTACGTGGGGAGACCGCTGAACAGCTGAGGCAATGAGGAGCATTGCGCTGTGGGTTGGAATTGGTTGGGTTTTGAAGCGGCATGAGACGACGACTTTTCCTTTTGATGATGGAATACTGGCAGCACAGCGAGATGGAGAAGCGGCTTTTACTTGGAAGAGATGATCACCAGAATATCATCCCATTGGACTTGCCTTGTGCTCTCCCGGCTTCGGAATTTGGAGTTGATCACACAACCGAAACGGCGCTTCGACTTGGAACCTGGCTGCTGATCTGGCATAAGCTCATCTTCAACTCGCCTGCCTGGCAACGATGTTCCGACTTTCATACCAAGCCGGCAGAGAACATTCGCCATGGAAAGGCGGCGTAAATGCAAGGACTGAATCAACTTTGGAAATTCGCAAAGTACGATCTTCAAACTCTTTTCATGGCAATCGCCTTCTWCTACATGTCTTTCCATTCGAAACTGACGCGAATGCCACACGACTTCGAATGAAATTCATTCGCTTGGAGGGGAAATGGTAGAACGGTGCAGCTCTCAGAAAGTGCAGGTTTGTAGTTGAGGTTTTTTGTGGCTGTGATACTAACTACGATATACCATCTTTTCGATTCTTGGATATCTGGGGCTTCAGAAACCCCGGATACAAGAGACCGGTGCGAAGGTATTCTAGGCTTGGGAGGATAGGAGCACTAACGGCGATATCTTTCGGAGACTTCCATTTTAGTGACAGATCTGGCGAAACTCATTATTTCCACGATGCGATTGGGAGCCAAGAGAGCTGGAAATCGAAACACGACTACTACTGAGTCAATCATTTTCTTGAAGTTCTTGGAAGGTGAATATGGATGACTTCTAAGCTGTCCGTTCCGAGATCAGGGTTCGGGTTGGCTTGCCCACAGTGGCTTTGAGGTTGGGGTTGGATATGTTTGATTCTGAGTCRGGAATATGCGGTATTTGGCTTTCCTTTGCTGGAGAATTGATGTGTATGCATCATGGATTTGGGAAGTCAAGTCTACACACACTGCGCAGTACATGTTTGGAGTCCGGGAAAAGGCACCGCTGACCATACCTCTCAGTTTTCTTGGCCTTGAACCCTCCGTTCGCATCTTGGAGTTCTTCGACCACTTCCTTCTTGCATCCAACACTATCCAGCCATCTTACTCTTCTTAATGAAGTCCATTCAAATTTTTTCCTTTGTCCAAAACCAGGATATGGACGATCGAGCCCGGATATGTAATCCGCATCCGGCACTCGCGAAGGAGACAAAGCCGCAAAAATGTCAAACTGGCTTGGGAACCTCTCGAGTTTAGGAATACTCTGCGCATCTCCAATATTACAGCTCGAAATTCAAAATGGGGCGACCGACTCGAGCGGCCGCCAAAGATTTGGCGACCTGGAATTATGCTGAAAATCGTAAACGGCAAGCTGGCGAGGACATTTGGCAACCGCCGCCGGCTAAGAAAAGGAGACAGAAACAGCCAATTGCGAATGCGGCGCAGCAAGCTTTGGCTGCTGGGCCTGTGGGAGGTGCTGGACCTGTCATAGCTGCTGGACCTCCAGCTGCACCGGTTGACGGAGGGGGAGATGATGGAGATGACGGAGGGGATGAAAATGGAGATGATGAAGACGACGGAGGGGATGAGAATGGAGGCGGCGATGATGGAGGCGATGATGGAGGCCGCGGCGAGAATGGTGAGATACCGGCTGAACCTGGTGATGACTCTTCCTCCCTTGAAGACAGCGACGATTCACCGGAGCCTATTCCACCTCCCCCCGTCGATCCTCGATCTGCCGTCCAGCAAGCGGTGACTGATGGAGCATCCAACGCTTTCGAAATATACCGGACAGTCATCCATGATCGAGATGACAGTGATATGTGCTATACTATCATGCATCAACTTTTGAATGCACATGGGTCGGGCGTTGATTGGGTAATCGCATGGCCGATTGATGTCTATCTCACCCGAGGCATTGATTTCCCAACCATATGGTCCAACAGGGCTTTACCTGCTGAACCGTTGGATGACTTGGAACAGCTGATACAAGGCTGGTTCAATGCTGTGGGAATGTACCTGCCGGGTGGACCTAATGAACCTCCGCCTGCAGTGGCGCTCGTCACTCAGTTGGCGGATCATTTCGCCAACGCAATGCAGATTGTCAATGATTTCGGGATTAGACTGATACCCCCGATCTACGATCCGGCATCCACCCAACAATTTTACATTGATACCGTCAGGGGTTTGTTCGAAACCGTCGAGAATTGGCGGAATGAAATCGCTCTCATGGTGGTGCGCATGGGCGAGGAAGCCGGAGATGAACTGAGAGAAGCCCTCCGAAACAAGGCACCTGGCTTCAACGCTGGAGTGGCCCCTCTAGCGAGGCCGGAAAGAGATGTCAGCCGAATATGGTGGTCTTCCTTGACCGCTGACGTGAACCTCGAACGAGGGGAAGGCTCCGCGGGGTGGTTTGACGCTTTACATGACTATGCGCTCAAATGTGGAGATCGTCATAATCAATATGCTCTGCCAAACCCGCTCACTCCAATAACGGACTACATGAACCGCACAATCACTTATGCTGCCTTCTGTACTGCTCTCGAGACGCATACTATCACACTCCGTGTGGCTTGCATTGTATCTGTCGGAGTAACGTGGCGAGACTTCATACAGCAAGGACCAACGCTTCTCGTCCGATCGCAGCGGTACGACGAATATCGGCAGATGATCAGTATTGTCGACGGAGGTCGATGGCCTTATTACCCCTCCACCCAGGCCGAATTCGACCAGTTATGGCGAAATGTAGACCTGCGGCAGAGGGTTGACGTATCCGTCGAGGACCTTGCCCAGTTCGAAGTAGTGCGAGCTGCGGCTCTGAATGCGATTGCCGGAAAGAAGTTTGTCCAATTGCCAGCCCTGGATGGTATCGCCACGGAGCGATTCCTAGATGACGCCCAATTCCGACTTGATACTGAAGACCAATATGAAGTCTTATGTCTGTGGGATATTGCACAACAAAGGAAACTCGAACTTGGGCAGGAAACGATAACTCACACCGCCCTATTCGCCCAAAGGTTCCTGCCTGAATTTGCAGTGGGACCATTATATATGGAGCGTGATGCTCAATGGCGTGATTTCGCAAGGAGAGTGGATGCTCTAGTCAATGCTCCTCTTTCCCTGAACACGAAAGCTCGATTCAGAGACATTTCCCATCGTGTGTTGGACTTTCGCACCAGGTTCGGTTTCCTCCTGATGGACGGCCGCATTCGTCAAAATCCCTTGGATGATGTGTTTTGTCTCTCTCTTGTCCTGGATATGGAAAGGGAGATGACCGCGAAAGCAGATGAGATTTGGACCTTCTACGAAACCACGGTCTACCGCGCCGACGACCCGAATGATATGTTCCTGCAGAATCTACGCCGAGATCGTCGTGATCAACTCAAGAGGAGAGGTTTGGATTATCCGCTACACGAAGAAAGTCCGAACGTCGCGCTGAGTAGAGGCGCACAAGTGGCCTTCGATTTAGGGTTTGGAGGAGACCGTAGCGGTATTGCCGGCCACTGGCATTTCCAGGGCACGACTGGAGCAGGAGGTTTCGGTCATGCTGGGCTATGGTATCAGTATAGCAACACTGGTGCGGTTCTGGATCGAATGATTGTCAAAGAGAGTTATTTGGACGACAACTTCAATGTGGCAACGTACTGGGTTGGGGAGATGTGTCGTCGAGTTGTGAAGGAGGAGGATATCAGTGGATACTTATCTAATCTACCGGGCTGCGATAATACCGTGGCTTCGCAAGGATATGGTGTTTACGAGGGTCGGAGAATGCACAGAGTGTAAGCGATGTGACTCTGGATTGATGTGAAGTATGCTGACCTTCTTGCAGGTACATGGAGTATWGTCGACACGGCGATCTCGACAGCCTCATCAGACGTTACAGAAGTCTCAGTGCGCAGAATCGTGTGGCGAGCGATGGCACGCCCTTGGTGTAGTGAGTACTTGATCGAGCTTTGATCGCAGTGTTTGGAGCTGATGGTTGATATAGTGAGCTACCTATAAGGCTACTCTGGGCTGTCATCGACGCACTAGTCTCTGCCTTGTCATATATGAAATTCGGAACGGATGTTGCTCCGGCTGTGGCCGGCCATGTTGCAATCATTCATCGCGACTTCAAGCCTCCAAACAGTAAGCTCGCAGCAACAAATAGCCCAAGCGGAACGCTGACATGATCGTATCTAGTCTTTCTCGCAGATGCACATGCTACCAATTGGACAGGTATCCCAACACCTAAACTGGGCGATTTCGGACAAGCGACAAGGATGACAGACGGCGATGCTTTCGACGTCGGAATGGGAACTCGAGGCTTTACCGCTCCTGTAAGTTGCAACACATACATCCCATTCTCCCACAATAAACTCTAACTCTCCCTCACAGGAAGCGATTGCATACGCCACTGTAGGCCGCACAGCTCGCGCAGCTCTAAACCCCATGGGCCCTCAAGCCGACATCTGGGCTCTAGGAAGAACAATGCATGCACTCATGTCCCTAACCCCCAACTACCCTATCTTCGATTACAACACCGAGCTGACCCAGGCGGAATTAATGGCCGGCTGCTCGTCGGAGTGTCCCCGGGAACTCATTATTTTGGTCGCGCGGTGTTTGAATAAGACTGCTGCTGAACGACCTACGATTGAGGAATTGCGGGAGAGTGTTGATGGGAGGATTTTTAGGGGTGGGGGGGATTGTAGGACTGCTGGGCCTGGGGATGATGAGGTTGAGGTTTTGGATTTTATGAGGGATGTTTATGTTGCTTTTGCGAATCCACCGTAGTAAGCGTGATGTGGACGACTCATGGTGCAGAGAATGGATCTGTCAAGGCGTGAATATTTCTTGAATTTGAAGGCTTGTTGGAATGGATATTATGGATGTCTGGGTTTATCTGTTGGTAGATGGGATGTGATGGCCACTTTTTAGGTGCGTAGTTCTGAATGCGAAGGCTTCATGCATGGATGAGACTCCGGCACAGTCGCCTCCCTTCCTACATGTACTGTGTTATCCTATGAGGATGGGCTGTGTGCTAAGCTTAGAGAAACGTCCACCAAAGATCCGTGATGTTCCCAAAGTCCGCAGTGTTCAAAAGATCTGCAGTGTTCAAGAGATCCGCGATGTACAAGAGTCCGCAGTGTTCAAAACCTGCAACGGCCCTCGCACTTTGAGCGGCTTGCCGTAGCTCCGGTTCCGGAATCCTTTATCGTAGGTACGGTATCTGCGCAGTAGTCCTATCTTGGCGGAATCCTCGGGAGTTTGTTCGGCCCAGCATCCCAGCATGGTCAAGTAAGTGAATGATTGAACCCTTCGAGCACATTATATTCCGAGCACGCATTTCCAAATCCAAGCAAAGGATATCATGTGTCTTCAAATCCAACTTCAAGAACATGCCGGGATGTAAAGATGCCGAAATCCCGTACAAGCTGCATGATTTTCCCGAATCCACATGTTGGCGATATAGATCTTGGCATGTTTAGGGTTAGCATTCTGTGCTACATCGGCTATCCTTGCAACGGTTTGCAGATCTTTCTCCACAGGTGTGGGAACACGTGCGAGGCTGACCTCGCTCACCATCTGACAACTTGTGTATAACAACAAAAGCGCCAGCGAGAAAAATTGTAGACGGAACCAAGAATCGAAACCAGGCGATCCAAGCAGTGCAGTACAGCGAACATGGCGGAATCAACTACAGATGTTGTCATCGTCGGAGCTGGGCCCGCGGGTATGATGGCCAGCATGTATTTTGCTGAAATGGGCATACCGTTCCGTATCATCGACAAGAGAGGAACCAGGACTCTCAACGGTCGAGCAGATGGTTTTCATACCCGCACCCTCGAAATCTGGGAGAGTTTCGGGATTGCAGACAAGGCGCGAAAGCATGGAGTTCCTCTCGGACAATTTTCCATGTGGAATCCAGATCCCAATAACGAGGATGGAGGAATTGTTAGGAATAGGGATCTTGCGAGAGGAGTTGGTCAGACGAATGTTGTGATGGAGGAGCAGGCTGGGACGAATGAGAAGCCTTGGGCTATTCATCAGGGATTTATTGAAGCTGCTATGATTGAGGCTACTCGTGTGCGAGGAGGTGCTAGAGTTGAGAGAGGAACTGTCCCTGAGTCGATTCTGCTGGATACGGATCTCTCTGCTGAGTATCCCGTCTTGGTCAAGGTGCGGCATATGCTGAAATCGGAGGTTGCATCTCCTCGAACTGGGGCGCATAGTATTGCCGAGGATGGGAGTTTGAAGCCGGAGCGAGGTTTCATTGATGCGTTTGGAGGGGATCCACATGAGATTTCTTCGAGTGTTGGTGGCAAAGAAGGTAGCGTTGAGACAATCCGGGCCAAGTACGTTATTGGAGCCGACGGTGCACACTCTTGGGTGCGTAGAAGTCTCGGTCTGAGCATGGAAGGAGAAACCACCGATGCCATTTGGGGCGCCATTGGTGAGCGGTTGGATTCTTTGAGACGATGCTCATAGCTTTCGCTGACCATTCTGCAGACATCAAACCGCTTACAAACTTTCCCGACGTTCGCAAAGTCACGAACATCTTCTCTCGGCATGGATCTGCGCTGTTGATTCCTCGTGAGCTCGGTCTCGTCAGAGTATATGTTCAGCTGCCAGATGACTACATCCTTCGAAAGGGGTATGAGCCTGAGGAAGGCGTGAGCGATATCATGTCCACAGCCCGGAAGATTCTGGCTCCGTACACGATGGATTACAAGTACTGCGACTGGTTTACAATCTACGCAGTTGCACAGAGGATGTGTAAGACCTACTCTGTCTCCAATAGGATATTCCTGGCAGGTGATGCCGTGCACAGTACGTTGTTCTCATCCGAAGCATTGATACATCGCTGACATATGACAGCACACTCGCCAAAAGGAGGTCAAGGTCAAAATGTCTCACAGCAAGACACGTACAACCTCGCCTTCAAAATCGCTGCAGTACTACGAAACCAAATGTCTCCATCGATTCTCTCAACCTACCAAACGGAGCGACTCCCCGTCGCATACGAACTCATTGAGCTCGACCAGATCCAAGGCAAAATCATGGACAGTCGAAAAGAACCTTCAGCAAACGACATCAAGCTCATGGTCGATCGTCTTCTCAAGCAGAACGGTACGGGTGTGATGTACTCTCCAAACGCTTTAATTGCCGGTCCTGAACAGACGAATCAAGAAGCTGCCAAGAAGCTCAAACTTGGGATGCGAGTACCCAATACTTCCGTCTTCAACCAATCGAATGGTGTGGCTACTAACGTACAGTCTCTGCTTGAATCCACGGGATCCTGGAGAATCCTTGTATTYGCTGGCGATGTCACGAAAGCTGAGCAGCTCGAGAGGATCAACAACTTGAACGAAGACCTTGACGTCTTGATCCACAAATACCCATCAGCTTCAACACGACAGCCGGAGAAGTTTGCGGAAATCTTGACTTTCCATTCTGCGAATATCAATGACGTCGATTCGAAGGTTTTCCATTCAGCTTTCTTCCCGCATGATGCTGTGGATGGGTATAATTATGATACCATCTTTGGAGATTTCACGGATCTTGCGGAGGAATGTACGGGTGGAGCTTACAGGGCATATGATGTTGATCTTGAGCAAGGCGCTCTGGTGCTTGTTCGGCCTGATCAGGTTGTTGCTTGGGTTGGATATTTGAGGGATTTAAGTGTGATGCGGGATTGGTTGGCTACTTTTATGATATCGAAGGACGTGAAGTTGAATGGGGTTTTGAAGGAGAATGGTGTGCAGGACGGCTCGCAGAATGGTTTGCCGAACGACCTGCAACATGGCGTACATGCATAACTTTGATATCATATGTCAATGTATCTTTCTCTTTGCAACGAAATCATTTGATACAGTACAATTTCTTTCTACCATGACACAGAATGGCGTCCGTCGATCTCACAGGAAGTCGCATCGAGCCTTGAATGGTCTATCAAAGGCCTTCTTGCCTACCGATGGCGATGTAAAGCTACTGCTTTCATCCTCAGGGATGACGATCAAAGTGGCCTGGCTTCACTTTCGGAGTTGAGCTTCGCAACATATCACGAGGACCTGGGAGGGATCGGAACTTTCACTTTCGTCTCTGCAGAAAATGAGAGTTCCGCAAATCCCTTTCTATCAATCGAACTATGCAGATTCCAAAGGATCAAATTGCGGACTCAATCCGATTCTCCTGTTCACTGCCTATCGGACCAAAGAATTTCGTAGTCTTGAGCTGCCGTCCCGCAGTATAAATTTGTATTGCCACGGTAGATAAACCATGAGAGAATGAATGGGATAGAAGGTAGAGTGTCGACTTGTGCTGCATCTTGGGTATCGAGATGTAAAAATCGAGCACGGTATGTAATTTGCCAGCGGCGGAGTCCTGGACGAAGTGAAGCTCGGTCTTTGTTAGTGTCAATCGCAGTGCCCGGAATGGCTACACGGATGCTAGCTGGCAAGGTGCACAGTCTCGTCAACGTCATTTCCGAAGAAGGTCACTGCCAGTGGAGTGGTGAAGTCGCCTTCTGCATGTGTTGACCACCCAATACATAGAAAGTCTCCTCCACATTCAAGAGAGACGAGTGCTGATTTTTTAGATTCCCCTACGGGCTTTCCGTAGGACTGGTATTGGTCAAAGTATGAGTACCGTATGAATAGAGCTTGACAATCTATTGAATAGACATGATCGAGACTTGATTCCGTGGAAGCTGGGGCTGAGCGGCAAGGATATTTGATATGCACCTTCGTACTATCTCCCAGAAAATGCCAATCTTCACCCAGTTCAAGTTCCAGATATTTCGGCTGCGTCACCTTCGCCGCCTCACTCCGTACCAGGTAACAAGAGATTGTGTGCTTACCGATCTGAAAACGCGTGAGAAACGACAACGAGAGAGGCGTGAAATGATGAGCTCTAGGACTGAGCATGAAAGCCTACTCAAACCCCGGCAGCGGTCTCATCGTAAAGTATCTGCCATCCGGAAGATCCTGTGAGCGGCGAGCAACAGATCCATGACGACCACGCCCAGGAATCACAGTAGACTCCTCTTCCTCTTCCTCTTCCTCTTCCTCTTTCTCTTCCTCTTCCCGCTTCTACTCCTCAGCGGAGGCAGCAGCAGCCACCTCCAAGAATGAGCGTGGTAGTCCACTTGAGTTCTGGCCGCAATCCCTTCGCAGAGGATTGATCACGCGAGGTTTCCGGCAGGCGACGAGCAATAGGGTCATACCCTGCAACCGCAGCAGATTCCTCTTCGTCTTCTTCTTGCCCCTTAGCAGCCGCGGCGATAGCAGAGCCCGGAAGCGATGGAGGATCGCGGAAGTCAAGGCACCAGAGTCGTCGAAGTCGTCGTCGCCGTCATTGATGGCGGCGGCAGCAGGTGATACGTGGGCTCCATCTTCTGCTCCTTCTTCCTAGGTCGTCTCGTGGTGGTGGTGGGTGGAAGACCGCGGGCCTCTGCGTCGGCGCGAGAGATCTTGGGAAATCGTAGGCGTTTTGATGCTGGGTTGTGGCCCAGTCGTATTATCAACCCGAAAACAAGATTCCAGTCATGTCTATTCCTTCACTTTTCCCGCAGCAGTGTAAGGCACTCTCATCACCCTCTGTTCTGCTCTGAAGGTTGTTGGCTCTTCCTCAAACCTATAACAACATGCCAAAGATGTCCTCACCTCCAGCAACATCGAAGGTTTTGACGATCGGTGCAGTTCAATCGGCTACTAGCATTCTTGCAAACTGCGTCTCATCCCACTTCCACCCACAGCAAGACCAGCGCCAGCGTCGCGCTCAACTATCGGGGCAATTCAATCGGCCACTAGCATTCATGCAGACGGTATCTCATTCCCACTTCCACCTCCAGCAAGACTACCTCCGGCAAGACCGGCGCCAGCGTCGCGCTCAACTATCAGCGCAGTTCAATCGGCCATAACCAGTCTTGCAGACGGTATCTCATCCCCACTCCTACCTCCGACAACACCGACACCGGTGCCGGCGTCACGCTTAACTATCAGCGTAGTCCAATCGGCCACTACCATTCTTGCAGATGGCCTTCTGACCAAATCTTGTGAACTCGCAGAGCTGTGGATATGGGAAATCATCAACAAAAGCAGCGCCCTGAACTGCTCTCTCGCACGATTAACGGCCACTATGCTAGTAGTAGGGATCCTAATAGGCTCCAAATTATCAAGCCTGTAGAGAGAGCGAGGCCTCGAAATATTATGGAGATGAGTGAAGATGCCTTGTCCTGACGGATAATCCACATATCGACAGCTCTGAGGAGTTGAGAATTATCCATTTCTATCATGTCCATTTCTCCGTTTTCCCTCCGACAAGAACGCGAGCTTTTATTGATAGAGTGCGCTTCACTATAGCACAGAGTTCGTGGAGCGATGGTGAGAGTCATGTTAAAATGCATAATAGACAAGCGAAATGGTCATCCATGTTGGTGGGAGGCTTTCGCTCTATTAAAATTTCCCAGATTAAGAATTCTCTGATTTTTCTCTGTGCCCATTTCTCCACTCTTTTCCCAACGAGACAGAGAGCTATTATGGGTAGAGTGCACTCATCTATAGCATAGATCGCGTACAGCAACRCTGAGAGTCACAGTAATATGCATGATGGACAGGCGAATTGCTCGTTCAAATTTGTGGWGGCTTTTATTTCATCGAAGTCTTTCCAAATCGAGAATTCTCAAAGTTTCCTCTAGGTCCATTTCTCCAATCCCTTCCCAACAACACAGCGAGCGATTGTTCATAGGGTGCACTTATCTATAGCATAGACCGCGTACAACAACAGTGAGAGTCACAGTAACATGCATAATAGACAGGCGAATATTTGTGCTGCTTTTATTTCATCGAAGTCTTTCCAGACCGAGAATCCTCCATGTCTATGTCCATTTCTCCAATTCGTTCCCAGCAATACAGTGAGCATTTATGGATAGAGTGCGCTCATCTATAGCATAGATTGCTTAGAACAACAGTGAGAGTCATAGCAGAGGACAATAGATAACGAATAGGCGGAACGGTTATTCGATTGGTGTAGAACTATTACTCCAACGAAATCTTTCCAAATCGAGAATTCCCTATTTTTTTCCCAATGTCCATGTCCATTTCTCCAATTGTCCCTCAACAAGAAAGCGACTTATTGTTAATAGAGTGCACTCAGCAATAGCATARACCGCGTAAAACAACAGTGAGAGACACAATTGGGGACAATGGAGAGTAAAAACAGGCAGAACGGTCATCCAATTAGTGTGGAGCTATTGCTCCGTCGAAATCTTCCCAAATCGACAATGTTCATTTTTCCCCATGTCCATGTTCTTCTCTAGTACTCCCTCAACAATACAGCGAGCTATTGTAGATAGAGTGCACTCAACAACAGCATAGACCGCGTGAAACAACAGCGAGAGTCACAGGAGACAATGGATAGTGAAACAGGCGGAACGGTCATTCGATTGGTGTGGAGCTATTGCTCCAGCGGAGCCCTCACACACGCAGAACAGACACAAAAAACTCCCCCCCAAAACTCCCCCCCAGCACACAACACGCAGCCCCAAAAAAAAATCCCTTCACGGGTTGTTGTTGGTGGTGGTGGTGGTGTTGGCGGCTGCGGCCGCCGCCGCATGCAAGGCCGCCACCTCTCTCGCCAGGAGGTCATTCTCCGCCTCCGCCTCCGCCAGAGTCACCGCCATTCCCGCCGAGATCAGCCTCTCCCTCTCCAGGAGCCGGTCCAGATGCACAACTTCGCCCTGAGAGCGACGGAGCTCCTCGTCCTTCTCGAGCAGCAGGCGCACCAGCGCCGCGTGCTCCTGCTCCACTACGAGCGAGTGTTAGCGAAATTCACGTTGAGAAGCTTGCTGGATGTGAACTTACTGTCGTCGCAGGTCTGACAAGCCATTTTGGCTGYTACTGCTGCTGCTGGTGTTGCTGTTGGTGTTGCTGTTGTTGCTGTTGTTGCTGCTGTTGCTGCTGCTGTTGTTGTTGCTGCTGCTGATGTTGTTGCTGCTGCTGATGTTGTTGCTGCTGCTGTTGCGGCGGTGGTGGTGGTAGTGGTGGTGGTGATGGTCGATGTTGTGTCGATGGAGAAGCGAAAGTGAAGCTGAAAGAACAGAATTTATATAGTAAAGGCGCTAGTACCACCAATTCTAACCCCAGAATGACCCTGCATGTCAAGAAACAGGCAACAATGCCATCAAAAGCCCACAATAAGATCACGCGCTGCCAGCTCGCGATGTCAACTTGAGCGGCAGATTGTCCCTGAAGTGCAGCACCTCCTCCGTGTCAGGCATCCTATTCCTGAAGGATACACCAGAAGGGTGATCAGTTGAAGTGGTATGCTCCCGAATGTCACTCCACATCTCTGCACAGTCTGCTCTATCTGCAGGAAGCTCTGCTAAACATCTCTCAACCAGATTACAGAGCTTCGCTGTGTGAAGGGGTCGTACCCAACTCTTGAATTTGAGGTTGGGAACCCCCTCCGCGTACGTGTATGCATCCTCTTCCTTCACGTGCTCGACGTTCATCAGGGACAACATGATACGCCCAACTCCCCACACGTCAGCGGCCGTCGTGGTTGGCTGTCGGTCGAACCTGGATACAACGCCCTTGGCCTCGTAATCGAATTGCTCCTGGGAAAAAAGTCAGCGGTGGCACGGCGGTGAATACACACAAGAACCTCTTACCGGTGCCTTCCAACCAGGCGTGCCCTTGCTCGTTTTCTCGGAATCTTTGTCTGTCTCTAAACAAGCCAGTCCGAAATCGCCAAGCTTTGCTTTCGGGAGTTGAGGCCACTCGAGTGGGCTGGAACGAGCTAGAAAGACTGAGATGGCGATGTGAGCAAGACACCTTCTGAAGGGCAATGAACAGGAATCAGCTTACCGTTGGGATTCTTGATGTCCAAATGCATCATGCGTTCAAAGGTCTCGTCTTTGCGCGGCGTGGGAGGCGATCCGCCTGGCAAACATCCATCGCGCATCAGACACAAGGCACCGATCAAAGATTCAAACACGGCCCAGAGCATTCGAGTTGGAATCGCACTAGAACAAGAGTCAGTCAACTTGGGATACCAACAAGAGGAGGGTCATGCTTACACTATCGCCCCGGAATTTCTGCCTGCTACGATGTGCTGCTGCAGTATAAAGAGCAAGTCTTCATGCTGGCAATACTCCATATACAATCTGTACATCTTGATGCCCTCATAGATTGCATATGCTCTCGGCTTTGTGATACAAGATCCACCTGGCAGCTCAGCAAGATACTTGGCGAAGAAGTACTCTTTGGGACGGCGAAGATCGACGTCTCCAATCCACCAAGTTGGATCATCCCACGCCGTCGTGTATGGCGTGTATGCCTCTTTCACAATCAAACGATCAATAACGTTGTTGTTCTCATCGATCTGATGCCAGCTGCTGACTTGACCGAAACCACCTTTACCGACATTCCCCTGGAACTTCCAGGTACCTTTCAAGCCACTTCGATCAGTTCCACTACCTCTTGCTCTTGGATCTTTATCAGATTCAAGTATAACAGGCAATTTCCAAGGTGCAAAGTATGGCCCTCCTTTACGGATGTTGGTTTGCAGCGTCCCAACAAGGGCTTCGTATGCAGGCCTCTCCTCTTCGTTCACAGCCACGTGTTGAAACTGCGTACAAGCTTTCTTTGCCGCCGAAGACATCCTCTTTCTCACCGAACGCGTGAGCGCGGCGAAGTTCTTTTCGGAATACACAAAGTTTCCCCGCGAGGATCTCGGCCTTACAAAGGCTCCAAAGATTTCCACAAGCCCCTCTACTTCCTGATGCAGATCTCGGAATCGACCAGCGAGCACACTTGAAGGATCTGGAGCCTCGAATGTATCTCGCAGCTTCTCCCACATCATCCTCCAATCTTCCTGTTCTGGTCCATAGATAGGTCCATTATCGGATCTTGCCTTGTCCCACATGCGTGTCTTTGCAGCAATGAGGTCAGACCGCTGCATGTACATGTTGGGATTTCTGATGGCAAAGCTGTCCCAGATCGGACCCCAGTACGCCAACTCGTACTCAACGAAAGCCGGTCCAAGGACTTCAAACACATATTCGGCTGCTCCGACGCCCGGAAGAAGAATCGGAGGAGCCACAAAGATTCCACTGCCGGCCAGAATATGAGCCATGTTTGAAAGCCGGCGGAACTCTGCTGCTACAGTCGATGGAAGCCCCAGTGCATTGAGACGTCTTTCGATGCTCAGCCAGAGATGCTCTCTTGGACGACGATTCTCCAGACCATACGCCCAGCCCGCTTCGACATGAGTGTGCATTATCGTAAACCTTGACTTGAGCTTCCCGCGTTCATCTTGATCGGTGGTTTCGCCGAGGACTCCCTTCCACCTTTCATAAACTTGGTCGACGCTCATTTGGAGCTCAATTTCAAGCGCTTTCCACATGGTGTCGCAAAAATCTTTACAATCAAAATTTGATCCTTCGACTCTCTTGGGCTGTGGAAGTTGCAGCGTTCCGTAGCGTGTGAAAAGCTCTTCCACGTAGAGAAGGATTGCATCATACTGCACTTGATCTTCAGTCGTAGGTCTCCCTGCAGCAAACTTCTTCCCCATAAGTCTCCATTGAAGACGAAAGTCCCATCCTCCAGGTGACATTGGACGACGCTCACCGCTCTCAGATTCCAAAATTGTCTCTTTCTCCAAGTTGTTCGCCTCGGAAATGTAATCCTGGCCCCATTTCCGACAAGTAGCGTACTTCTTCACCAAACGGGCATCATTGTTGATGCTCTCCAATGCCGACCATGTCACCCTCTTCAATTGATGTAAGAAGCGAGCAACAGTGGCATTGACACCTTCCGCCCCCGAGCTAAATAAAGAAGGCAAAGTCTGAAACGAGTACAGCGATCCAGCTTTCTTAGCATCTTCACAAAGCGAAGCAAAACTTCCAATATCATCTCTCGACGCACCAATGACCTCCAACTCCCTCGCCCTAGATCTTCGACTTTCCACTTCCGCCTGCGAATATGGATCATCCCAGTCTCCGCCAAAATCCACACCGCACTTGAGATATGTATCAATCGGCCAGGCATGCTGCCAAATTTCGCCCGGGCCATATTTTTTGAGTAGTAAAAAGACCATTTCGAAACAATCCTCTGAATCGGATCTTTCTTTGCTCATGATGCCTTTAACGTATCGTGTGCAGAAGTTGCTGATGCCTAACTGAGCTAAATCGTCGTTTCCTAGGGCATCGTGCGGTAGCTGGAACATCGTGCGGACCGCGTATTCGGCTGGTCTTGCATCTTCGGGAGATAGAGGTTGTGTTTGTTCAATAGTGTCGGATTCGCCGTCCAGAGCAGCTGCATCACTGTCTCTTGGAGATGTGAGCTGTAAAGATGCCATTGGCAAGGCTCCTACGCTGTCCCTCGAAGAAATAGCGCCCGCTCCAGCAGCCGAAGATGACGTTGACCTCCTGGGAGATTTCCTCGCTGACTGTGGCTCCGGAGTCGATGCTCTCTTGACGCCGTACATTGGTGATCCGACCCCACCGCCTGGCGATGTTGCGTTCCGGCTCGATCTTCTCCTATCTGCGCCACCGCCTGCGCTGCTTAATGGGAGATTTGACATGATTATTGTTTTGAAGCAATAAATTCTTGATGGATGGTCTGTGGATGTGGATCCAAGACGGAACTCTTGTATTTGTTCTTTGTTAGAAATGGGACTTCATGGAGAATACCGCATCGGGACGAATGTCGATATTGACGCTTTGGGACCCCCCCCCTTTGTTCTTCGAACGAACTCATCAAACGCATCCGAATGAAGAATTTCTGTGGGAAGGTCACAGCTTGAGGAAAGCCGGTGGGATTTCCGGAGGTACGATAAATTCTGTGCTGCCGGCGCTCAATGCTCGTCGGTAGGGACTGCTTCTGTCGAATCCTCGCCAGAGTCGGGCATCAGTTCCGCATCTCAGATTCATGTGTCGATCATCGTTCAGATGTCCAAGGTCGCCGAGATGGAAGTGAAGGCCAGGAGAGGCACGGGATAGCGGCAGTCAGGTCTTCTAGGCGGGCGCCATCTACCTACGCAGAGCTTCCCGATCGATACTCTGCGCAGGATGAACGATGATTTGATCCTCTTACCGCGACTCATAACAGAAAGCGGAAAGTTGGGCATAGATGAGCCAGTACCCGCAGAGCCGGTATTGGGAGAGAGAGTGCAGAGTCCAGGTAGTTGGGATGGCCTAGAAGGAAATAGGATTTTGGATCTTCTAATTGAGTGATCTTGGCAGGTGGAGAGCTTTTCCTGAAATGCTTCGAAGTGCCTTCGTGTGTGCATGGGAGATTCATCGCGATGAGGAAGGACTCTTGCTTCGCTAGATCGGAAATCTGGAGTACGCATGGAATCGTCATTTGCTATCTCGGTATCATGTCTGTCTCGGATGCTTCTGTCTGTCTTCTATCAGCAGGACAAGCCTCCCCAGTTTACAGCAATGTCGCAAAATGGTATTGTTCCCTGCTTCTCCAGCTCGTTCGACTACATCGTATGTGAATAAGGCGAATATTGCCCAATGACCTGAGTATTGGTGTGGGAACTTTGCTATTCCATTCAGTCGGCTTTGTGGAGGCGGGATAATAAGGTCTATCGGCATCCAGTAAAGGGCATTTGGTTATGGTTCTGCTCCCACTGAACGGAATGTTATTGCTGTGAGAAATGCAACGAATGACCAGATTCCCCAAGCAGTAGCCCAAGCAGGCCGATATGTACACTGCATGAGGTACTTGAGCAGCGTACCGCTGGCCACAAGCCTCAAAAGGTCATTTTGAAGTCTCTTCGTTCATGGCGGTGTCATCTGGAGTTGCAGCCCGTCAGTATGAGAGCAACGACTCCGGCCACGATAATGTCCGTAGATGTTGTTTTCGATGAATCTCCAGTGATGAATGAAAGCACCGTGAATGATTCGCTCGTCAAGGATTTGTTACCTGGTAATGCTTTGCGCTCATCGCAATGGTCGTGACGCTCCATATTAAAATACAGCTTGACATTCTGTAGATCATGACTGAATCTCCTCCCTAAATATATACTCCGGCAAATCCATGCCACTCGCAGGCGGCTCACCACCAAACAAGTTCGCAAGTCCACTCCAGCTGACGAATCCAAAGATCAGATGAGCCAGCCAGATTCCCCATGCAGACTTGGGATGAAGGATCCAAGGCACACCAGGAGGCAACTTCTGCGCACGATCCACAAAGTCCTTCATCCCAATTTGATAAGCCTGAAGTGCTGCAGGAACATCATCTGTATTTTTCGAGAGCTCTCCAGCGAGTATGTAGGCTCCCACAATGGCGAGTGTGGTTCCCATTCCAGTTACCTGAGATGGCGAGTATCCTGCATCGCCGACCAGGGTAATTCGGCCTTTGGACCAGCCGTTGGGGAGCTTGATTTGCGCTACCTTTTGCATGTAGAATTCATCTGTCTGTTGGAGGCCATCGAGAAGTCTGTCCTTCTTCCAGGTCAAGTCTGAGAAGAGCTCTGTCCAAAGTGCTTTTTGAGTGTTGACGTCTGCTTTCATGACCTTGTCGAATCTGTCGTCTTCCGGCATGCAAGAGAGGCTTGGTCGACTGATCTTCTTGTTGTCGGGTCTGAACAATATACTTCTTCGGAGTGGTAAAAGGAACCATCGAGCCCAGCCATCGTCCTCGGGCTGGTATGGAATGGTGTAGAAGCAAGACCAGAGTCCAAGATCATTGATGGCAGCGTTCGAAATTTCAGAACCGAATGCTAGTTTCCTCGTACGGCTTCCCAACCCATCACAACCCACAAGCACATCAACTCGTCTTGATGGCAAGCCATTCTCAAACTCCACTTCCACCCCATCAGTGTCCTCCTTGATGGTTTTCACACACTCTCCAAACACATACTCCACATCATCCTTGGTGGCGTCGTAGAAGACACTGGCAAGATGCCCTCTCATAATCTCCACCTCAGAGGTGAATCCCTTTCCGTCTCCAACAGGAAAGGCTCCTTTATTCCGGTTTAGGTCGTCCACAAACATCATACCCTTTTCATTGGTGATGTGAGAGCGAACAGCCGCTTCAACTCCCATTCGACGGACAAGCGAGATCCCATGGCCACGGATATCAACACTTTGTCCTCCCAGGCGAGGTGTAGGAGAACGCTCGATGATGGTGACTTTGTGGCCAGCTTGCGACAGGAAGAAGGCTAGAACTGGACCTGCGATTCCCGCTCCGCTGATAAGGACGTTAAGAGTGGTCATGCTGATTGTATTGACCCGTTGAGTTTGTTCCAGTCGGAATACCACATACTTTAGTGAGGTATGAGCTACCTCTTATGTCTTGTTTCGATGGTAATGGCGCAGGATCGTGAACGGAATCTCGGACGAGACTCTCCGCACTGCGACGGAGCTCGGGGATCCAAAAGACTGCTGCAGTGCAGATCCTTGAAAGCTTCTTGTTGTTGGAGGCTCCGTACCGCCTCAGACACAATCAAACAAAACAGATCATCCCGAAGCCGACTACAAATATCAACTTTACGTTCTGCCACTGTGGTCTGTTCTTTACTAAAGAATCCGTTGCTTGCACAATCCGTTTGGCTGCGCTTTGACATTCGCAGCCAGCTTTGCATGCATGCATGTAGACGTCATGACTGAGCCGCTTCCAAACCGGATCCTTCATCCTTCGTGCTCCACTGTCCCTCATACTTCTTGGAAAAGGATTTTAATTCGCATCACTYACGGTCTTGCTACAACCCGAGTCCCGACTTGAGTCACAAGGATATCTAATCGTTCTCGGCACCGACACCTTGGTGTTGGAGGTGCATGCTACACGGCATGTTCTAAGGATGCGGACGGTAGGGTTAGGGTTAGGGCTGAACCCTAGTCAGATAGCAAGCCATGACTACCTTACTGCATGAGACTTACTGACACCGGAGCTGTCAATTTGCGGAGTCGTTCAGAGAAACAAGACACTGTACCTTCAGTTATCTATGGGTTCGTAAGTCGATCGCAGCACACGGGCAGCTATGCGGCATCGTGATCGATTCCGATGTTGAACAAAGAAAGCATACTACGCTGYATGCAGTTTCCCAAAATGTTTTGTGGACAAAAACAAAGCCACCCAATCCTAGCCGCAAATCATCGCTCAGCAGTGGTTCTTAGATCTACTGCACAATTTCTGATAAACTCAATAAACAAACGCGATCATGGTGACAAGAAGCGGAAGCAGACAGGCAAATACTCCACTGCTGTCATATTCGGCGCTCGACGAGGCAAATCGCGAGCGGCTCGACAGTATGAAGAGGAAGCGTCAAGAAGACCAAGCCGGAAACAGGCCGCAGCTCGCACTGGCCGCGGTCTCGGAGGAGCCTTCTGGTGATGAGGAGCAAGAGGAGCAAGAGGAGCAACCAGCTCAGCTGACGAAACGTGCCAGACTGAGTGATGAGGACCAACAATCGGACTCAGACGGCAGCAGCTCGATAGATCCTTCTGCTTTGGATGGCAGAGACTCAGAGGTAGCTGTCGCAAAGGAGGTAGATGCTGGGACTGGAAGCGAAGACGGTMAATATGGCGGGAGKGATGTGGGGAGTGGACGCTCTGACGATGAGGACCAAGATGCCACGGCCACCACCGCAATGATCAAAGAGCTGGGAGGTGGTGAAGACGTCCATCAAGGACTCAGATACTACGTCTCACGAGTAATAAATTACGAAGGAAAACTCTTGCAAAGGGCCCAACAGATCATCCGAGACATGATCAGGGTGTCGAGTTCCTTGCCGAATGAAAGGAATTGGAATCGTCCGATCCTACCGATGCATACCTTCTTGAGGCATTTCAACGAATTGGATCACCCCTGGGTCGAGGTCGACACCAATGTGCGAGCGACTGTATGGCTATTCATTGCTGTCAAGATATACGCCTATGGAGGAATGGATCACGGTCCCCAACTTTATGACTTTCTGCAGCTCTACGAAGATGTCAAAACAATGGAAATACTGGAAGATGTCAGAACAATGGAAATACTGGAAGATGCTATTTCATTTCTCCCTAATGATTGGCAGGATAATGAGTCTCTGGATGATTACATCCGAAGCGTGAGGGAGGGTGTTTGGAGATTTGCTCCCACAACTGCGAATTGGCGCACCATTGACGACGCTACTAGAACAGAGATTGCAACGGTCTTTAATCAACACCTTGCCGACTACTTCGATAACGGACGGCCGCTTGGTTCCCCAGCGCGACTGTTGTGGGACATCCTGTGGGACCAGGTCTGGCAAGAATTTCAAGAATGGCGTCTATCCACCGACGCTGAAGCAGGTAAGTTTCAGGCGCTCTGGGAAGGGGCTTATCAGGCCGCCCATCTGCATCAGCTGCATCGATTTCCTCCCCTGCTCGATGCAACTATGCAGGCAGAAGATGTTTGTGATAAAGTAGACGACATTCGCGAACGAAGTGTGTCTCTCGCTCGTGATCAATGGGCACTGGGAAACACAAGGGCGCATCAGGAGAGCCAGAACTCTTTCCAGGATCGCTTTGATAGATTTGAAGAGGCAACTTCAGCAGATCCCTGCTTTAACTGGGGCTACGGTCCACTTGACGACGTGGAAGACTTCACCATTTCGTACTCGATATACCGCGAGCGCCTCAACGATCGATCTGTGGAAGACGAAGTTCGAGCTTGGGCAAGAGAACTGCATCTCCTGAGATCGCGATTTGATCTATATGGTCTTGAACCATACTGGCGGCACGATCAGCCAGCGAGGAACTGGGTTTTTAGCGATTTGCAAAAAGCTCTGTACGCTGAAGCCAGAGCAGCCGCGGCGCCGCGATGGGAAGCTAAGATCGCAGATGCAGAGGCACGAGCTGGGCAGTTGAGAAATTTCAGTGCAACGGCGGCGGATCTACGCGCCTACCGGGACCAAGAGATCAACGAGAAGGGAATTCCATTCGGACCAACTTACGCCGCTCTCGCCCATTCATGGAGGATGGTGAGGATGATGGTTCCCGACACCACGGACACTGTCACGAAAGAACGGATCAAAGAATTGCATATCCTTGCCAAGAACACGGCTTGGAGGTATGAGGGAGACTGTATCTTTCCCCTCGCGTGGAAGGCCGGGGAATCGGCGAGTGACTACTGTGCTCGTCTTTCGCCTTACATTTGGAGCGAGCTTTGGGGATACTGCGAGAAAGCATGGCGAACAAGGAAAAGTGAAGCGGAAGATGCAGGAGAATTGGCATCTATAGAAAAGGCCATGGAGAAGATGGAGAGGATGCGAACGAAGTACGGAAGGTTCTACAGACCCTTGGAAGACCGCCCCGCTATCAGCAGAGAATCGAGGGATGGCGATGTGTTGATGGATCTTGGTGGTGGCGCTTTTGCTCCCGAAGGACATTGGGAGTTTCTATACACTGCGGGACAAGGATCTTTTGGCCATGCAGGTGTATGGGCCCAGTATAACAATACCCTCGGTGTGATTGCGAAGATTGTCATCAAGGAGACGTATCTTCGAACAGATTGGAACGTGGACTGGCCATGGCTTGGAGCCCGTGACAGGCGTATCCCGTTGGAATATCACCTTGTGTCCAGGCTTAACACTTTGTCGGACTCCTTCAATATTATAAGATACATCGGCTACGGAATCTATGAGGAGCTGAAAATGCACAGAATCTACATGGAGGTGAGTTGAAGAATACGAACACATCATGAAAAGTCCCTAACTTTCTCTAGCTGTGTCAACATGGCAGTCTGGCAGACGTTGCGCAGTTGTATTATGATCTGAAAGTTCCCGGCTACAAGGACCGGGACGGCAATCCTATTAATTGGCAAGTATTTCATCTCCACGGAATCGCTCTCGCTAATACAGACATAGGAAAATCCCTCCGAGAATGCTGTGGGCCATTTTCGAAGCACTGACGACTGCTCTTTACCTCATGCAGGAAGGCGTTGCACCGCCTGCTGAACGGGAACTTGAGACTTCGGTCCTACAACAGGTTGTGCATCGGGATATTAAGCCGCTGAATAGTAAGCAACATCTTACCTGTTTGGTATGGGCTATCAGTGGCTAACGGTCATCACCTCAGTCTTCATGGCAGCTCCGAGCGAGAAGTTCTGGCGTGGAATCCCCACTGCAAAAGTAAATTCCCCTTCCACCAAAATGGATACTGCTTTGCTGACATGCAATCTAGCTTGGTGACTTCGGCAACGCGGTAACAATAACAAGTGAAAATCTTCAGGCACTTGAAGTCGGAACTCAAGGCTATCAAGCACCGGTACGTTCCCATCCTCAAATCCATCCACATAAAAAGCTAACACATCCCAGGAGCATCTCAGATACGCAGACACCGACCCCGAAGCAAACCACGGCTTCGAAATAACAACAGCAAGCGACACCTGGGTGCTGGGAGAAGTCATGCTAGACCTCATGAACGTCACAGGAGGAGGCAAAGCCTATCCCTTTGGATCAGACCCCGAGATCCCTCCTTTTCAAGCTGGCGTAGAAGCTTACTATCCCGCGGAACTTTGTCGATTGGTGAGATCGTGTCTGGAACCTATCCCTTTCGATCGACCGGGTATTGTGCAACTTTGGAAGGAGGTGCATGGGTTGGTTGCGAGTTTTGTGGGACTTACGGGAACTGCTATAAAGGATTTGGAAGGGGGGGATGGGGAGGTGTTGCAGTTTCCAACGGAGAGTTATCTTTTGTTTGCTGCGCCTGCGTCGTAGGAGGTTGTTTTGTGAGATTGCTTGGGAGATATGCGGTGTGGATTGGGTTTTTGGTGATGCGATATATGTACTTCAGAAGGGGTTTCGGCCTCCAGTCACGGGTTATTTTAGATCATTCTCTGCGGCTTCTCGACTTTGGAACATGATGTGAGGTGAATGTGCGGGTCCGAATTGGAGACGGACCGTAGCTTATATACGTAGAGAAAAGTGATCTAAGAGGTGCATGAGCCTCGTAGTTTCAAAGGAGASCGATTGGAAGTCACAAAAGTTCCTTCGCCCGAATGCGAGACTGCTTTCACCACACAAACTCTCTCTCTGGAGGAAACGAAGACCTTCCCATTTTTAATGCCGCCCACCAGACTATTGAGACGTCTCCCTCAAGGAACTCACCTGGTTAGAAAAACCTTTTGCTGGAAGCGCTGGCATCTTGCTCGAATCACTCATCAAGAAGCGATTCCTATGACGAGCCCGACACATACACAGGAGAATTGAGATAGCCTCATTTTGAAGATTTCCAGGTCTGGAACAAAGGCTCCGAACCACATGCGGTCAAAATCTCGAGCTGAGAACAAAGAAGATTTCGAAAAGTCGTTCATCTCCGCATGATCCCCGCTTGGATGCATTTTGCACGACTTCATCTAGCCAAGAAAAGTTATTGGTAGTGATGGTGAACACAAGGTCAAAAAGTACGCCGCTGATTGGAAAAGATGTTCTGGACAGGGTCACGAAGAGAACAAGGCAGCCACGGGCATCAGCAGCAGCACCAGCAGGACCAATACTAGCACCGATCAAAGCAGCGGTCGCTGCAGCTGTGCAAGCGGCAGCACAAGTTCAGCAAGAGGCGCCAGCAGTACAGCAGGCACTGGACATCGGCCAGGCTCTTCCAGAACCGCAAGATGATAGTACACAGAGCTCTGATGATAGCCTGCTAGATGGAGTGCAAAATGAAGAGAGGGAGATTCTGAGCTTCATCCAGGAGTCCGGCGGTACAGATAACCCACATCCAGCGTTTTGAGAGAGTACGTTCGTGGATGGCTCCGTACTCCCGATGGACCCGTTTCTCAACGCACAGAGACTATCATCGCTGCCATGATCAACTCCAAGGGCGATGGCGTGGTTTGGGACAATCCTCTCCCCATACATATCTTCCTAACGTATTGGCCGGACTTGGAACATCCTTGGACAGACGGTGATTCTCCAGAGGTACAATGGCTTCAAGGCGCATGTGCATTCACTAGAGCGGGCGCATCGGACCTTGAGCTTGAAAAGTACGTCGAAGCATATGAGGAGTTCAAAGCGCTGTCGGTCCTTGAAGGATACCCTCTGGTCGGCCCAACCAACTTGGATCCTGGGCCTCTTGTGGACCATCTCGTCGACTTGAAGGGACAGATCTGGGACCATGCGGTTGCAGGAGCTGCTTCGCTCGCGGATAATGACGAGGATGCCGCTTCCTTCACACAGCAGCTTACCGATCAGAGGGATAAGGGCCCTGCGACTAGAGGATCGCCCGTTCGTTTTGTTTGGGAACTCCTTTGGGGTCAAGCGCGGACATCGTTTTCCAAGAAGGAGCCTCCAGGAGAAGAGCAGGCCGAGTTTGACGTGCTTTTGGAAGAAGCCTACCGTCTCGTCGAGATGAGTGAGAGGTTCAGGTTTCCCCCAAGAATCACCATGGAGATGGCTCCGGAAGATGTTTGCCAATCGATAGATGAATTACGCAGACAGAGCGTCGACGAGGCCGTGCAAGAATGGGATCGAGGTAACATCACGAACGACGGCTCTTTCAATCAGCGAAGAGATCGCTTCTTGAACGAGATTGGAGAAGACGGATATACCGGCTGGGGTTACGGTCCGCGAGACGAAGTCCGATGGGAGCGCAACATAGCCAAGTCCTTCTCCAAATTTTCAGCACGTTTCAATGCCGAACGCCCACCAGGACTTGCCTTATGGGACGAAGTGATGAAACTGACATATCTCAAAGCTCGTTTCAATATGGAAGTACTCCTCCCGCACTGGCCTCTGGATATGCCAGCAGCGGGTTATGTCGTGCCAAGAGCCAAACCTGCAATGTTTGAAAAGGCCATTGAGTTGATGACTTCACAGTGGGAGATAGCGATCGATCAGGCAGAGGCAGCTATTGGCGAGGTGGATGAGTATCAGGCGAATGCAGACCAAATGCGCACTCAGTATGACCAGGTCTTGCGCGATGCCAGAAATCTGACGGAATGGCCGATTCTGCCAGATCAGTTCAGGTTGAGCTTTGCATGGGATGCATTGTACGAGAGACTCCCTCAGTCAACGGATGTGGTTGCTAGATCGCGGATCGATGATCTTCGTAAGGACGTCTACGAGGCAAACTGGCGCTTTGGTGATCAAAGCATCCTTCCTTTGCCGATAGACGACGACGAGAGCCTCGAGAGCTATACGAGCCGGCTTTCACCACATGTTCAAGAAGCACGGAAAGCAGCACCTTTCGCAGCGTGGCAAAGTCTTATTGATCGGACACCAGTAGGAGCAGAGAAGGATGGTTGGACCGCCAGATTCCAAGTGATGAAACAGTCTGCCAATAGAAATGGAAGGTATTACAGGCCTGGGCAAAGAGCGGCTGCTGTCCCACCCCTTCCATTAGGCGGAAGAAGGTTGGGACCTGGATCCGGTCGTGGTGCTCCGGCCGGAACGTGGAAGTTCCTCGCGACGGCTGGAATTGGAGGACATGGACATGCAGGTGTTTGGGYCGAAGCAAACAATTTCAATCTCCCGGTCCGCAGAATCGTGATCAAAGAGTCTTATTTGAGGAGTAATTGGAACAAACCCAGGATGTGGCATAGAGACCAGAATTTCAGAGTGCCTCTGGAGTACAAGATTGTCTCTGATTTGAATGCACTTGAACAATCCGTAAATGTCATTCGATACATCAGCTATGGAATCTACGAGAGGCTGCGAATGCATAGGATATATATGGAGGTGAGTAAACCTTACCGGCGTTTGGACTGACATTGAATCTGACTGATGTTCTTACAGCTTTGCCCGCATGGAACCCTGCACGACCTCCAGTCACGACATAGAAACATCTTCACCATGGGCCAGATAGATGCGTTCGGAAACTTGCTCGAGTCGTAAGTGCGAGCATGAGATCTGCTCGACGACGAAAATCACGACTTAGTTCACAGCTGACCGCTTTCAGACGTATCCCAGTCCGCGCGATCTGGTGCATCTTTGAGGCTCTAGCCTCAGCACTGTACCTGCTGCAAGAAGGTAGCCTCCCGGGACTTCCGAGACCAGCTGTTCAGGCCACGCCAGTAATTCATCGTGATCTTAAACCTGCAAACAGTGAGTGAAGCGTGGATTACGTCAAAGAAGATAATGCTGATAGTCTAGTCTTCCTGGCCTTACCAGACCAGACTCTATGGAGAGGAATACCGATACCAAAGGCAAGTGAATTACCACGAAGATCAAGTTCCATCACTAACAATCCGCAGATGGGAGACTTTGGACAAGTGATCCCAATAACGAGCGACGACCTCCAAACACTCAACGTTGGCACATCAGGATGGCGAGCACCTGTTCGTATCAAGTCCAGACCTTTGTAGAATCAAGCTGACACAGCACCAGGAACACATGACCTACCTCCCAACACACCCTCACTTCGACCACAACAACCCCGTGTCCGTCGCATGCGACATCTGGGCCATAGGCCGAATCATGCTAGCATTAATGAATCGCGACCCTACTACTGATATTACTCCGCATCCCTACGGCAGCATCCCTATCATTCCCCCTTTTGCCCCAGGAATCGAAGCCTACTATCCAGCGGAACTAGTCAGGCTTGTGCGTGCCTGTTTGGAAATGGATCCGGCTGATAGGATCAGAATTGATGTTCTTTGGCGAGATATTCATTCTGCGGTTGCTAGTTATGTCGGATTGTCGGGGATTCCTTTGAAGGCGAGAGATGGGGATGTAGGGGAGGATATTCGGTTTAAAGGTGATACTTATTTGGCTTTTGCGCCGGATCTTCAGGGGGCGGAGTTGAATAGACCTTATGAGGGGTCTGGGACTCCTGTGTGAGAATGGCGTAGAGCAGATCTCGCGTGGAAGTGAGAGATAGTGGATGTTAGCTTCCGCAGTTTAGTCTCTAGTCTTGAAATTTTGCATTTAGACTCTTATCTCACTCATGCCATGCTACGTTGTGAAGCCGCATCATCATGTTGGTCGGAAATGCCAAGTCGGATTCTTGTGCCGGCATTCCCAAACGGGTTAGCTCGAATTGGAAGTGAATGGAAAAGCCGCACCTCACTACACAATGTGCAATCACGAAAGGTTTTGTTGCGATGTAGACAAACATCGCAAGTCGATCACGAGTTAGACATGGTGGAAGATTGAGATTACCTGTGATCGATGGCCAGGTATGCAAAAGACTGGTAAATTTCCGCGGCCAAAGCTGAATTCACTAAGAACTCGATCGATCGACTGACTCTGGTTGAGCTCCATCTAAAGCTTAATACTTGCACTGTACTCGATTCGCTGTCTAAGAGCTTTCTTCACTGCTCGATCCTGCCAGGAGATTCACGGACAATAAGCCGACGAGTGCTTTGTGAACCTTAGCTTCCAAGTCTTCCATCAATTACGATTGTTAGCAAACTAGTCATCCATGGCTGGTTCTTGTAAGACTCGATGCCGTTTCCTTAATGAGCACGCTGGAGGTCTGCTTTGTGAAACAGGGTTGCGACAGCTCCATCGGTACGCCTAACGTGCTGAAGGACGGCTCAACCGCCCTCCGGTGAGCATCCTCTCTTCTTTTGATGTTCGAGGGGAATGAATGTGAGATGTTTTTGCACTGGTTCCGTTGGTATTCCGTCGTTGACGCTAAGATGGCCTCTTCACAGGTGGCGTGAAACGACTGGAGAACGACCCCAGTCAAGACCTCAATCAAGAAGTGCAGAAGTCTTCAATGTTCTCCTCTGAYCAATTCTGGGGTCGGAGCGTAGACCTGGACTTTCAACTCCTGCTTGAGCGCAAAGCGTCCGCTGCTACGGATCGCTGGTGGTGAACGTGAGCCCGCCACAGGTGAGCATAGATAGTTCGATGATGCATACAATGCTTCAATCTCAATAGTTCCACCAGCGTGTATAACCGTGTCCAGCTTTTCCTCATTGCCACAACCATCGACAGAAGCGCAACAACTTCCCATTCTCGAACTGACAATGCCACAATTCTTCTCCTCACATAGAACCTACCAATGACCACCCGATGATTTGCTGCATCCCGCACCGCCCGGAATCTTCCTCCGCGAGCTGTCAACGTCCAGAAGTGGTCCCGAAGTATGTCGAGCAAGAACGGGATCCTCCGTGAGCCGCCGCAGAAGCAATTTAGCTCTTGCACCCACGCTTGTTGCAGTTGGCTGGAGGGTTCAACCATCGACCCAGGTCCCAGATAGCAGCGCGAAAGATGAAGATGTTCCCATAAGAGGCTATTGAGTGGATGGCGCGAGTGTACTGGTTGACGTGGAGTRGGTGGATGGTTGTGAGCCTGTGGCCAGTTCTGATGCCTAAGAGATGGGGTAAGAGGTCAGCAATGTCTTGGACAAGTGTCGCGTGGGATGGGCCCAGAGTAGATTTAGAATCATCTCGAGAAAGCCCCGGAACATTTTTGCTGCTCGACTTGCTTGCCTGCTGCGATTCMGAATGTTTCAGTCAGGATCTTGTTAAGAACCTCACCCGAGAGCGCTGCGATGTGTTGCGAGAGAGTAATGACGGCCATTGTGCTTGTTCATCAGCCTGCTGGATGTGCGACCGTCTTGATGTTTGGAAATGTGTTGTGAGCGAGGAGGTTGTGGAGCCGGGAAATTGTTGGAGCCGAAGCGCACTGGTAAATTCCTCAAGCTGAATGAAAACCATGATCTACATACTCTCTCTGCGCCACCTGACGAGCTACTCAACACACGCACACTTTGAGCTACCTGTATCACCTCTGCCGCCTTTCCCACCCTTTCGGCACGACAGCAGGCCAGCTTAGCGTCCACGAACCGCACAAAACAGCACATCACGTTCGAAATCGAGCTACAGAAATGGCCCAACCAGCATGTCCAGAGGGAAGACTTGAAGAATGCATCAAGATCATAGTCCGATATATGCAGACGCCAAATGCGCAGCATACCCTCCACCACCAAAGCTATATCCACAGACTTCAGCCCCAAATCGAAGCCCGTTTCAGTGAGCTCCAGGGTACGGCCAGCATACCTCCACAGCCCACTCAAAGTGGAATCTTCTTCGAAGCCATCATGGAGTACGACCGCATCTTCTTCAATGGCAAGCTCAGTGGAAACATCACCGTTGAATTCGGCCCACTTCGTCCTGATAGATTGGGAGAGACCCATGCCTTTCAAAACAAAATATTACGCCCTCGGATCATCATCGACGCACGCAAAATGCACACCGAGGAGGAGTTCCGTGCTACTGCGCTGCACGAAATGACACACGCATGCATTTATTTGCAGAACTGCTGGTGTACGGAGTGCGAAAGGACAACGTCAGACTTGTTTCAAACAGGCAGAACTTGGCATGGATGGCTTTGGCAGCGGGTTGCTCGCGAAGTGGAGACACTTGCTGAGAGGCTATGGGGGAAACCTATTGATATACTTAGGAAGGATGCTGCGATGATTGAGTTGCGGGAAGGTCATGATATCTCGGCGTTGAATTATCTTCGGCTGTCGTTTGGCCAGGTTAAAGGAACCGAAATTTACAATAGCTTGTGATCGAGGGGTAGGAAGCAATGCCGAAGACTGTCTCTCTAGAGCCAATTGTGCCATTGCTCATGTCTCACTGATTGTGATGTTCTACTAGTCAGACGCGTGAGAAACCACATTAGAGAGATTGCAGTCGAACTTGTATGCACCAAAATTCAGGCGGAAAACAAGCCATGTTGAGGGTGTTTCTAGCAATCGCATTGCTGAAATTGCCTGGATTCGCTAACATCCATCGTTCATGATTGAATGTTTCCCTATTCATCCCTCACACATACATCGAGACACCGTTACTGAGCAGCATACCATCAGCTTGTTCTAGCGATACAGATACGGAGCAGCAACAGAGAAATGCTAGCATATTTCGATTGCAACGGACATTGAACGTAAGTTGGAAGTGGTGTGAATGTTGATAGCCCTACCACAACGTAGTATCCACATCGAGATACACTTCTACGCCCATGCTGGGCGAGTAGAAAAGCCGTGTCTCAGGTTGATCTCTTATAGGTGTGTAAGAAGGCTACTACTGTCCAGTTCCCTGTATAGACATACTCCCGAATGAGATTGGAAGCAGCGAAGGAGGAACCGCAATGAGTCTCGATCGCAGGCGGCAATGATCGCTGCTTGTGCTGCGTGTTTACTGGCCTTTCCGCCGCRGAGTCGTTTTATGTTGAGCCTGACTTCTACGCCAGTTTTGACCCAGTGGGAGAGTCATGCTTATGGTCTCGTGTTGCTGCACTGCAACTCTGACATTGTGCCGTCTGCTGTGTAAACTTGCTGAATGAACCGACGAGGAGTAGCAGCGGAGATACCGCTAGAAATACATGTTGAATGTCAGCACAGGCAGCAAACATCCCATCGCAAGGACCTAATTGTTCCTTCAGAAGCAAACGTTCGTGCTGAGACTTTGATCAGCATCTTGTTGCAAAAGCGCCTTGACAGCAGGAGTTGTTGTGGCTCGACGTAGATTTGGCGAGACGATGTCGGCATACTCTACGCTGTCGTAATATATGAGCACTTTGCATCGGAAGCAATGCTGGAGTGACCGTGTCCGAAGCCAAAGATATTGACATTGACACATCCGACGGGCTCCTCGGTGGTAAGCCAAGGGTCGCTTTCGCAAACGGCGAGGACGAGGAGGAAGAAGGCGAAGACGAGTGGAGCGGCGAGAGCGACGGCGAATACCAGGTGGAGAAGGGTTCTCGACCACAAGCCAGTGCGAGGTCAGATTCGCTCTCGCATCAAGTAGCTCGGCTACGACGATGAGACAGCCGAGACGTGGGAGCCAAAAGAGAACCTGTACGCCTTCCGTTGCGATACCATGGGCGAGCAATGCTAACATATGAACAGTACAGCCTAGTGGCAAGTCATCCGCCCAAAAGGCCGCCCGGTCAGCAGCAAAAAGCAAAGGCAAGCGAGCTGCCTCGAGCGGAGACGACTCACCGGTGTCCACTAAGAGAGACAGAGTGCGCAAACCAGAAGGCGCCATCAATCGCAACAACTTGGCACCGTCGATCGGCTCCAACCCAACCGAGGCGATGGTGGGTTGCGTTGTAGTGTAGGCGCCGTAGCAACCGGAGATCATGGCGCTCGGGTTTTTGCGTAGTGGTATGCTACTTAGAGAAGTTCAAGATCTCGTCGAACAATGCCTGGCCTATGTTCGACGTTCAGAGAGCTTTTAGAATCAGCGTAGCAGTCAGAAGGCCAGAAGAGAGAGTGGGCTTTGTTGTTTTAGGCGGCTACTGTCGCCGTCCCAGCTTGGGTGATGGAGCCCTCCAGACCGTCTGGAGCGTTCGAGGAGGCTGTGGGATTGTGCGATGGGTAGAACGGAGCCGCAGAGTCCCGGGAAATGCTCGAGCTCAGTGTGACTCCAGGCACCGAAGGAGCAACCCCTGAACATACTTACACTACATGTCAGACGGCCATACTGTATTGAAGTGTCCAGCAGCCACAGTTGATTCGGTAGGTAGCGACATAGACATAGGTGGATGAGGGRGATTGCCCCTTGGCCGGCTGGGGCATATGAGCCAGGAGATGGGCAATAAGTCGGTCAGAGAACCGTGGACTCGAGTGAGAATGTCCGTCCCAAGCACTACCAGGCGACACACCAGAGAGGGAAGCACGAGTTGGCTGTTTGAATCTTCCAGGATGAGTGAACCTCTCGCCAGCACGTCTGACATGCGAACCATGGCCAAAGTTTCCTGTAAAGACAGCATAGCGGCAGCTGTCTGGCCGAGTGTGAAGCCGAAGTGCTTAGATCCGATCTGCTTGGCTTGGTCGATCGGGATTGTAGTAATGACAGGCAACACGTTGTTGAGGGCTGGTATCTAGAACAGATGCTTCGGTATCCGGATATGGACACAGAGAACTTCGCCGTCTGTGACGCAAAGTGTTAGCGTGGGTTGTTCAAACTCTCGACCAAGAAAACAGGGAACTTACGGACGGCGCCATCGAGCTTGAAGATCTGCTCGTGCCAGATGGAGGCCGCAAACTTACGCGCCCACTCGACTCCTTGGCCCTGATGCATCTTTCCTGCATGGCTTATCCCAAAAAGTTTCTCATACAAGCGTGCCATCGAGTTTTACACCTTGCTCAAGCTCTTTTGGCTAGTAAACTTCGGCTTTCATCCTCCTAAAGCAAACCTCGCCTCGTCAAAGATGTTGTAGCCAAGGATGTATCTTGAAGATTCATTCTTCTCCGACCATCGGGTGGCGTGCTGTGAAGCAGTGGTGCAGATGTTGAACTTCCCCCCGCATCTTGTCCATGTACGGGCAGAATCGACTCTGTCCTGTAAAGTATCTCGGCCTCACGAAGACTTACGCCTGCAAGGCGATGAATGAATACTTCAGCGACATGCTTGGTGGTGTACTCTTCGTTTCTGTAGCTCATCATGCCGGTCGTTTGTGGAGAGAAGTAACGTTGGCCGATGAACGGGTTCATTGCGAAGAACTTGCGAGTACCTGTCGAGTGTTAACGGGCATAGTGCCGCACGGGAATTTCAAATACTTACTGACGTAGTCTACTACCAGATAGTTGGGAACATAGGATGCGCAGCACACTAGGTCGTCAACGCTCGCGTAGTTTACATATCTTGCGGCCAGGGAAGTATCATAGAAACTCTTTCTGAATGTACCCAGACTCTCTTGGTGGATCGTGAATCGTGCGGAACAAGTTGGTCATCAGCGCCTGTTCTTGGAATGCAGTGTTATGCTTATCGTCGCAAATTCGACGGTGATTGGTGGTCTTGGTCGCCATTCATTCGGAGGAGTCTGCAGGAGCTGCGCATATGTCACATTAGACCCAGCAGCGAGTTTCACGGCTATTCTCGAGCGTTCTAGAGGCGCATCCACACCATCGCGGAAGGCCAGAGATCGGAACAGCAAAGGGTATCGGATGAAACAAAGGTGTTCGGTCTTTTCTTCTCCATTTTTGGCGTTGGACGACGAGGTGAAGGAGGGCTCGTGTATCAGCTGGTGGTATGCTCGATTCGGTGGAAGGTATGATGCCTGGAGAGGGCAGAGGCCTGACTGAATCCGGCTCCCAACACCATCGGAATTCATTGTCGTGGAGAAAGATGTGTTGCGTAGCATGTTGGTGCGCCGCATACGCTGGATGATTTCGATGTGGTTGAAGAGGAATTTATCTCGGCAAGTCGATCCGTTGCTGTATTGGAATTGAAGAGCGAGGGAAAGCTGTAAGGCATCGTCTGGGTCGAGTTCCCTCAGGACCATGTCGCACAGGTCCGGGATGAGGTCACCAAGCCAGAATGCCACTGCGTATGACAATTCGTGTGGCGAGCGGTGCGCGGAGGTAGACGGCCTGGTCGGATGGAAGCAATTTGAGTGTTGGGACGGCCTGTGGTTTCGTGTTTATAAGATATAGATGTGGCTGGATGGCACCTGGATGAAGGTGAAGGTGGTGTCGATCCTGACCTGACGCTAGATTGAAGGTGCAGATCATCGTGGTCACTGGAGAATCAAACCCCAAGATGCATGGATGCAGCAGGCAGTATGAAATACGTATGATTGTTACGACTTCATCTTCATATGACGGATGCCTCAGGCATGAGTGCATGCTGAGTCATCCTTGAACATCTTTAACTTCATTCTCAAAGCTTAGACTTAGACTCTCCGTACAACTACGTGTCTATCCTTTATATTAGTCCCTTTTTATCTACGCTCCGTAACAGTTAGTTATACCAAACATCTCTGTTTATAGCGAGGAAGCAATTTACTTCTTCGATTTACGGTCTCCGACCGCTCTTCACGGTCGCAATCCAAAAAGAACTGATGTCCTCTTCTCTGGTTCTGGAGCGCAGGACTGGCTCACGTCAGGATTCCTAGTATGAGAGCATGCGGTGTCTATACGACTTACGAACATGATCTGGAGACTCACATTCCTTCTTTGGACATCACGTCGCCAAAGGACTTGTGTATCCTCTAGGTGCGCTTTCCCTGCTTACACGTCGACTTGAAGCACCATCATCGCCACACACCACGCTGTTTGTGCGGATCAAACAAAAGCAAAGGAGCCCACGAAACTCTTTTAGGCCCACGCCTGGAGAGTGGAGCCAAGTGATGAGGACACGGAAAGCGCATATAATCAAATGTAACTGTCTGCTGTTCATCCCAGGTTCTCTATTCCTACATCAGAATTGCTGCTACACACACCTTGACATCACTTCTACCAAGTAAGCGAGTAGTAAAGGCTGTGTTGTGATCCTTCACAGCAAGCTAGTGTCGGGATATAAATCAAGTTCCTCGAGCAAAGAGACAGGTCGCGAATCTCAGCCTGAGAGAGAGAGAGCAAGAAGCGGAATGGATTTTCCAGTGGCGACATCTACGCCAGCCGGGCTGGAACTGACCACCGGCATGATGAGAGAAGACTACAGAAGATAGTTCAACTGTATTGGATAATGTTGGCCTGTAGTTCTATCTGAGCTCACTCGATCGCGTTCAGTCAATTCATTCATCGCTTTTCGGGAGTGCAAAGGAAATGAAAACATGCTCTCCGAAGTTGGGACAAGCCAAGAAAAAAAAAAACCAACGCTTTTGTGGGAAATTGGGCAGAAGAACGCGCCAGTTAGTGCCAGTCATCCTCCGATTGAGGCGAACTGGTCAAGTGAGGATGGAAGGCTGCTTGCGCAGTGTGGAGTATCACACTCCGTTGAGATGCTGCGCCATATCATCATACTCGTCAAGATCCATCGGGTCGTCAAACGCCACCTGATAGCCATCGGCTCCAAGATTCGCTCCAGAAGCGTTGAGGCCATTGGTGTTGATGGCGGAAGACAGAATAGTGCTGTTTCCGAAGACGGCCGTCGACAAGTTCGCTCCAATGGTCGTCGTGGCGTCTTGCGGCAGAGGAAATTGAGTGGATGTGAAAAAGGAGCCCTGACTCGTAGAGGGAGTAAAGTCCAAAACAAGTGGCTCCAGTTGAGAGGACTCAGTCGCGGGACATTCAGGGTAGCTCGCCAGAAGAATAGGCATTGGGGCCGTCCGAGCCGCAACCTCATACCAAATCGCAGAAGGGTATGCCTCATGATTGAAGCCAGCCGCGATGGCTGCCATGCTGGGTGTCCAAGCATATGGCTCGTCCCTGGGAATGTTCTGTCGAAACATCCAATACCTCAATGGCACGTGTGTGGGTGGCGGCCCGAAGATTCTTGATGGAAGCTCGTCCCCGAGGACAGCAAGGCTGGCGATCAAAAATACCATATCATTGTCATCGATTTGGTCGATAATGATTTTGACCGCTCTTCTCACCACAGCCACGAACGGAATGTCGACGGAAGTGTTCTGCAAAGATAGCATCGCACACGCCATCTGAGACAAGGTGCAGCCGAAGTAGTCGTAAACCACCCGGTTGGCGTCCGGTAAGGAGATGATGGGCATCGTTGGATCGAAAAGGTCCGCTGGCAGCTTGAGATGTACAATCAGGACGTCGACGACTGCGTTCAATAGTCAGTTTGTGCTTGCACTCATATGAAACTCATGGATCCAACTTACGCATTTTTTCGGTCTCCTTGAACAGCTGCTCATGCCAGAAGTGGGTAGCAAACTTGCGGATGTATACATCCTCTCCCAGCAAGATCTTGTTCGGATACTGCCCGGGCAACTTCTCGTAGTAAGAAGCCATGCACTTGTAGATCTCGATCACACGCTCAGCTCCAGACAGGTCCACTCGGAGCCAGAAGATACATCGCAAACTCAAGTCAGGTTGGATGTTGTGATAAAACTGCCCTTGTGGAGAGCTCTGCTGGGCTCCTTGGGTGTACCATTGAGTCGCGAGAGTTGCAGCGGTACTGCAAATGTTGAACTTATCAGCCGCCTCTTGTCCTCCATAGCCTACACCGTCAAGTGGCAAGGGCATCGGTCGATCGCGAAGCACGGCGAAAGTGACTCCCGCGAAGCACTGAGCAAAGATTTCGGTGAAGTCTTTGCTAATCCATTGAAAGCCCACCCAATCTTGAGTCGTGAACTGCTTGACCCAGGCAGTGTCAAGGTGAACTCTGCGGTTGATTCGTTGAACTTCCCCCAACACTCCCGAGATGACCACCAATGATATTAGGTCGCCATAGAGGTGACCCGTAAGGATGTGATTGATCGAGAGGCGCTTATCGCCACACGGGCCACAGTGTACAACGCCGAATACTTTATCGTATGCAACTCCGGGCCCCGTTTTTACAGTATGCACGAGGCAATTCCGGCAGGTACGTGGCAAGAAGAGGGGATCCTTGAACAGTTTGTAGATAACTTCCCCGAGTCGGTCTGCTTGAGCTTTCATCCTTGTTCTCTCATCACGAATGCGCTGGCTCTCAAATCCCACTCGCTCGCGTTCGCTTGTTGCCTGGTTGATCAGTTGCACGTATGTATCAGAGTTGTCTTCCCTCAAGCCCAGCCTCTCCTTCGATTCGCTCAACGGTGCATCTCGATCATTCCGGAAAGCATTAGATTTGAACAGCAAACCATCCCGAAGTGCAGCCAGATGCTCTTGCTTCTCGATGCGGACCAAGTCGCGAGGCTGTGTGGGATCCTTCAAGAGTTCCGCGTAGGTCCTGTCTTGAGGTAGACTCGAAGTAGGGAGAGGCTTGAGCTTGCGTGGGTTACGAGAGTTGCGCACATCTGAACGCAGTTTGTCGCAAAATTTGGTGTTGTTGATGATGTTGTCTTGTTGGTCCCTAGTGACGTTGATCCAGTCGATGGGGAAAGTGCGAGACGCCTGGTGAAGGTGTGCAATGTCGCAAAGGTCGAGGTAGCGAAAGATTAGATCATGCAGCTCGCTTGGCAAGCCAGAAAGATGGTCTCTTGGCGGAGAGGGCGTCAAGAGTATTGGTGGAGGTATTGTCCCAAACGTTGACGTAGACATCGGTGCGGACATTGGCGCGGAAATGTCGTGATGATGAGGTTGTAGGTCGAGAAATTCAACAGATTAAATGTAGATTATATAGGAAGTGTCGGTCAGGCGCGCTCGGAAATCTTCCTCCACACTAACGTCGAAGCAGCCAGTAAAACTGTGGGGAGAGTGGAGAGGAACAGTGAATATGTGTAGATTTAGGGCTGTGTAACCTCAAGCACGGGACAGATAGACATTCACTAGATGTAATGATAATCAAGAAGCCGGTTTCTGTCAATTCGGACATTATGGTAGACAGTCGAGAGATGGCTAGATAGAGCCTTTTCCGACAACACTTTCACCTGTTCTCTCGTGCTTATTATCTTCACATTTGAATACCGCACGAGAATTCTTCGCTTAGGAGTCGCGTCGTGTGATTTTCGAAGACGCGTCGAGTGCTTCCTCCGCATGTCGGTCGCTACGGCTATATCGTAGCCAGAACCATTTTATACCACGGTATGTACGCCGCCAGCCTCTTTATCAGCCGCTTAGGTTGAGAAGAGGGCTTTGAAGACAAATCGCAAACTTCTTTTCCCTACTCCTAATATGCCCCTAAAGTGATCACAGCTGCCGCATCTCTAGCCCTGCTCTTTAATGAGCAATATTTACTCACCTTCACGTAGTCTCACACGGCGCACCCTCTGGTATTAAGCCGGTATATGGAGCAATCTCGCGAACGCGGTTAGAGACGCGACTTTACTATAGTCTAGGGTCGCGGCTATGTATAAGCGGGGAGAAGACGCCCGGCGAGCTTCTGTTAATTCGTCAATTGTTCCTAATACATAAAGAGTAGTCCTAACTATCGCTTGCTATTGTATAGGGGTATATGACTTCGTCGCGGCTACTCATCCCTACTTCCTATCCACGATATCCTTGGCATAAGATACTACCAAGCTCAGGGCACGGGTAAGGGAGTAACGTGAACCTAGAGTAGGGAGCTTGCTATAGAGGTGATTATAGTCGCAAACCACCCTAAGATCTTCGTGAAAACAGATGAAGTTAGCGCTGTCCCTGCTTTCCTACGCCTGTTGCTAATATAGCCCCGAAAAGGGACCTGTCCGCCGCTTTCTCAGCCACGTACCTTACACGTGTCTCACTCTGTACTTCTTACCCCTCGCTTTTAATCAAGCGTGGAGACAATGCTTGGTGTTAGCAAGGGGCATGTACTTTACGGCGCTGCCTCGTTCAGGGGTCGAAAGATGCGTTCTAGTCGCCTTAGCGACATTCACTACGGAGAGGTGGGGAGCTGCGAGGTGCTAAAGGTCTGCTAAGTATGTCTACTCAGATTGCAACCTGTTTGAAAGCTCTTAACGAGCGGTTCCCTTGTCCCTTGCTTTAGGAAAGGGGAGATGAAGGGACGTGTTCATGTGGCCGTGGCTTTCCCATGTCGATCGCAGCTTGCCAGTGATTTTGAACGATTAAAGGCTGTCCAAAACCGATATCAGCCTCTGCTTTCCTTGACTCTCCGTGTAAAATCTCAAGGATACCGTCGTGTTCGTCGCGTCGAAAAGTCAGGGGCAGTCTCCTAGTACCGTTCGACGAGTAGATGCTTACTCTTCTGACATTCCTGAATATCCTCAGCTTCTGCATTCAAGCATGTGGTACAAGGGTGTCCTTTTTGATTCCTTGAACAGAGCTGCCTAAAATATCCCGGCGGTATGTCGAGCTAGCGACGCGTCGTAGTATCCATTGCGCTTTCCTCCTTTTCTCGTGTCGTCCGTCAGTTCGAGGAGACTTGGAAATGACTACCTTGCTGCTGCCAGCTTTGGAAAGCGCGTGAAGGCCATGTCGCAGGACGAATCGTGTCGGCGACGCGTCGTGCGGCGGAAGCGGCCATCCCCTTTTTCTCCTGCTAGCAGTTTTCCGCAATCGTGAGGATCTGGAGGGCCCTAATTTTTCCGCGGGATATCGAAGGAGAGCGGGAGGAGTGGCGAAATGGTGGCACGCTTGCTGTTCAACTCCATATTAGCATTGTACGGTGCGAAAGGAAACGTTCGCGAGAGACGTAGGGGATGGAAGTAGCGTGGCCAAAGCAAAGATGGGTGATGGAGTCCCCGCTCTCACTTGTGGCCAAGCTACTCGTGCGGTACTCGTCGGGGGAAGTTAAGTAATGGATGTTCTCACAGGAGCTTGCTGCCTTCGGCCCTCTTCAACCAGATGAGATCACCACGATCTGTCAGAATTCTTTAACAGGAAGGGGAGGGGATGCTCTATGGCCGCTACGGTTGTGCTAGAGGCAGTTGTCGGAGTCAGGGATGCTCAAGTAGTACGACTATGTTTGCTGATCAAACACGTAGAAGACTTCGTGAAGTCAGAGACGCGTTTTATGGCTTTACCGGAGCAAAAGACCCATGGTGATCGGAAAAGTGCTCTCGACGTCCCGCTGTACATAGGTGTATGACCATTCTTTGCCCTTTATGTTCTGATCGCTACGAATAGGGACGTTGCAGCAGTTGGTATCGTACGAGCATGCTCGACCCTCGCCTCTGAGCCGATAGAAGGGCAAGTCTAGATATACGTCCTTCCATGTGCTTGTATATCCTCTCTTCCGCCGTGCTCGGTGGAGAAGTTGCTTACGGCGCCTCGTCTCCTTTACGAATGTATGTTTTGCTTCCTCCTTCCGTTCCTTACAACCGTATGTCGGTCTCCGTCAGCCTATGTCTCTATGTAGACAGCAGATATCACGACGCGGCTCATTGCAAAGCTCGCTAAAGCTGTAGACGCGTCTTTCGATGGTTTCGTATGTTCCTCATCCTTTCCCGATTGCCAATGTATTCACGACGCGGAGGTCTATTCGGTTAGGTAGTCGGCGCTCCGGTTGGTATCGTCGCGACCATGGAAAGAGGTACGTTCGTTATGGTAATTGCTTAGCAGGCTCGGTGCTCGAAAGACTGTCTAGAGATCTCCTACCGCCGATATTAGAGACGCGTCTCGTCGACATGCGGCCATCACGTGCACTGTGGCCAGCGCCGCGTAGAGTCTCATACTCCCGGTGCGTAACCATAAACGAGAGATGCTGTCCTTATGTCGTTGTCGTAGATCGTTGTAATTTACTTTGCTACGGCACGAGGCGCGTTCGTTGTTCGATGATTCAGGACTACGGAGGTTTGCTAAAACTGAGCATACACGCCTTAAGGCTGTACTGTGTCTGGCGCTATAGGCAGCGGTCTAATCGCCCTTCTTCCTCCAATTACTTCATATGCAGCATGCTCGCTACGTTCGAATTGTCATTACCTAGTTCATGTAGCCGCTGTAGGCCTCCACACGGCGCTGCTACTCTACGTCCCTCGAAAACAGAAGAGATGTGCTCAAACTAAGCGGGCTGGTATCCTCTGGCTCTTCCATCGCCAACAGTACTTTAATCGCTCTTGTGCTTTTGATCGCTTTGGGTACAGCATAGGCGCTTCCCTTACCATGTTCCCCCGTTACACTTAGCGGTGTGTCTTTGCTCTTGTAGTGCGGCCATATTCCATCCTCCAGCATTGCCGACGCTCAGCAAGCTTCTACGCCTCTTGCAAAGCTGAGGCCGGCTCTTTCACCATCAACAATGGTCCGTTCCCTCTCGTGGTTTGGTTGGGCTTGAATAGAGGAGGCGAAGTCGTCTTCAATGTCTCGTGGTTTCGTTTTGAGCTACGTGCATGGTGTTGTGGTGCGAGCATGTTCGATTCTGCAACATTGCCCGATGCTCAGCGAGCTTCCGCGCTTCTCAAAAGATTGAGGCCAGCTCCTTCGCCAAAGATGGCKAACCGTTCACTCTTGTCTTCTTCTGGAGTTGAAATATAGGATAGGCGCTTCATTCTCAATGCCGCATTGTATCTTTTGGGCTCGTGTGCATGGTGTTGCTGTACAGCCATTTTCCGTCCTCCAACCTTACCGATGCTCAGCAAGCTTACACCCTGCTCTTGGGAATGAGGCCACCTCCTGCGCCATGAATAATGGTCCGTTCGCTCTCCTCGCTTCGTTGTATTTGAATACAGGACAGGCGCGTCATTCTCGATGTCTCGTAGTATCGTTCGGAGTTGTGTGGATGAGGTTGTATTGCGGCTATGGTGGATGCTCCGCCTCCGCCCATTTCGACACTTAGCAAGCCGCTGCGCTTCTCGCCCAAATGAGCCGTCTCTTATGCCATGGAACATTGTCCATTCGCCCTCATTGCTTCGATGTGTTTTATTACATGACCGGCGCTTCGTTCTCGATGTCTTCTAGCATTGTTCGGAGTTGCGTGGATGGTATTACGGTGTTGCTGGATCTGGCGCTCCAACTCCGCCGACTTCGACGATCAGCAAGTCTCCACGTTGCTTGCACAAATAGAACCGGCTCGTACGCTATGGAACATCGTCCGTTCGCTCTCGTTGCTTTGATATGTTTGAATACATGATCTGCGCTTCATTCCCAATGTCTTCTCGCCTTGTTTGGAGTTCTATGTATGGTGTTGCGTTGTCGCTGGATCTGCCGCTTCAAATCCACTAGCCCTTAAAACAGCGCTGCATCTACCACCATCCACCACCTTACATCTCAACAACCACTCGGTGGAATCACTCAAAATTTGCAGGGGGCTGTTGCATCAAGATGTTGTGATGTTTTGCATACTCATATTGTCCATATGTTGCCAGGGGAAGAAGTCATCTCTCGCCAGCTCAAATCTCCCAAAGGAGTTTCCACGGCTCTTAAAGCTCGAAGTGTACTTATTTCCCGCAGATTCCAGCATTCTCGCCGAAAACCTTGGAGTCCTTAGGATCTTGGTTTAGCGGTACCGCTTCAGAACATTGGCTAACTTATTCGTGTGTCTAGGAAAGAAACCCTCGGGGAGGTTTCACTGCGCTGCGGCGTTGATCTTTTGCTCTTCCAGCGTTCATTTTGCCTGCTCATACTATTGGGAGTTGGCATTGGCAACAAGCTATATCTTTTGATTCCCCGATCGTCCAAAAGCAGTCAGGTCGCGGGTTCGAGACCCCAACATAACCCTGTTCGAGCCCCAACTTGACAGGCTCCACCCTAAGTCCCACCTTTTACTCACCCACCATTCAGCATTTTACTACCCAGACAACTCCGATGAATCAAACCATCATGCACTTCCTCAACAGCTACTCGAATCAAGCGCTGCGCACGTTGACATCGCCGTAGCAGCTCATTTTGAACATGAGAGAACTCTCTATGCACCCCAATACGCGTTATGGCATTTGGCTGGCTTCTGCACATTGCACCTTCACCGGTGGGGACGCGTTCAGCTCTTCGACGTATCCCCGTCGACAGTGCGCAATCACTGACTCCATCATCGCTACCTACCCGACGCAGCATCCATTCACGAATCACACAGGCATTAACATGCACCCACCAGCAGACGGAAGCATCGCGTTCTTCCATCCTTCTTAGCACGACGACGACCAGAAAAGAGCTGATCCCGTGGTCAACATCCTCCATATCGAAGAGCATGGCTCAAGGAACCTCATTAACTCCAGCCACACCGCCAATCGCGACCAACACTCTCGGTCTCGCAAAGCTTGACTCGATCAATTCTGCTGCAGAAGCGCAGTCCGAACAGGATCGGTCATGCGAAGAGCTGGATTGACGAGGTGGAGCATGAGAACAATAACAGGTTTCGTCCTGCGACGAGACTAAACAATACAGAATAGCTGGTGCAGTGCGCACGACGTGTCAAGGCTGCATGTCCGCTGCTACAAACCATCTTCGAATGAGCAAGAGGACTGTTCAAGCGCTTGAGGATCCATGGGACATTGCGTATGCATGTCACTGAGTTTGGAGTTCACCAGCAGCCAGAATCAGTTACAGTGGAAATGAGATGCATGGCAGTGAGATAAAAGGCAAGGAGATTCACGGCAAAGGTATGCACCGCAAGGAGATGGACGGCAACGAGATACGAGGCAACGAGATGCAGGGCAACGGGATACACGGCGAGGAGACACGGCAAGAATAGGTGCGGCAAAGAGTTGCAAGGCAGTGAAGCTTCTCTGCCTTCTAACGCAACATCCAGTCTTCTCTGCTACGATCACTCGCCAAGCTGTCTCTGCTTCGCGTCTCCGATAACCCCAAATGCTTCATGCACTATGAACTGCCGGTTCCCTTTCTGGCTTCATTGCCCTCGACTTCCCTTGCGGCTTCTTCACCTCTGTCTGCCGCTTTCCAGCAGCAAACGGCCGCGCCGGACAAGGCGACAATTTCTTTTGTAGCAGACAGTCACCAGCCAGATACTCGCAATCCTCCCCCAACAGATTCCTGCCTCAACACATTCGATCTATCGAACCGTTATAATGAACCCGAACGGTTCACCGAACGGCCCGTCCACGTTTACCGTGGAGAATGACATCGCCGGCATCAAGCGGAGCATCGAAATCCTCAACACGCAAGAAACTGAGCAGTAAGCTGAGAAACAAAAGACGCTTCAGGAAACCGACGATAAGCTTCTGAATCATGACGTGAAGCCCGTAGAAAGCTTGCTGAGACTCAAGAAGACGAAGCTGGAAAAAGTTTTGGACAAGCAACGAGATCCGGGTCACGCGCTTGTACCTGTAGGTACACATGAGAAAGAGTCGTTTGTGCAGATGCTGAGTTCTTATGGTAGTTCTTCATCACCCCCCTGGGGATAACATGATCTAGATTCTCCTCTTGCTGTCGCTTCTCTCTTGTTGCCGCTTTCTCTCCTGCCTCAGCTCCTCCTTATCTCACCGCCACAGGCTCCAGGCTTCGTCGCCAGTTTGTACACCACGGCTGTGTGGATCACGATGTCCTCATGCGAACCAAGTCATACACCAGGTTCTCGCCATGTCCAAGATTGAGGCCCGCAGGGCCTGTTGCTAATCGAGCAGGAGACTAGCTATGCGCTGTACCTGCAAACTACTCTCCCAATACGCCGCCGTTTCCTCCGCAGACCCTCCGACCGCAACGCAGGCGGAGTCCCTGTTTAATTTGGCTCCAAGGCCGAACCTACGTCAGTAGTGAAGTCAGGAAAGCGCCGTCGTGAGTCCTCCTCGGCTCCTCGCCGCGACCTCCTTCGGGATCAAATCGCGCAGCTCTCAACGAAGACCTCGACAAGCTTTCCCCTGGACGGCTGTATGCCAAGGCTGCTATGCCTGTGCCAGCACCAATTCTTCTCGCTGCCGGCACACCGGACACTAGGAATCGAGTTGCGTTCCGGGGGGAGTCCGTCAGCACTTCGTCGTCCGATGGTCCTAGCAGCAACGATGGCGAAACGCCTACGAAGCGCAGCAGGAAGACTGTTGTCGTCAAATACAAGAGGACGAACCATTGCCGGGGAACACCTGCTCGTGGTAAGGCCGCCAAACTCAAGAAGCGCCGCCAATCCGTTCCCTTTTGCATCCGCTAGCCGTAAGGACCTCGCGGGGGCATACCTTCCGTCATCTGAAGATGACGACGCCATAGACACCCGTGGTGATGGCTCACCCGAACCTCGCGAGGTTGAGTCGAATGCCTCGTCGTATGCCGATGGGATCACAGACTTGGACAACATCAATTGGTCCGCGAAATCTTCCCGGCGTAAGAGTCGCAATAACAAGGGCCGTAAAGCCAAGAAGAGCAAGGAGGATGATTGCGGTGCGCTCACGGAGGTAGAAGAGAAGGAGCACGGCGCCAACCTAGCAAGCGGAGAGAGAGCAGCATGTCCAAGATCTCTCCGCTCGAGCGGCTTGTCGACTGGCTTTTCGGCATGAGCCACTGGCTCCTAAGGCTGAAGAGGACGCGGTCTGTATCACCTCAGAGGAATAAGAGAGCGTGGTCGATCGGCGCGTCTCTCCATTCCATCGTCCCGTCGGTCCCCGAGCCGGCTTAGTCTAAGAAGAGCTTCCTCATAGTTGACGCAATTGACTGTCCAGAGGGTCGGGTCGTGAAGTCAGACAAGCAACCGGCAACTCTCAGGACATATTCACTACGGTGTATTTGCAAAGGAGGTATGTAGCAATCGATGTGAAGGTTTTCAAACAGCTGTCATTAAACCATGTCGTGACGCTCCTGTCGGGCCTACGGGCCTCTGGTGCGATAGAATCTTGACCCGCCTCTGTGGAAATGTCTCGCAAGCCCAAGAGTGCTCGAACTAGACAGACAGTACAGCAATGCCGAGTGAAATCTGACCTCGCATCTTCGGCACAGGCTTGTCTTGGCAAGGCTACTCAACTCAACTTCTACTTAAGGAGCCGGATCTCTTCGATCATGTGCTTCAAGTCTAACGGAAGGAATCGTGACTTATATTGATGAGATCCGATGAGAGCGTGTCTCATCAAGGTGCCCAGTATCGCATATTTCTCCCTGAACATCACACTACGGGACCAGGAGAGTGAGGCGGCTCGCAACGGCGAGTAAGTGTCAATGACGCCGCTGCATGATCCTCGCTCGGAGGCAGACGTGGCGATACTTATGCCATTCCGTGCCCGCATGACTACTAGTACCCACAGTTCGCAGGGTCCGGGGCCGCGTCTCCATGGCCCTTGTGTAGTGAGTACTTGCGGTACTCCTTAGCATCGGGTTCGCAGTGGGTGTCTGCTTGCTGACTTTCATTCTCAGCAAACCATGCTCCCTATCCGCCGATCGTAACATGGACGGTGTGGCCGCTCGACGTAGTTCGGTGGCTGGTGCTCCTCCGGCCAGTAGTCGGCCTTTGTCTCTGCAGCGTCGTCGTGTAGCGTTCCCTCCTCGTGACCTTATAGCCGAGCATCGCGCCAAGATCAACAAGGAACTGCCCCTTAAGAGTACGAAGCGTCATTAAGGAGGTCCGGCTAACGAGATTGCTTTGCTGACGAGCGCTATCCGTTCTTCCGGACTACGCAGGAGCGCGGGCAAGCATGTCTCCTTCAGCAAGAAGTCCGCACGGGGTCGCAAGGCCTTAAAGACGAAGGTCACCGCGGTCATTTCAACTGCGTCTTGGCTTCCTCATCCGCTCTCTGACTCTTGTTGAGTTTCCTAGAGCCTCGTTGCTCGTCTCTTGCGCGGGAGTTGGAATCAGAAGCCTCTGCTAACCCGCTGCTATGGAGTGCAATGTTTGTCTCCAGGCGGCTGCAAAGTGTGACGAGGGATGAGGGCGTTGCAGCAAGGCAATTGCCATACTCCTTTCTTGGAGACATTGCATCGAGGCAGATAAAGCCAAGCCAGGCTACTGCTCCTTGATGGCGAATTGTCTTCGAACATGGGAATCTTTCCCTGTTCGACATCGCGAAGCCGAGTTGGACGCTCTGGCCGCCCCGGCTTTTCTATTGTGCATCCGCTGACTGTGCCGATGATGGGTGCCTGACTTTTCTTCGATGCTGCGGAATGTCTTGATGACCAGTGCCGCTACTACTCTGGAGACTGTCGTGAGACGATCTGGGGAAAGGGACCTGGGGAGAGCGAGCTGGGAGAAGATGTTAAGAATCAGCCAGGATCTAAGCCTGAAGTCGAGCTTTCCAAAGTCAAATCTCGGGTGGCGGCCAAGAATCGCCTTTCCCGGTAATTTCTCGAGCATGATCAGCGTTCACACTTCATGTAATTGGATCTCAGTCGCATTGACTTTGGCGGAGGAAATGTGCCATGTCGAGCAGCTGTAGCCTTCGGGTTGGTAAAGGCAGGACAACGAGAGTACTTCTGKCAACTTTGGAACTTGGTGTTACGTGGCGAGGTATTTGCTTCAGCAAACGCCACTGCGACTGCATATCGCTGGCGAGGTTGGTGTTGTGCTCCTTTTCGGCCTCAGCCGCCTCTCAATTCTTTGCCTCCGCTCCATGAGCGCACCGCAACCGGACTCCTTACTCTTCTTGGCCTTGCGGTCCTTCTTCGTGCGACTCTTGTGCGACCTTATGCGCAATCGGCCTCTTCGTGACCCCTTTGCCGACTCTCCTGGCTTCGCTGGTCGCAGGGACCCGCAGGGAGACCGCCACGCCCTTTCCTTAGTTGAGGCCCGCAGACCTGCCGAGAAGGACGTTGGTGAGATCGCCATGGAGAGGTGTTGCGGAGCGGAGTGCCGTTGTTGACGAGCTCGCTCGAAGAAAGAGTTTTGCAAGCACCCCCAACTGGCATGAGATAGGTTCCGCAGGAGAGGCCAAAAACGTCGAATTTGAAGATCATTCTATCACTGGCATCCAAAAGTACTTTTTCGACACAGGAATGCAGCCATCTGTGCCGAAGCAGGGTTTGGGCTGAAAGACTTCCGAGAAATTGGATAAAAGTTCTTGCCAAATGTAGATGGAACTGCATCATGAAACCGTTTTGGCTTCTTCCGAGCGAACCGCTCTGTGCCGGGAATTGACCACCTGTTGATGTCCTTCAGCGCCGTCTCGTGTAACAAGACATGAGGGCTATCATATTATGGCCCTGCCGGCCTGAACAGTCTAAGATGTCGAACAGCGAAGCGCCGAGCTGGCTTTTTACAGGCCACTGGCGACAGGCCACTGGCGGATGCTGAAGGATGCATGGAAAGACATCTCCGCATATTTAGCAAGGCCGTTGGAGCTCTTCACGGACTGGAGGAGTATAGCTGAAATCGAGATTGGCGCGAAGTCTGCTTAATCCAGCCCGAGAAGGTGAGGCTGGTTGTAAGTGTCGGTTTGCCGAGCTGGTTGGAAACGATTTAGTACCGCTGTAGGGAAGGACGCCAGCAATTGCTCCATTCCGGTAGCCCCGGTCTATGCTAATGCTCGTAGAGCTTTGTAGAGCGTTAATTTAGATCGCCTTTGCTTATCCGGTGCCTCGCTTGACTTGGAATACCTAGACAAAGATGAGTTGCGTCAAAGACGCCACCCTAGTCGAAAGCTAGTTTGAGTGACCGGGAGGATGAGTGAATGTGTGCAAATCAGCGAATCTTCTCCGGCTCCAGTTCGATTGCGGTGCACCAACTGGACTGTCAAGACTCCCGGACTACAGCTTGCTGTCGCGTACTGCCTGGACTGTGAAGACTTACGGACCTCAGCTCTCTGCGGCACTGCGACAAGTACGGCGTGGAATGAACTTTCTAGCTAAGTGGTATGGTTAGAGTCACGACCCGGCGAAGGATGAAAGGCGTCCGCACTGAGATTTGGAGCGCGGAATGGTCGAGACAGTGAGCTGGCTCCCTTAGCCGGGACAATTTGCAGCGCATACAGCTTGAACACCGGGAAAAGCTTGCGGAAAATATGCAAAGACAGTCTGCCTGCGGGTGCGGAAGGGACGGTGCTTGAACCCGCTACCGAATGGTGCAGGCCTGCGGGCTCCACATGCAAACCCAACTACTGCAAAGTATCTGCTGAGGCCTGACTCTGACTTACAGTAGTTTCGAGCCTTGCAAAAGTGCAAGAATGCTTGGAGAAGACACGTCTGGGATTCTGCCGTGGAATAGGTCTGACCGAGGCGCACGAATTGTAGGATTACCAGATTGAGGTCCTTGTTGTCTTGCCTTTCATTTTCCTGGTGGAACTTTCGATCCGGCTGTGCTGGTAGTCTTGATTTGAAGTGTTCTCCTTCTCCAGCTTCTCTTCCCACCGCACGCGCCGGCACGGTGTATTCAAGGTGTATCCGCGTCAAAACATCTCCGCCGCCACTTCTTCTCCAGATCAAACGCAGGTGCTTGGCTAGTTCAGATTGATCCAACAAGGCCACTGCTTCGCCGCGTTTTCCCGTTGGTCAAGGTTCCGCTCCAGCTAACGAAAGCGTCCTGGTTGAGAAGTCAGAGTCTGAAAAGCGCTCTCCATCAAGCTGGCAAATGCCAGTAGATTCCTCCACTGTGCAACCTTAAGCTCGTCCACGTATTATCTCTGTCGGAGGTGGCATATTCGATTTTGCCTCTCTTTGCGTCCGCGAACGCAACTCATTGTCCCCATGAAATCTTTATCCTGGTCTTGTGGCGGTCTGTCTGACGAGAACACAAAAGCGAGGCCTGGTAGTATCCGGAGGAGGACTGTTCGAGTTGAGAAGGGACCAGGCGCTAAAGCAGCTTCCAGACTACGAACGGCGTCTCGACGAGCACTGACAATCTTGCCGGTTGTGGCGCGTGAGTTGCGGATGGGCTTGCAATGTCTAATCCTTCTAGCGACGAGATGCTCGTTAGGTCTGGTTGGAAGTCAGTCACAGATCTCTGGTGACCTTCATGGTCTGCTCCGGCGGCATGCCGTGGCAAGCGAGCTTCCATGCTAGGAAGCCCTTGGATAAAGGAGTAGGTAGGGGAGGAGGAGGATGAGGAGGAGGTGATCTTCTTGCGGCCTCTAGCAAGTTTCAAAGGGGAAGCGCTGGGGTTTGTCAGCTCCGAGAGTTGAGTAGAACTTGTTCCGTGAACGTGGATGGGTCAGAGTGGTCAGACTGGTTCGTCAACCTGTACACTTGAGCATTGGACACGAGCATGGAGCTCAACCAGAAGAAAGGAAGCAGATGAATGAGGCAGATGAATAGACGAATGAGCAGAGATGGTATTACTGCTACTCGTGGCAGGGGAGTGGAGTTCCGCAAAGCGTCCATGAATCCGATCTGCACACCCGCGATCCGTACCTAGTCCTCGGATGTGACCCTCCATCCCGCCCTCACCCGTACCGCACCGTCATCGGCGAGGCCTCTCTGCGTACAAACTGTACCTAACGCGCGAGCTGTAGCACGTCGTTAGCGCCGCGCCGCAAGCATAAATATCTTCGTTTCTGTCTCAATCTCTTTCTTCTGCATACGAAGTGTGAATCTGATTTTTTCAGATTCGCTTACAATGGGGTAACACCCATTGACCTTCTTATCAATTTTTGGAACCGGCTCTTTTGAGCACCGTGTCGCTGGTATTGCACTGCCTCCAGCTGACGCAACCTTTTCATCTGTCWCTTGCCTTGTGCAAGTTCCAGGAGAAGAGCTTCTTCTCCATCGTCGTCGTAGTCTTTCCTCTGTCGCCGTGACTGTCGTGGTCTTTGATGCTGGATGTTTGTGAAGTGTGCCTGTCTCTTAGGACGCGGTGTCCGACGTGACCGGACTTCTGTCGACCTGGCCGGTGTTCAGGCCTAGCATGTTCACGACACGGTAGCACAGTAGTAGCAGTTGCTCCATTCTCTGAACTCGCGTCCATTCCRATTGCTAATTATCACAGCTCCATTGATGCGGTGTCCACCTTCAAGAGCGGAGGAAGGCGAGAATGACACAGGCATTCGAGAATGGCCTCTTCTTCGGTCCTACAGCTCTCGAAAGACCATTGAGAGAGACCTGAGGCTCGCCACTGTATTGACGACGACTCCAGGAACTGCAGATTCACGATCACGGCCTCCATTCCACAGAGTCAGAGTCCACAGCCTTAGCGGCGGCACTCTACCACGAAACGGCAGCAACGCTCTACGGTCACCAGTCTCAGCCTCGCCCATCCTGACGCACAGAAGCTCAGCAACGGCGACAAAATCGTCAGAACATCCTTCGTGGACGAACGAAAACTTCGACGTGAGAAAAGGAGGGCAGCATCGCTCTTGCCAACACCGTCCTTGCCACAAACTTGAAGCTGAAAGCCGCAACATAGGGAGTGAAAAGCTGGAGGAAGATGTGGGACATTTCAAGACATCTCTCGGTGGGGGACAGAGCTGTGGAGCCGCACAAGATACTGTAGTTGGATTATGGAGTAATGATCGCTCCCATTGAAACTTCCCGCATCGGCGCAGAAACGCTTCCTTCTAGACCTGTGTATAGATTCGTAAAAGATCATTTCCCACCGCTTGGTGTATCCGTGCGGTTCTCTTTCGATCGTAGTATTCTCCCGCCCAGTATCTCGCTACCGGACCAATGAAAGATTGAGCACTGTCCACGCACTAGTGAAGCTGCTGCTTCGTTTTCCACTTTTCTCGAACCGCTTTCTGTTTTACAACAGCAACCATCACGCTGTCACAACCGCTCTCCCTCTCTCTCACCATCACCACCACCACCACAACAACAACAACAACAACACCATCACCATCACCATCACCATCATCAAGGAGATGGCCCTGTCGTGGAATCGGCGGCAGCTTCTGGCGGAGGTCGAGGAGCGTGGCGTGGAGATCGACTTTTGTATGTTCGCTCGCTCATTCTCACTTCATAAGGGCTGGATAGCTAACGCAGCATGAAATTCAGGCTACGAGCGGATCGGAGACCTCGAGCGCCAGGTCGAGGCGGTCACCGCCGAGCGTGACTTCTGTAAGCCTTCCTACCCGATCCCACTTCTMATAGCTCAGCTAGCTAACGTTATATGTACTACAGTCCGTCGTGCTTGGGAGGGGCTCCGGCGGCGGTTCGTCCGCTTGGCGGACGCTGCGTGGGCGTTGGCCGCTGTGCGTGTTTGGGGTCCGGCGGACGAGGAGCRCCTGCTCCTGCAGCACGTCCTGCAGGACGTGGACAACGACTAGCTCTCTGTCCTGCTTGCTGGTGGCTCCGGTGTTTGGGTGTGTGCGGTGTGTCTGGGCGGTGGCGGCGGTGGAGAGGGCCTTGGGCTCCGCGCAATGAGCGCACCATAGCCCAAAGGGCATAGTCGGCAATCGCTTTGTCGAACTTCGAACACATCAGGATTTATCAGATCTCACACTCACGTCTCAAAGTTCTCTGTTATGACGCTGGCAAGCTACCTGCTGCTCTGCTTACTATTGTATCTGTGTTCATAGAGAGTCGCTGTGCATTCGATAGGCGGTATTGCTGTCAGCTCGTATGCGTAGACATGAACAGGTATTTTATGGGACTTGAAAGTGTCGGGCTCTGGATTCGCAGTGTGGAAATTGAAACGGCTACGTAGTTCGCCAAGCATATACATTCCTTCAGTGCTCATTTCTCAACGTCCGAAGGATAGCATGCTACTATTGTCTAAACCATAGGTTCATTGTATATCAGCAGCTTCGAAACATGGCCACAGCTTTCCGGTGTTACTGCCTGTTCGTATGTGTGGAAGTGAACAGGAAATTTATCGGACTTCAAAGTGTCGAATTTGGAATTCGCAGTGTGGAATTCGAAACGGGTACGTAGTTCGCCAACTATCTTCATTGATTCATTGCTCATCCCTCAATTTTCGAAGGATAGAAAGCTACTATTGTCCAAACCATAGGTTCAATATCAAGCAGCAGCTTCGAGACATAGCTACAGGTTTCCCAGCAAGTCGTAGCTTTGGTCCGGTGGGAGATCATCAATGAGCAGAGCGACAATCTCAAGAAGCAGAACGACTTCACTCAGCTCAGGATGCTCATTCGTCTATGCTCATCTCCAGACAATCTACGCCTACAGTGTAACTGTTCTCGGAGTTCTGTATTCAGCGTATAGCTGTATTGTTGAAGCATAGGGTTGAGATGCATCATATTAAAAGCGTGGGTTGAACAGGGTAAAACGAAGACTGTGGGCTAGCCGGTGGACTCATCGATGATGCTTTACTTGCCGTATTTTCTATGGATATTTTTTCCCGAACATTCGAAGACCAGCATGCAGGAGAGGTCGTAATCATAACCCGGCGTGTGTCAGATCTCTAGCCTCTTGGAGTAAGCAGCATGGTTTTCGAGCAGGGCAGTGGGGCCGACGGGCCAGCTACGAGCCCTGTCCGGTGTATTCGTACTTCTCTCGAGACAGTAGAGGCCTGGCATACGGCTGTACTTGCAAGACTTTATCCCATGTGACTTTGGCTCCTGAAGGCATGGCAATCTTGGTAGTATTGAAGATGGGACGAGCTCTCCGAACGTTCGGTCAAGATCACGACGCGTCGAGCAACGCGTCCAACGCATGAGCGGCTTCCTCACCACGAGTCTGCTCTGGCTGTCTGGTCTGAGTCCCTGATAAAAGCATACGCTGGACTTCCTAGTAATCGATCAAAGTTGCTGGATCCGTTCAAGAGAAATTGGCAAGTTTCTTGAAGCAACGATGGGAGTGGTCGAGATAAAGTTTCGACCCCTGAAGCCATTCTTGGCAACTGCTAATATGGTACCCCAAGGAATAACTCTCAGGATAAGTGCTCGCTGATTACTCTGAGCTTCGATTCTGTTGTAATGACGATCTTGAGCAGTCCCTTTCCACGGATATTGAGCACTGTGCGTTCAGCGATACAGCGACCAAAGCCTGGAAAAGGGGATGTGTCGAGACTGTAGAGGCATCTTTGGCAGTTTTCGATGTGAAAATCRAACGAGTCGATCGCGGGCGAGGCCTTCAATGGAGACTGCAGAGCTCCTCYAGCTAATCTTCCCGGGGTTCCCTCTCTGAACGTCCACCAACGTCGCGGGACGACCGGCGTAGGTGGAGTTCATCGGAGATATGAAGGTACCTTCGGCTTGCGTGACACTTCCGCCGGTGATGCCAGCAAAGAACACCGGGAAAGTGCTCACTGGATGGTTCGGAAGTTGCATGTGGTGCCGTTCTGGAAATCCGGAAATGTGGCTGCAAAATTGCTTCCTGCAGTTTGCCATATGCCGCTCCCGTGATTCAACCACATTCTCAAACCGCTTTGCCACTCGATATGACGCCGCCACCAACAGTCAGTTCTCAATCTTCCGGCCGTTTCTCTCTAGTGCTAGACGTTCGGACTTTGAAAGATGGAGCGAGAACATTTCGTCCATCGATTCTGATGCATCGACGGAGTTTCCGACATGTATCTGCATCTCGCGGCAAACATGGAATCAGGGTCCTTCCTTTGCAATTCTAAAGTCGTTGCGTTTGGTCCTTCAGGCTTCACTGTCCTTGACCTTCCGCATCCGTCATGTCACCGTAAGTCCACCATCCCGCTCCGTGTGGGATTGGGTCCGGCGACACACATATTTGAGAAGGAGACATCCGCTAGCCTGGTGCCAGAGGATATCGAGAAGCAACAGAGCGCCAATGTTCTCTGCAGCGGTATGTGTGATGAAGTCACGGTCTTTTTTCTCAGCCACCGGCGCCTGGGTCTATGGAATCACCAGTCAATTTTATCTTGGTCTTACATCGACATGGTTTTCATCCAGTGCGGGGAAGTTTCAATGTTTGGTGTTGTTGGTAGAGTATTGAGCATTAGTCGGCTTTGCGAAAGGAAGCCGTTGGACTCCCCGTCGATCCTGTATTATCTTCGGTTTCCTCCCTTGAAGCCTCTACGATAATCTGCGATGCTCCGGGTCACTCGTTGCCGATTGCTCAACGTTGATCGTGATACAACACGTCTGGCCCCAGGAGGAGGTGTGTTCACTGTTTCAGTGTCGAGCGAGCGTCGAAAAGGATCCGGCAGAAAGCCACTGTCTTCCGTAACGGGTTCTTGCAGAATCATCCGTCCTCTACCGGCTAGCGATTTGCCTTGCCTGGTCTCGAAGCTCGTGCGGGGACTAGTGGCGTTGCCAATGGCTTCCCTGTGGTTCCGCAACACATTGTTCATCGGATTGTGCGGCTGCCCTACTTCAGCGGTGTTTGCTCGTTGGAAGAGGCAGATTTGTTGTGTTGGCGGAGCTCTACAGGTTGCCCGTCAGCAAGAGCATGTTGTTCGCCTCATGTCTTATTAGAACTGTTGCTCATCTTCAGCCATCTCGCCTTCGGCTGGCGTATACAGCAACGACACATGGAGCTGTGGTCTTGTTGCCAACCGCGCTTGACGGCTGTGCTCCAGAAAGAACTCTTGCCAAATTTGGAGATATTTACTACGTTGCTTTTGGTATACCACGGAGGTCTGGTAGCGGTGTAGTGCGTGGTCCTTTCCGCCAAATTGAGTATCCTTCCTCCAACAGCTGCATCTCAGACCAACGCAAACGTCACATGCCCAATCTCTATACCGCCTCGTATTGCTCATCGCGCTGTTTTAAGAGGGTTGTTCTTGCGAGAATATTATCAGCGGTGTGTCTCAGTATCAACGACGATGCGTCAGATTGATGGTCTCGGCGGCTTGAGAATGTTGAAGTTGCTGTCCGTCATGTCAAAGCTGTAGGACCGTTATCATCGAAGGAGAGGATGACATTAGCGGTATTGTATCCTGTGAACGTTGCTATCAGTCCTCCGGTAGACTCGCTTGAACTAACGGCGCCGCGGCGCACTACCACCTCTTGTTCTTTCCACGACGCGTACAACATGGCGCAGCGTAGCCGCAAAGCGAGAGTAGCCTTTGGTGAATGCAAGGGGCTTGTAGGTGGTGTCGGTGGGCTGTTATTCAGGGCGGAGCGGCAAGATGTGTTTTCTGCGGCATTCCGCATGGAGTTTGCTGTTCATTGTCCACGTTCTACGACCTGCGCTTAGCACGATACTGCTGCGAATAACTCCGCTTCCTCTGCACGGCGCGTCTGAGATGGGGCTGGTGGTATGGCCGCGAAAGATGGCAGTCGGCAAACGTAAGGGGCTTGTGGGCGGTGTCGATCAGACGTTGTCAGGGACGCGGTGGAGGAATAGTCCTTAGCGATGCTCCTCCTCAGCCTTGCTGCTCAGTTCTCATGCTCCGCCAGCTGCGCCTAAACGGTTGCCGCTGTGGTAAGCTCCACGACGCCTTCGACGTGGCGCTGTTCATTCCACTCCGAGAATGGTATCATGTAGGTTCGAGGGGGATCTAGGCGGTCTCCGTGGGCGCTGATTGATAAAGAGGCGGCGAGAATGATGCTCCTTCCAACATGGAGCACGAATGATGCCAGCCTCCCACCAGCCAAGACTTCAGTTCGAACCGCTAGTTCGAACAACCCCAGAACGCGTTCGCACGATCGCACGGCGCTGTCGATTCGAGCGCTGCCATTTGTGACAAGTCTGTGATCATGTTGCCGTCCAGCTGATGCCCTGGATGGTAGAATCACAATAATTCTCTGTGTTTTCATTTTTGGAGGAGGACTCGAACGCGGACCAAAACATTCTCTCCTTCGTGAAGCTTGGCAAAAGTAATTCCCCAATCGCCTGTGTCCTGGGTTTAAAAAGCAATTCCGTCGACAAGTCTTTGGACTTGGAACGCTGCTTATGATCACCCTACTATTTGTACACTGCTCAACTTGAATCAATGGGTGTATTGCTATCCCTCCCATGATAGTAGTTCCTGGGAAAGGTCTACAGTTGCCGAGTATGATGGAGGGTGAATGTACGAGAAAGGAAATGCAACTTGATACTCCGTCGATTGTTCCATGCCTCTGCTCTTGACTTCCTCCATGCTGACATCCTTCTCGATTCCGCTGTGATCGACAGCGTCTTCTAAGGGCCTTTGAAATAGTGCAGCTCAGTTTACAAACGATATGGCCCATTCTCGAACATGTTGGAAAGCGAAAGTGCCAGAACAAACATGCCTCTTGACCATGTATCCACTGTCGTTGAGGCTGACGAGGCTGTTCGCGGTTCATTTGCCTTGCGTACAGCGAGTGAGATGTCGAACAGGGGTTCAAAAAGATGGATGGGCTTGATTTCAACCACCCCGTTCTATCAATAAGTGCTCATGGTCTCGGCAATACCCCCAACCTTCATCATGCTAGCATTATCGTTCATTGCCTTTGTGGGCGGTAGCTATCGCAGAGAGGGCCTGGAGTATTTGTAGCTGATCAAGAATGATATGGCCTGCGTTCGAGCCTGGCGGAGGGAGTCAGCGCAAAAAGAGACAGGGTTCGAACCACAGAAAAGTGCAAAAAAAAAAGAGTCCGGTGACTCGCTCGGCCACTATTGGGGATAAACCCTCTAGCGCTCAGCATCGTTCGTAATCCCCCTACGGCAAAGCCGAAGAAGGTTGGTTTATTAGTGCAGCTCTGCCCAATGTTTGTGGTTGTGCAAGGACTGTTAGTGTGCAACGTGAACCTTCCCACTGAACCAACAGTGGGAATCGAAAGTTCTAATTCTGAAATGATTTGTATACCCTCTTTTGCGTGAAGCCAGGCCTTAGTCCAGCCGGAGCTGAGGAACGCTATTGTGGCTACACTTGGAGATCTCGACACAGGACGCTCAGATATTTCCCTAGATACTTCGAGGTTTGAACTACAGGGGTATGGATGGCTGCATCCAACTCGCGTGATGAACTAAGCGTTGGTTGTGGAGTGTTGAGCTCGTCAACCATATGGCGGCGTTGACGTTGAGGCTGTCGATTGCCGGAGGTGGAAGCGGCCGTTTCTGCAGCCGGTGAGCTCGTCCCGTGCAGCTGGGATCTGGTTTTTCCCACGTAGAATACCTCAGAAGTGCCCTTCTCTATCGCTACACGACGATATGACACATTCATTGAACATGGATTCATTGCATTTCATTCACGGAACGCCGCCAATACCACCGTAGACGCGAGCTCATAGCGTTATGAAGCTGGGGATGGATGCGGCGTTGCTACAGCCGGTGGGCTCGTCTCGTGCAGCTGGGATTCGCTTTTACCCATGCAGAATACCCCAGAGACAGCCTCCTCCATAGCTACACGATGATGTAATATATTCATTGAACATTACTTCATTACAGTTCATTCATGGAACACCTCCAACACCACCGCGAAGGCGAGCACAGCGCATTACGATGCCGGGGATGGGAAGCGGCGTTACTACAGCCATCAAGCTGCTCCCGTGCAGCTAGGATCCTGTCCCTGCCCTCGTATTATGCACCAGCAACAGCCTCCTTCACCACTACACGACGATATGACAAGTCGATTGAACAGGATCGAATCATATCTCATTGATGATACGCCACCAACACCGCCAGGCAGTTGAGCGTAGAGCTGCATGWAGGCAGAGATGGGAGCGGCGTCCACATGGTCCAGCGAGCTGCTCCCGGGGCAGCTGAGAACTCCGCTTCGTGCTGATAACAAACACCATAACCAGCGCTCCCTTCTTGTTCATCACGATATGCTACAGCCATTGCGCAGAACAACACCGCCGGAAATCATCAGGGATAAGCCGACGACACCACCAGAGAGATGGCGGTAGAGCGTTAGGCGGACAGAGGTACATGTAGCTTCACGACCAACTCCGGAGCTGGCTATGGAGCAGCTAGAACAGCTTCGCCTTTCGAAACTATAACAATACCCCAAGGAGCAGCCTCCTCTGCTTCTACGCGCCGGTTCGATACGCTTGCCGAACACGACCCCCGTTGTCTTATGCAGACGGCAGATCTTCAAATCATGAGCACAGAGCAACGAGCATAGCGATGAGCAGCAGAAGGCATAAGCGGCGTCAATACAGGACAGCGAGCTGTTGAGGTGGGAAGCGAGATCTTGACTTCGACGCTGCAGACCTCCGTAGACACCAGAGGTAGGCTGCGCTGACGCTCCATGACAATACAATACCTCCATCGAAGCGGAGGGCATCGAATGCCACGTACCGTCGGGCACGAACATCATGAAGAGAGGGGCATAGCAAAGAGCGAGACGGGGGTGAAAGAGGTGTCGCTACAGTTCCGCGAGGGGCTGCGGTTGAAAGCTCGCAACTCAGCTTCGACCATACAACTTGCGCACATCCATCAAACGCGGTCCTACGCGCGTCGGATGGGCAATCACAGACGAACGACACATCCGCCGCACGGAATTCCACTCAAAGCCGCTGACTCCACGCTTGCTGGTTGCAGGGCGATGAGTTTAGAATGTTAGGCGGCCGGAGCTGGAGAAGAGACCGCAGCGATTCACCGATCCAACGATCTAAGAAATGCAAAGTTGGAGCCAGGACTCTCCGCCAGAACCCTCGCACATGGAACAAAGGCGGCCAAACACGATGCTAGACAATCGGCAGCATGGACTTTTCCTTCCTGCCGTACAGGGCTATCTTGGATCTCGCCAGTGCTACATCCGACAATAGGGGGATAGTCAAACCAGAGCGAAAGGCGACCGCATGACGAAGAGACATCGCGATATCTCAGGGGTGGAAAGAATCCAAGAGCTGGCGACATAATATTGCCTTTCGGCCACGGCTTCTACACAAACGCCAATGCTGGCTGCATGAACTCCTACAAGAGCTGAATATGGAAGATTTGGCGGACACTACAAAAAAATCAACTTTCCAGGCCCCTGAATCATGATAAGGACGAGGAGGACCGGGATGGCAAGTTGGCGAAGAAAGATGCGAGACGCGTCGCGGATATGCAGCTACCTATTTTCCAAGAGCTCAGAGCTCAAAGCTCAACCCTGAGCAGCGCCTCCGTGCAATCGCCGACGAGAGCCTCGCAAGATGCCGGACGCACCCCACGCGTCGAACAGCGTAAACGCGTAGCGCCGACGCACCATGATTCGAAGAGCAGGGTTGAGGTGGCGGATCAACAAGGATAACAGGCAACTCGCGGTTGACAAGCGCTCTATCGACTTTGGAGCTGGAACAGAAGCTCGATGATGCTCGGGCCCTTAGCACACACGCGAAAAACAGCTGCGCCAGATGCTAGACGTTCTACACACAATGACGGTGATACAGACTCTGCACTCCGCGAGCAGCGCTGTCAAACTTATGGACAACATCTTGATAAGGAGCACTGAGGTGCCGAGGAAGAGAAGATTCAATATACGCTGAAGCGGTTAAATTGAGCAATTGAGCGGTAGACAATCTTGCCTGCCATCCTGTACACACGCGGAAGGGAYGCCGTGAACAACATCAAAGGCTCCTCTAGCTGACAGGGCTAAGAAGACACGCGGCACATCCTCTACCCGGGTGCTCTGCATTTACGAGACAATCCTTCATGTCTTTCAGATTTTGACAATGCCCCGGAGGGTGGTATGAAGAAGGCAAGAGAGGTTGGATAAGATGATGTGTAAAGGCAGGAGACAGTATCTCTATCCGTCTGTAATAGAGTTTATTCATTCAAGATGTGTATCTCCTTCGCTCTCGAATTGGCCTTCTGTATTTCCTGAACAGCGGTAGAAGATGACATGGATTCAGAAGCAGCTTACTCTCGTCCGTTCTAGAGAGGGATTGTAGCCTCTAGGTTTGGTAGAGCAATCCATCCCCTGAGTCACTGCCGGTCGAACAAAAGAACGACGCGTCGCGGCGCGTGCTACGGTCAGTCCAGAAGCTAAGTCTCCATGTTTACTCTTGGGATTCAGTATTAAAGGGCGCAAGGCACAACACACGACAACCACAGCTGAAGCTATGCATCGTGTATGTGCTTGAGATGAGGAAAATATTTGTAGTACCTCCTCGAAAGAATGGACAGCACTATGAGATCTTGATATTGCCCTTTGCTTAAGAGGCTCAGGGCGATCGWTCAACGAGGACACCTATTTTGCGAGAAAATGACTGAAGAAGATTCGATAGTCTATGTCAAGTTCGAACAGAAGCTGCTATTTGTAGGCCCTACGTCCATACAAGGCTACTACCCTAGAGGAGGTGAGTGCCTAAGCTATTAATACCTACCGCAAAGATATTCAGGCACGACAGAGTAGGACCTGAATGCCATCGTCTCGACGCGTCTTCCGCGTCCCCTGCACCAAGTCTTTGTAGATTCTTTCCAAGATTGAACGTCTCCCGTATGACTGACACTTTTCACACTTGCTCGGGAGAGCAAAGACCGGGACACCAGAAGGATTTCTGGAGTCGTGGGGGAGGCGGCAGGATATCTGAGGCTGCTGACCAGATCAAACCGTAGTATCCAGTTCAGTTTTGACTCTGAGAAATTCCGACCCCTGAGGCAGTTCTAGTTGAGTTTGCAACTCCAGAAGGCGGCTATATCCAGTCTTTTTCATTCTCCTTCCTGGACGTTTCACGAGGCAGGTGAATGTATCCTATCCGTAGAGGTGGTGCTCGAAGTAGTGGTTTGACAAATCGGAGGCGTGAGACGCGTCGTGGACGCGTACAGAGGTGTACGGCGAGAGACTGCCAATGTGGAATTTGAACTTGCTGTGACATCCTCATAGATACGCCTACACCTGCTTGGGGTATTGACAAAAGATACTTATGCCAGAGATCTTTCAATCATTCATTCATCTGGTATTAACCTTACCGAGTTCCTTCGCCTCCTGCTGGTCTATGCATATCATCCATTCAGTTAGCGCTGTTTTCAGTTGCCTGATGCAGAGTGGTGAAGCGGCTTCATGCCTCGTGAGGAGCAGTAGCTGGATGAGAAGTTGTCCGGAGAAGCTCGACTCCAGCATCAGCTCGCCAGTTCAACTTCGATCCGAGAACCCGTCCCGTAAAGCACTGCCGTGGATCTCTGGAGGCACTGCCGACCCCTGTGGCATATAGTATGTTTGCGGCGTACGTAGATGCCGGCGTTCGGTCGCGATGGAGCTCCACAGACTCCTGCCAATCGTCCTTTGACTCCAAATCAGGCGGAATGCAAGTCATCCTAGTGGCAGGTTCGACCGACGCATCCTCGAAGATACCCTGGCCGGATGTTTGCCCAGGAGTAGAGCGGTGGGCGGAGGTCAAGGGAGGGCAGTTCGGTGATAGCAAACTCGCGGAGCAATGACCCGGAAAGAATGAAAGTTGGCACCATCACGAAGGATCCGGCTAACGCAGTCAAACCATGTACCGCGTGTGGGACTGGCCAAGTGGCGACCCCAAAGGCCGAGTTCCAGAATACAGCTGAGAGGATGCACCTCTCGCTGTTTCTACTCAAGGTTCGAATCGCAGCTGCTGGTTAATGTAGGATTTACCTCCTACGGTATTAGGACGACCGGGCTCGGGTCGAAAGGGGGGCCAGAGGTCTACTCCACGGAGGAAGGAGTAGAAGCAACTGCATACCGTGGAGAAAGCCGGGCTTTGGCAGCAGTCTATGCGCTGGGAATTGTCAGCTCGGCGCACGTATAAGCGTGAACAGACTGCCCCTGAGTTGATGAGATGCGTTATATTTCGTGTGGAACTCGTCTTCGTCGCTCGGGACCGATGGTCTACTGCCGTGAAATAAAAAGTATTTCAAAGGTGAAGCATCGGCGTGCTGTCTTAGTCTCAGATTATCTGGAATATCCGACTTCGGCCAGAATTTTAAGACTAAGTCCCTACGCACGAGACACAAACACATTTGAACAAGACAACACAGCATTCCACCAATCTGACAACATTTCCAGCGCCGGCAAGCATAACGTCTCAGCAATCTCCCCGCTCTCGTCCATCATCACAATGGGCGTCTCGCAAAGCAAACCCGAGACACGGGCACGCGACACGCCTTCGCTACACGCTCTACCCACCGAGACGCTGAATCAGATTGCTCTTCATCTCCGCTCCGCAGCAGATGTTGTGAGCCTCCATCAAGCACTCTGGCTGGCCAATGATCCAGCAGGGCCATCAGGCAGGCTCTTCTGGGCTGACATCCTTCGCAACTTGGTCGAAGGACTTGGGCGTAATGCTGCCCTTGCCGCTGCTCACGGAAAATTGTTGCACAAGGAGCACCGAGACTTCGACATTGCGGCCCGGAAGTTGATGGTGACGCACATCATGCGCACTAAACGCAAGGAGCTCGGTGGTCAACAGGGATGTATGGACTGCTTGGGTCCATTGGAGCATGGTCAGATAGCCAAGGACTTCCAAAACGGGGTTCAGCTTTGCAGCAGATGCCACGTTGGTCTGCTTCGATTTGCAAGATTCTTCGAGAACGCCACTACGGTGTGCATATGGCCTTGGCTGGTAGGCATTCATGGTCGGCCGCCTGCCGCTTCGCCGCTTGGTTGCATCTTGCCCTCGACTAGGAGCTACGGCAACAGCAAGATATACTCCATCACTGGTGAAGAGGCGTCCTTGATCACAACTACATACCAAGGTTCGCATCTCGACTGGCAGGCAGTTCTTCCCCATCCATTCAGTGGTGTGGGGACTCAGATTACGAACAGGAGTCCAGAGCAGAAGAAGATGGCAGCTTTCCGGTTTGAGACTGTTTTGCGTACCGCGAACCTCATCTTACACTGGCCATACGAGGCACCAAGGCCAGGAGAAGTATGCGACTGGTCGTCTGCAACCATGTTTGATTTAGACATGGTGCTGATCTCGAGCGTGGGTGTCGATGTGCAAGCTGCCTGCCAGCCCATGCGGAGCACCGAATTCAGACGTGACCTGTTCCTGGCCATTGGAACATTGTACGACCACGACGCCGAATCTCTCAAGCTGGGAAACTACGGTCAAGATCAGGCAGACTACAAGAATCTCCTCATCAGACAGTGGGGCATCTGGGCTACACGAAGATTCTTTTACGCAAAGCTTGCATCGTACGGTAGGTTCCCACGTCTAGCCTGGTCTCCAAAGATCTGAAGGTTCGTTAGCTGACCTTTTTGAATAGACCAGGAATCAATCGTTCTCAAACCACATCGTCCTTCACGAAACGGATCTCATGGTCAGGGCAAGTTTTGAGCGTTGGAACATGGAACTCAATGTCAACATTTCAGACAAGCTGTGCCAGCGCATCTACGGTTACAACCAGGCCGTCGTGAGCCTGCCGGCAGAGCCCGGAGTCCGCAATATGCAGTTGGGGAAGTACCTCTTTATACTACCTGCAGTTGAGACAGCAATGCTGTCCTACGACATTCGCGCTATCCACGCTCTGAACTACTTGCTCCTGATACTAGAGAGAGATCCAGTAAACGGTAACTTTCGCCGGAACGAGTTTAGTTCGTTTTTTCTCCCCAGCATAAGACATCGGCCGAAACTGCTTATTCGAGCCGTGACAGATTCGCTCTCTACGATGATTGATGAGCTGGACAAGCCGCTGCATCTTGCTCCTGGACCCGATAAGCGCCAAGCACAGCTCGAGGATCTAAGCGCTCGAATGTGGAACTCTGATTTCCTCAAAGCAGAACTGGAAGGGCTCAAGAAATGGGCTCTCAGCAAGTATGTGTGGATCGTTCTGGATGTTGATCCTTCCACTGCTCCTCCACCAATTCTCGACTGGATTGAGCAGTCCACAGCCGTGCAGGTTGCATATGTGAGGCGGGATGATGTACCTCATTGGGCTGCGGGTTGGAGTATGAAGCTCTTTGCCTATGAGGTCAAGCCATATGTTTTGTGACGCATTCTTTGGTTCGAGCATGATCCCGWGAAGCACCCGACTGTGCCTGACGAGAGATGGCTTGTTCAATGAAGGGCTGGGGCCGACTGAGATTGACCTCCTGTACAGAATCGTATCTTACATAACGAATCAACCGCCCTTAGACCCAGTGCATCATCAATTACAAGAAGTCAGGCTTCATGCAGCTGATGTCCTTCTTCCTCGTCTTCTTGAAAAACGCAAGTTCGCGGAACTCTTCTCCGTGGATCGCCTTCCTTTTCCCGCCTGTCGCCATGTTCTCGCCATCGCTCTGCTTTTTGCTTACTGCACTCATTGTTGAGCCATTGGACTAGCTAGGCCATGCACCCCGTGCTCTCCGCTCCACAGTCGTGCACTACGCCACTCCGAAGGACTGCCGCCGTTCGCTCCAGCCTGTTCGAGCGGTAACCCCGTCAGCACACTTGATATGTTCAGCGAAGTCGGTTCAAAGAAAGCCGAAATTAGGTGAGCGAATGCGCATCGAAAGTCCCCAATCTCGCGTAGTATTCGAATCCCTCAAGACTGTCCTGTCACCGGTTCACTTACACGTTCTGGCAACGGTAGGTCTCAGAGTGGTTAGCCAGATCAGTATAGTGGAGTATATTGTTACATTCGTAGAGTTCTTTCGATTGAATGGAAGCACAATATAGATGAGCAGAAGTAGGTTGAAGAACTTGATTCCAGTAGAGTACTCCAACCACTTACCTCTCAGCCGCCACTGCCACCTCTTTGCAGCGATAGCGACTCCCATAATACTACACAGGCTCCAGGTAACCGAAGGTTTCTTCGTTGGAGTAGACTACAGTCTATCAAGAGGAGTTTGCGGGAACCTCGCCGCCTGCGGGTGCCTGGCCAATGGCAACTTTTTGAGCACTGTTCACACGCTAGTGAAGCTGATTCTTGTTCGTTTCTCACTTTCAAAAGTTCCCTTTTTCAACAGCAACCATTCAGCTGCCAAAATCTCCCTCCTTCGCTCCCACACCACCACCACAACAGCAACAGCAACAACAACAACAGCACCATCTCCGCATCTCCTGCCGAGATGCCTTCCTGGAGAAACCGCCTGCTCGCTCGTCTCCGCGAGGCGGAGGCTGAGAACCGCTTCCTCCGCGAGGAGAACCGCCGTCTCCGCGAGGAGAACGAGCTCTTCCGCGAGGAGAACGAGCTCTTCCGCGACGGGGCCCGCCGCTCTCGCCGCCGCGAGAACAACTGTACGTCTCCAAAACCCCTCTCTCTTCTTCGACACTCTGACTGACTCTGTGTCTACTAGTGCTCTGGCTGCTGGAGCGTGCCCGCGCTTGGATCGCGGCGTTTCTGCTTGCGTTCTGGGAGACGCATGACAACATCGCCGAGATGGCGGATGATGGAGAGCTTCTGTTGGGTGATTTGGACCGCGAGTAGCTCCGCCCTGCTTGTTGGCGGCTGTGATGGGGGGTAGTGTGCTCTGTCTCTGTGTGCTGTCGGCGCTGGTGAGAGTGCCTGCGGGCAAGATGGGGCGGGTCTGGCTGTCATGTCCTTCGGGGCATAGGTTTCCCCCCAAAAAATGCAATTCTTGACTCCGTTTTCGTTGCCTTCTGAATCTCGTTCAAATCGTGTACATTCTGCATTAAAGCGCTAGTAGGCCGAACTAATCCCAAAGTGTACTAGCTCACGTTGCGGAGAATAACCCAATACTTCGCGCTCGCTTTCTTCTTCCCTTCCCTCTTCACCAAGCGTTTCGACGCAAAACAAGCATGTTCAACCCATATCAGATTCGTCTGAGTGTCGACGGGTTGCGTGCGAGAGCAAATTATGGACTTGGTAAACCGCGCTGCTGCACTTCATTGGCAGTTGTCGTGATAACCGGTCCTACATTCCCTTCTCCTCTGTGTTGAAATGAAGCTTCCATCCATGAGCGACATGATCGCTTGTGCGTGAGCATTTAATATGACTTCCTTCCTGTTTCCATGCTCGGCTCAGACCTCTGATGCCTCCATATGCCTCTGTCGACCTGCTTGCACCTCAACATACTGCAGCTCTTCYCTACAGTGCGCTCTAAGACTCCGACGCATCAAAAGACGCGAACCGTGCTTGTTGTGATTGATCGCAACAGGACTAGCTCCCTTTCGATCCCCATCACAAACTTCTCGCGACACCGCTCCCCCTTCCCTTCTTCATCCACCTTCCGAGGAAGCGATTCGTCGCGGATACAAGCACGTTCAACTCTGTGTGTTTAATTCAGCTGGTCTGAGTGTCAATGAGCTGCGTGCGAGATCAAAGGGACCATCAAACCACACTGCAGCCTCATCATGGCCGCAGCTGTCAACAATGAGTCCGACAGTCCCATATCATTTTAGTTTGACATGCTTCTTCCATGCTTGTTCAGCTCCTCACTCCAACCAGTGCCATGTCCCATCGTACTGCCTCAACCTTTACCGTAATCCCTCCCAAAAACTGTACTTCTCACGCTGCCGGAACGATTCGTGTGACACATTTYATGACAAAGAAGCACGCAGGTCCAGAAACGGCCTAGCTTACTTCAGCTACCTACCTAGATTTTGCTTTTTCCACAACCTTCTTCCCTTTCTCCTCCACTACTTCAGAACACACCATTTTTCTCGAACTGTACCTAAGCAGGCCACTACAACTGAGCTCGATACTCTCGCTACCTCGCGTGCTTGAGTGTCCACCAGTGGCGTGCAAGATCAAAAAGGGTTTAAGATAAGTACTGCTGCCGGTCAATGGCAGCAGAGCTTTAACAGAGGCCCGACATCTCATCCACCTTCACAATTATGCATCGCTCTCTTTGTGTATTTGAATTTGTTTCCCTGCCTGATAGTTCTATCGCCTTTTTCTCCATGCTCTGAACCACCGGCTCGTCGTCTTCACCGTTCCGAAATGTGTATGGCAGTGCCTCCAGCCCGACCGTGCAGGCTCCATCGGCGAGCTTCGCCAAGTCTCTCCTTGCCAGCGCACTTTCTCCATCTCATAAACCAGGCATCAAACTCTTGAATGACATCCTCGCATCCTTGCGCGACCAGGCGTCTATCGATTGCCTTGGAGATTAAAAATTGTTCGTAAAGAGCGCTGCTCGCCGAGGCCAGTGGTAGCGGTCGTGTTTCCGGACCAAACATCCTCTTATCCTCATATTACTCTCCTACTGTCTCCCAACATACCCCTCCTGCCTCATCGCTGTGCGTTGAATAGCTAGCAACACTTCCTTCACGCCTGTCGTCTACTAACACAATGCCTTGTTCGTCAGTTCCGGGGCCCCTAACACAGATCATGTTTGCGGCCATCGAGCAAACTCGGCTGACGCGTCAACTTGTAGCAATACCTCTCAGGCATGCCCGCGAGGAACTTCAGTGCAGGCCATCTGCGTTCAAACGCCCGATTGCAAGCTCAGGAGGTGCCTTCCTCCATCTCGCGGATGCCCGACACCGCTCCAGGACCGCGAATTATAAAGAAGTCCGCGGTTTTCCATCAACTGGGAACGCGTCTGAGAATTTTGCGTCCACTGGGATAAGCACAACCCCCAAGAAAGATCACCAGAGAGGTCCTGCGCCGCCGCAGAGTTCAGGAGGAGCCGACACGGACATTCAACCGTCAAGAAACGGAGGAAGATTGCGATACACTACACAGGGCACAATACATGGGACATGATCGCTTCCGATGCCGCAAGTCTGTCTACTTGTAGGGTTCAATCACGTTCACGCTTTTGGTCGAAAGATAGGGCGAAGGACAGGTCGTAGAGGAAGATTGAAGTTAGAAGGATATGCTCATGGGAATCTGAGCTATCGTCCGCGATTCCAATGCGCTTTCTGGAGCTGGTCATTTCACTGGGTTTCGAAGACTCGCGCTGGAAATAGTCTCATATCTCTTAGGGATAACTGCAAGAGCAGCCTCCAAGCTCGCGGCAGAGCATCTTCAAGGGAGTACAGCTTAGCGGATGAACATACTTCTTGAACGGCCGCGGGCCAGCAATGGAGAACTGCAAGAGGTTTTTCCAAGAATCTTCGAGCAAACTCACCAACCTTATGTTTACCAGCTTGGCAAAAGATAGGATCCATTCAGACACCGGCTACAACACACCACTGCTCAAGTCAGTAGCTTTAACATTTTTTACCGCTATCATCGAACTGTGCACCAGAGGGAAGCGTCTAAGACAACGCATACACGCGTCAAACTTCGTCTACTATCCCTGAACCCTATGTCGTCGTTCAGAGAAGGTCGCACGCGGTACTTCCAGCGTTTACTTTCAGCTTTTGCCTCCTTACTCTTACCTGGATATGGAAGCTTTGTGCTTGAGGGTGGAGAACCTGATACTACGCGTCGTACACACGCTTGGTGAGACTAGCACTACCAATCACGGAGAATGACACTGAAAGACGCGAGGGTGCTTTACTTTCCTGGTGCTGCGATGGACAAGACGAAGACGGTCAAAAAAATGCTGGGTACTTTCGAGCTGAGCTCTTTGCTACTGTAGCAGCGATTCTGTGGTGCTAGAAGCGAGCTCTTGTATAGTATCGAACCAAACTCTTAGAAGCCTTAGCCTCGTTGCTGCACTTCTCGCGCAGGTCTCAATCTCCAATGATGATTGGGTTTGTCCAATCGTTGCCGCTCTCCGCGGTTGGATCTCCGGATGTAGCATCAGGATTACAGCCATTGGCAACATCCGTCGTCGAAAAGCAATCACACCTCAGCTTTTCCTTGTTCCTTGGATCTGAGCTTTCAAAGAACAGCTCAATCTCCTCCGTCGAAAAGTGCGGGCATTTCTCCTGCTTAACATCATATCTTGCCGCGAATCGTCGACCAAGTTTGACTCTATCACCCATCAATCTGGTCATCTCTCTCTCCACTGCCATTGCCAGAATCTGCCACTGCTTTCCGTGATGCTCGCTCGCATTTCCCAAAATCATCATGGTGAAGACATGGCACATTTCGTGCAACAGAGTTTCCAGAATCTCCCAGGGAGTTCCATTCTCATGCCCATCAACGCAGATACTCAGAAGGTAGCTGCCATCTGAGTACATTTCTGTGGCGCCGAGTCCTCCAACTTGGCCATTGCCGAGAGTCCAGACTTCTTCCTGTCTCTTGTATTTGATTGTAAGACAGGACTTGACGAAAGCGTTGTTGAAGAGGACCTTATCGAGGCATTCCAGGGCGACGTCCATTCGCGTGAAGGAGGCGAGGTGAAGTCTGGGGTATAGCTCGTTGATGAAGTGGTGCCATTGATACACGCCGCTTAGATCGTCGGGGAGATTCTCCAGAAAGCCGACGGCCTCTTCGACGCGTGCTGCTAGTATCTCTGTAGCGAGCGCCATGGTACTGCGGCTGTGGTCGTGTCGCCGTGAGAGCTGTTGTAGTGAGCAGTGTTGAATTAAAAGTTGATTCCGGCGTGGAGCTTGGTGGGATTGAACCCATAAGCACGGGCCCGACATTCATAATCTGAAGCATTGACTTCCACCGACACGTACTGCACAGTATAATGCAATTCAGATCAGAACCACCAGAAATATACTCGAGCAAGACATCTCAAAATGGCGTGGCAAAGATGCAGGAATCACGAACTGGACTGCCTCGTCGACGGAAGGGGCTTATGTTGACGAAGAATACGACCGTCCTCTGTGAGATGCAGCGACCGCAACTCCACCATCCGAAGGGAATGGCACAGATCTTCCAATTGAATTGTTCGATGTGGAATACCTCTGCAAGCGCAAGGCCAGCCTGAATCAACGGCGACTCCCCTCTCGATGCGACCGCCAGATTGGCCGACGATACAGACCACGAACAAATGGTTCGCAGCAGAGTCTCGCTGAGAATTGCTCGACTCAAAAACTTGCATGGCAAATCGGAATACAGACTGGGGGTGGCGTCTGGGGCCCGATCATTGAAATCGATCTGTACCCTCACAAGCGCTCCTAGAACTTCTACGCCACTACGACTCACGAGTTCGGACATGGAGTGAGTGGGGTTCATTCGTTGTAGATATAGCGCAGAAATCTGCATCGGGAAGCAACACAAGCTCGAACATATTAGTCTCAAGGGACATGAAGGACACTAGCAGCGCCTAGACATAGCAGCGGAGACCCTCATAGGAATTTGCGGCGGAATCAAACAGCTTGAACAGACAGGTCACCGCAACCCAAGAAACGGATGTTTTTGGGGCGGACAACTGGGATGAGGTGGTGACAAGCCTAGACGCTACGTTCGGTCCACGGATCGGGAGCAAGATGGACTCTAACTGGAAGGCAAGAATTGAGACTGATGTTGGCGAGGAAGAGAGCAACGCAAGCACGAGCAGTGATTGAAGGACTAAGAAGGATTCGAAGATGTTGGAGGACAGCAAGGAGGAACAGGACCGAGTCTCGAGCACTTCAATAAGCTAGCAACGTTTCAAGCGTTTGCCTAGAATTCGATTTGTGTCTCTTGGTCCTGAGCATTAATACAAGCTACGAAGCCGGGGAGCAAGCAGCGCATTGGTGATACATGATAATGCCGCACGCCATAGTGGAGGGAAATGCGCTTCATTTTGAGACGCAGAGTTGGATGACAAGATCGCCTTCGGACAGMATATTGTCTCGAGGTTAATGGATGATAGCTCTGGAAGACTGAACACCGAGCGATGGTGAGAGTCTGTTCGATTTGAAAAGGCGTATGGCATGAACTGTAAAGTAGCATTGGAGCGATGTTAGAATAAATGGAGCTGGTTCCAATGAATCCCCACAAGGATGGCGCTGGTAGATCGAGTGATACGCTGGCACTGCTTCATAAATGCTGCAAAAGGACAGATGAATCATGGCAATGCCTACACGATTCAAACATACACTGCTTCCCGGGTATGGTTGCTGGCAGTGTTGACGGCGTAAACGAACGTGGACTTGAGCGCCAAGGGTCTGTGCTGATCTTTGCGGAGGTCCATTTCTCACTTAGGGCAAGTTACCGTCAATTCATTCCATCAACATCATCCTCAAGCCTTCACACCGCAATAGCACAAGTATGGCACAGGAGATCTGCACACGGGCCCTCCTACGACCAAGAGTCACCTCGATCATTCATCAAATGCAGTCCATATATTTGGCAAAACTTTTTGGCCCCTGGAGAGCTTCACAAACACCATCAATCGATGCATGGATGGGTTGCGCGATGCTGTTTGCAGGACCAGCAAGCCACGACACCATCTCGGGCCCCATATCGAGCGCTCCCGCAATTCTACGACCTTTCTGGTGCACCAATGCGGMTTTGAAGTTCATTTTGGACATGGCTGATGAGATGTACTTCGACGAAAATCTCAAAGATGTCGTCTCCATCGAATACACGTCCTTCGAAGATAGAGATTACGGCCAGACGCACACTGTGGTCTCCCAAGATGGCAAATTGCGATTCGAGATTGAGATCAACGCTTCTGTACACCATGATTACTGGACGCTTTTGGGGACAGTGGTCCACGAACTAGCACATGCTGCTGTCAATTCGTGTCTGTGTCGATGTGGTTCTGGACTTTGTCTTGCTGAGAAAAAGAAGCTTGCTCAAGATGGACCACTAGGACATGGTCAGGAGTGGTAACGTCTCGCCAGAGCATTGGAAGACTTGACCAGGGCGGTCTGGGGTGTAGATATCGATTTGGGCAGAGCAGATTCGGCGAAGGGGGACATTGAAGACGAGATCTCCAAAGAAGAAGTGTGGATATATCTGCGGACCTCTTTTGACGAACACGAGGCCAAGCAACTGTACACGCAGTGGGTCAAAGATCGCGAGAGGGCAGATGACACAAATGAGACAGTGTAGTCGGGCACTCCGATGTCGCAGTCTCCGTAAGTAGACATCATAACGGATGTAGTTTGAAGCAAGCGATACGCATACAACCCTTCCTACGCTCTGAGTACCCATGGCGGCGAAGATGGCGTATTTACTTCACCAGAGAGTGAGATCTGGCGTGACCATTGAAGGAACTACAATACACGCTACTTGAAGATACAACCGCAGTGTGATCGATCTAGTGGACGCTGCTGGCCTGTTGTCAGTCTCAAGCTCGCATTCAAACCGCCATGGAAGGCTGAGGTAGCTCAGCCGACGGTGGTAATCTTGCCTTTCCGAATGCTCTCGCTGGATGTGAGCGTCAAATCAGCGATCGCAACGCAAGTCCATTGCATGTATTGACATCAAAAGAAGAGTCTCACGTGGTCTATTCATTGGCGGACGCCCTGCTCTCAGACCTCTTCATGCGCCTCAAGCCTGTCTATTGTCGGCTGTGGGACTAAGAAGCAAGACAGAGGTGCATGTTATTCTCCCTTGTTGAACGATAGCGTCGTTTTCGGGCGCCGTGCTACTCTTCGTTGACAAAGTGAGTGGTATTCTGATGAGCGTGAGACTTTTGACCTCAGATCTCGCGTGCTTCCTTGTTGGGTGCTTGTCGACTTCTCATCTTTTCGGCCGTCTTTCGGATTGCCCAGAGCTCTGGCGCTTAGGAGTCAAAACTTATCTCCCTATTTGTTCCGCCGCATGACAAAGACCTGACCTGCTCGGCATATGTGTACACTGCTCCAAATCACCCAATAAGGAGCGTGGAGACAAGTGCACTTTTCCGTTGGCCACATGCTTCCGTTCCCGGGCTTCCAATATAATCAATCAGAAAGCTCGTCTTTCGATTCCAGGAAAACTTGCGAACCATGATCTGTGCCCCTCTGCAAAGAGACATGGACGATGACGCCTGTTGTATCAGCGATTCGATCTTCAATTAAACGACAGATGTAGAAAAGCTGACACGCATAGTTTGTGCAATATGCTGTTTCATCATTGATCAATCCGTACGTCAGGCTGCGAGAAATGCATATTGAAAGCGATGCCCCCCTTGAACCAACCAAGAGCTTCTCTCGCGAATTGCAGCATCTCCTTCTCGTTTTTTCCACGCGTCCCACATTCCAATTCACCAATCACAGACTCCCTTATCCCCATGTCCATCGGACGCCTTTCCTTCCATACCCTGGCGCTCAACTTCTCTGCCGCATCAGCGAGCATTTGGAAGTATTGCCCGTGTCCTGTCAATCCAACTTGTTCGATACGTCTAGAAGACGTAATACAAGCCAGAGATCTGCAATGGCATCGATGGCTTCTGACAACCGCATGCAAGAATTCGTGTACCAGAGACCCGAAGAATTCCCATTCCGAAGTATGTTTCAAAATATCAATCTTGATAACGATTCGATGGGYCCCATTCTCGTAAGACTCCTCACACTCCGCTTTACGATCCTCGGGGAGTCCGGCGATGATGACATCGATATCGTCGCAAAGGTTTTCGCCAAAGTACATTTCCTTCACAACTCTTTTTGCGCCGCCTAAAGCTGACTCGAGTCCTCCCGATAGCGTTGCATTGGTGAGTATGTCGGTCGCCGTGCTATTGGTCTGGAAGAAGGTCTCGAAGAGAGGGCGAATGTTGGTCAGGTAGAAGCGGCGGAGTTCTTTGCGTTTCTCGGTGGTTGCTTTGTCCTTGCGCTGCATGATGTTGATGGCGTTTCTGACGTGTAGCCGGAGCTCTTGGCCGGAGCAGCGAGCTTGTTGCGTGCGTGTGGTCATCTTTGAGAGATGCAATGTTATCGATGAATCTTGGTGTTGTTCTTAAAGGTCCACTCCAAGCCACGAATGCTGAAATTGAGCCGGGGTGCGGCTAGCTTGGATTTTGATTGAGAATTTCTGCCCATTCCATTTTTGAACGTATTGTATGCACAACTGCACAGCACCCTGCATTACTACAGCCCGACTTTCTGAGAATACTTTTTGGCAAGGTCGTCAAGGATAGTAGCTCTGCTCGCTTGCCACCTCTCGCACTACTTTTGTAAGCACGTAGCAATCGCTTGGTGCGCCTCGCCATGACCAGTCCTTCTCCGGGGCAGACTCCTGAGCCACACGAGTCTCAATCTTTTCACTATCAATGCCCGTTTGTTGACTTAGGATCTCAAGATTCAATCACTTTTTCCAGTCATCGCTCAAGGCCGGAAAGCGTGGGATGTTTGAGAGCGAACTCGCGGTTCATTCAAAAGATATCCTCTTTGATCTTGCACAGTCTTAGCACCAGATGAGTTTTCGAAGCACTTCTTCAGTACTTCTRTGCAACCAACCAATGCTGCTTGGAGTGTCGCACTTTCATTCACTGACCGGATTCAGGGTCAAGTGAGGTCGGGCGCTCCCGCTCGGAAGCTCGTACCGAGTACGAACCTTTGTCTCCGCCGACCACACGCGTTACTGGCGCGTCTTCCATCTCAACTGTTGAATATTGGCCGCACGAGTCCAATACTTACGACAAGCTGCATCTCTCAATCTCAGCTCCAACTCGATGCATCCCTCGCATCGTTCTGCTGTCACAAATGGCGGCTCAAAATCCCGTCGTCCTTGATTCCTCCTCGCCGCCGCCCGCATTCCGCCACCCGTCTGTAACACCACAAAGGAGCGCTGACGCTTCCTCTTCACCGGGATTGCCGGAAGTTTCGTCATTTTTCCAGTCCAATGGGAAGGTTACGGGAGATGTGAGGAGGACGGCGACAGCATTGCCGGGATTCACTTCTGCCGGGACGCTTTGGAAGGCAGCTGCGCTTGAAGCGGACAGGAAGGAAGGAGATGGTAGCAGCAATGCTGTGGAGAGGAAGAGTACTCGAAAATTGGCTCGGCCGGCAAGGCAATTGGGTGAGGGTGCAGGGTCTACAGGTCGAGGAAGGAACGGGACACCCAGTGTTCCGCTGTCGGAATACGACTTCAAAATTGATGCCATTTCTGGGCAGATGCAGCCACCTCTGGGTGTTAAGCAGGCAGCGAAACGGACAGTCAAGGCGAAGGATGGCAACGAAGTTGTCAAAAAGAAAAGGCCCACGGGTAATACCAAGGAAACCGGAAACACTGCGCCCAAAGCACGGAAAAGAACTACGAAGCCTGCGTCAATTGCGAATGCCGTGGAAATTGTAGGGGCTGGGAAGAAGCAATCAACTGCAGTGGCTTTTACAACTTCTGTGGACACTGCAACGTCTCGACGGCCCAGCGTTTCAATGTCCGAGTTCAGCTATGATGGAGGAGAGCCTGCTGCTGTCGAGGAAGGCAAGCAGACCAGCGCTTACTTCTGTGCTCCTGCCCCAAAAGCTGGTCGATCAACCAGTAATCATCTACAGGACCTCAATGAGCCGGCAAAGGAAAGGCATGCGACCAACGTGGCAACATCAGCTGAGCATATCGCTATGCAAAGTGCTGCACCGGCAAGCAAGATTCAAGATTTACCCGAGCAGAGTTTCCGCCATAATAACGTGTCTCTATCCGCGTATGAGCACATACCGGATGCTCATTCCGTCGAAGTCGAAGTATCCACAGCAAAGCCAGCACCAGCGAAGAAACCACGAAAGCGGGCGACAAACGCGAAAAGTGCTCCTCAAGATGCTCCGGCTAAGAAGCCTAAGAAGCGATTTGCAAAGTCGGCATCGATCATTCTGAATTCAGACGAGCCCGACCYTGCTGGTGGGGATGATGTGCCGGCTCTTGATGATCGACGACCTTCTGTTGACAGCATCCAGACCCCGGTTTATGCACCAAAGTCTAAGGAGCTTTCGACCACAGCCAAAGCCAGCACTTCGCAACCATCTTTCAGGATCGCCGAACCTAAGATGTCTGTTGAGGAAGGGTTCGCAGTCTGGAGTCAATCCGTCTACTTCAATCAAGCGCCAGGCGCCCAAACCGTCGAGATCGACGACACTGCAGAGTCTCTTCAGACCGTGTTCGCTGCCGATGGGCATGCAAAAGATGCCAACCCTGCTGATCGTCCAGCCTCGCCTCTCCCGCAAACATCGTTCTCTCGACGACGCAGCTGGACGCCTGCGAAGAACACTTACGACACACTCGATCCAGAAGTTGATTCCTCGGGAGAATCTCCAGCCGCAAGAAAGTCTTTGGCAGATTTGGTCGGCGGCTTTGGGTACGACGAACAAACAAACTCTCGTCCGAGAAGTCCGACCGGCGAACGTCTGACGAAGAGACGACGCATTGACGTTGCTGACGACCCCGCCGCCGTCCCGGCTCCGAGAAAGCCTGTGGCGGCAAAGGAGAAAGTGAAGCGAGTCAAGGCGCCGAAGAAGAAGCCGCAAACCATCACTGATTTGGCCACCAAAGCATACCGGCCCATGGAGGAGCAGGCGCCAAATGCTCAATCTACTGTGTCCGAGTTCTTCACGGCCCAGAAAGAAAACAACCCCACCACTACCGCTGCAGTCTCTACTGAGACTGGCGAAGTACCTGCGACTTTCAAGAAACCTCGAAAGCCGCGAGCTAGGAAGATTGATGATGGAACATCCACCACGAAGAAGACGCCCAAGGCGAAGAAAGTCAAGGTGAAGTTTAACGATGCGGCACATATCCCGCCTCTCCTGTCACCACAACGGGCTCGAGCGAAAGAAGGCCAACAGGGATTTTTATTCGGGACAAGCAGTCAGCTTGCTCTTGAAGAGGATGTGGACTATGTTCGGGACCTGCAGGTGGCTATCTTGGAGTCTGAAGCTGTGGATGCCATACCWCCCAGTCCGAGGAGGCTTGTGACAAAGGTGTCTGTAGGTCATGCGGAAAGACGATTGTTTTGGAGCGCGAGCCGCGATTCGTGGGGACAAGTCATCGCTGCCAATGGGGTGCGACGGAAGGGTATGGTAGCCACAGCTCAGCATACGGTTGCGAAACCACTACCGGCAATGCAGTCTGACACACCTGTCGAGCCAGCTGCAGATGATCAGCTCGGCATGGCAGCGAATGCGCTGACGAGGCAGGACAGTCTCGATAAGTGTGGTGCTGCTCCTTTGCAGCTCGAAACCAGTCAAATCGTTGATCTTTGCGGAACGTCACCACCTGCCGCTGCGGAAGATGMTCAAGAGGCTGTCATCAAAACTGCTCAGCTACCATCTGATCATTTACCCACTGGAAACGTCGAGGAAGCAATTATGCCAGCTTCCATAGCTCCAGCACCTGATGACAGCTGGATGCTTTTGACCAGCGACGATTTGGACATGGACCTGCATCTTGACGACATTGCAACTGCTCCGCCTGCGAACCTAATAATTCAAAAATGTCCCACTGCAGAACGTGCTGCCTCTCAGCCCTTTCGCACGGCGACTTCACCAGTTCCAAGTCCTGCACAGCAAAGAACGGCGCTTACAGCCCTGGATAGGAACATCGCAATGCTTGCCCAACGTTCACCTGCGAAGCAACAGCGAGCCTTCCTTAGTCAAAAATCTCGATCCGGAGCCGAGAGTCCGCAAAAGACATTGTCAAAGGAGAAAATCTCGACGTCAGCAGCGCTATCACCCAGAAAGAGAGGCAGGCCTCCGAAACCTGCCGTCTCTGAGCATGTCGATGCCTGTAAGCAGCCAGCGGCTTCAGTCCCACAGCCTCCACTCTCTTCGGACTTTGTAGCAATCGACGATATCTCAGACTCTGACTCTGATGATCTGCCATTGAAAGACAAACTTCTCGCCAAAGCTGCGTCCGAATCTCCAAAAAGACGAGAGAGACCGCGGAAAGCATCTCAGCAGTCACCTGTGACCTCGCCATCCAAAAGCTCTTTCGTCAACTTGGATGATATATCTGATTCTGACATTGCGAAACAAACACCTTCTCCTCGCAGACAAAAAGCTGGCGGCACTGCTCCAATTCGCACTTTGGAGCTCTCGCCTTCAGTCCTTGCAGATCCTGGTCCTCCACCTATTGCCGAAGGCAAGGCGGCGATGAAACCTTCTGATCCTTGCTGGGGTGTTGTGAGTCAAGTTCTTTTCAAGCGGATATCTGCTGTGGTTCAATCTACGAAACCTTGTGACAAGAAAGAGGAGCTCAGCTGGTGGGAGAAGATTCTCATGTATGATCCGATTGTGCTTGAAGATTTCACCGCTTGGCTGGCTGGACGAGGGGTTGACGTTGAGGTGAGAAGGAAGGCCGTGAAGGAGAAGGTGAAGAAAGCCAGGWAGAAGAAAGCGGAACTTGAAGAGGTTGATGTGGTAGAGGAGGAGGAGTGGGTCGTGGTGAAGGAAGAGTTAAAAGGTTGGATGGTGCAGAAGTGGTGCGAGGAGAAGAGCGTTTGTTGTTTGTGGAAGGAGGGTTTGAGAGGTGGTGTCAAGGTCAGGTATTGAGTACGATGCAAAGATCAGGTGAAAAGGTATGGTTGATGCATTGCAGGTCGCTGTATTTCTCCTTGCCTCTGCTGCCCTCCACTTCTCAACATCTTAATTGTTTCCCTCTCGGTCCATCTTTCTTTCACTCGTTGCCGTATCAAGGTATGTCATTCTCTGCTTCCTTTCTCTGTGTCCTTCACAACATCCTGCTCACATACTTCCCCTACTCTCTAGTCCCAAAGCCTTCTGCTTTTGAATAATCGACTTGTTCCACTTCTTCCTTCTCCAGTCTGCGAAGGTCAACCCATGTCCCTTTCCATCGTCATCATCTCCACTTTCRGTGTCCTTCTTGATCGAGATTGTAGATTTGCAGCGAATTGGCTGCTGATTCATACGGCTTCGGTGACTGCAATACCAGTGATACGAGTCTCTCATGCGGCGGAGTTTCTTGAGGAGAGGGGTGGTGGAGGTGGAGGGAGGGAGGCTGCTCTCGGAGTCGGCGGTGTAGGAGGAGAGGCTGGTATCCTCTGTGATTGGAGAGATGTGGCTAGCTAGAGAGGAGGGTGTGTGGGCGGTCGATGTGCTCGTCGTTTGTGCGGCGACGGCGAGAGAAGAAGTGGCGGCGGAGGCGGTCGCGGAAGAGGGGGGGTCTCTCAGGGGAGTGGTGGCGGCAGGTTGGTTGGTGGTGGTTGGAGGCGGCATTGTCGATGGTGTGCTGTTGAGAGACATTGTGCTTGATGGTTGTGTTGGAGTAGGGTTGGTGATGGCGATGTTTCTGGGTGAAGGTGTTTTCGACTTCAGATTCGATTTCTACGACTGGATCTTGAACGGACCTGAGGACTCGAGAAAGACACCTGATGACTGACTAGGGTCCACAACTTCGCACCGTGCCGCACAAAGAGAATCTTCCAGAGCAAACAACAACTCGCCGGCTTTTTTCGTTTGAGACCTTTCCTTCCAACATCTTCTCCACCACCTCGCCATCGGCAGCAAAGCTCTCGGCATGTCTGTCAGTATGTATCTTGTAGCGTACATCATGAGGCGTTCAAGCAGCTAACAACGCGCAGCGAGCCTCCAAGTCCTCAGCTCGTCCATGGTGGCGGAGTTGACGAGAATCGGACACACGTATCACCACATCCCGCCGACCCTCGTGAATCCTCCAACGATCGAGCACTCGCGACCTCCTCAAATCCAAGTCGCCCTCGATCTCGCAATCGGCACCATGAATCGCCTTGAGAGTGGTTCGGACAGCGTGGGCTGGACCGGAACACAACATGCAAGAGATTGGTTGGTAACAGCAAGAAATCTCTCCACAGACCTCTGGCCGATGGACACTTTGGTCAAGATCTTCAGCGATGTCTTCTTCCTCGACGATCCACGATACCCAGTGACCTTCAACTGGGACGACACTATCGAAGAGGAGAACGAGATTGTTACCGGCAGCAGCCTTCATGTTGGCACGGGAATCCCTGGACAAGATCAAATCTGGATCCGCGTCGATCCCATCGAGCATCACCAAGAGCAAGGCCTGCCAAACTTCCACGTTGGCTACCTCTCCACTTTCGCGAACCAGTCGATCCATTCCTACTTGTCGTCTTGCTGCTGCGCAGGTGCAAATGAGCATGCAAACTTCTCCAACACAAACGTCTGCCGCAGAATTGGAAATCAAGACTGCCCCGAGAAGTTTTTCGTCGAACACACCATCGCTTGGTTCTTCCTCGCTTCTCGCATTGAGTTGTACATGCCCAGCTTCTTCGGCTTCGAGGCCAACTTCAACACCTTTCCTACTCTGGTCAAGCAATTTCGGGCGCGTGGTATGCGGATGAGTGCTGGGGATTGGAAGTTGTTCTTCATGCATTTCACTTGGGAGGAGGTTACTTTTTTGCTTGGACGTTTGGATATGGAGGACTACCTTGCTTTTGTGGGCTTCGTGGTTGAGGATCGGTTTGTGATGCAGGTTTTTGCGGATCTAGGGTTGAGCAGAGATCGGAGTCTCAGACTTGGATGAATCCCTCATGCGAGCTTGGAACTTTGCAATGCACTCATGGAGGAATATTGAGATGCGAACGTCGTCACAATCGATGAGTCCGCCTTGATAGGGTCTGGTCGGTTGCTCATATGGCCATGGACTCTGATTGCGAACGAGATAGCCTTTCCTCTGAAGACTTCACTTTGCGTATTTAGATCGTGGCGAATGTCATCTCTCTCGGTTTGGTCACATAAGTGGTGCTCTATTAAACATCTTAAAGGCTTCTGCCAGCGGTGAACGAAGTACTCAATGGAGTAAACCCGATCCTGAGTGTCATAATGCCATGGACGGTCCAAAGAATTGGTCAGCAATGTTCTTTCACTGTTCACCAGCTAAGAATCTACTTCACTACTGGGTGGTCTTTACGACCTCAGTCATACATTCACATGCCTCCGATCCTTTCCCGCATCTCGCAACGGAACCCAGATGTTGGGGAAGTGAGGAGGCTGCTGAGGCGGCTGAAGTAAAACCGGCTGCCGTGGATGTCTGTGCGGAATGGATTATGGGGCAAGAARCACATTTACGCGCCCTCAAAGGCCCTATTCATCGAATAACGGGCCTCTATACTGGTATTAAAGGTTCTAGTAGCTCCAGAGTCGTCGACTCTACAAAGGTCAAGGCCTCAAGACGTCACAAAGACGACTGAGGGTTTCTTGTCCCGATGGCAAACCCTCATACACGCCTATCCCACCGTGCCTCCGGACGCCACGCTTCTAGCGCGAAGACGGACACGGAACTCCTCCGCATGGAGAATAGGATCATGGTCCCACTACGATTAAAGACATCGTCGCCAAGGACACTTGGTACCTCCGCCAGCTCGACAATACAAACGACTCAGAGGGATGGAGATATAACGACAAGGTCTCGGTCATTCCTCCGTGGATGATTCGCATTGACGAGCAAGGAGCGCCCAAGGGAGTGAGGATACCAAGTGGTATGCTATGGGAGATTTTGGTTCAGTGGCGCAGATATCCTGGCTAGAGGTCGTTGATTTGGCCGAAGGGTAGAGATATCTTGACAATGATCGCCTCGGCCCTCCTCCAATATCTCATCCGAATCACTACCTCGTAGCGAAATCGCTTGCTAATGCATTGGGCTTACATTTCACGTGGCTAGGTATCCAGTTTCCACGGAGTCCCAGCAGTACAATCTAGAAAATGTTTTCGAAGAAGGCCAAAGCCCAAAGGCGCAAGCACTTCTTCATGGTCGAACTCCCGCGAAGACATTCAAACCCACAAACACAATCGCCATCGGCAAACATTAGATGCTATTTGGACAGCCTGGTTCTCCTCCAGACGACACGTCTTTCCTCTCAGCATCGCATCATTTGCCAACCGAAGACAACGCTTGGCTTTCAAGAAGCACCATGTCTTCCACAATCACCAACAAGACGTCCGAAACACTACTCAGAAGTTTCTGCTCGGTTCTACGCACCGATTTGAATGGAGACAAGTGGCAAAAGAGGTCGATAAACCCGACTAGGCCGGGAGGGGCGATAACTACACGCGACAAGGGTTGGCAGGGACCTGGGAAAAAGAAGCGAACCAGTATTGATAGCCCACTGGCCCTTGGAGTTGAAACGGTAGCGCGACTTTCCGGTACTCCAGACAAGACGCAGAAAGAGGGATTCGAAGAATGGAATAAATGGTACGAGGACAACAAGTCTTTCCAGGTGCGAGATTGGAAGAGGAAGATGCAAAATCTCGCCGAGATATTCAGCAAGATTTTCTTCCTCGACAAGTTGAAGTGTGCTTTGGAATTCAATTGGGATAAACAGCTTTCCGGAGATGGTGGACCCGTCTATGGCAAGACTACGCATCCTGACCACAATTCAGTGCATATTCGGATGGATAATCGCGATCACTCAGTGTTCAAGAAAATAGATCACCACGCCGATATCATCTCGACCTTCATCCGCGAGCTGATCTGCGGCCATCTCTTCTGTTTCTGTTGCGAGGGAGCTGTTCCAGGCCGCTCAGATGTTTGTCGCTGGAGCGGTGATCCCGGCAACAAAGGTGACGGGCGCTTCTTCGGATGGTTCATCGTTGCTTGCAAGATCGACTTGTGCATGAAAGATCTGATCAATATAGACGGCCATTGCTTTAGCTTGCGAGCTGCCATCTCTCATTCTGAGAAAGGCGGTAAGATTTCGGCGGGAGACTGGTTGCTGTTCTTTACATTGTTCAACTGGTCGGAGATCGCTAAGCTGTTTGATTACCTTGATTCCAGTGCAAAAGAGCGAATCTCGTTCCGGAGGATGCTCCAAAAAGAAAACGAGGTGGCGCAGGTTTGGGCAGAGCTTGGTGAGAAGAATCCGAACAAGGCTGTGAAGGATTTGAGATGAGTTGCGCCAGAGATATGGAGATCCTTAGTTTGAAGAATGGCTTTGCTTTGCATTCCAGATATGTGTTGATGAAAGCGATTGTATCGACAGAGGTTTCTGAGCCCAAGGATAGTGCAGTGCAATCGTATGTCCCTAGCGATTCCTTTGTCAATGAAATCTAGCCCGTCTTTTCAACCCAAAGCGAAGGCTACTTGAGCAAGCCTTGGTCTTGCGCTATGACAGCATGAGTTAGTCTTTTGCGTCGCTCGTAAGGGAGTCGTCATTTACTCCACGACATTCTTGATTGATCAGAGCCATGGCTGGTACTTGCGAGCGGTTCGCGCACACTCTCTTGTTTGTCAGGCGCCAGAATGTGCCGGTCAAATCAAACTGAGCCGGTCTTTAGCAAACTCCAAGCCAGATACATACAGTCAGTCTCGGGCCCATACCTTCACCGCCTTACCCACAACAGCGGCTTTCATATCTTGCAATAGGGTGACAGACACGAAACTCTTTTCCTGGCTCTTTTCTCAAGGTTGGTTGTTCAGCTGGCAACATGGCGAAACCTCTGAGTCTCCGAGATCTCTGCAAGGAGTTGCGCAAGTGCTTCGACCAGTCAGCGGAAGGCGTTGATATGGATGCAGAACGAGAATCCCAGACTCAACCAGGTTCGGCGMACACCAGTCGTGAAGAGTCCCGAGAGTTGAAGACAGATAAGTGCAGGACAGACACACCACTTGATCTGGCCTACGCTACCCTTGGGAGGCTTAATACCGAGCCAGATGATTCCCAGAAGAGTGGGGTCGAAAAATGGAATCATTGGAACAATAAACACGGTGGGCTGGAGGTAAAGGGTTGGACTGTGGGTGACATGGTCAATTTGGCATCCATCATGAGCAGCATCTTCTTTCTTGATGAATTCCGATGGCCGGTCACCTTCGAGTGGAAGCCGAAGAACTACATCCAGGGTACGAAGTACCTCTATTATGGAACTGCTCAACATCGCCGAAGCGGCGAAATTCACATCTGCGTTGACCCGAACTGTCACAACGAGGTGAAAAAGCTGGACAGCCACAAAACCGCCATCATTTCGACCTTTTTGCATGAGCTTACTCACGCTTATCTCTTCTCATTCTGCTGCAATGGAGGGACTCATCATGGTGATACAGACGGGCCATGTCGCAGAGATGGTCAGATCGTTTGGCCAATGGATAAAGGCGGCAATGGGCACTGCATGGGATGGTTCCTGATTGCGTGCCAGATCGATGTTCTCGTGATGAAATTGATTGGTATCAACGGCCATCTTTTCAGCTTCCGGTCTCTGATCTCTCACTGCAAAGGCAGAGAAAAGGTCTCGGCAGGCGATTGGCGGCTGTTTTTCTCGTCATTCGATTCGACGGAGGTCAATAAGCTGTATGAGAACCTCCACGACAACGAGAAATTACATGAAAAGACCAATTTTTTGGACATGCTCAAGAGAGACAGGGCAGTTATGCAGGTTTGGGCGGAATGGGGCGAGAAGTCTTTGTAGATGATYTGTTGAGATAGGAATCGTTGATGGGAAGGTTTCGATATCAAGTGTCCCCACTATTCAAACAGCCGCTTTCCCAGTCGTGGGTAGCGAGTAGCGAAGTGCCTTCTGGAGAAGAGGTCTCGAGTTTCAAATCTTCTCGCGAGACAGCATTCACTCATGTTGCCTTCCGGTCCCGGGATATGGCGAACATAAAGAGGACCAGCTCCCAACCTCTCCCGTCTGTATGAAGTCCTCACAAAGGCGATGGTAATACGCCTCCGTCACACGAGGGCGTAGAGCATGCTGCGGTGGAAGACATCTACCCTAGTATAATGGTTGTTCGGGAGAAGAAGGTGGCTCTTGTTTGCTGGCGGTGATGAAGAGGTTGGCACCTGGTCTCGCAATGTCTCGATAAGAGTCAACACCATTGCCGAAGACTGCGACGAGCATTTTGCCTGTCCGTTCGATAAGCCTTCCGAGTGGTCTCGGATGATACCCATCTACAAGAATGAATCACTTTTCGATCCTCGATGTTGGTTCCCTATGAAGCGCTTCGTCTCGAAGAAGCCGAGATCTCGCCTGCTATYGAGATCATCGTCTTGTCGTTACCAGTAACATGCTTTTTGGCTACTATCTTCGTCTCCGTTGTTTCTGAATCGTCGCAGTGTCCATGACAGAAACATGAAGTATGTTCACGTCTCCCAGATCTGGACAAGCGCATGGAGGGTTACTACTTTATCGTCGCCTGCGAGACGATCTCATGGGCTTGTAGCCTTGTTGTTGTCGGTATCCGACAGACCCTCTTAGCATCAGGGGGACACTGAGAGATACCGTTCGATCGTTCCATGCGTWTCCTGTACATCGACTGAGCGACTGTCGAAGAGGATCGTCGACGGAGTGTTTCGCTCAGTTTCGCAAAGTCATAGCTTCCAGCGTGATGTCGTGAATGGCAAGGAAGCGGRGAGATGTCCCAGATCGTTCTACCAGTGGCTTCCACTCAAGACTCCGCTTGCTCACGTAGCGACCTCGCTCTTCATATCGACGTCTTTCCGAGCAAGACATCAGTACTCTCCTCGGTATCAAAATGTGTCCATCGCTCATGGACGATTACATTAGTGGCGGGAATCCTGCAGAAATGGTCCTCCGCGGAAAAAACATCGGCTCCAAGAGTATCGAAGAGGATGGGCCTCAAAAACGTGGGTGTCCCTGATCATCGTTGAGTTTGAAGCCAGCTAATAGTGGCTCAGCACTGCTGAAGAGGCTTTGCGACGACTTGAGGAGCATGCTTGCCGTCAAGCACTCCAACGACAGCATCCTCATCCCTTCTACGCAAACCGCACGGATCTCGCAATCAGAGGTCGACAGATATCCTCTCGACTTGGCACTTGCAACGATCCAAGCACGGGATTCGCATCGCCTCGGTGCGGCGCAGCAGGAGGGCAAACAAGAGTGGCATACCTGGAGATTCAGACATGCCTCTGGTCTAATACTGAACRCCAAAGGCCATCTCTCTGAGAGCGACACCTTGGCGCTGGTGCAGTGTTTCAGCAAAATGTTCTTCCTGCCCAGGATGCGCTCTGTGCAGTGCGAGTACAAGTGGATAGACGGACTTGCAAAGAAGAASAACAAGAACGCATATGGACTGACTGATCACCTCCCACAGCCAGATGGCGAATACTCATCTCGAGAGTTCCAAGTCCGGCTGGATCCAGGAGATTTTCGAAAGGATTTGGAACTCGGCACGCAGGTGGAGGTCTCTTGCTCGATACTGCTGCACGAAATGATTCATGTGTATATTCTCGCCTGTTCATGCGATGGTATCCACACCAGAAGCAACGAATGTACCAGAAATGGAAGAATCCTATGGCCTACTGGATCCGGGCATTGCGTTGCGTGGTTTCATCTAGCATGCCACATTGAGCTCTGCATGTCGCGGATCTGTCCGGGTTTTCAAGTTAATCTGACGGTCCTTCCTGGACTTCTTCAGGAGCTGCAGGCAGGTGGCTTGCCACTTGTTGCAGCGGAATGGGCAAGATTCTTCGATTCGTATAGCTGGGTAGAGGCGTGCGGCTTGTTTGATCGGCTTCATCCGAAAGAGCGGGACATTCTTCGTACTCACTTGGCTCACGACCCTTTCGTGATGGCGGTCTTTGCCAATCAAGCTTGAGCATGCGGTTTGAGTGTGGAAGATGGGCAAGTGCCGCGGGAGGGAATCGGAAGAGGTCAAGGTAGACATCGAAAATGATCTAGCAAAGATCCAGAATCTGATTTGAGGGCTTGAGGGTCTAGATCAAAATCCAGGTGAGTACAAGGACGGTAGCAAATTCTCGACTTCGTGGCCTCCAATGTTCACTGTGATATCAATCTGATCATCATCGGCAGCTGCGTTGTAGAGCTCGCCTCAAACGCRATGCCGTTCTTCGCTCCGGAGTGGAGACACTCCTTCAATATCTGTAGCTGGGAGGCAACATGTAAGCTATTCAACCGCATGACGGCCGAACAATAAGATCATCTCGCCAAGTGTCTTCTCCTTGGCCGAGCTGCCATCAGATCTTTGCTGAGGAAGTCAAGAAGCACATGTATGGTAGAGTCAGAGCAATGATGATACCAGTGACTTGTGGAGAGAACACTGGCTTGGAGGTGATGTTGATGTGCTAGGGGTAGGGAAGTGTGGAATCTCCGAATCGTATGTTGCGCAACCCGGAACTTGACAAATCGGCAGCGTCGGAATGATCGGCGTGGACTCCGCTCGATCGCGATGAGATTCTGGTGAAGGCGATGTAGATGGTATGTGTGTTGTGTGCTATACTGTAGCTACATGTCCCGTTTCCATGGCCCTCGCAGCATTATACCATCCCATTACAGCTTGCAGTTGTAAGCATTGCTAAAGGTATAAAAAACATGTATTGGGTGCATCTCGCTTTGCCGTGTGTGGCTCGCGTGGACAAGGATGTTGGGCATAAACTTAGCCCGATACGAGGGGTCGTGTGCACATCAGCTGCTGCGCCTCTGCATTGGGTTGGGTTGTTGACGCGTAAGTTACCCGTGCTCGAGCTCTTTTCGACGAATAGATGCTTCTCTTACTGCGAGAATGCGTTGTTACACTGCAGGATGCAGAGAACAGGCAATTAAGCGCCTGGCGCATCTGAAAACATTCCCGGAAAATGTGCATGGCCCGCGTCATCGTCGAACAAGGGTCTTGTCGGCCAGAACGGATTGCCGCCGGGGTGCTGCGTGGAGCGTGGAGCGTGGAGCTGCCGTCAAGCGCGTGGCAGCGATTTTTGGTTGACGGATCGCCGGATCTTTCGTTGAAAACAGTTCCTGCGGTTAGAGATCGTTGGTACAGCAGTCAATCAGTAATATTCTACCATTTAATTCGACCAACCAATACCATATGACCTATAGCTTATACGGTCATATTGTCCTCGTGGGAAAAGCGTGTTGAGTGTTGAGTGTGTTGAAGGTTAAAGTTGTCGGGGGGGACACACGTCCAACAATTTCTCCACCTGCATCTGCATCTTTGCAACCTATCGTGCCTGCGGACTCCCGCTTTACATCCTCCTTTCACCACCTCACCTTACACTCGCTACCTCGCCCACCTTTGAAGCCCCTCGATCTCGACGACGACCACGACGACCACGCTCTCCACCGCTGCTCCAGTTCTCACCACATGCACCGCGCTCAATGAGAGCGTTCGCGCTCGGCGGCGTGCTTGCCGCCGCTCTCTTTCCTTCCTCCCGCGCCGCCTTCATCTCCTTTGAGAACTGCTTGCCGGACTCGTTTATCAATTCATCTCCGKAGCAGCTGCAGTTCAGGCCTTTATTCGTCGAAGCCTCCTTCCTCGGACCAAACCACAGCCTGAACCTCACCGTATACGGCAATGTCACTGGTCAGCAGTTCCAAGGCGCATATCCACCGGCGAGCAGTGAACAGTGGAGCGACGACAGCAACGCCTTTGGAAAGATTGTCAACGTCACAGATGGCAAGATTGCAACGCTCACGGCGGAATACGAGGTGGTGACATTCACAGCATATCGCAGTCCAGGAGAGCCCTTTTGMGATGCGCTGACCCAAGGCGACTGTCCTCTGGGACCCATCTTCGGCTCCAATGCCAGCGATCCTCAAGAATTGCACGCCTTCTCCGTCTCTCACGACTTTGGTGGCTCCTTCGCTTTCAGCACCATCTCTACCACATTTCACATCATCTCCAGCGGAGCAGTTGCCACGAACATTGGCTGTATCAGCGCTCAAATCACTCCAGACCTGGGAAGCCAAATCGTTGGACTCCTCACTTGGCTGCCCGCGGCCATTCTCATCATCAAGGCAATAGCGACGCTCATGGCAGCGATCGGCTCACCATGGGGCAGTTCAGACATATTTCGCTGGAGCAGCAACTTTGGAAGAGACGAGGATCTGTTACGGCTGGTGACGCCTGGGTTTGGAGATTGTCTGCAGTACATACAATGGGTGGTCTTGACGGGAAGTTTGACACTGCAATATCCAGGCTTCTTTCGCCCAGCTGTGAGTCAGACTGGATGGTCAATCCTGCTGTTCAACGAGAGCTATGTCAGCGGTGGAGACGGATACCATGCCCTGCAGGATGGCTTGTACAACACCAATGCCACCTACGGCCTTACCCGCATGAGCCAACTGATTGGTATGGAACGATCCCAGGACATTTGGGCCTGCATRGCCATTTGGCTGCTCGTCATTGCCGGCGTGCTCGTCCTGCTATGCCAGCTTGGCTTTTTCGGACGCTGGATCTACCGATCGGTCACCAACACCACCGAAGAGGACTTGCGGCAGAAAAACCTGCCCTTTACGCTGGGAAACATCATACGCCTGCTGTTCAACTACTTCATCCTTCCGATTGTTGCACTCAGCATGTATCAGCTGGTCGTTGCGCCCCGATCCCCGGTCAGCGTTGTGGTTTGTGCGGTCATTCTTCTGGTCATCATGATTCTCAGCACCGCGTGGATCCTCAATGTCATCTTCGCTACCAAACCGCGGACACTCCTTTTCGACGACATGCCAACGGTCCTGCTCTACGGACCTTTGTACAACACATACAGCGACAGCGCGGCACCTTTCGCACTAATACCAGTTTTCATCACATTCGTTCGTGGCGTCGCCATTGGAGCCGTCCAGCCCAGTGGCATTGCCCAGATTATCGTTCTTGCTATTTGCGAGGTCATTCTCATTCTCACCCTCAACGGCTTCAAGCCATTCCAAGGACAGACAAGCATGAATCTCTACCATACCTTCTTCGCGGCCGTGCGACTCATCACACTCATGTTGATGATCGCTTTCGTCCCTTCGCTGGGTGTGACGGAAGCGCCCAAAGGATGGATCGGATATGTCATTTTACTCCTCCACGCCTGTGTCTTGGTGTTTGGCTTCTTCTTGAACGCTGCTGCGACAATCATTGAGGTCGCCATCCGAGCCATGGGCGCAGGTGGCAGCACTCAATCTGGCGTTGTGCGAGGTAGCATCTTGAACTGGCGCATGCTCAAGAAGCGACAGGACCGACCGGATCCAGGCCATCGAAATAGTATGATGAGCAGTGCCGCCATCCTGCGCAATTCGCAAGGGGATGCAATGAGCCAGACGTTCGGCGGACGCAGTAGAAGTGTCTCCGCTAGCAGCGCGCAGCTTCTCAATCGCATGAGCGGCTTTGACAACTTCTCCCAGCCTGGCGAAAGTATGACGACTCCGGATCCTGGCTCTGWCATTCCAGGCGATTACGGACCCAACACCAAGCCCCTCATCTTTGGCAAAGCAGACGGCGACAACTTCTACAGACCTCCCCGGCCGCGCAAATCAACGTTGGACGAGCTCAACCCCGGCCCCAGAACTAGAAAAGTCAGCGCTGCCGATGTTCCTTACCAAGACTCTCCGGGCCATGCTCGCGAGGCCAGTTATGACAGCGGCGCCGGCCATGGCTCTCCTCCGCCAGTTCACATCCGCGATCGCCAAGAATCCGCCGATGAGACTGGTAATCGTACAGATTATGCGGTGCGAGAAGTCGACCAATACTATCGTGGACCGGCGCTTAATGAGCAAGCGACCCGGAGGCTCAAGACCGGGCCAGCAGATCCTACTGGCCCAGCATCGACCGCCCAGAGCTGGTTTCAGAAATTGATATTTGGCGTGCAGGGCAAGAAAAAGGACCAGACCAAGGGCTTTGAGGTTGTACGTTCCGCCCGTATGCCGCCTCGACAGGACGACGGACCAGCAGATGAAGGTGTTGAAATGCAGACTGCACCAGCGATGCGCGATGTCAAGTACGATGATAACCCTTACAGTGACATGCCAGAGAGTCCTGGAAATGAGTTGCAGACTGTTGCAGGCGCCGAGAGGCCTATCAGCCCGACTGATGACCAGCGAACCAGTATCGAATTGATCGATGGCGCAAAGGGTGGCATGCATAAGCCAAGACTTGTTTCCATAGGCTCTGCGGGGTCCAGATCGAAGCACGCCTCGAAACTATCGCGAACAGTTGGAATGGGTGCGTCGGAGGGGACCAACTTCCTAGGACCGAACCTCGCAGGCCCCGAGGACCCCACTTTCGCTCCATTCTTTGGTGATTCAGGCATCTACGATCGCGGCACTCCGCCCATCGGTCGCAGCGATACCATCTCACATCCGGTTCTCCAGCCCATTAGCACTGAGCATGCGGCTGCGGTGGGAGTTGTCCCTGTCTATCAACGCAGACTCAGCGAAGCAACCGCTGAATCTTCCCTCGATGGATATGGAGGGACTGCCGTGAAGACTGAAGACCGTCTTCGATTTTCCGACCTCCCGATCCCGACTCTGGCACCGATTGATCCAATCGGCGGCATTGATCTTCCCTCGCGCTTCAACTCGAATGCAAGCCGCTACACTACCACGTCGTACAACACCGCCCCTTCTAGATACAACTCCTCCGCAACAGCCACTGCTTCACGAACAGCAGAACCTCCCGCCTCATCAGCAAACTCGGAATGGTTGAGAGCTGTTGACGGACTGGATTGGGATCATACACCCAACACGGCTCCACAGCCCGTGCAACGCCGTACTCCCAGCGTCCCACGGAGAAGTTCCCGCCGGCATCCCTCCTCTGAAGCTGGTTCAAGTTCACGCAGCCGAGGAGCTGCTGTCGAACACACCTTTGCCGGATTCGATTCCACAACCTACAAAGGCGACATGACGGAACATGAATCCTCGGTCAATGGACGAGCTTCGAGAGACGGGGTTGTGAATGTTGACAAGGCGGTTCGGTCGACCAAGGTCAGTACGCATAGGGCTGTAGATAGTTTCACGAGGAATAGCCTTGGGGTCAATGCTGCGCTGAAGGAGAGTCATGGAGAGGTCGAGGGTGGAGAGGAGTCTTGAGATGGGACCTTGGGCCTGGACTGGATTTGAAAGTTTAGCGTTGGCGTTTCGGGGTGTGGGTTGTACATGAGCTCTCTCTCTCTTCCCCATTCTCTGATGGATGAAGGGGTTGAGGAGGGAAGAGAAGAAGAAAAAGTTGTAATAGTCGTTAATGCTGTAATGAAGATTCTTGTGACATTTCTGGCTGCAAATTCTCGTGATTCATTGATTGATCTACTCGTTTGCAAGATATCTTCTACGAGATGGAGATCTTGACGAATTCTTTCTGTGGTCTCTGATATGGAGGTATTGGAGAGATAGTGAGAAGATAGGGTTAGGGTTGGGGTAGTGTTTTGGTTTGAGCAGTCAATGTTGTGGGCGACTTACACGTATATGTAATGGACATGGACTTTATACGGGACTCTCCAGATCTGGTTCGAAGATTTGTTTGTTATGACATAAACTGTGGTCAAGAGTACGCATATCGCGAGGACTTTCTTAAGTTGAAGTCGAGCAGCAATCGGTGAGGGTGAGAGACGATTTCTCCTGGTCCTTTCCATTCTATCGCTACGAGTTCAGTTTCGTGCTACAATGTCCTCGAAACCAATAAGTAGGTCGTAATCACGCCAGGTCAAGGGAGCCAAGACACCCGTACTAGATAAGTCTCTATCCGTCTACCTGTCAAAAGGAGTGCCCAGCCTAACGAAGTTGTACAAGGATCTAAGCGAGCGTTTAGATAGATAGATTGAACCGCAGATCTTATAGTGTTACTAGCACTTGAAAGAGCACACAAGCTCCATCTCCATCTCCTTCTTCTACTGCAGACAGGGTTGATTCAGTCCTCGAGGTGATCCGTCAACTCAGAATCTGACAAACTGTAAGCATGGATACGACGCTCCAGTTGGACTGCCATTGATTGGACATGAAGACTTTTGATAGTGCTGATGGTGCTGGACTTTCGACTCTCGCGAGGAATCAGGGACGAGAGACTAGCAGGTGATTATCTTGGTGATACTGTCGCATGAGATTGCCTGTGCTCTTGGAATTGTGATGGACGATAAGACTGTGAGGAGTGTCAGTCTGGCATGCTCTCGATCGTATGTTTTCGATATCTACAAGCGTGGGAGAGCGTTCTCTGCTGAGGAGTGGGCAATGTTCTTTGAGAAATGTAGCTGGGAAGATAGGGAGGACGTTTTGAGAGGCTGGACTTGGCTCTGGCGCAGAGTTTGCGGAGATCCATTGAGGAGGATATGGAGGGTTTGAAGTTGTAGGTAGTGAGAGAGAGAAGAATAGGAGCGAGAAGCTGTGATCATGGTACGTGAAGTGAAAAGTGCAGTAGCTGCTTCCTCGTCCGGAGACCATGATTGCCGATGCATGTGGCTCGAAGTTTTCGAAGAAATGTTCGGTGATAGAAAGAGAGAGGGAGGGAAGTTAGGGATGCTGAAGAATCTGCGTGTATCGGAATCTGCGTGTATCGCACGGCAAGGTAAGAGATACTATGACTTGCCTTAACTGTTCTTTAAAAGTGTAGACTCGCTCCAAAAGCCGATAAGCAAGGTGTTACATGTCAGGATCGCGGACCTGAAGTCTTACATTCCCCCCAGAATCTTAGAGAGGGACATGCAGCCGAAATTCCGTACCAACGTTCGGCACTCCTTGCAGCATGCATCAAGCTTACATCGCCTTTTTCCACTTACTGTACTTACTTGCCTCCCTACATCCAACTCGAAAACAATGCATCGCCGCAAAATGGAGATTGCAGCGAAGATCAAATTGAGTGGTCTGTTCCACCTCGTTCGGAAGGAAATGAAAGATGTGCGAAAGGAGATCCAAGAGTTACGGGCTTCTGTTGCGTCTTTGAATGTGGTCGTCTCTGAGCTGCAGCGGAATGGAAGCAGTGGACAAACTCTCCGAGGGCCGAAAGAGATTTTGGGGCGTCTGGGGAGGATTGAGGGCTTGTTCGACGTGGAGTACGAAAAACCGAAGCCAATTCTCAAAGGGAGCGATGTTGAAGAGGTGGAAGACGAGGAGTATGCGCTTTCCAGACCTGTGCTAGAGGAACCTACTACCGGACAAGTTGAGAGCAGCGATCCGGAGGTCGAGAATGCTGGTCCAGACACAGTTGCCTTGGATGTCAAACCTTCCGCACCCAAGGACAGAAGGTTGCGTATTCCCAGAGCCAAACATGTCACTTTTGAGCCACCTCTCGCCAATTCGGAATTGCGCCCAACGCAGTCTCAAGACACTCGGCCGACCACCTTGGAAGTGACCGAGGAGAAGGCCTCAGATATGCCAGCCTCGAAGAAGTCGTCCGGTGAAATTAGTCCTCAGGACAAGCGGTTTGATGCATTGTCGTCGCAGATAGCGCAACTGGTCCAAGGACAGGCCGAGATCATGGGACTTCTGAAAGGGTTAGCAGAACAGGAAGCAACACCGACGAAGAATCCGGTTGTAGTTGCGCGGCCGAGGAAGATACGCCGGAAAGTGGTGGGGTTTGTCTATGAGGATGATAGCGTAAAGGTGTAACAACATGGCGGTTATTTATGATAACGGGACTCTTTGAGAGTGGCAGTAATGGTCCTTGGCACCTCATGGGCAACTTAATACCAGTATGCAGCTTCAAACATGTGGAGAGCTGCCCAGTTGGGCGTCGAGAAGTTGATTCTGCATCTTAGCCGTGGCTGTGGAACAGTCAAAGTTGTCAATCATCACATCAACCTCGTCATTGGCGGCCTTGCCTCTTGCAGAGAGGTGTCTTTCTTTTCCGCGTAGACCCACTCGGTTGTTGAGTTTGGGAAAACTGCGGATGCAAGTGGAGGAGATGAAAGATGGAGACTCCACATTCAAATATTGACTCTGGAAATTAGTTCACCCTGCCCCAAGGTTTTCAACCCTTCGGTACCAGACGGCCGGTGAGCCTTGCCCCGATGCCGTGTTCCTCCAAAACGTGTTCCATTGAGCTGTTGGTGCGGCTCACGTTGGAGCGTTATGTGTGTGTTGAGGTGAATATTGCATGGTGAAGTCGTTGAGTATAGTCAGTGCAGTGCAGGGAGGAAGAAGTGCAGGTGAAACACTTGTAGCATCCGATCAAGGCTCTCCCTTTCATTCAGATCTGCATCCTCCAGAAGCCGATGCTCTAGCGAACATCTCCCACAAGCCTGCTGCGCATCCAACGCAGCTCAAGTTCGGGATAGTTAAGTGATACTGCGGGTGTGCTTCTTGTACCCAGATCTCCCCAATCCCAAACCAGCTTTTGACCGTTGGTACCTGACGATGCCGTTGATCGCCACGAGTTCATGAGTCGCCGGACAATAAATTAGGCGGTGCGGAAGGATAGGCTGCATGAACCGTAAGACTTCGTGCATGCGGAAACACCCTCTTTCTCCAAGCCTCGTCTTGAGGCGTGCTGTGTTTTGAGATGCCCTTTTCTTCCTCCAAACGGCCTCAAAGCGCCGCGATCACCCTACGCGATGGGACGGGCGCGGTGGAGCAGCGGAGACGGACTGTGAGCTTTGCGCCGGAGGAGGTGCAGAACATATGGGATCGTCCGAACTGGCCTCTGACTGCTGCTTCCGACGACATGGAGGAATTGGAGCCGGGGACGGAGCTGCGTGAAGGACAGGCGGTCCAAGGGGCGGTGGTGCAGAAGTCGCAGGATCACGGCATGCAGCTGGGAGGGAAATACGGATACACGTTTGACGAGCACGAGGTTAGCGATATCGAGGAGGAGGAAGAGGACCTGGAGGAGGATGATGCGGAAATGTTGCAAACCCCATCGACATCGACGCTGTCACAATCGCAGTCTCGGTCTCCATCCCACCACCGACGACCGGATTCACCGTCGTTTCACCTTCAGCCCACGCCCTCCACCTCTGAGTCGCACAAAACCTCATTACGAGGCTTGGAACGCCCAACCGAGCCATCTCCCCAGCCAAACGTTTCACTTGTCCACGAAGGGGAACCCCAGCAGCACCATGCCATTACCAGTAGTACGGCCTCTTCATCAGCACCCACGTCAGATCAGCAGGACCAGCAAGGCCAGCAAGACCCACCACCACATCCGAGCAGCTTACAACAACCGATACACTCACAATCAAATGGGCAGACGACGACGATCACATCCGACGACAATGCTTCAGAAACGCGAGACAGTCTAGCCGTTCCCATCACGCCCAGCACCGCCACCAACAACAACYCCCCCGTCCTCCAACAAGGCTCACGTCTCAGCTATCACGCCGTCCCTTCCGCGAACAACAGCCGCGCTTCTCTCGCCAAGGCGCCGATGCATAGTCCGCCTTCCCACCGCCGCACATCCACACGATCTTCGCACAACCCCTACAACACCACCCAAATACCCTCGAACAAGGAGCGACTACGATATAGTTGGCAATCCCTACAAGATGACGAGCCGAACCGTCCACGGATACACATCATCAAGCTGGTGTCGAATACAGCGACGGCTTCTGCAGGGTTTCCCACCGGAGAGGCCTTTGGGTTCTCCATCTCACCTGGCGGGAGGAGGATCGCGGCTTACAACAGTGCGAGGTTGTATCTGTTGCAGACTGCAGCGCTGCCTGTAGGCATTAGCCAGGACTATGCATTGAAGAGAAGGCCTTTGGCGGTGGAGCTCACCGACGAAGGAAATATCATGGCCATTTTGACCGATGGTCATACGGTCAACATCTACGATCTTGAACATGAAGTCAAGAGAACACGGACAATCAAGCTGGATTTCCATTCGAGTTGCATTGCGCTGGCTCCTACGGGTGGTCTCCTGGCTGCTGCGTATGAGGGTGGTGTTGAGATCTTCTCGCTGGATGCTAGTGCGTTGCCCACGGACAGGAGAGCTGTGAGGTCGATCAGGATGGACCGGATGACCTTCTCAGAGGATGGGTCGACTTTATTGGGGACCACAACAAGAATCAACGTCTCTTCGACTGTGGTTGTGTCGGTTCCCGTCTTTCCCTCAGCRGCGGAGGGAACTCCTACACACGCAGAACTCAAGGAGGCATGGTGTTCTGAGCTCCTCCACCCTGAAAATATCCGCAACAGTAGTCACGCAACATTCATGCGCGATGCACGGACAACCTGCAACGATCGACTCTTCGCATGGAACGGACTGGAGGACACCTTTGGCCTGCTTCATGTCGCAGATATGCACTACGGGAATGCAGAGTTCCCAGTTGTGATTGACCCGCCGCTGTCAACATGTGGAGGGCTGGGAGCAGCAATCCACAGCTGTCCTGCGATTGACGAACACGGAGACACGGTTGCCATGATTGTCAATGATCGCACAATCCGCTTGTACATCGTCCCAAGGAAACAAGTTGATGAGAGTATACCAGTGGAAGCGCATAGCATTGACCATGAATTGGATGAAGGGTATGGATGTCCGTTCAGTGAGGTGCGATGGGTGCACAGTTCTGCGGCATTGCCCTCGCCTGCGGATACTTTAAACTCTGTCAAAGGCAGATTGATCGTTACAAGTCCTGGAGGCGTGAGCGAATCGGGGATTAGTGAAGAGAGTGTGGAGGATATCGAGGGCGGAAGAATCATTCTTTTCGACTTTGATCCGCAATTTGCAGGACAACCAGGTCAGACTTTCAGTCTGACTTTGGGGAAGAGTCCGCCTCAAACTTTGGAGGAAGAGCAGGTGGATGTTGCTGAACAAGTTGCGCTTGTGAGGAAGCGGACGGTCAATCAAAGAGAGCGGGGAGGACTCAGTCAGAGACCTACCATGCTCGGAAGGGCAGCGACAACATACAACACTCACCTGCGAAGAGGGCCGAGTGCGATGGGTGGGAGGAGCGCACGAACGAGTATGCTTTCGATTGGAACGCTACAATCTGAAGGTGCGAGGAGTCTCCCCGATCTAATGGAAAATGGTGAGCAATCGGAGAGCTACGAAGAACCGTATGTGCAAGGTGCACCCAGATCGCAGGCAAGTCTTCAAAGAGCTGCTTCCAATGCGCAACGGCATCGATATCAAGCTCTTGAAGAGAGAAGTCGAGAGAGGATTTCTGTTGATTCCAATGGGAACTTTCTTCCCCTGCCGGAGTATACTGAAGAGCCGAATGCTCCTCTGCCCCAACGTTTCCGTGCTCTGGCTGGATTGGAGACGCCAGCTGCACTCCCGGGGAAACCCTCGTCAGGGCTTACTCCAGACTCCGCAGAGTCCATCTCACCTCCTGCCCTGAGCGAGAGCTTCACCGCGGACCAACACTTCCGCCCTGCTACCAACACACCACCCTCGGCAGCAAGCATTCGCCCCTCACCAAGTCTAGATTTCCACCTCGGCCGCTCCGCATCCCCTGCAAATGGACCCGCGGCGAGCATTCGTTCAGTGTCGACAACGAACAACTCCTCCTTCTATCCGACGCTACGAGGAGGAGAGTCTTACCGACCTGCCAGTCCAGCGGCAAGTACGCGGACACTCGAATCTGTCAGTGCGCATCAGCAGCAATTGAGACCTGGTCCATATGGCACCCCGAACTTCCTGCCAAGAAGCCTGCAGAGGGCATACAGCAATGCCGTCTCTCCACTCCCAGCGAATGAATCCCGAAGTGGGAGTCGCGCAGGAGCTTCGTCCGCTTTCGGAACACACTATGCGGGGTCCGTGCAAGAAGAAGATGAAGCGGGATGGGATATCATCTCTCCGGTCGCTCCGAGTCGGACAATATCACCGTTGGACATGCGAAGGATGAGTGCGAATGCGAACCCGAATCGCTTTTCGCAGCAGCATTTGCAACAGCCAGGGACGGAGAGTAGAAATGCCAGTGTTGTTAGCGCTTCTACTGCTGGAGGATACGGACCTTCAGCGCACCAGCGGAGTTTGGTACACGATGGGAGGAGATTGCCGCCGCATATTCTGGCGTTCCGAATGGCTGCTGCTGAGAATGCGCAGGCAAGTGTGAATGCGAAAGCCCTTGCTCAGGCGAATGTGAATGTGAACGGCTCCCATGCGCACGGCAATGGGAACGGTAACCATCATGTGGATGTCGATAGCCAAACCAGCGCAAGCCTTTTCCCGGCTACAGTGCCCCTCGACCAAATCCCTCTCCGACAGCAGCCAATTCAAGACGGGAGAGCGGGAGTTCAAGCACATCCCATCACTGGATGGAGACCTCCTGCTCCTGCTGTCAAGCCGGGGAGTTCAGGTTCAGCGGGGGGCAAGAAGAACAAAAAAGGGTTGTTTTCGACGAAGAAGAAGGAGAGGGTGGAAGAGTTTGGCAAGACTGGTGGTCCGGATGTGGACGCCATGTCGGTGTGGATTCCGGAGAAGGCAGGCAAGGAGAAGTGTGCAGTAATGTGATGAAACCGACAGGTTGTCGTGGGAGGAAAGGCAGCATTGCGTGGGTTGTGATCTTTTGCATGTGGGAGCACTCCGGACTGAGTTTGAGCGTATGATGACACCTTAAGTAATATAGATATACCCCACCCCTTTGAGGGAATGTGAAGAGTTGATTGTTGCGCTGAAGTTTTGCCTAATTAGATGATGGGGTTCATTTCTACTATGCTGCATTTCGAATGTATCGGAAGTGCAAGATGTGAGGTTTTGCGTGACTTGGTCTTTGTAGAGACATTCGGGTGGCATTGATCAGCAACAAAGTGAAAGTGGAGTGGCGAAAAAGTGCCCGCAAATGCATGACAWCAATGCCACCTCGACCCTTGCAGCTTCGATAACTTCCCAAGGTAGCAACAACAACCTCCTCGCTCACCTTTAACCTCCTTACACCACATCACAAGCTTATACACTTCACTGACACCTCCAAACTGAAGCCCACCACTCAACTCACCTTCCTCTTCCTCGGCCTCCTCAGCGCCTACACCATGTCCACTTTCCTCCAACGCCTCTTCCGGCCCTTCTCCTCGTCCACCATGCACTTCAACCCCGAAACGTCCGCCACATCCACCATGACGTTGCCGGAAGGCGCGCAGAAAGCTACTCTGGCCGCGGGATGTTTCTGGGGAATTGAACACATGTATCGACATGATTTCAAAGACAAGGGATTGTTGGATGCCAGGGTCGGATATATTGGCGGCGAAGTCGATGAGCCTAGCTATAGGGCTGTTTGTAGCGGGCGGACTGGACGTGAGTATCTTTTATGATAATAAGGGATATATGGGGATATACGGAGTGAAAATGTCTGCTGATACTTGGGGTTTTGATGATGTAGATGCCGAAGCCTGCCAGATCGTTTTCGACCCCGAGAAAGTGTCCTACAGAACCCTCCTCGAGTACTTTTACAAGATGCATGATCCTACCACCACGAACCGCCAGGGACCGGATACGGGCAGTCAATACCGAAGTGGAATCTTCTATCATGATGATGAACAGAAGAAGGTCGCGGAGGAGGTTACGAAGAAGGTCAATGAGCAGTGGTGGAAAGGTGGCGTTGTGACGGAAATCTTACCTGCGGGTCAGTGGTGGGATGCGGAGAAGTATCATCAGTTGTATTTGCAGAATAACCCCGGAGGATATGAGTGTCCCAGCCAGTAAGTTTTTTGTTAATGTTTGGTCCAGATTGTGGGTGGTTGTGCTAACTTTGTGTGACTTTTTGTAGCTTCTTGAGGAAATTCCCGGATCTTCAGTAGGGACGAGAAGTGGTGTGGGTTTTGATCAGATTATGATGGATTGTATTCATAAACAGATTGATTGAAGATGAGGTATCAGAACGACGTACTTCGCATTCGCTGTCGTAATCAAGCGCGAGTCGACTTATTTGACTGACATATATGCCCTGGAGCGACTTTTATCACCGAAAAGTCGTTCATCGAAACTGTTCAACTCAAACATATCTACCTTCAAGGAGTTCAATCCCCACAGAGCTGCTTCCAGAAAATATCTCGACCTCAACTCCTTAGGGTCGAAACCAAACCAACCTGGAACGATGTCTTTAGCAAGATGCTCTCAGACTGAGCGCAACTGATCCAATTAATACAACCTCAAGGCGTTGGATACTTTGGCCCTCCTCTGCGTATGAAGATACACTCCGAGTGCACTTGAGGTGTTTGCCTAGCACGAACCTCTTCATCGTTGCCACTTGCAGAGAAAAATTTGAGATAGTGTTCAATCAAGATCATTAGTACAGATTCCTACACCCTCTCCAATGAATTCTTCTCAGCGCATGGAATCAGAGTCGCGATTGTCATACTTCTTTCTCAGTAATCTCTAGAGCCGTGCTTCCTCGAGCGTCATCGATGGAGAAATCGTTCCCCCTGCTCGGAGAAGTAGTTAAACWAAACCCTCAAGTCTAGTCCTTGCTAGATGATTGGTAACGGTATATATTTGAAGCCGTCAGGGTGTTATGTGCAGCTRGCAACTGAAGTATAAGTTGGCGCCGTGGTTCAAGAACCATGTATTCAAGCCATGTCAGAGTTGGTCCCGATGACATATCTGTATCCCAAGTCATCGCAGGATACATTGTGGTGCATCACTTCGCGAGAGAAGAAGAGGGGAGCATCATTCTGCTCCTTGGGTGATATTCCAGCCATGCTGTAAGGATCGCGAAAGGGTCACGACGGAAGGTTGTCGGACGGCCGCTTTGATATCGATTGTGTTGTCATGATTTCCCGAGATCATCATGTAGATGAGCAATATGTAGCTGCCGTAGCTTCGCGTACATCTCCGGGAGCTTCAACTCCCGCAATCTCGGCGCCTTCAGGCTCAAGCTGGCGATGGCGAAGGGTCTCTGTGGCACTTGAGGGCGGTGGGAGGTCAACGAGCACAAAGTGAGGCGGATCGAGATTTATTGTAGGGAAATTGTTCAGAAGGTGGGCGAAGATGTCGTTCCTGGCAGCCATGAGTGTGCTCGAGACACATCCATCGTCAACCTCACCATCTTCACGCTGCCCTGCTGATGGAGTTAACAGCCCGCCTCAGCAAAAGTGGTGCTAGGGCAACGAGTTCGTAATCCGCATCTGAGGGGAATATCTTCCCATCATTCCCGAGAGGATGCATCACGCAACAAGGACATGTGTTGTCCATATCCCAAGTGGCCATGTTACATCCGACGGTCAAGTTTCAACCTCGCTGTCAGACATGCAGTGACACCCGCAAACGTGAGCAACAAGCATTTCCCGAYAGTAAAAGGACGTTTCATCCGAAGCGTCACGAAGACGTCTTGGATAGTTAGCGTTTCAACAACCAAGACTGCAAAGTCCGTAAGCTATTATTGCCTGGAGATGATGGCCGAGTGACCAACGTAGGAACAATGCAATGCTGGTGAGGGTAAGAAGATGTTTCGAACATGGCCTTTTCCGCATGCCGACTTCTGCAACACGATGCCATTCCAGAATTCAGCACCAGAATAGCTCAGTACTGTAATACGCAAACGAGGAAACAACCCCGTCTCCGGCTCTCCAAACACCACACAGGTTTCATCCCGCCGCCCTTCTCACGCGAATCGGACCCTTTACATCTCCCACACCGACCTCCTCTCCCAAAGCCTCACCTTTCTGCGTGACTTCACACGCTCCATCCGCGCGCATCTCCCAGATGACTTCTCGGATGAGAGGCATGGCATCCCGCCATTCTTGACAGCCGAGGGAGTGAAGATGTGCAGGTGAGAGGGCGCGGGCAACTTCGGAGGGACAGAATGTCTTGGGTGGGTCTCTGCGGTGGAGGAAGGAGGTGATGTGGGGTTTCAGGATTGATGCTGTGTTGGTGGGTGAGGTGGACATGTTACAGTGTGGTGTTTGTTGGAAGAAAGGGTGAGRGGGGGTGTTGAATATGCTTGACCAGGTCAAAATTCTTCTTGCTCATGTTGATAATAAATGTTCATTCAGTAGATGTGGGTGAGTTGTGACTTTCACCGCTCCGTCAAGATGTCGTTGGCTACAGTCATGGTATACTTTCACCTGCCGAGACCGCCCAGCCGTCTTGTCAGGCATGGGTGTGGAGATTGTTTCAGGTTGAGAGTTAGAGCTTCGCTGGTGAAACGGCGGATCGCGAGGTACCTTGGTACAAGCTGCGTGGTCGGACCAACGAAGAAGAAGCGATCGAAGCCGAACCGGGCGCCCAAGAACGAGGAAGAAGAACGTTAAAAGTGTGAGATTTGTCTTTTCCAGTATTGCGATCGCTGCGCTTATCGGTCTGGGGAAAGGGTAAGCCAGCAAGGACACACTCTCTTTTCTCGTGGTATACCATCTTTTGTTGTTGCCGTCGTTGTCGTTGTTGTTGTTCGCCAGCATCACTGTGTTGTACCCGCCTCGTTGCATGAATTGAAGGGGCTAGACTGGAAGGACTATTATTAGCAGCGCTTCCTGGCTGGGCTGGCTGCTGCACGACTGACCTCTCGTTTCCCGTGCGGCCGGAGACGATCTCACGCTGCATCTTCCCTWTCCCTACTCCACCATCCCACGGAGGAGGGCAACGCCGTGCTGTGCCGCGCTGTTGGTCGTTTGGATATAAGATACCACTGTCATTGAAAGAGCAGAGAGGGATAGTGTGTGTTGTAATAGTATAAAAAAGGAGGACATTGCGACATTGCTGGCCATTGGAGACAGTGTTCGGGGGCGAAAGACGGAGACGGCGCATCGAGAATATAGGCACGACGAGCGAGCGCATACACGGCGACGACTTTATATCTCACTGGTCACCCCCACCAGAGGAGTCATCCATCCCCAGCATGGCAACGGCCATGTCTGCCCCTCCGCTAGACGACTCGCTGAATTTCACCACCAACCTCGACAATCCCCACCAACACAACCTTCACAACACCAGCAAGATGGCCGCCGACGACGACGACCAGTACACGGTGGAGCGCCCGCGTGCCGTGGCGTCCTCCATTGATCGCAACGGCAGCAGTTCGTCTTCCACCAGCGACACGACACTGCCACCACCGCCGCTCACGAAGAAGGTGTCGCGCTTGGGATTGGCCAAGAACAAGGGCAAACTCGCCGTCACCACGCCCAGTCAGGAAGACCTGCACTCGCGCTGGGCCGAGTTTCAAGATCCCTCGTCGGTGATCAATTCCAACAGCTTCAAATCGGAGCAACACAAGCACTTGAGCCCCCTCTCGGCCGACACCAACAATAGCACCATTGACAACGGCCAAGGTGAAGCCAGCATGGCTCCAGCGTATGTCGAGCCGGCTCCCCGCCCACTCTTCTACACTACCATCATCCGCGACTTCGCTTTCCCAACCCACCATTACCTTCACAACGGCAGCCCAAGCCACATGCCTGAAGAGGACGAGCTGCCTCCCGGCTATGGCCTCAGCGCCACAGCTCCTAGCTTCACACCGGGTCGCAACGGCGACGCCCCGGGTCCATATCGTCACTCCAACAGCCACCGTCGCTTGTCCGACTCCGCTGAAACGTCCACCTACAACAGTGGACTCGGCGATGGTGGTCACTGGGTGCCCGGAATCTGGGGCGGCGACGGCGCCATGTACGAAGACATGCAGCCCCTGCCCAGCACGTCCTTCCGCGAGGAAGACGTGGGCTGGAACAACACCACCACCCCACAGACCATCAAGAAGCAGCACCGCAAGAGCAGATCCTTCGCCGACACATTCAGCTATGAGCGTGGACGTAGACGTGGAGAGAGCAACGCTTCGAAGCGCGGCAGCTATCACCAAGGTAATGAAAATGGCGGACATTCCGATCCAGCCGGCCGAGAAGCCCTTCGCGCGAGTCGAGGCATGGAACCTTCCGAGACAGGCGATTTGGAAGATGACATGTACTCACTCTCCCTCTCGCAGCAGACCAGGCCGAGAAGAGACTCGCATGTCGCCGCCACACAGACCCTACCCAGCCGGGCGTTCCACGAGGCACAACTTCCCCATCTGCAATCGCGGATGGTGGACAGCGACCTCCCTCTCGATCTTGAAGACTTCCAGCACAGCTCCCCTCAGCGCGAGAGCCTCGGGCCCGAAGACGAGGAACTCTACAACGGACCCAGTCTGGCGCTCTACGACTTTGAACCCGAGAACGACAATGAACTGAGGATCAGGGAGCGGGAAATCATCATGGTTAGTTACCGGCATGGTTTGGGCTGGCTGGTCGCCGAGAATGAGAATGGCGAGAAGGGGTTAGTTCCTGAGGAGTATGTGCGATTACTGAGCGAAATGGAGGAGTGGGAAGGTGTTGTTGTCGAGGAGTAAGGTAGTAGWAATGGGAGAAATGAATGGTGGTGGTGGGTTCGATAAATGAGGTTTACGATTGTATGAGCGATGAATTAAAGAGATTCTCCTCCTCCGCCTATTATTCCACCCCGAGGACTGAGGCAATGAGAGACTGACTGGTTTGGTCTGTTTAAAGAGGTCTTCTGTTGTAGTCGGAGGGTGTATATGAACAGCGAGCGGGTAATGTTGTATTGATGCCCTGTTTCACTTGTGGTGGATTGATGTTTTGCTTGCGTGAGGTGTTGCGGGGTGTGTTAGAAGCGGCGGGCAGGCATGGACTTGTCCTGGGGAGGAAGAGCTGGCAACTAGGTACTGAGGATTGGACAGAGGACTTTACCATGCATCGGAGTCCTGAACTGATGATGAAAGGCTCTACTTCTGGAAAGCTATAGGGCGTTCACTGGTCTTTTCGGGAAGGGCGATTGTTGGTCTCATTTCTTTGAGTTGAGGTGATGTGTGGGCATTCCCTGATTGGATATCCGCCTTGTTTTGACATCTAAAGCCCTGTATGGTTCGATAATAGCTATCTCTCATACTTCCCACAAGGATCTCGCGACTCAGATTCTTCGCAGTCTTTTCCTTCACTTCACATTACTTTCTTTCTGCAAGCGAATAGATGAGTAAATCCCTGGCGTAGGTGAACCCGTACTGATCTTCCGAGGCGGGGGACGAGTTCAGATTCCCAGTAATTTTCATATCGATCGGGTGGATATATATATTTCAGATTGGCGGGTTCTGTGTGGAGGGAGTCACAGTTGTGGAGGAGGAGGCTGGGAGAGGGGACCCGAAGAAAACGAATTGAAGGGGGAGGTGGTGGGTGCTTTGCTTGCATGGATGGATGGATGGTTGGTTGGATGGAGGGCTTTCATAAGTGTAGAAGCGGGAGTATACCATGGATGAGAGTTCTAAGATGAGGACGAGGGTTCTTCGGTTGGGGAGCATTGAGACATTTGATCGGTCCTGAGGAGAAGAAATCGAAGAACGACTTGATGTAGTTCATGCGCGGATGGATGGCTTTCATGAGTGTAGGAGTAGGAGTGTACCATGTATAAGAGTTCTGGGATGAGAATTGGGGTTCTTTGTTTGGGGAGCACTGAGAGACGAATCCGATCGGTCTTGAGGAGAAGCAATCGAAGAACGGCTTGGTAATGGACGGCTTTCATGGCTGAAGGGGCAGGACTTTCCCACGGATCAGAGTTCTGGTATGAGGACGAGGGCTCTTCATTTGGAGAGTACTGAGATACTGATCTATTGTAAAGGGTGGGTGAATATTGCGGCCTTGAAATTGTGTGAGGGCTTCTTCTCGCAGAGTGCTGTGTGGCTGCCTTACGGCAAGGAAGAGTCCAGTGGGAAGAAACCTTCTTGCTGGTCGGAATTTGCTTGGTGATGCGAGAGCCGTGTCCAGTCTATTCTCCAGGCCGGGTTTTCTGTACTGTTCTTATTGGGGAGGGAAACTTCCACCTAGGGCGTCCACCTACGAAGTTCCATTCACAAGGATGTGCTTTGTCAACGACTTTGCAAGTATAGCAGCCCTCCACGCTCAGAGGATGGGTGACTTGCTACTGCTGCTTGCGTGAGTTGCTCAATTGTGGCGAGGAGGATGAGCCAGGAAGGAGAAGCAGCTGGAGGGAGGACTCTCAGTCGTCTGGACGATATCATTCTCAGGTTCGAGGAAAAACCGAGTATCCGGAAGACGGAGGTGGCGCCATGGTTAGATGAATAGAGAAAGGCAACTTCGAGTATGAATCGTGGTATGCTGAGATTGATAGTGTAGAGGCGCTAATGTTGATGAGACAAGGGTGCTGTTTCTGCATTACATTGCGACATTGAGATGGTTCCTGTGAGCTCTCGATGTGTTGCGTTGAGGTTTTCACACATCATCTACAAGCCTCGAACATCGCCTCCCGCTCTCGTCGAGAAGAGACTGCGTCGTTTTCCTGTCCTGCGGGCTCAGCCTTCCTCTCGACTTTCCCCTCGACCTTCTTCTCAACTTCCTCATCGCTAGGCCGCCAGATCATCTTCCCAGCAGGATGCTCAGACACGGGCTCGCTCTGTCCAGGACTGTTCAGTAGATTTTCTCGATAGGTTCCTCCTGGTACGGCGTAATCTTCCCAAAAGATGCCTCTTCTTCGCAGCTCTGGGATGAGAATCTCTACTACATCCTCGAAAGTCTGCGGCATGAGGGCATATGCCTTGGATCACCAATCAGTAGGTTTCTCAAAAACATAGAGGGTGTGTAACCTACAATATTAAACCCATCAACTCCACCTTCCCGAACCCATCGTTCCATCTCATCAGCCACGACCTCTGCCGTCCCAATACATGTAGCACCTAACCCTCCAACCATGATATGTTCCGCCAACGTCCTCTTCGTCCACTTCCCACCATTAACCTCAGGTGCAGTCTTCAACAAACCTTCAATATAACTTCTTATCGCATTACTCTCTACATATCTCAATTCCTCATCATCTGCATAAGGAGCCATATCCACTCCCGTCCAACCCCCGAATAATGCAAGTGCGCCTTCATAGTCGCCATATTGAATGTAATCTCGATACTTGCCTTCCGCTTCTTCTTGCGTACGWCCCAAAATCGGGCAGAATTTGGCCAGGACTTTGATGGAAGTGGGATCGCGGCCGTTGGAAGCTGCTGCTGCGGAGCGAATTTCTGCGATGCTGGATGCTACACTTATAGGAGCGTGTGCCGAGACAAAAATTGCTTCTGCGTGTTTTGCCGCGAAGGATTTTCCTGCTTTGGAGGTTCCGGCTTGCATTATGACTGGGGTGCGTTGTGGAGATGGGGCGCAGAAATGAGGACCGGGGACTTGGAAGTACTTTCCTTGGTGATTGATTTCTCGAACCAGGGAGGGATCTGTGTAGATTCCTGTGCTGCGATTGAGTTGCACGGCGTCGGATCTCCAGGAGGAATTCCAGAGGGCGTAGACTACGTCCATGTATTCTTCACAGATTGCGTAGCGTTCGTCGTGGTCGGCTTGGTTGGCGCCGTTGGTGAGGTTGCGAGCTGCGGAGTCTAGATAGCCGGTCACGACGTTCCAGGCTACTCGTCCATTTGTGAGGTGGTCTGCTGTTGAGAGACGGCGGGCTAGATGGTAGGGTTGTTCGTAACTTGTGCTTATCGTTACGCCGAAGCCGATGGATTTGGTGACTGCCGCCATTGCGGGGACGACGGAAAGAGGTTCGTTGACGGGCCACTGCGCTCCGGATTTGATTGCTGGAGTGAGATTCTTGGGTCCACCGTAGACGTCGTAGCCGCCTAGGACATCGGCGATGAAGATTCCGTGGAATGAGCCGCGTTCGAGGAGTTGGGCGAGGGAGGTCCAGTGGTCTAATCTGTTGAAGTTGGAAGACTTGTCTTCGGGATGTCGCCATAGACCAGGAGACTGGTGACCCGAGCACATTTCGACAAAGGCATTGAGGATGAGTTTCTTCTTTTCTGGAGTTGGAGGTTGAGTTGTCTCTTGAGACTTGGCGTGAGAGGGAGTTCCGTTTGGGAGGTGGTTGTTGGTGTGAGRAGATGTGTCATTGGATATGTCATTGGGTAGCTCTTTTGTTCCATTCAGCGATTCTGTACCATTGCTCCCTGCGATACCATTCGGAAGGTCATTGGACTGGTGGCTGGGCTTGCTRAGGACGTAGCGATTGTCGGCCATGCCATTTGGTGGCATCGTGTCGCCAGTCGCTTCTTGCCTTCGATATTGTTCAAACAACGCTTCCCGACTCTGTAATGTTAGAAAATCTCGAGAACGATCGTGTTGTTGTGCTGTACGTCGTCGCCTGGCAGACGATGTGTTGTAGGCAGCTCGGCAATTRCTCCACCGAGGGGATGCATGCATGCATGCCTGCCGATGGCGTGCGCGATCTTGGCCCGCCGGCCTTCTTCATCTTTTCCACACACAACATCATCCCAACATGCTCCTCCATTTCCTCTCATCGACATGGTGAGCATGGCCAGGCTGCCGACAATAAGGCTAAAAGTCCATGAAATTGTCGTGCAGAAGCTTGCTCATGAAGCGACGATGAAGTAACAGCCCTTCATACGCTTACCTAGATCTGAGAGATGTCAACATGCTTGAAATTATCACACACCGCAGACGAGTCAGAAACAAGGTGGATGGAGACAGCGATCAAGAACTCTGCCATTCGTTACGGGAAGACGACGATCTCGATAGCTGGCGAGAATGCAGCCTTCTCTCAATTACAACAAGATCTTCCGGACATCCGCTTTGACATTTCTTTCGAAGGACCATCAGTGGAAATACAGGCAGAGCATTCGAGAGTGATCTTGGTGACAAGCAATACCAACAATGCCTCTGTTTACCGACGCTGTTCCTTTCATGTGGCCGATCTTGGGCGTCTATTCACCTGGACCCATCCAGCAGGACTACTTTGCTCGGTTCTCGCGGACGTTCCTATTTGAATTAGCTGGCTCGCGGCGGTTTACCACAGAAAAGACATATACGATGGAAGCATTACACGAATGCCGATGGTTGTTCCAGATTTTGTCGCACGAGCGCAGCCAGGTGTGTGCGCAAGACAAATGCCTCTCTACTAAACTCGCCATGCAGTGTCACGTCATAGTCATTGCTGGATGACACTGCGCTCAGCCTATGCTTATGCGATCATCTTTCCCACTAGCTAAGAAAACATGCCTTGGACAGGCGCCTCCGGCGAGTCACAATACGGAACGCCCCAAAGTCCAGGAAATCCCCTCACAACCGCCGCCTTTTCGTACTCTTACCTGAACACGATGATGACCGGCTTGTCAGTCGTATCTATGAGATACCACTCCAAGCAGGCACATTCGTCCTCGTTCAACTTTCCCATTAAGTCATCAATTTATTCCCACGAGGGCAGTTCGAAAAACTGTTGCCATTCTGCCGGGTCGTACTACATAGCATCTTCCGCGTTGCATTCTCTCACCAGGTACCGAAATACCCCAAGGTCAGCTCCCAACGCGAAATTCTCATCAAGAACCAAATCCAAACCCGCAGTATGATGAGACCAGATAATGTCATCGCCTGTTCCTAGTCTCCATAGCGACTTTCTATTCCGCATTCATCCATCAAGAATATGCGGCTCTCCATCACAGCAGAACAGATGAAGATATGCGTGGGCGCACTCGTGGAACAGCATGGAGAATACCGCGGCCTAATGAGTATGGACCTGCTCCAACTCATGCCAATCTCTGAGATCGATCTGCATTTGAATGGTGCCATCATTTCTGTATGCTGAGGATCCGAATCGAAGCCGCATTGCCGTTATTGTTGAGTGTGGCAAGCACTCTGGCGACTTTGACCATCTCTGGCTCAATATTTTTCAGGTAGAAAGCTTTTCTGAGGAGCGAGATGCACTGGCTAATGCTTCCTACGCTACAAGTGGTCACATCGCTATCCTTGAACCACTGCTTCAACAGGTCGAGCCCGGATCGTTGGAGTTTGGAAAGCTGCCTGATTTACTTCTTGTTGAAGTTCTTGACAGTGGCGATTGTGAGATCAAGCGGCTTTACCTGAGGAACAGGCGAATCCTGCTTCTTGCGCGTCGCTGCTACTGCATGCTGGACCGGGAGATTCCATACAGGCGGCACTTTGAAAAGCTCATTTCCTCGGAGCAGGTTGAAGCATAGACGAGTGAGGTTACTCATCGAGACTTTAGCATCATGGTATAATGTCGGTCCTTTTGCGAGAGAACTTACCTGGGCCTATCAATAACGGATCGGGCATCTGCCTTGCACATTTTGTTGGTCTCATGCTTGGTTTTGTATTTCTATGCGCTGGACTACGGGTAGTACGGAATGATCCTCTAGCAGGTTGCGCTGATGCTTATACAGTATAGTATGTCTCTGTCCGTTGCGCATGAAAAAAAGAGACTGTTGATCATTTGTCAAGACCTGGAAGATTCTCGCTGCAAGACATTGACTTTTGGAAAAAGACTACATGCTCCAATTCCCTCGAATTACTCACCCATCCCAAATCCGGACTTATCGCAACATTCTCGTTTCCACACAGACCGCGTTCGAATGACATATGCGGTACTACGCCAGGTCTCGTCATCCCTTCTATCCTTTGAGGAAGAACATTACCTGAGACTCGCGACTCATAAGGTGGACGTTCAGCATGGGAATTCGACCTCCAAAGTGGGAGTCATTAAACAATACGGAAAACGGATACTTTCAATTATGATCGATCACACATGACCTTGCCATTATGCTCTGGCAGGCAATATGCAAGCGCTGGGTGATATCACTTCGAACATCAAGACGATCTTCAGAACTCAGCTATACCAGCTGCACGAAGCATCATCGTCGAATCGTGTTCACTCCATTCATCCAGGACTTCATAGGCGTCTTCTTGGAATTCATATGGACAAGTGAGACTTTCGCTTCTTCCTTTCGGTATCCTCCATGGAATCCTCGACTAATGCATCATTGCCGAGGAAGACATCTATCRAGGGATCGAAACTCATTCTAGTCAAGCCTTTTCAACAGAGAGTCGATTTCTTACCCACTGTACTGCTTGAACAACCGCCTCTACTCCTCCGTCGTCAAGTGGATTGCTTCGTTCCCGAATGGACAGGTAAGCTGTATGCAATAATTCGACTAAAGTAATGCCCTTTTGTTGGATGAGGCTCAGATCACTCTTGAGCTTGCTTTCGAAAGCGTTGACGGTGTTTACTACTGGTACGAGTGGATCATTCTTGGTAGTGCYGGACGTCTGGCGGCTTGCTGCTGCAGAGTGTACATGGGCCATGGTCAGATTCGGCGATCCAGCATTTTAATTCTCGACTACTTGCAATTGGTTCCGGCAGAGACAGCGGAGACTGACTGGAGGAATGTAAGTATCTTTTTCCATGGACTAAGAGAATGCTGACTTTCTGCGACTACTAGCGACGACCGAATCCCACGCCGAGGGTGATGGTTGGTTGATTTGATGTCTGCTAATCACTCTCGTAGGCGACCGGAACTGACAGGATACGAAAGATTGCTACCTACATACTCAACGACAAAGACAGATACCGTGGAGGATTGTGGAGCCAAATGTCAAATGAGTGTGAAGTTGTATCGATCGACTGGTCGTCTCGCTCCAGTCAGTGCTTTCCAGAACGACAGAATTATCCTCATTGTTATGGCCAGTGGGAGATGTTGGAGAAGCTCCAAAAACCGCGGGCGATGCGGCTATCGACCCTTCATTCCGATCCAGCATGGGCGAAGAACACGCAACTATAGTGCCCGTCTGAGGAACTTCCGCCCGATGATCGTCCCTTCTACACCGAACGCTCTCGCCAGAGAAGAAGACATTTGGAATGAGAGATTCACTAGCAGTCGTTATGTAGGTTGAAAACTCTATGAGATGACCATGAAGTTCACAGACGAAGCTCGAGGCTTATGGGTCTTGGACTTTGGTTCTTTGATCTCTCAAGAGATAAGCACCGGTATCACTGCCCTCCGCCTGAAGATCATCTCCCTTGCATTGCACGCTCTCGCTGGAGCAAACAGTGTTTGGGCTACGATGCTACCCTGCATTGACTATGCGAGTCTTAAATCGAGCGAGAAGACTACGAATTTACACGGACAATGTAAGACTTATAGGCACAGTACTTCGATGGTTCCATTCCCCTATTCTGAAGACCAGAACAAGCACTACTGCTCCTCTGGTCATTTACGGTCCAAACTTCTTTCGATACTCCGCCAGCAGAACATTAATCACATTCCCATCAGCATTCCTGACCAAAGCGTGACCAAATCTTTAAAAATGTCCTTCAGGCAGCTTGCACACAAGATAATCGACTCCCTCCCAACCAAAATTCGCAAAAAATCTCTTCCACTCTTCAGCAGGGTATCTCGCCCCCTCATCAGAATCGTATTCCACCAGCACAGATTTGAAGACGGACAGATCTGTACCGAGTCCCAACAGCTTCTCCAACGCAATATCAATCGCCGCGGTCAAATGCCACCAAGCTGTAATGTGGCCAGCGCCAACTTGATACTGATCATCTCCATTCCTGCAGGGAGTGAATTTTTTCCTGTTATGATTGGCGTCGCAGCAGAACATATCGATTTATGCGTGATTACACTCGTGGAAGAGCGTCCCAAGCAAGGCAATTTTGTGATCCGCAACGCCTTTTGCACGGGAGTGGTCCCGAGGGTCGAGGCGAATTCTATGCTTGTCTTTGCCCAAATGCTTGGAGTCGCCGTAGAGGATTTTCCCCTTTCTATTGAGCTTCTCAAATTTCACCACCATCTTCTTCGTTGGCATATCTTTGAGGAAGAACACCTTGCTGAAGGTCAGAACAAACCTTGACATTGCAGAGCTGGACAACTTTGTCATTTCCGCAGCAGTGTATTTTTCAATCCAGGTCTTCATCTTCTTGAGAGCTTCGTCCTGGGGTTTGGTCAAAGGTTGATTTTTCTTGAATGTGTTGATGTTGTGAATTGCCAATTGGAGAGGATCGACCTTGCCAGCAGGCTGTACTCCACGCTTTAGTTCTGGATCTTCTAGTTCTACGTCGGGGTAGGAATCGGTCGGAGGCAAATTGATGTATCTTTCCTCCTCGGGCAATAGAAATTCTTCGCAAAGACGCTTCAGGCTGACTGCGAATTTGTTAGCAGCATCTAATGACTTTTTGATGGAAACTAACCTGCTGCCATGATTCTGAGTCGATGCTGGGCAATGTCTTCTTTGATGACAGCTTCACTGCCGTTAAGGTACTCCTTCGAACGTCCAGTGACTAGACTCACGGGACCTATAGATTCTAAGGGAATGATGAGTCTTCTTAAAGGACCACGTTCGAGAATGCAAGATTGCTATGTAAATAAAAAGACAATGGCGGAGAAAACAACTTTCCGGTGAAGTGAATAGAGCCGCTGCAAACAACAGTACATTGCGTTTGTTGCCTTCCTTTCCGCTCTGGAAACTTAAACACCACTGGCAGATGATAAGAGCTATATTGCTCTCATTGCGTGGTTGAACGGAGCGCAGAGTGTGAGGGCAAAGCCACCCGAGCTTCTACTACCGGCCATAAAACGGAATGTTTCTCTTTCCTCTCACTCTGGACACGACAGATTAAGGATCAGTACCTGATGCAAAAGCTCAGAGACGTTGCGGTCATTTCGAAACAACTTTGACTACCCCAACCCTTACCCTAATGCCCCTTTTCACTTCTGGAGGATTGAAGAAGAGGCAGCAAGGTTTGCCGATCAAGTAACTCTTCTTTCACAGGACCAGGAGTCTTAAATCGAACTACCTTCATCCACTGTATAGTATCTCGTCACATTCCTGGTGCTGTCATTGCATCGAAGCAATTGAAGTGTTATCGGCGAAGTGAGGAGCTGGCTGTGACTTCAGAACAATATCAAAGCCGCATCTCTTGCAAGGATCTCATTTACTTCTATTGCGACTGATCTCATGCTTCGATACTCAACAACTCATATCCTTGGAAGTTTCTGACCACATGTACCACACAAAACCCCCGCCGTTCTCTCCCCCTTTTCCTTAAGGAACTGTTTCCAGAACACTGCAATCACATAAGGAGTACGCTCGCTGTCTTTATTCCTCAACGAACTGGCCAATTCCAGGTACTCCTCTTCACTCATCTTGCCCAAAAGCGAATTAACTCCCACCCACCCCTGCTTCGTAAAGAGTCGCTCCCATTCCCCAGGTGAAAGTACCGGCGCATTAGGCGTCCTGTACTCACGACAGAGAGAAGGAAAGACTCTGAGGTCCACCCCAAGATCGAAGTGGTTGTTCAATACAATTTCAATCCCAGCTGCAAGATGGAACCAGGCAGCACCATGAGCCGTGCCAAACCCCCAGAGAGGAACACCTTTGCGAGAACAGAACCCGGAGGAATGATCATCACAGCAGAAGAGTTGAAAGTATGCATGCACACACTCGTGGAAGAGAGTGGAGAGTAAAGCGGTCTTGTGATCGCGTAGTTTTCTGAAAATCGAGTGATCATTCGAATCGAGCACGATCTCGACCTGGTGGTCAAAAGAGAGGTGTCGAGCGAAGCCATACGGACTCTTGGGATCCCTGTCGCGCATATTGTCGATCATTTCGAATTTTATCATGGCAGGCTCGATGGTTTTGAGCAGGTAGGCTTGACTGAATAGTTTGATGCATTCTTTCACTTCTGACGGGGTGGAGTTTATGACGTCGTTATTGTCGAGCCAGATTTTGAGGGAACGTAGAGCTGTTTKTTGTGAGTCGTTGAGACGTTGTGAATGATTGAAGTTGTTGACTGTTGCTATGGCCAGGTCAAGAGGCTTGTCTCGCGGATTTTGTTTCAGGCGACTTGCTGCTGGTCGAGACGTTTTGGGTATGGCTGGTACATTGGGTATGTCCATGTAATCGCGGTTGCGTATGAGATCTGAGCATAGGCGTTCAAGGGAGACTATTCATGATTATGTTTAGCTGTTATTCGTTGCGTTGAAAAGGTCTTGGAAGACTTACTTTTAACCATTTCGTTGGGTGGCCTGAAAGTGGGCTGCAGGAGGGCTTTCGATATTCGTCATGTAGTGGAACGGCAATTGCTTCCAGAAATGCAAACGATATCAATCCGATCCTCAGTTGATCGCCGCCATCTCATCGCAAAGTAGGAGCAAGCATTTGTGCCAGATCGCCACTTTACAAATCTCCGGACCAAGCAAGACCCATTAAAAGATCAGCTGTAGTTCATCATCTTGGGAGAGGGATCAAAAATCATGACTGTATACAATAAAGGTCTCGCTGGTTGCTCGTCATGAGAGTCTCTCGACGGGAAAATGAACTTTCATACGAAGGAGGTGTTGAACGGTAGCGTGGTAGAGCCACAGCATATTAGTGCAGATTAAATGAGAGGATGGATCGTGGAATTGTTACTGCTGCTACTCTGTCTCGCGAAGCTATGGTTCTTCACCCCTTTGCCTTCATCGAGTCAGAAATATATCTCCGCCCCATTGAACATCATCCCTCCCCTGCACTGTACCCAAGCCTTACAAACGTCCATAATGTGCGTTTAATCTAYCCCGTCGACAATCTTCGGCCTTCTTGTACTCATCCATAAAGACATGCACGACATCTTCCTGCTCCGCCAGGTACTTGCCCATCATCTCAAAATCTTCCTCGAAAACCTTGCTGATCAAATAGTCAATTTCATCCCACGAATAAAGTTCGAAGAACAGCTTCCACTCCCCTGCAGATGCTCTGACTTTAGTGTCCCTGTAGTCTAACATCAGAGAACAGAACACAGCCAAGTCAGTTCCCATATCGGCCAGTCGATGCGACGCAATCTCCGTACCAGCTGCCAGAACAAACCAAGCAAAAGGGTGCTGAGATTCGGGATGCCACAGGCGAAGACGATCCTTGTCCCTGCAGGATGGAGTTCTGTGATGTACACAGCAAGATGCGGCGAAATATGCGTGAGTAGTTTCGTGAAACAAAGTTCCCAGCAAGGCAGTGGAATGATCTTTCACTCCCTTGTAAGAAGTCCAGTCGCTCGGGTGAACGCGTATTTCGATTCTTGTACCTTTTTCGTGGATCTGTTCTCCATAATAGGTGCCAAGTTTTAGATCCTTGAGTTTCTCAAAAGTGAATTGAATATTGCTTGTTTCAAGTCGCGAGAGGAAGAACAGTCTGCTGTAAGTGAGGATCAATAGTCTCACCTCTTCTTTGTTGACATCGGTATCTGTTATGTGGGGTGCAACATTCTCGGCGCTCCAGGCATCCAATTCACGGAGTGCTTCTTGTTGATAGTAGCTGAGGTCGCCACGTTTCTTTTGGTTGAAGGAATGTACTGCCTCGAGAGCTGCTTTGAGGGGAAGTTTTGACACTTCCTCGCTTGCTCCAGAAGGCTTGGAAATTGACAGGTGTGCTAACTTTTCTGTTGGCTCGGAGGGGTGGGACTTGAATTCTTTGAAAGCAGGCTTGATGTACTCGATATGAAGACGATGGAGGCTGAAGACGAAACGAGGCCCGGCATCGGAAGTGGTGTTGCTTGATGTCTCGGACATGATGCACAAATGACAATACAACAGTCGTGTAGCTTCAGCGGTGGCGATTGTTGCAGGTCGTTGTTGATTGGAAATGATGGTCTGATGTAAGGGAGGGTCAGCGGTCTGAGTCAAGCATGCTTTTATGATTTGAATGTTTGCCATTACTGGAAAGAGACAATGGAAAGGAAACTAGTCACAAAAAGTAGTCAGGAACATACGAAGACACAAGCAAGTCTTTTCACTCCAGACCTGGCCCGACACGAAAGGTCATTGTGACGTCAAGAATTGTAAGTGAATGAACGATGCGATGGTTTTGTGATGACAGAGCGGGAACTGATCTTTCCGCAGCAGGATGCTTCGCTCGTCAACACTGTCACCGCCTATTCCTACATCAAGTGCAGAGTGGAAAGAAGCTATTCAAGCTCAACGCTGTTCCTCAAAGTAATCTCGTGACAGAACTCCAATATCTTATCACGCCAAGAGGAATGACAGAGCAGCCGGTGCGATTCGCTAGGAAAGGTCCCGAAACTCTCGAAATCAGAAGTCAGCTCAACCTTCGGAGACCCAAGGTCAATATCGGGCTGGAGAAGCTCTCGTGCTCTAGCCTGAACGTGGGAAGCGAGGATAAAATAGGAGCTTCCGTGGCCTGTATAGTCGTTATCCCCAGCGGACCCCTTGACGCGATATAGACCGGCTATGCACTGCATATCCGCACACGAGTCTCGACAGAAATGTTTTGATTGAAAGGCGTGGCAGCACTCGTGGAGAAGCGTACCAAAGAGTTCAACCATGAGCTTTTCGGGATTGTGATACTCGGCATTCACGGTAATAGAGGCATCATTGCGGCGTCCTTCATGGTGTTGATAGAATTCGCTTGGGGTGTAGTACCCATAATCACCTGTTCCATTTCCCCAGGAGAATCTGACGTCGTGTAATGTGTCGAAGAAGAACAAACAGCCAATGTCCCGAATGATTCGCTTCATGTACTTGGGGCTCGGTAATCCAAGCTCAGTCTGGGAAGCTCTTGGCCAGTTCTCCATCGCTCGCAGTAGAGAACCTTGGGCGGAGCGTTGCGCGGGAAGCATGTCGGAAGTGTGGCGAGAGAAGAAGTCGATAGCTGCTAGAGTCACTGTAATTGGTTCATGTTCGAGTGTTCTGAGAACGTAGCCTTGGTATTCACGACCCCCTCTCTTCACAAGTCCGGGTAATACTTCTGCATGCATGACAGTATCTTGGGCTGAAGGTGGTGAAGCCATGGCTTGCTGGATCAATGCCGAAGAGGATCGAAATGAAAGCAGGAATGATAGTCCAGCCAACAAGGGAAGAAGTGATTTGGTCAATGCCAGTTCCAGTCGGACAAGCCGGTACCTGACCTGTGAAAAGGTATTCTAGGTTTTAGAACATGTCTCCAGAGATGGGGCCCGTGTATGAGTTCGAGCGTCCGAAACCATAGTCGATGGATGTCTACCTCGCAGCTCGTTCTCTGACCGTTCCGAGTCATATCTGAGTCTGGACTGGCTGGAGTGTGAATGGCGGAAGACACCATGGATCATGTGTCTTATTTCTGTCTGAGACGCTCGTGCAGTATAAGCGGGCGGAGCTTCGAAAGACGTCTTACCAGAACAAAGCCATTTGTATTGGACGTCTTCCTACGATGGAGAGGTCTTTTTTGGGGAAATGTTGCAGAGTGCTTCGCCTCGAAGAAACGTCCATCGCAGGCGCATGGCGCGGAGGGGTGTCTCCACGTGACAACTGCTTCCCAAGAAATGCCGGACGCCAGTCGTACATGTTCGATGAGGATGCCTTGCACTCTCGGTGGGATCCCTTTGGTGATTCGGTTCAGCAAGACAGGCACAACAAATACAAAGAGCTTCTCGGACATCTGTTAGGCGGTCCTGATATTCCAGACTTTCCTGTTGCACCCAGCGATCAATCTTCTCCAAGCGACACCTTCAACCCTACCCACCTTTGTTCAGCAGACATGGGAAATGCATAAGAAAAGTGTCAAAGGAAGATATGACCTCTATTCCAGCTACTTACTCTACCCATACCTCATAAACATCATAATTTCATCCCTCCATTCAAACTCCACTGTAGTCGCCTTCGCAAATTGGTCCACCGCAATGACAATGCAATGCGATGCCCCAGCGCTTTTGGAAGCAGTGCAGTCCAATCTTGCTGCCATGCCCATTCTTGATCCCATGAACCCCGGCAAGCGCAACATGACCATCCATGCATCAATCATCATCAACATCCTCAAGATCGACCCAAATGCTCACTAGTCCACCTCCTCAATCTCGCCCGGCTTCCCTCTCCCGAGCTCCCTTCATCATCACTCCTCGGCTCATAAGCCGGTGGCGGCGCCACGATACTCCCATATGCCGGCGGCGGCATATCCATGGTATCCACGCTCCGTCGCAAATGTCTGGGCCGTCGGACTGTATAGGTATCCGCGACGCCATTTTCCACATCCTCCAAATGCCTCACCCACAAACTGACGAAAGGTGTAGAGCCGGGGGTTGGGGAAGGCATCATAGGAGGCAGAGCGGCGGGAGTACTGGAGACAGGTGCAGCGACTCTTCTTGCAGCATCAGCAGCTTCGGCTCGAGCTTCTTCTTCTTTGTGGTATGCCGTTTCCCTGTCCGGTCTGCGTTGTGGTTGAGAATTGTCTGAATCCGAAGAAGATGAAGAGGAAGAAGCCGAGCTCTCCCGCCTTCGTCTGGAAAAGTCGGCGATCCAGCGCTCACGTTCTCGACCTTCCATGACCAGAAACTGGACCCACTGGCTCTGACTCAATTCATCGGGTTCGATTTCGCGCATGCGGAGTTGCGAGGCGGCGATGTGGCGGCGCTGGATGGAGAGGGGTCGGTTGGTGAGGGATTCGACTTGGAGAGCGCCCATGCCGCCTGTACGGATGGCTGGAGTGTTGAACATTGCCGGCCGGCGAGGGCGAGGTCGAGATGGCATGTTGAGGGAGTAGATTTGGGGGGGTCCTGCTATCAGCTGGGGTGGATTGTTGGAATCAATCGTCTTGGATGGAGAGTGAAGAGCGGGTGGGGAAGTGGATTATAGATAATGAGAGGATGAAGTGCAGTGGGAAGAGAGAACTTGGAAGAAACCCACAACTATCTCCCGCACAGTGCACCACCTCCTTGGAAAGCAAACAGGTCGCGTGGGCGTAGACGGGCGTGCGGCTGTAGGATTCCGTCTAGGCAGAGGGTAGGTTAAAAGGGTAGCACGCTGCTCTGATTCATTCCCACTCACCGATTTGCCTGCAGGTACAAGTGCCAGCATGACCGAACGCAAGCCCCGCGGCATCCACATTACRACGATTGGGGGGTTCGCGCCATCGGAGGAGGACGGATTCAGATATGCCAGCTTCAGCTCTTACAGTATTGCAGCTCTCTGTACTTTTGCTTCGTACCCCCCTGGTAAGTAAGCTGATGTCCTCCTTACTCCTCACAGCCAGCCRAAGCTGTCATTCGCAACATAGCTCTGCCTCTTCTTTTCGAGTCATGCTTTTGCTGCATCGATGGCTCCCGTGGACGACTGCGCGACTTTCTGGTAATAGGCGGGGTTGAACGTTGTGGAGACATCAGGTGGAGAAGGTCTGGAAAGGCATCAGGTAATCCAAATTGGCGGGCTTGGCCGCGGAGAGCAGCGACTTGGCGTCATGGATTCACATGTGATGACGGTGAGAGGTTGCTGGTGTCTCTTGTTGATGATAATGCTGTGAAGGTTTGATGTAGATGTCATTGGTGCAGCGCTGCACAATAGGAATCCTCCTACGATCTGTACCAAGCAGCCCATTGGAGAGGAGCAAGAGCTTCTTTAAGGAACATACCTACATGGATGTCGTTATCAGATTGCCGTGCTGTAACCGGGGCTGAGACGGGCCAAGCCGACCCTCTTCTTCCTCCCTTTTCGGGGGGAAGTTGACGTTGGCCGAGCCTTTTCATCACAATCATCAGCTCCACGATATCGATCATCGCAACGCGTCTGGAGCACAGTCTCATCCTCGGCGGACACGGCATCATCTTGCGTCTGCAAAACAAGGAAATCGCTGCTTAAGTGCAGCGTCAATATTGTGCTAGCACAGCGTGCAAGAGCCGCGCGTCGATACAAAGTGGATTTTGCGAGGCACTGATTCAGTCGAATAGCGCTTTTCGTGAGCATTCGGTCAAACCTGCAATGTTTACACAAAGCAGCAAGCAGATTGTTCCCACCTATTATTGACGCCCGCAGTCTTGCAAGGTCTGCAACCTGTCGAGCCAGCGCCAGCGACGGAAGGAGGGAGAAGATATCCCTTCAAGGAGAATCTAGCTTCCGAACAGGTGAATGACATGCTGATGCTTTGTATGTATCATAAGCTTTGAGATGCAGCGAGAAGTCTAGCGGAGATTCCCCTTGCGTTGAGAAAGTGCAGCTGGTGTACCACTGCTGGGAGTATTATAACAAAGTTGTATGGTGTTTAGGACATGAGTCGCAGCATCACCAATATCCTACTCTCGTACGTATGCCGGAGTGCAGAACCCCGAGACCTCGGAGTCGGAGTGCACCTGCCGGATTCCAGGCCAGACCGCGGCGTCTTTGGTAGCCGTTACAAGTCACAACACTTTGCGGCGGAGTGGTGATGAAGGAGTTGATGATAACGGAATGGAGAAAGACAGCGCATCCGCTTCGAGCTCCACAGTCGTTAGGACGGGGACTCCGCTCGGTGGCCGTAGTTACGGCCTMCGAACCCAAGCGACGTACAAGTCCGAATCCTTCAGCACGATGCCGATCTCTTCACTGGCCATTCCCAGACGGAAGCTAGCGGGTGACCGCATCGGCGACTCTGACAGAGTCATCTCGGTGCCCGCAACCACCTTCTCGGGCTCCGAGTGAATCCTTCGTACCGCAACGAGTGCTGTTCTCGGCCAATCACAAATCGGAAACATACTACACACGGGGACTGCCAACACCATCGGGCACCGACCGGCGTCTTCACCATCATACGTTGTCTCTCGGAGTCCGTTGATGGTCTCCGTAACGTCCCACTCTTCTTCCTCACTGGCCATTACACAGCGGAAGCTAATGGAAGGCCACAATCTCGGGCACCGTGGACAAGACGCCGTTCGTCTTTGGGCTCCGAAACACATGCTTCCCTGACCACCGATGCTGCCCACTGGCTGTCGTACCTTGGAGACTAGTGGAAGTCATGTCTCGGACACCGTGCGTCCATGACTCTTTCCTCTCGGACTCCGCGACGAGTACCTCGACGTCTCCAAGTGGTCTTGTCGATGCGGTAGCTAGTGGGATGTCGCATATCCCTTTTACGGACCGTAAGGTGTCCCCGAGCATTCCGGACACGAGGTCACAATCCACGGCGCTCGACATTGATCTCGCCCATGCACTCCGGCATACTTTATCAGAGTCAATTTTGGCGCTCATGGAGCTCCGAGAACCGTTGGAATCCATCAGGTGCCCGTTACCGTCGGTAACATGGCATGTTGAACGATGCGGATCTCACCACTCCTGCTCATATCTGGGCAATGGTGCTCGAAGATGGACCGCCCGATGCTGTTCCGAAGATGACTTTCCAAGAGCCGTTGTGCCAGCGTCAGGTGTACGAGGGTCATGACCCACCAACCACTACAAGACGGCAAGCCATGCCAACCACAACCTCTCACGGCCTTGATGCGGAGTGGTTGTGGATGGTCCTCTTGGGTGGAGCAACGAAGCCCGATATCAAACTTGGAACACGTTGGACTAAGCGTACTGGCGGTCCTGTTGCGGCGACTATGTGCTTGTCGACGCACATGAATTGACATGACACCAGACAAGCAGAACACGAGCATCACATTTTTGGACCGGCAGGCTTCATTCGAGGAAATGCTTGAAGATTCCTCGACCTCATCACACTGGCGGTTTGGCTGCGGCGACTAAAGGGTGTGTGCATGTATGGGTCTATGGGCCGATAAGAGACCGGAGCAAGACATTGAGCAGCATGCCGAGCAGCGCGGAACTGGAATGATCGGAGATGTCTTCAAAGCGGAGTTGGAAAGTCTAGGCTTGCCAACATATGCGACCACCGGCACAGAAGGTTCCACTCCGGAGCATGCCGTGATATGAGTATACTGGAAAAGAACAACCCAGCAAGCTTCTGCTCGACGGGCACGGCATCCCTTCTGTATGCTTCTTCTCACATTCAGGCTGCATGGGACGTAGTTAGGTGAGCATATAAGTTTTTCTACTTGATTTCCTACATCTCTCATTTCTAGCCACACATGTAACCGGACCGGCACCTTTTCAAGCCATCCCTGCAGGTGCACTCGTTGTCTTCTTGCCAAGCCGGGGAGCTAGAATTAACAGGGCAGCTTGGTCCCCGAGCAAACAGACCTCTGTTTTTGCCAAGTGAAGCGCATTGTATGGGTATGCCACACCGTACCGATACGGAGTAGATGTGCCACATACATGCCGCACGCCACATGCCACGCCGCGCCGGGTGCCCTAGATCTGGTAGAGCTGTGGCGTAATAATCGGAATTCCGATACTAGGTAACAACAGCTGGAAACCCCGCCTACATTGGGAAAGCTTCTCAGAGTTCTCTAGCTTCACGCCCTGTACTACTTATTAACATTGCAGTGAGTCAACACAACACTTCGACAATATAACACACTTCTCCCACAATCCTGGGATCCTCAAGCAAAGCAACGAGGGCGAACGGTGCTTCCAACCAGAACAATGGCAGGCAACCCACTTCCAATCCCCACCCCAGGATCCGCCCTCAAAATCCTCTGCATCCCAGACCTTCAAGCAGCAGCATCCGCCAAACTCCCCAAATCCGCGCGAGAATTCTACAACTCCGGCTCCACGGACCAAACCACGCTCTTCGAAAACACAACCGCATACAGCAAATATCGTCTCCGCCCGAGAGTTCTCGTAGACGTATCGAAATGCTCCACCAAAACCACCTCTCTAGGCCAGGAAATCGCCTTCCCTCTCGGAATCTCCCCCGCAGGACTCCAAGCCATGGCACATCCTGACGGCGAACTGGCCACTGCTCGCGCGTGTGCGAAGAAAGGGATCAACATGGCTATTAGCTCTTACTCCAATCACTCCATCAAAGACATCCGAGATGCTTCCGGGAGAGGGATTTCCCACGCGATGCAAATGTATACCCTCAATAACAAAGACCTCGAATTGAGTATTATCCAAGAAGCGGAACGACAAGGCTGTAAAGCCATCTTCTTGACCGCGGATTCCCCCGTTTTGGGAGTGCGATATAATGAATGGCGGAATGATTTTCGCACGCCAGAGGGGTTGGCATTACCGATTTTCGGCAGGAGTTCAGAGGATATCAGGAAGGATACACATGATGATGGGTTTGTAAGTCTTAATAACATTGGACATAATTGGGCGGAGGAAATACCCTGGTTGAGAAAAGTCACGGCGATGGAAATTTGGATTAAAGGCGTCTTAACAGCGGAGGATACATTGAAAGCGATTGCGATGGGCTGCGATGGAATTCTAGTCAGTAATCATGGCGGGAGACAATTGGATGGAGTGGTGGCTAGTATCGATGCTCTACCCGAATGTGTGGAAGCCGCGGCCGGGAGAATTCGAATTCATGTTGATGGGGGCATTAGAAGTGGGACGGATATTTTCAAGGCTTTGGCGCTTGGGGCCGAGTGTTGTTGGGTTGGGAGACCTGCGCTGTGGGGTTTGGCTTATGATGGGCAAGAAGGGGTTGAGTTGATGTTGGAGACGCTGGAGACGGAGTTTCGGAGGTGTATGCAGTTGACGGGATGTACGAGGGTGGAGGATATTACGAGGGCTTGTTTGGGGGTTTATAGAGCTGATGGGCCGTTGGCTAGACTTTGATGGAGGGGAATGGCTGTGGGTGGGTCTTATTTAACGTTTTACGATTTGGGACAATGCAAGCGATGATATATCAGCCTACTATCCGATGAATGGCCTGTCGCTGTTCTCCTGTCTGACTTCATCTTGAGACTTGGGATTGACTTCTGATAGATATGCGAGCATTGATGATGATGGATCCAGTGCCTCTGACTTTGTTCCTAGGTCCCAGGGGCTCGATTTTCCTACTCGCGAACACCTGAGTCGTCCAGGCCTTCCGCTTCGACGCCTCAAAGGCTTCAAGAAAGCTATCGAGACAATTCGAATCTTCGCGCACTGCAACGACAAGAACGACCATCCGGGTAGAAGAGCTWCGAATAGTACTCTGCTGCCAATCAAACGATCCCAAGCATCCCATACATCCTATCGCGGACATCAGCACAGCATAGAGTAAGTCGGAGTTTCCGTCCACAACAGCGCATAGGTTGCCTTTGCTAGTCCCACATAATGAGATTCGATGAATATTGATCGTGAGATCTGTTTGTCAGATTGCTCAATCCCCCTCCAGACTAACAAACATAGTGTGAGAGGGCTGGTAAAATGAACCCCATACAAGACTCGCGCTTCAGATCTTGCTGTTGCCGCCGCTTCTTGCATCACCTAGAGTCTTCTCCGACAAGGGCGCTCAGAGAATTGAGTAGAAAGCTTCAGAAAGCGAGGAAGGCGAGCTTATCCTGGAAGTCAGGAACATTTGATGCCATGAAGCGTCTCTCGAAATTGCACTGTCGTCGCCTTCGGGGATGAACGTTTTCAAAGTCGACTTCATACCGACCCATCAAGCCGAAGTGAAGAAAGTGCAGTATGTTGCTTAGAGAAATCAACCATTGACTATCGTCCACGTGGAGTCCCACATGTATAGCGAGACCAACTGCCTTCTTGAAAAAGCCATCATTGGTTCGTTGTGATTGATACAAATCGACTCCAGGGAGATGTAACAATACCGTCAATGTCGCAAGAGTGGGAGCGAGCATTCAAGCGGAAAAGCATCAACACAGTCGTAAACGATCATCTCCTTCATGACAGTTTCTCCCTGAGTGTGTGAAATGGCAATGGACGATGGAGCTTCATCGAGATTTCCGGGTTGAGGTCTCGGATGAAGACATTTGCTTTGGTCCCGGGGACTTCGATATCTTGGACTGATGTGATCTGACTTTAAGACTACTCAAAGGCTTCTGACCCAGACATTTCACTTTGACTCCATATTGGATCCGAAGCCATGATGAAGCGTCGAAGTCGTCGGAAAGATCCTGTAGCGAGAGCTTGGATACTGCACAGCTTTTTCACACATCCAAGCCACCGCCACCTTGCAAGGGGGACACTGATACGCATTACTGGCGGTCTCCTCGAAGTTGAGCACAGCAGGAAAGCTGTATGAGTCGCGGGATTGTGAAGGTCACGAGGTGTAAGTTTGTTGACAAGTGCTCAAAGTAGCATGGAGGAACGGCTTGCATTCACTCCCATCTGTGATAGCTGCACATCACCGAGCCGGAGACGCATCCAATTCATACGCGACTCCTCTCCCGTCAATCTCATGAAGAGGTCTCTCTCTCAGATCCTCATCAGATCCCATCTCATATCGATGATGATCATGACCGTCAAGTTCTGGTGGATGGACTTTTTGACTATCGAGCTCTGGCGGGTATAACTTCTGACCATCAAGCTCCGGTGGGTGGACTTTCTGACCATCTAGCTCCGGTGGATGGAATTTTTGACCTTCGACTTCATGTCTTTGAGGCTCTCCGCCATCAAGCTCGGGATGGTCTTTGATGTCATGATATTGGCCTTCATTCCTCTCTTCTGGTGAGCTTTCAGCTTTGGGTACAAGCAGTGCTGCTTGACTCTTTCTCCTTTTTCTTCTGCATGTCCACCATATTCCAAAAATGAGAATTGCGATGAGGGCAACAGCTCCGATTGCGATTCCAGCAATGACTCCAGCACTCAACGATGACTCCTCCTTTGAATCATTCGATGTGGGAGGCAAGATGGCATGAAGTTCCTGCGCTTGAGAAGTTGACGGAAACAGTGCTTGAGCCACTGTGAAATTCTGCCGATCAAAGTCTGCAATCACATACGCCTCCTGGAGGAAGACTCTACCCAGAGTGTATTGCGTGGAGTTTTGCGCCTGTTTAAGGGGAAAGTATCGTGAAGATCCGCTTTCCACTATGGGCTGCGAGACCTCCAAATCGAACGCAGCATACGGTATGGTGATGTCAGTGGTATCGTTTCTGGTACCTCCAGCTCCAAGCGTGAATGTAAAGGTCGGGTTCTCAGCAAGTATGGCTTGGTGAACGGCATCGTCGATCAGATATAACTCCAGTGTGGAGTTCCAGGTGAGGTTGAAAGCCTTTTCAAACGCCTCGCAGGCATTGGTAGGTAGCCACATGTGAGGGACAAGAGAATCAATAAACATGAATGAGGATCTTGCCAGTAAAGGCGAGCTGCCAAGTGTGCTATAAGTGATGGACTGCAACTCCACCACCAAGTCTCGTGAGAAGTCCGCGCCGAAACCAATATCCGTCAAAGACTGATCGGCGTTGAATCGTGAAGCATCATAGCCGCCCAATGTCAAGCTCCCATAGATTGGCGGATCGTGGTACGCAGCTCCAGCGGTATATCCCCAGGATGAACCAGCAATCTTACTCTGATTTCGAAGAGTACCCATCATACTCGGAACCGGATCGTTCAAGTTGGTGAAGTTGAATGGCACCGGACTCAATCCAAGACTACCCAGCCAGAAGTCATTGGTCGCAATGCCAGCAACAAGCTGCGACTCCAACACCGGCATGTCCGAACCACCAATCCCGAGTTGCACTGTATCGAAGCCATAGAATGCGTTGCCTGTAAGTCCCAGTTTGCCTTCTTCGAGCGTGTTGAGCGTGTACAGCCCGTCATTTCCAAGGGAATCCGTCGACCACGTCCGGGATTCATTTCGCGTGAAGATGTGGCGATTTTCTGGACAATCTTCCAGACCTGGATTCGCATCGGTGCATCCTTCTGGTAAGACTACCTAACCAAGAAATCAGTACGAGTTGACGTGGTAGATTGACTACAGTACATACCCAAAGTGTACTCCCAGCAGAGGCAGAAGTCCCCGGAAGAACTCGCACAGATTGCGGCGGCGTACCAACTTGCACGAAGAAAGTCGACCACGCTCCATCATTGCCATCACTGAGTGTTGGAATCAGTCAGTCCGCCGAATCGCCTTCCTGCATCCCACGCGTAAACACTCACAAGAATTGACTGGGAGGAACACTCAACGGTCCGACTCCCTCGCCGTCAGCAGCCCACACCCTCACCACCACACCAAGCGCCACAAAAGCGCTCGTCCAAGAAAGCCGCATTTGCTGCAGATAAAGCGCAAAGACGCTCACAAACAACAACGACCCCCAGAAAAGGAAAAGAACCAGGTCGGAGGAGCTCACGCAGGTCCAAAGGTCTAGACGGCAACATCTTTCAGCCGCACGCCCATAAGCATCCACCCACCTTCGCCTACACCACCAACAAGGCGGCAATAATGAGATGGTCCGACAATTTCAAGCCAATCATACATGCATGCGTGATTGGGTAGGACAGGATCCGGGTGGATACTATATGCGGGCATCTATTTATTTGTGGGGAGCACCAATCCTCAGCCTCACCGGTTGACCAGGTACGGAATCCTTCAGGATGGGGATCCATAAAATGACTAGCAAGGACGCCAATACTTGTTTGGCGATTGATTTCAGGTCCCGATCATCTCATACTATCGTTGAACTTTGAGAGAAAAGATGGTGTTTACTCCCATCTTGCTGCTGCTCGCGGCGCAATTTTGCGGGAGAGTGACTTGTGCTTTGTCTTGTTCGTTTTTGCTTCCCGCCTGACTGGTGGTTGAGGTAGATCTCGACTAACTGCGAAACAGACGGAAATGCGACCTATGGACAGACTATGACCTGTAAGTACCAAAACATCACGAATGGCGAGAATCATCTGCTGCACCACTCAGATCAGCGACAGCATTAGTCAATCGACTGACACACACACTACAGATGGCAACAACACCTACGCAGAAACATACCTCACCCCGACCGCCCACGGAACATCATGGACCTGGTCCCAAGCCATAACGCCCGCGATCCTCGGAACAGTCTTCGTGGTCATCAACGACCACAACCAAACAATCACTAGCACCTCTACCAACAGCGCCGCAGTCGCCAACAACACCCAATACCTCAAGAACGGCACCTTGAGCCTCCTCACCCGCACCGATGTGAACGAATTCGGAACAGTCACAGGGATCGTTCCCACTGCTCTTGCGGGCCATACCGCCATGTGAGTCTGTGACATGACAACTTGCGATGGGGTGAAGTGTTCTGACTGTTTTCCTTCCAGCACTTATCCAACTCCATATTTTACGGTCGTCGATCCCATTTCCTGGGAGGGTCTCTTCCCAGAGGTGCAAAATAGCGCAACATGTTGCAATCCAATCCTCAACACAAAGTCCGCCATCCCGCAGAATCACTATTCCTTTCCTCCCCTGACGGGCAGCACCAACCCGGCCGATCCGCGAGGTTGGCTATATGCCTTGCAGACACACAATCCAGTAGTCAAACTTAGCGGTTCCCAAAACCTTTCGTCGCTCTTTGCTCCCGCGACCATTGCAAGCGTAAGGCAACACTGTCCGTACGCCTTGTGTCCCGAGCAGTCGACCGTTGCCGGTGCAACAGCGGCTCAGATGGCCGGCGCTTTGCTTGAGACCTCGACGGTTCGTGTGACGGGGTCCTTCACAGATTCGGCATCGCCAGCAGCCACGCCGACGAAGCAGAGTGGAGAGACTTCAAAGACTTCGGCTAAGCTGCCAGAGGAAACTAATCGTGTGCCAACGCCTGCGACAAAGGTGTCCACGACGGCTAATCGAGCTCCAACCCCCGTTGTGCAGGATTCAACAGAAGCCCCATCAGAACCATTGCCATCAGGTCCGACATCCGCACAACGAGACTCCGAAGTCCCCGTGAAGCCTAGTCCTGCAGTATTGCCAACTTCCCAAACGTCAGCAACAAACATTGGTGTTGCACTGGGTCAATTGTTAGACACCAAAGTACCGACCGGCACCGATACCACAACTGCCACCAAGGTTGGAGCTACAGCCGCGCAGGAAGCATCAAATTTGTTGACGATAGACTCCAACTTTAATATAATCCCACCAAAGTCCGCGACCACGCAGCGGGCATCCAAGGAGCTTGATCCACCCCTGGTTACGGATATCCCGTCAGAGTCGAGAACAAATATTGGAGATGTGATTGCATCGTTGTTGCAGTCTGCTGAACCCAATCCAGACGCTGAGACGCAGCAGTCTAGCGTATTTGAGCCTCCCCAAGTAGCGGTCGGATCAACAAGTCTGGCTCTACAAGCAACGCAGCTGGCAACAACGGTATCCGGAGTCTCCACCGATATACCCGCAGTCATCGTGGGCTCCCAAACAGTCGCAATGGGAGCTTCCAACTCGGTTGATGGCATCCCAGTAGCCGTCGTGACATCTGGAAGTCAAACCGCAGTAGTCATCGACGGAAGTTCCACAAACATCCTGCCTCAAGCAACCCCCTCGCAAGAAGTGGCATCCCCACAGCCCATCGTGATAGGAAGCAGCACGATAACCGCCAATTCGGAATCTCAGTACATCATCGCCGGCCAGACATTACAGCCAGGATCCTCGATCACGATTGGGAACACCCCGATAGCTTTGCAAACAGATGGACCAGATGGTAGCGTGCTGGTAGTGGGATCCTCTTCGTCGGTTTTGCAGCAGCCACAGCAGCAGGCACAGACAGCCATACCACCACCTATCATCGTCGGAAGCAGCACCATAACTGCCAATTCGAACTCTCAGTACATTGTTGCCGGCCAGACCTTGCAGCCGGGATCTTCAATCACCATCGGCAACACACCAATTGGTCTACAAACGGATGGACCTTCGGGAACACTTCTCGTAGTAGGAACCTCCTCCTCATTATTGCAACAACAGCAACCAAAACCATCAGAAAAAGCAGTGCCCATTARAGTTGGCGGAAGCACCATCTCCGCAAATTCCGCTTCGGAGTACATCGTAGCAGGCCAGACTCTCAAACCCGGTTCCTCAATCACAGTAGTAGGAAGTGGATCCTCAACTTCTGTGATTCAGCTTCAAACAAGCGGCTCAGAAACGATTCTCGTCATCGGTTCTTCATCCTCCGCCTTGCAACAACAACAGCCAACGACCGAGGTCTTGACCATCGGTCCAGCGAAGATCACGCCCCTCGCAAACTCCGAGTATCTGGTGGGCTCACAGACGCTTACGCCAGGTGCTTCGGGTATAACGGTTTCCGGGGTGGAGTACAGTCTTGCTTCCGATGGGGGAGAATTGGTCGCGGGGTCAAGCACACAGACTTTGACCAGCGAGGGGGATGTTGGAGGATATATCTGGAGTGCGTTGGGTGGAAGCAGCAGCAGCCGCAGCAGCAGCAGTGGGAAGAGCAGTGCCTCCACGACCAGGGAAGCTAGTACGACTACACCCTCCACAGTATCGAGTACGTCTGCGAGTTCAGCGCAGACCGGTGCGACTGAGACCCTCAAGGCTGGCGCTGCGGAGCTTCTTGTGCGGCCGATATGTTTGTGGGTTCCGGTCGTCTTGCTGTTCGGGAGTTTGATTTAATTCAGAGACATGCTGGGACATGATGCCACGATAATGCTACTTCTTGATGTGTATGACCGAACGAAACGATGGAAATTTTCTCACCTAGACTCTCATCCTGACAGCCATGTCGCACTTGTTCGACAAAGACACTCACTCCCCTGGTGCCGAACGGCAGCAGTCAAATGGTATTGGTCGGTTGGACATCTCACTTACTCTCGCAATACTGCTCTCCTTTACCAATCGACTCCATCAATCCCTTCGCCTGTCCCGCAGAAGTGATCAAGTTTGGTTGAGAGACAACAAGTGCCACCATCACACGCCCATCACTTTCTCGGTAAGCTGCGCTGCTATTTGTACTCCCTCCCTCCCCTCACCAAATCATCAAATGTGACAAAGTGACTTGTACAACCCCCGCAGAAATGCGAAACCTCACAAATGAAATTTGTGCGTATCCAACCTGTCAAATATCCGTCCCTGTCTCAACTAACGCGTGCATGGGACACTGATGGTGTGTGTTGTTGTTTGGAGGCACAGCACAACACTGTGATGGCTTCCACGGACTTCGTGCTTGCTTTTGCGGATCGGCAGATTGGACTACCTTACTGCAAATGACTCGTGGCTCTTGCTCTTTGTGCTTCTCGTTTCGGGGGTATGTGACGGATGTGAAAGAATTATTGCGTTTTGCGGCAGGGTGCATCGCATCACGGGCAGGATTTGCGTTGAGAGAGGGACGGGAGGCGGTGGGAAATGTGTGAGAGGGTCGATCATCAATCAATCTGGAGATTTGACTTTTCCTCGCCCGGGCTCGGATAACGATCTTTTTGGGTTTCTTCTGGAAGGACAAAGGAATGGGTGGGGCCTTTGATTGCTTCTTCCAGTTCTTGCTGTGCATGCGTTGGGTCTTGATCGAATATGATGTGATCGATCGATTGTGAGGAATCGTTGTTGCTGTCGTGTTGCATGTAGGGTATAGACGCACGCCACTGCCGCTTGATCATCTGCAGAAGTCAAGGGGGGAAGGGGAGAAGGACAATGAAGAAGGCGTTCACTCTCAAGCAAGGGTATTGTATTCAACCACCAACCACGATTCATATCATCAACTTGTGGAGTGGAGTATCTTTAGGGCATCTTTGTTCGATACACCATCCCAGCTACAGTCACAACGCCTCCTCGTTGCCTCTCCTCCACATCGGCATATCAACGGTGACACGTGTATACCGCCTTGTAGCCGCTTGGTGGGAGACTTTTCTCACCAAGAATCACCAACTCTCAGCAAGCCTTGACATGCATGCACATGCACATGCACATGCACCATCGTGCCGCCCGAACTAGTAAAGGCATCCCGGATCCAAGGTGGAGTCCTTTTGAACGTATCAAACCCCCCAATGAGCCCTTGCACCACCCCTCCGGCACACGGCCCGCAAACTGAGGCGGGCTGTTTTTGGAGGGGGGAGAAACGCAATCACCTAAGCTCCCACATTTTTTTCTCACCTGTGTGAGATTAGGAATTACCCGACCTTCTTGCATACGTGATTCAGGCAAACACATAACTACCTCTGCTACATCTGCACCGTCCTCCTTCCCGGCCGCCATGTCCACCATCCCCCCCAGCAAACAAACCTCGACGCAGTTGTCCGACGAACAGACTGCCACTTCTGCTCACCCGCCGCAGTCCTCGCTCGATCCTACTCTGACCTCCAACGACCCTCACAACAACAACAACAATGCCGCCGCGGGAGGAAACACCGCCGCCGATGCCACCGGTCCCTCCAAACTCGCCCGTCTCCGAAGCGAGCTGAAGGCCGGTCTACGCCAATTCCCCGACTTCCCATCGCCAGGCATCCTGTTCGAAGACATCATGCCCCTCTTCTCCGACGTCAAGCTCCACAATGCGCTGATTGACGCTCTCGCCATGTTGGTCCAGCAGCACTACAACTCGGTCGATGTCGTCGTCGGTCTGGACAGCAGAGGCTTCTTGTTCGGCCCCAGTCTGGCTCTCCGCTTGAATGCGGGTTTCGTGCCGGTTCGCAAGCAGGGCAAGCTGCCAGGTCCATGCGAGACCGAGGGATTCAAGAAGGAGTACGGCGAAGACTTCTTCCAGCTGCAGAGCGATGCCATCAAGCCGGGACAAAAGGTCCTTGTCGTCGACGACATCATCGCGACTGGTATGTCAAATTGGTGGATGATTAACAGTGTATCCAGCTAACCCTCTACAACAGGCGGCAGCGCTGCAGCAGCTGGCAACCTCGTCGCCAAAGTCGGCGGTGAGATTCTCGGATTCGTCTTCCTCATGGAGCTCGACTTCCTCAAGGGCCGCAACAAGCTCAACGGTCCTACCCACACCCTCCTCTCCGGCCAAGATGCCGCTCTCAACTCCTCTTGAACGCTTGCCGATAAGGCAAACACAGCAAATGATCATACAGAAGGACAAGAAGGACGTCCGCAAGGACTGGATGGAAGGACAGAAATGCACCATGCATGCGTCGGACATGAAGACGCGCTTGGGCATGGCACTGGGCGTAGACGGACAGAATAGGAAAGAAGAGAAGAGCCATGGCAGCAGTAGCGCCTTCAACCTGCTGTACAGCATGGCCGTTGCAGAGACAGCGGCCGCTGCAGAGACATGCTCAAGCAGGCACGATACCCGTAGGCTCAACACCTACAAAAGAAAGAACTCAAAAGACTCGGAGACCATGGCTCCCTCCTCATCCCAGTTCGCATGTGGGTGAAATCTACTAATCATGATTTACATTTTGGGCCGGAAGCTATAGGATGCCCCAACGCTCACCCTTTCGAACCAACCACCCTCGCACATTCCCCTCCACCATGACTCTCGCTAATCAAAGCAGACCATTCATCGAGAGATGGGAAGTATCAAGCAAGAGGGCGGTCTTTGTCGTGTGAAGATATTCCTCGCCGCGAATCGATCTATACCTCAATGATCGCCCCATTCATGAAGGTATGATGCCGTCACTCGGAGGGCCGATACTCACGCTCTGCATCGCAGTTCATTTCTCGCTGTTCAGATCCAGTTGGCATTTGAGAGATGATGAGGAGGCATGGTGATATTGGAGGTAGGTACTTCTTGGTAGTTTCACTTGTGGGTGGGAATTATTAAGTCTGGGTGTTCTCGTCGGGTGACTTACGCTGGTGCTATCTGGCCGAGTAATGCGCTCTTTTACACGAAGAGGTCAGTTTTGTTGGACCGAGACAGTGGCCAGCAATCCTGTTGCCGGTTGATTATTTGTACACGGATTGACATCTTTGGAGTCAAGATGTGCTTGTTGGCGAGAGATGGGTGCTTGATCTTGAATAAACCCTCCCAAAAGACCGATTCCACCAAGGCAGGTGGATTCATTTGAACAGTATCTTATCATGAACATTGCCTCCCACAGCCTCAAGTTAACAAAAGTACCCTGTTTGAGATGCGCCCGCCACCACCGTAAGTTAGAGGAGAAGCGACAGGGTCACAACCGCGGACACTCGTTTGTACAGGGAACAGACTTATACCCGACTGGCTACCCATTTCCCACAAACTAGTTCATGTTCCCTGAAAGGGTGCGACGTTGGAAAACGCCGGCAATTCGAAATCATGTGCATGTGCTTGGAACCTGAAAACTTCGGGTAGTAAGKAAGGAAGGAGAGGATCGATTGGATGGCAGAGTGGGTAGAGCTAGGCGATGTTGTGTACTTGGCAATAATGCAATGCCCGCCCCGTGRGTGATTTGCAAGGGAGTGGGAGTGTGGCACGGCGGGGTTTGTGGCGTTCGTTTGAAGTGGTGTGGCCTATAACAAGGTACGTTTTGGCTGTGAAGAGATCGACGACCATGGTGACTTTTGGAGTGGAAGGGAGACCTTTGGTGTTTTGTGTGTCTTCTGATTTCCCTGATCTCATTGCGAGAGGTTTGGCGATAATCTCTTCGTCAGCTGCGATTTGAATGAGAGAAGGATGGTAAGTTGAGCCACCTTCCAAATCGTTTGCATTGTAAATGTACCTGCTACATGGTAGCCGCTCTACTCCTAGGATCCACTGTTAGGTGCCAATCTGAGACGCACGTAGGCACGCTGGAGGTATCATAGTAATCTACTGGCCGCTCGCAACTGCAAGCTAGTTAATGTTCAGGTAGTACGAGCGTGCACTGGAATGTGGGTGGCTTGCATCCCCGGCGGGTCGAAAATGTACAAACGTATTGTTGGAAGCTCGGCCAATGCCTTGGACATGTACCCTGCACATCCATCGATCTGCCAGACGTCGAAGAGTAGACGTTCGTATGCAGATAGGTATGGACGTCGCAACTCTCTGCTTCGGATTTACGCCAAGTGCTCTGCCGGCAGTGGGCTGATCGATCACCGTTCACTAGCTCCTTTCGGGAACGAATATAACAGGCGTTCCCTGTCTCTCAGATTCGGAAGCTCAAACCATCGACGTTCCAGTCTCCAGCACCCGCTTGCGCTCCACTCCCTCCAATTGGCTGGCGGGGCCTCCACCAAAATAACTCACGTCCCATATGGATGATTCTCCCTCAAATCTTCACTGCCCTGAGCTAGAGTGACTGGCTCGTTCCGATCCCAAACTAATTCATGTCCCCCGTGTCTTCAAGCGCGCCACGCCCCTCACGCACTTGTTGGAACAATTTTACCGTTGGAAGATTGGGCTGACATGGCGTCATTCAATCCTTACAAATTGTATATGCACACCTGCTGTTTCGAGGGCCCACACAGTAACGTTACTACCGTACCTGACTTTTCGGATTCCAGACCCACAGCATGGCAGTACCAGCAGTACCAGCAGCAGCAGCAACGACAAGAGCAACAGCATTCACAGAGCCTCAACTTCCTTCCATAAAACACTTCAGAGATGTGGGGATTTGCATCAACAGCATTGCGAAACGAAGACTGTTAGCCGAGGGTCGATTGTTCGTCAGTACTTCCATCAGCGACACCTCGGATGCCGAAGATGAATATCTACGAAATTCGCTGGGGATTCGAACGGTCGTGGACACAGCATGGCAGAAAGAGGAGGAGCAGCACCTTACGCGCACGATGAACACTGCGCTTGACAAGGCTCCAGATGTCTCGGAACAGCGCTCATGGTTGGAAATCACCAGAGTCGACGATAGGACCTATTGTGGGGTGAAATGGAGGCGAGGGCCATATGTGACACAGCTCATTGAAGAGTTGTCAACCTGGCAGAAAACGTATGCAGAACACACAAGAGTTGAAGTTTTGACGGGAGCCTGATCTGATTGAATGGAATAGGAAACTCTATGGACACGCTTTTCTCGAGGAACCAGACGCGAATAATGCCCTGCTCAAGAAAGTAGCCCGCAGCCCGGGAGCCACCAAGGAGAGTCTTCGGGTTCTGGGCTCTTCCAAGGCCATGATCGCAGAGCTGTGGAACAAGGTTTTTGGGGATGAGACCTCATATCCCATCCTCATGGTTGGAAATCGGGACTCGTGCATGTTTCTCATCATCTTGTTGTTGTTCCTCGATGTGCCCACCAAGGTCATTTCCCAGGAGATCCAACAGGCGATTGAACATGCTCAGGGTACCGTGGCGGCACCGACGGATGAGGTGAGCATCAAATTTTCCGTCGACTTCATGCAGAGTGCCGGGACGTGGGTGGGAGATGTGGAGCAGTGGTTGGGGAAGAAGTATAAAGGCCTTGATGGGTACCTTGCGGCTGCGGGTGTATACGCTCATGCGCAGGATACCGCCGAGAGGATGTTGCTGGTGCTATCGGGCGATAAGCTGGCCGTCTCGACCGAGAAGGTCATGGGGCGTATGACGTGATGCGTGCAGCTCGATGCAAACCTCCAGACAGCAATGCAGACCACCAGCCTGCAGGTTCGCATATAGATCGCAGTTTGAATAGGGACATATATAATCAGCCCGTCATACTATCAGTGTCAACGGCCCTTGCGGCCACGACTGATTCATCCCAGCTTCCCCATCTCACTGTTCAGGTTGACACAGCTTCAGTCTGCCTGCGCGGCATATATCGCTGCTTCTACCTTTCTACGTCCCAGCTGGTCCATCTCTCCCTGTATGGCCGCTTCGGCTGGCATATGCAGTCATCTATCCAGATAACCCCGGACGACGTCCATCTACAGTGAGTCGCCGTCTTGGTACGATAGCCAGGGATCGCATCGCAAAGATCATTACAGTATTAGCCGGTATGTCGACATGCGCAGATGCGCCAGTTATTCTTCCCTTGTGGTTGAAAGCACTTGCCGCTTCCGGAATCCTTGTAAAAACAACAGGTTCCCCAGGCCTTACAACTAGGACATGGATAAGATACTTCCTCGTCTGCATCTGTCTCTTGTGTGCGTCCGATATGCGACAAGTGCCTTTTGTCTGCTTCGCTCTTCTCCTCACAATGTGGTCTGGCGTTTGTCTCGTGGCTGTAGAAGGCGTCCAGAGCCTCAGAACGTCGAATGTGGCTTTGAAACCCTCTTGGCCTTTTCCACCGGCGGGGCCGGGTCGGCTTCAGCATTGTGGACACTGAGCTTGCCCGCTTGTTCGCTAAGCAGGAACTCGACCATTGCTATATTGGCGTGGAGTTTTGACACTTATTTCTTGATATCGTACTTGGATGCCGAATCTCTTCCTCGTCCAGAGCAATCGTCGTACGGAACAAGTCTTGATATCAAGCTCGACCTCTTTGCTGGATTCGTGCATTCTGGCAACTCTTCCTCTTCCTCGAGCAGTGTGACTTCCAATGCGGCGTCATCCATCTTGAAGTATGGCAAGATCTAGAAGCWACACCCAAGATCTCGGTTGCTGAATGTTGTAAACAACAATTTTCAATGTCGATATTGAAGAGGGGACGAGGACGACGCGCAGGCAATCGCGAGCTGAACGCGAACTCCCGGCCTGTGCTTGCACACCTCCCTGTCGACTTTTACGTACCCCGACTTCTCCACAACCGCCGTCATCATCTGTAAGTTACTCCTAGGCGGACACGCGCGAATTTACCCATAAATCATGCCATCCAGCGAACGAGAAGTCAGTTCTTCCTTCTCCGCCAAAAGGATCAACTCGACGACATGCGTGATCCAGGAAGATGACGTCTTTCGAGAGCATCCCCTCATCTATGTAAAAATCCACCCGAAAGTTCCAATCATCATACTGTCAGATACTGGCTGCGATGAGCCTAGCGAGGGGAAGAAGCATGGTTCGTAGGATCTCCTCGTCAGTCGCAGTATAGACTCAGTCGAAGCATTCTCCAGTCCGAAAATCTCATCCATGTTTTACCCTTTTTTGTACATGAGCCATGGCCTGGATGCACAGCTAATCGTACTTGCAAAGCCCGCTTTACACAGCTCCGGGACTACATCGAAAACTGCCCAGTAACATGCAACAACGACAAACCCATGAACCCTCATGGTGAGAGGCAGTACTACATAATCAGCACCCATTGCCATTATGACCACCTTGGTATGTCCTGCAATCCCTACCAAGCTACTCCATCTTGAGACAAGAATAGGCGGCATCACCCAATTCCTCGCCGGCGGAACGACAGAAATCATCGCCTCCGCCGCGGGGCGAGATTTCATCGAATCAGATCTAGAATCCCATGGTCTCTTCAACCATGTCAGGAAACCGGCTCCTTACTTCCAAGTCACCTACTGGGCTCCAGCTTTCGCACGACTCACTCATCCTCTCAAACATGCCAACGAAGAGAACCTCACTACTGCGAAACCCGTGGATCTGGGTGTCACAATCATACATACTCCAGGCCATACCCCGGACGAACTAGCCTGGTATGATCACGACGAAATGCATCTCTATATCGGCGATAGCTTTTACGAAGCTGGAGAGGAGGAAATGCCGATCGAATGGCCCGTGGATGGCAATATGATAGAATGGGTCTTTTCCATGAGGAAGTTGATCTCACTGGTTGAGTCTGAAAACTCTCGAGCTGCAAAGGGAGAAGCCGAAGATGAAGATGGGTGGATGCAAGTTGCACGCAGGGTGAGACTTGGTGCTGGGCATCAAACTTATGCTGCTGATGCGATGGATCTCATGGAGAGGTTGTGGGATGTTTGGTGGAGGACTGTGAAGGGTGAGGTTCCTGTTTCGAGGAAACGGGTCCTGTGGGGTCAGGAAGTGTTGACTTGGAGGGAGAATGACTTGAAGTCTGGGATCTACTTTGAAGGTCCTGCGAGTTTGATGGAGGATACGAGGAGGTTTTTTGAGGGAGGCGGACCTTCTCGGGGTAGAATGACTGATTGAGAATGAATAGTGAGAGGAGCATCTACAGTCGCAACTTCTATGATTGTGATCAACGTCCAAACTTTCGAAGCTCCAGCCATCTCAGCGGAGGGTATACAAGCAGCGCCCAGGAAAAGCCAACGTAGTTGCCCATCTGCAGGTAGTCAGTATTCTTCCCAAGTTTCAAAGGAAAGCATACTCACATCTCCACCATACTCCGACACCAAAGCCGCCAGAGGCCCAACATACCAGACCTGCGCCATACACAAGATGGCACCCGCCCATCCCACAAGAAAAGCAACAGAAGCCGCAATGCCAACAGGTAATCTCGTCCGATCATTCCACATCTCCCAATCCCAACCTCGACCCATCCATTTCCGAAATAAAAGATGCTCTTCAAGAACAATGGCGATCCATATGCTGACCCAGTATCCCATCAACGACAAAAAATTGGTGAAGATCYCCGCGAGGTGTTCTCGGCCTGCGATAGCACAGATCATAGGAATGACAATCGCAACGGTATTCCAGAAGATCCGAGGGACTTTCTCCCAAAGCCTACCGAGCGCTTGGAAGTCCAAACCGGAAGCATATGTGGGTAAGACCATGTTTGAAATCATCCCCAAAGCGACAATGACGCTGCAGAAAGATCCAAAGGTTCCGAGAGGTCGGAATGCTTCGACTAGTAATGCTCCCGCTGAGACTTCATATGCATCCGCCCAGGATGGATTTCTGGCGGTTCCGGATCCGAGACCAATTCCAACGACCAGCGCAAACGTAGATGAAAGCATCAGGCCGGCGAATGTGGAGAGGAAGACCTTGACTCGGGATGCACTAGCAGGATAGTACACGAATAGATCCGCCGCGGATTCCGCATATGTGATCTCAGCTGCCAGACACAAGCTGAAGAAACTGAGGCGATTCCCAGCTATCACATTCGCCGGTTCGCCCTCTGAAGGATTTCCCGTGAGATCGAAATTCGGCCCAGCAGTGCCACAGAGGATACAGATCACAATCAGCTGAGGAAGCCAAGCGTATCGCTGATAGTAGTGGAAGATGCTGTACCCGAAACTCGTCACGATCCAGGTAATGACGCAAACAATCACAATCCCCACAATGACGCTCAAACTCCCCTTTGCGCTCACAGCGCTGAGAATTTGACCTCCAACGACTGCATTCAAGATCAAGTAGCCCATCAGGATGATCAGCGTGAGGACCACGATGACTTTGCTCGGCCACCAGCCCGTCACATAGCGTGTGAGAATCATGGTGCGATTTCCGGATCGTGGGCCAAAAGTTGCGATGTAAGCTACGGGGATGATTCCCGTCATGGCTCCGAAGACTGCTAGGAGACAGCTGTCGAGAAAGGGGAGTTTGTAGACGATTGGGCCGAGGAAACCGAGGGTTATTACTACCGCTGTGAAGTTGATGCTGGTCCAGACGAGGGCGATTTGGATGAATCCGAGTTTATCCATGCTATGGCGGTCAGAAGGGAGGACTCGTTGAATACCTCTTGATTCGAGACCGGCTATGCGTTCCAGGGATTTGAGCAAGCGCTGGGCTCGACTCGTTGAAGTTGTCGTCGAAGCATCGGGCGAGAGAATCGTATGCTTCTCGACATCCTCCGAATTTGGTCTTTGATCCAGCATGTTGGAGGTTCTTCCATCTGTACAGTGTCAGAAACTGACGACGAGGGAGAGGATAGGATAGCATGATTCTTCGTCGCTAGCATTATCATAGTTCAAGTTCGGCCGTTTGATCTCAGCGAGGCTTTTTTCTTCCCCCATCTCTCATCACCCACTCCGAAGAGAGGTCAAGAGAAGTGGAGTGGAAAACAGACCAAGCACCGGCTCATGCTTTTGCTCACTGTACCTCAACAACGAGAACTCTCTTCCATTCTGGTCTTGCTGCTTGGAAATCTCATCGTGATTTTTGCTGCTGTCGTACTTTCGTGTTGCGGCGTGGCGAAATGCTCGCTCGCCACTGCTGGTTGGGCCATGATTTCTGGCTTCCCTTTGTCCTGGAGCTCCTTTGTGAGCACAATCGTATGGAATATTGAGGATGATGAGAAGAAAATTGTAGGAGGAGGTTTCTTCGATTGAAGGCCAAGTCAAATCCAAGCCCTGCTACATCTTGCCGAGCCGGTGGTATTCTTGTTCTTTGCTGACCGATATCGGTTACCGTACGATATCCATGTATTTGTATGCAAACCTCGACTTTGCGTCTTCCACTTCGTTTTCGCATCTTACATTGATATACATGTCTTCTGCCGTCGACGAGCTGTTTGACCAGCCTTACCCTCGCACTGTTCTTGCACACGGCATATAATCGTGCTTGAAATCCCACGGGCGGCATTTGGTGCGACACAGTCAAGAGGTCGGTCCGATGTCCTCTGCAGCTACTGTATGTCTGTACTTTGAACCACCGACAGGGAAGGTAAGACAGACTATAATAATGATATCGCCTCTGCAAAGCGAACCATTGCAACATGTCACAAGAGGTCCATGCCCACCCGACCGTTGTGCTCAGTCCTCGCGATTCTTGCATCATGACTCTCGCGTGAAAGGGTCCAGCGCGTCACCGGGCCATTCTGCACGAGGCCATCTCTGCAGCTCCAATGCACAACACACGCATTCTGACATAGATATTACATCAATCATCATGTTCACCTCCGTTCGTCTTTGCAGAGCTGTTCCCTCCACTTTCAAGTCTGCACAATTCACATMCAGACGTACCTTTACAGCCAGCACTTTCGTCAGAATGCCCGAAGCACTCAAGCAGAGCGAGGTCTCCTCGCAGACCGACCCATCAGTCGCAAAGCAGTTTGACAACGAGACCTCGACCGAGGACAAGTTCAAGGATTTCTACACGCTGGCCGATGGCATGAAGATTAGCATGATGTCGACTTACCGGAATGGACTTGGCGTGCGTACTGTCCGTAAATGTTGACATATCTTGACGAACTAACACACCATTCAGCCAGTATCTCGCTCAATGGCCGTCTCGAAGCGTAGTGGACCAGATTTCCTCTACCTGGCCAACAAGCACAGCAACAAGATGACCGACCTGTCCCAGAACAAGGAGGTCAACATCACCTTCCACGACTCCAGCAAGCAAGATTGGATCTCTGTTACTGGGGAAGCAGTGACGACCAGCAGTGACGACCCGCGCATCAAGCAGATCTATTCCAAGATTGTGAGTGCGTGGTTTGGAGACTTGGGCGATGGTGTGCACACTGGTGGACCCGAAGACCCTCGCATGTCTCTGATTGAGATCAAGGCAAAGTGTAAGAACTTTCTCATTGATTGTACGGAGTTCTTCATCTCGCTGACAAGACGCTACAGACATATCCTACTACAAGTCGACTACCGGCAAGCTCAGCTCGATGATGGAGATTGGTGGTGCGGTCATGACGGGCAAAGTTGCTCAAACTGGAGACCTGAGGGAGATGCACGAGGCTGAGATCAAGGAAGCTCGTGAGAGGGATAGCAAGTTGAGCTCCTAAACTATATGAAATGTAACGATGATACTTGTTTTGGTTGTACCAGCCAATAGTGGTGGTGGCTTTTGTTGGCAACACTAGCGTGCTGGTAATGTTGACGACGCCACTGTTAGGCAGCGTTGATAACCTCTCTTAACGCCAAGAGTCATAACGCTAGTCGTTATCGGCTGATATCGATTTGCTCAGCATCATCGTTTGGCGCGTGACGTAGCTATTCGATTGGTCAGGAGGCTCGGAATGTCTCGGACCGGTATCTGCAAAGTTAGCGATATTGCAATGTCGATGCCACGATATATCCCTTGTTAACAGCACCCACACCAGCCAAATTGACATGAGGACACGCACCCCGGCCACCACTTTATTAGTCAGAGTCAGCAGAAGCCGCTCAAATCCGGGTTCTTTTCCTCCTCGCCGCCGTTATTCCTCCTTCATTATCGACCTGTATTCACCCGCCGAGAGTTGGAATCCTCTCTTTCACGCCCACATTCGGTCGCGATTTCCCTCGCGTTCATTCCACTCCGCTTTACGACACGATAACAGCTCCACATCATGCCGCGTCCCCCAGACAATTATACCCACGCGCAGTTTGAGCCCGTCGACTCGGAGCATGCGGGCGAGACGGTGCAATGCCTTCACTGCCGCAACTGGACCGGTTCCGTCAAGACGCTCAACCGCAAAAAAGCCCATCTCCTGAACTGCACTCAATACGCGCAATGGCGCGCTCAAGGGAACGGCCAGGATCTGGCTCCCCCGAACAAGTACAGCAGGCGCGAGTCAGGCATGATGGGCTGGGACGACCGAGGAGACGCCGGGTAAGTAATTCCAGTTAAGAAAATCCCCCGTCTTTCACAAGGTTCCCACTTGCCTACTTTGGCATGGCTTTACCGTTCCCTTCCCTCAAAACAACCATCGATATCCCTTCGATACATATGTCGACATGTCGCTAATCAAGGGAACCAGAGATGGCTACAATTCTTCACCCTACGCTCCCCAACCTCCTCAACATCATACGCCGTTGGTAGCTCGTGGGAGGAATCTTGATCTCAGTAAGTATTTCGATGAGTTTTGGGACGATTCGGCGGCACAAAAGGTGAGATACTTTTTTATTCGTCAATGTACTCCAATACTTGTAAAGAGCTTCTCCTCGCAGTCTTGCAAAGCAAGCAGCAAACGCCCTCCACGAGGAGGTGCAGGCTGTGGACGGTCTCCTCGAGAAGAAGCCTAGCAATTCTGGCTCGTTCTGCATTCAATGCTTCATTGATTATTGCGGAAAGGAGAGTGATTTTATAAAGACTCTTGTAGGGGAGGGGGCATAGAACCTCGTCTCATCATCACACTGCGAACAATGCTCTACGGATTAGTACCATGTAGAGCTAGAAGCTGACCGCCAACAGTGCATGCGGGTACGTTGCCTCTCATGCGGTTTTGTTCGAGCAAAGAATACCACACGCCAAGTTGAGCACCTGGGAACCTGCGAGCTGTTCAAAAACTCCCCGGAAGGGGCCGCTGCTGTGGCCAATGGCGAACTCGAGATGGCCCCCAGCGGCAATCGCAACTACACCGGCGGCACCGACATCTGGCGCGGCGGTGCACCCAACCCCAACCTTCTCGTCGGCTCCACGCAACCAAACATGACCCCCATCCGTCCAATGGCCACCAACAGCCGCCTGCCGCCGGCGAGACCAGCTCCATCCCTTGTGGCTCATCTCCTCAACAAGCATTCGGACAAAGCCACCAAGGCTACACAGCAACCATTCTTGTCGCATGCGGGCTACGGCACTCTATCAGGATCTGCTCTGAAGTCGTGGCTCGTCCAGAACACCCACATCTCCCGCGCGCTCATGTCTGCTATTGGCGGCTTGATTTCGAAACTCCGCCTGCCAGATGTCGCCAACATCAGAGCCGACACGTCTTTCCGCGCTCTCGATCTGTTGATCTCCACCATCACCAACATTCGAAAAGAGATTGACTTTATCGAGAACACGAAGCATAAGTACAGCTTCGTCACAGAGTCGGAACCTCCGTCGACAATGACCAAAGCATACATGGATCTCCTAGCCAGCGTATCATCGCCCCAAGCAGATCTGTTGGAAGGCATGGTCGCACTGTGGGCAACCGAGCACGTACGTTGTTGAAAGAAGAAGCATTGATTGCACCCTCACTGACACCTTTTCAGGCGTACTACGCGTCGTGGAAGTATGCGAGCACCCTCACCAAAGCCTTTCCACCAGCTGCAAACTACTCCGTTCCATCCTACCTGACGGCATCAATGGATCCGATGGGCTCCGGGATTGGCTCTACTCGGCCAGGCGCTCCCGACCAGCGTTACATCACTTCCCTCCACGAATGCATGATTCCCAATTGGACATCCCGCGACTTTAGCAAATTCGTGGATGCATGCCGATCTATCGTGGACGAGATTGCCAGCAAAGAAAGCATCGGCGACGGCAAGGCCCAGCTACTGCGCTKCGAAACCGTTCATCAACAGATCCTCTATCTGTGGGAGCGCATCTGGCCACATGTTGATGGCATGGGCGAGAAGCTCGGTCTCGAGGATGATGCTTCTTCGCACAGCCCTGTCCAACAACGAGAGAGCAGCGCCGTCGCGGGTCCTAGCAATACGAATGGTACTGGTCCTGGAAATGACAAGAGAGACGCGATTGAGATTCAAGACGACGGAGACGACGATGTGGACTCACCATATGGAGGCACTGGACTTGGTGCCGTTGCGGCTGCAAACCAATCCGCTTAGAGCTCGGAGCCGGTATGGTCAGTCAATGAGCAACCAGCCTGGTCCAGTGATCATCAGGGAGTGACTTCGTGGTCACCTTACATGAACTAGTGCTTCTTAAGCTGGTGGGTCGGTGTTAAAGACAGCTGCATGCATGGATGACCACCAAGTCGTTATCAGGCGTGGAAGACTGAGATTTCGAGAGCCTTTCTTTTCCAATCGTTTTCAAGCAGTTTATACCCCAACTCGTAAACGAGTGCTATTCGCAAGCAAAGTCATGATGAAAAAAGCAAGATGACTCTCCAGCTTTCAAAACTTATCCCCTACCGTGTAGTTTCCGTTGTGATATCCTTGATCCCTACCTGTCGATGCGCCGTGAAGTTCAGTGCTAACCACCATCCCAGCAGAGCTGTCGATATGAGAGATTATCAACAAGAGCAGGCGTCCTGAACTGCTCCCTCAATTGGATTGGCGGGCTACTCTACTAGTGGTCAAGACTCTAGCAGGCCTAGATTCGTCGAGCCTGCAGAGAGAGAGAGAGCGAGGTCTAAGGACATTGTGGGGGGAATGGATGAGGATGTCTTGTCTTGTCGCGATGAACAAACAATCCTCATATCGACAGCTCTGCATGATGAGCCCAGTGCCTCTTCCCTGCCTGCAGCGCTGCCTTCCCGCCATGCAATCAATCAATAACCCTTTGGTTTGAAAATAAACGCTTCCGGATCAAGGGTACTCTCTCCACTGCTTGACGTCCAGCTCGAATCGGTACTACTCTTCGTCCTATGTCCTTGCTTCTTCTCCTCAACTGGCTGATGCGAAGAATTTTGCACCGGGAAAGTCGGCAACCCTCTCAATCCCTCTATCAACATGAGCTCTTCGGGTTTGCTGGTGCTGGCGGAAGAAGCGAACTTCGCAAGCGGAATCTCATTGTCATTTCTCAAACTCTGCTTGTTGTAGCTCTTTTCCTCAGGCAGGGTAGTAGTGTTAGTAGTAGTAGTAGTGAGGAGGGGGACTTTTCCGCGAATTTGTTGCACTGGAGGAGTAGTGATCCAATTATTATAATAAAAACCTCTCTGTTGGATCTGCAATCTCTCGGCTTCTTTCCTAGCTTGAAGCAATTTCTTCTCCGCTTCCACTTTTTGTGATGTTTCGATTTTTTGGATGAGGTTGGAAAGTTGAGCTGCTTGGGCGATTTTTCCTTCTTCTTCTGCGGTTTCTGCTTGTGTGGTGGTGGTTGTTTGCTCTGTGGGGCGGAAGGGGAAGTAGAGGTCGTCGTCTTCGAAGGAGCGTGCTGCTTCGAAGGTTCTGCGGAGGGTTTTTGTGGGGGTTTGTTGGGGTTTGATTTTGTTGGGTGAGCGAGGGGGGAGATTTGCATGGAGGGGTGAGAGGTTGTGGGCTTCCTGGTCTTGAAGGCTGTTGTTTGGCGTGTGATTTTGAAGATCTTGTTGATGTGATCTGCAGTGCTGGGTGTCTTGTTGGACGATGGACTGCTGCTGGGAAGGCGTGCTGAATTTGGAGGTGTGAGAGATTCTGCTGGTGCTACGGGTTGGAGTTGTGGGTTGGTGGTCGCCGCTGCTGCTGCTGCGAGATGAACCTGTAGGTGGATTGAATGGCTGGTCGCGCGCAGGATGTGCCGGTGTTGGATAGGAGGGAAGATCCCAGCCCGAGGGAGGTGCGTTGGAGGGAGGACCCCAGATGTTGTTTTGCATTCCGTTCATGGTTGCGAGGTCAACTTGCGATGTTTGAGGTGCTGGCGTGTTGGATGAGGAAGCTGTTTGGGTGTTTTTCGAGAGGTTTTGTTGTTGTGGCGAGTCGAGTTGAGGTTGGCAGGCTGGAAGCAAGTGAATCTCCCGCGTTTGGTCGGGAAACTTCCTTTCGATCCGTCATGAGGTCCGGTGTCTTCATTCACTCTAATGGGTTCTTCTGCGGTGGATCACTGGATTTTCCGCCGGAAGATAGATGCATGTTGTTGCAGCCGGTCAGCTGTAAATGGACAGACATATTCTACCGCTGTTGGCAAGACTTGTCCTCGCGCGCTTTCTGTTTGCTGCATACGCTCGCCTCCAACCTCAACTTCCACCTCCAATCCCACTTCATCTCGTCAACATACCGCGTACTTCACTGTACCTTTCCTCATTACATACCTCTCTGTAAGTTGCGTATCAACAGCTCACAAGCCGTGCACCGTATTGCATGCCGGACAGCATGGCCGAGAAGAATATGCCAATCGAGAAGCCTGGTGTCGATAAGAAGCGTGGCCGTGGCTGCATCCAGGTGAATGTGTTGCATGCTGCGATCGATATGCATRCTTGGAATACTACTCAGGCCCTTCACCTCGCCATGGGATCCGTACTTTCCGCCCGAAGTGGTCTTACCATATGCCTCCTTCTCGTTTGGACGGGTCCATTCACTGCCAGTGCATTCTCGACTTCATTTGAAAGCCTCCAAGTTTTTCATTCACCTTCTTGAAGTACAAAGACTATTATAATCGTCAGAGAAGCGATGCGAACCTTCCTCTTCACTCGCAAATGCCTCTGAGCGGTTGCTGCAGTATTGAAACCTTCCTGTTGACACAATCACTTCTTCCCCTTCCACCAACACTTCTCCTTCTTGCACTGCACTGCACTGCACTGACATTACACGCAAGAACTTCCCTCTTCCCTGCGCAACATGTCATCCGCAGCAAAGTCAGTTCCCACGTCTCCCATTCCTGCTACGCCACCGGAGCAAGTTCCTGAGCAAATTCCAAAGTGTGCTGCCCTTCCGGACGACATCATCATTCGCCAGCACAGGCATGGCAAGTCGGCGACCCTGACAAAAGAGCCTGTCAAAGAGCGCATGAAGCACATCCACCGAGACATCAAGTTGCTTGCCGACGGCCTTCCGAACGGGATCTATGTCCGCTATGCCGAGACGCGGCCTGATTTCATGAAGATACTCATCGCAGGCAGTAGCGGTACACCATACGCAGGCGGCCTCTTCGAGTTCGATCTGTTTTGTCCCGCAAATTATCCACAAGTTCCACCAGAAGTGACATTTCGTACGACAGGTAAGTGCAGTCCACGCCTGGAACAATGCTTGCCACATCGCTAATGAATGCTGGTACTAAGTAACGCAGGTTCCGGTTACTTCCAGTTCAATCCCAACCTGTACATCAATGGTAAAGTCTGCCTTTCCGTCCTTGGTACCTGGGATTACTCTTCTTGGGTACCAAACCAAGGAACAGTTCTCGACATTCTGATCATCCTGCAAGCCTGCGTTCTTGTCGACGAACCGTTCACAAACGAACCAGGCAGAGAGGCTTTCAAGGGGAGTTCTAGAAGTCTCCATTACAATCGAGCACTCTATGGGAAGACTGTACAGTTGGCCATGCTGGGTTGGTTGGAGCAGAATGGCAGTCTGTGGGACGATATCATCAAGCAACACTTCACCGTCAATGAAGAGGTGATCCCCGAGACTGTCAAGGAGTGGATTGAGGATTACAGCCAATCCGGGGGCGTCGGTGGAAGGAAGAGGAACCTTTCCAAGCTCGACTCTCATCCCTCAAATGCCCCCGGAAAGAAGACTCAATCTGCGATCGGAGATGCACTCTCAAACTACACTTCTGCATCTGCTGGAAGCAAACTTCAAAAGCTCCCAGGTGGCATTCAAAAAGCTCCCTTCGCTTTGAGCCACTCCTCCTCCGACGGTAACTTCGACTTTGCCTATCCACCACACGGCGGCAAAGACCTTTCCGCCCAACTTATCACCGGCAAGCCAAGTCTAGCATCGAGAGCAGCCAAAACGCCTCTTCCTTTCGTTAAAAAGCAGAGGACCCCGACGCGTGCGATACGTGACCCGTATGTTAAGGACCCCATCGACTTCGCAGATCCAGCAGAGGATGATGAGGATGATGAGGATGACGAGGATGAAGAGGATGACGAGGATGAAGAGGATGCTGGATTTGATGAACCTTTGCAGGAGTCTGTAGAGGAGGGCGAGAGCAAGGTTGTGGGTGAGAATTTGAGGAAGTTGGTCAAGGAGTTGAGGAATGCTGTTGTCGCTTTGAGCGGCTGATGAGCGTTGTTCTCGATGGTAGTTGTATGGGACTACGCATGATGTCTTTAGGCGTTTCTTGGCATGAGTTAGGGCAAGCATGATGTTATGGCGCTTGGGTAGTTTAGATTCATGGACTCTGACTAACAGACGGAGATACTATGAAGGCTTTGAATCTCGTGTGATTTTGCTAATGGAGCAATAGAGGAACCCCGTATTCAATGTATCATGTCTCCTGACACCCTCCGCTCTTGCTGACGAAGAGCACGGCACGTTCCCCGAATACTTTTCCGAAAGTCTTCATAACAGCCTTGAATTTCCTCCTCGGTCAAGACTTGCCTGAACTTTTATGCTCCGCTCGAATCCAAGGGAAATTTTCTCCCAGCAAATCCCCGACTTACCGCTTCGATATGAGAGCAAAGCTGTATATCCAAGGCACTTCCATGTTGTGATGAACGTCCAAAGGCTTATTCCTACAGGAATCATCCACCTCGGAATGATGAGGCCAGGAAAAAGACGCGCAGGTATATTGCTGAAGAAGAAAAAAGCATGTACACACTCGTGCAGGAGTAGTGTTCCTAGTACCCATTTTAGACGTCCCGAAAATGTATTATTATTCTTGCCGACGGAATTATTGTTATGTTCAAACCAATAATCTTTCGATCCCAGTTCGATAATGGACGAATTTATCCGAAGATGGAGGACGGGCTTGTCCTAATAATGCAAGTGACCTTGTTTCCATGTATAAGTAACCCGAGTGAGTTTTTCCCATGAAGAAGATGTCGCTGAATAGGGGGATAAGAGATTGTATGTATTCCTTTGAGGGGATTCCTGGAGGTTCTGGACTGCTGTTATTATTACATGCTGTGTGTCATTGGGATAGTGCGTGTCGTAGAGATTGTAGTGCTTGGGATTGGGTTTTTTGAGAGTTTCAAGGCTTTGCCGGAGAATGTTGTGATTGTTGCTGAGGTGAGGTCTGTTGGGTGATGTTTGAGGGGGGTGAGGTCGCAGTAGATGGTGTTTCTTAGGGCTTGGATGGAGATTTGAGGGTGGGTGGATTTTGGGGTTGGCATTTTTGTGGGATGTGGTGTTGAGGGATTGGAGGGTATTGTTGAGTGATGTGTCGTGGGGGAATGCTTTGTTTTTTGAAGATTGGGTTTCTGTGAAGTTAGCTGGGTGGAGGGCATGGATGCTTTTAATCCCATTACAGTGCTGTGTTCAAAGAAAGTCYCAGAAGTGTCTGACTCTTGCGTGATGACTTGCCTCGATCTCAGAGGTCTTAGCCCTCTCGAGTTGCTGAGTCCATGTGTTGCTATAAATAGCTGAACACGCTGTGCTAGGTCTATAACAAGACATCCTGCATAAGACTGGTCGTTGATGTTCCGGTACTGCCGTTAGTGAGAGACACTTCGCAGGATTCAAGACAGTGTAAGAACTAAGAGAGCAGAAGGGAGAGGCTTGTATTCCAAAGCGCACAAGACTCAAGATCTCATGTTACTAATGTAGGTGCTAAAATTACTGCGCAGAGAACCATCGGCCAGTAAGTGTGGCAGACGAGCAGCATTATCGGCCCCTGAACCATGAAGAAAACAAGGAGAATAAGCTCGCTATCCCAATCGAAAATATCGTCAAAGCGGATCGGGTAATGTGATGCTCGAATCGTGGTTAGGCAGGAAATCTCTACGAGACTTGTGTTGGGTCTGGTGCTAAAGGRGGATCTGAGATGAATTTACGCCGCTACTTTTCCCCTTTTCTATCCATCATTCATCAAGTCTGCATATTTATGGCTAAAGATTTGGTGGTGAGGTCTGTTACAGGCTTTTGGGAAGGAGTTTTCAACAAGATGGATACGCAGCTTAAGATCAATCACCGTACGACCGCCTGAAAGGGGCTGATAGGGTAGTCAGGGGGAGCCTTTTTCCCGCATTATGACTTTTTTTTTTACATATTTTCTTGCATGAATTTGAGATCATACACGGCAGAATCACTTCTCAATCTTTCCGCTTTCTTGCTCTCTGCCCCGCATACTCTGATTTATTTGCTAAAGCGTGGTGTCTTCTAGATCCGCGGCGACATAGCGGAACCAGATCTCAAGCCAAGAGATTCCATGAGTGCTTCTGGATATCCCTTAAGATACTTCTTAAGTTCTCCTCGGTTGTTGATTTGACTCTTTCATAGTGTGAAATTGCTCATGACTGCTCAATGGGGTCAACATTGCAGTACAACCATAATACACGCTCCTTTACTTTCCTTCCCCTTTCGCTATTCTCCCTAATCACGCTCGWCGATCACGCCTTCCCCACGGTCTCAAGTCCTCCCATATGACATATCAAGACGTTCCAATCTTGCCAAATGCTCAAAAGTTTGCGAGGACGGAATCCCAAGATCCACCTGAACGGACACATGCCGCCTAGCTTCAACTTCCACGCTCGAGGCGAGGGAAACCCACGAGCTTCCATGACCAGTAAGCCCTGTACGCTGCACATACGAAGCCTTACACTCCTTCTCCTGACATGTATCAATATCAGGCGAGCAAGAGTACGTCGACAGGAAGGCATGTACACATTCGTGCAGAAGAGTGCCAAGGAGGTGCCCTTGTCGCTTTAAAGGGTCAGAGAGGTATGAATCTACATCGGGGGATTTTTGTGCTCATGATTATATCAGACCAGCCTCCAGAGAGGGTTTTGGCGGAGCCGTAGAAGAATCCATCTCTGTGGTCGCTATTTGGATCATACTGATCCGTGCCAGACCACTTGAAATTTACTTTCTTGAGGCTTCCGAGGAAGTAGATCTCACCAATGGGTTCGATGAGAGCGACTATGAATGCTTTGGAGGGAACTCCATCGAGTGATTATTCACATTCTGTAGGCCACTGCTTGAGTAGGTTCCGAAATTTCTGGATTGCGTTGGATTGCTGCCGCGTCAGTGGGCTTGTTGTGAATGAGTTGATGGTGAAAGAAGCTAGATATATCGGGAAGTGTGACTCTAGGATGGTACCGACATGGCAAGAGTTGGGTGGGAATTGAACGAAGATGCGGCCGTACGCTCTTGAAAGATGGAATGCAACAAGTAGTATCTTTCTCATTGCAGAATGGAAGGGAGATATAGAAGATGTGGAATGGAGGAATTTGCAATAGCTTTTATCAATGAAGATTCTAGAGGCCCCTAAGACAAGTGAGACCCAGTCCGACGGCAACAGAAATCTTGAGACTCGAACTTGGTACAAGACATCCAAGCATGTCTTTGGAATGAAATCAATGGAGTGTCGACCTGGCCGGTGATAATGGTGCTATTTCAATCTCAAAGAAGGATTCCTACTAGGAGAGTACTTGTAATGAATCAAAGGCGGGCCGTATGATGATTCCTACTGTGGTTGGTAAGTGTCATCACCAATTTCAGTATTATGACTTGGCGATGAGACTAAGACACGTCGAATCTCAAAGTGAATTTCATGTATATCTTTCGATCTCTCCATTATCAACTACGAGATCAAGCTCAAGTGAGAGCTTCCAAATCATCTGAAAAGCGTCGTGTCTTGGCAAAATCAATTCCCAAAACTCAACCAGCACCAACCAAAGCTTTATATCGGTCTCCCCATTTGTACCCAGCTCTCGCATGCAACAGCTTCCTCTACATGCAGATCCACATGTATGCCAATATGCTCACGAGCTACAATCTAACCAAATGTTGATAAACTCCTCCAAGCACTTCCATGCCCAGTGACTCCGGAATGTTGCATATACTCCGCTCTACAACCGTCATCCTTGCAGATATCCTGATGATGAGTACACGAAAACTACCATGCAAACACCCATGGAGCAGAGTACCGAGTATATCTTCAGCCCGCTGCTGTCCTTGAAAAAGACCGCCGCACCAACATGGATCCATGGAAATACTKCTGGACCGATCCAGAAAGTTTGTAGGCCACATCCTAACTACGTTCTAGTGGTGCCAGAGATTCTGGTCCCAATTGAAGGGCACGGGATCGAGCTTTCCCATAAAGAACGGAGATGCTGATGCAGACGATGAGACTGTTCATGAACTCTACAGAGGGGACTCCTAGGCCTGGTAGACTGATTCCTGGTGTAGGTGGTGACCGCACGGGTGCAGGCGGAAGGAAAGGTGACCTTGCTGGAAACGTCGTTGCTGCTGTTTCGCATGCATCATACCGTCCGGCCATGAGAATCTGGAGCTGGTGTAGTGCATTTCTTTGGACCCTGATACCAGTTCGACTTTGAATCTACAGTAGTACATATAGTAGCAGAGGCCAGCTCTGTTGGGTGATGTGCTCGCTCGGTGAGGGTTAACACTAAGGGCAGAGCTATCGATATGAGGATTATTCATTAGGACAAAGCGTCCTTAGTTTAAGTCCATAATGTCCTGAGGCCTTGCTCTCTACAGACTCGATGATTCGAAGCCTGTCAGAGTTTCTGATACTAGCAGAGTGGCCGTTAATTAATGAAGAGAGCAGTTCAGGGTGCTGCTCTTGTTGATGATCTCTCATATCGACAGCTTTGACCAAGGGTTGCACAAGGTCAGATCTCAATTCTTGCTTTGAACACTAATAGGTGCGAAGGCTTGATTTGCGGGTATCTTAGCATCTGGAGAGTAAGTGAAAGATTTGGGGGGATGCCGCTTGCGATATTTTGGTGCACTTCAGATGATATGCTCAAAGTATTGGGCGGTTCTGAGCTGGGAATACTTGGAAGACTTGAACTTGGGTGGATCTTGTGTTGGTTGTAACCATGATTCGTGGTTTGAATCCGTTTGTGAAATGTGAAATGTCACTCACTAGCGAGGAGCGAAATGTCTTACTCGAGTCTGAATGTCTTACTCGAGTCTGAACGAGGCAGTCTCGAACTACTGCATCTCTCTCAAGCGTATCCAATCTGTCCCAAAGATGCGCTCATCAATCACTCGGAGCTGTCGGTGCATTTCGGGGATGGAAGAAGCAGCTTTTCCGCCAGGTGTTGCTCTTGATTATCATGTTGGTCGAAGCCTAGGAAATACCATCGGCCATGGCGAGGAGACAGACCTCAAGGTCGTCTCAGCTTCCTTCRTATGCGTATGCTACGCATTTCCCGACACCACAACTTCCTTCTTCTACATTGCTATGGTCTTTGACCGGCTGCACCCACATCAGGGCATGACTTGGAGTCTGTGCTCCGGATACTGCGAGGAGAGCTGTCCCGGCTCAACGAAGCATACATCCCTTCAAGCTGCCAAAAAAAAAAGGACCAGTTGCCTTGGCACTGTTCAAAGTTAGCAGTACTCATCCGGGCCAGCGGGGACAAGAGACGCACGCATTGATATCTGCTATTCTACGTGCAGCAAGCTGTCTGTACTTCGTCATGATTTCTTCTCGCGATTCACCATGCCAACGTAATGTGGACTTAACGCTGGGAACCTGGCCCGAAACTCTAGCTTCGTGAAGGACGCCTTCTGCGAGACCGAGATCAATGTCCCGGTTGAGAAAGCATTGAGCAGTGAATTCGACATGCGAGCCAAGCTCCGTCCATATGCTTCCATGTCCGGTTAAGCCAAGTCTCTCGATTCCGGTAGCTGGAAAGATGCCGGGAGGACTAGTCGTTGGGTCTCGATGACAGTAGAGGGCAAGGATAGCGTGCAGGCACTCATGGAGAAGGGTGTCGAAGATGTGTCTTCCTGGAGGCAGCTCGACTTGATCGAGAAAAAAATTCGAGTCCATGGAAATCATACAGCGGCCGCTGTCACGATTGTAAACACATCTGCCGATGCATTTTGCGYGTGAGACAAGAGCCGCGTCCCATTCGAATTCCACCCTGTGGAGCGCGCCGAGGAAGAAAAACGTCACTGCATAGGTCGATGAGTCGTTTCATCAGGGTTGCAGGAGGTGGTTCGGCATGACCTGGGAATCCGTATGCTCGATCGAATAGCGGACCTTCTAAGAGCGTTCCGACTTCGTGATGTAGTTCACCCATGGCAGTGCGCTGCTTGAAAGACCATTCGGTGCATGGTCTGGAGAAGGACGCAACGGCGGCGGCAGCCAAACTTCGGGGATCGTGCGCGTGGGGGTGAAGCACGTATTGAGGGCCTGTCGGCGTAGATCGAGTGGTGATGGGCGTATATCCAGGTTGCGCTGGCTTGATGCCAGCCTTGTTCAAAGAGGTTGAGCCAGTAGCCTCGGACATCTTGGCTCAAAATCAGGAGAGTGCTCGAGTGTAGCGTATAGCAAGAGCGTTTGTGGTCCTGGATGACTGGTTCGTGTGCTGTTTAGAAGATTATTTCGCTCTGTCGAAAGTCATCTCAAGTTATAATGCTAGAGTCGTCAGAGTGACTCTGATTCGAACGAAGTGACTTGATATAAAGGATGCACGGACGGAAAGGAGGCCTAGAAGTTACACTCCGGGGATTATTCACTAAGCTCGTCATCCCACATCTCAGCTCGAGCCCGAGTGTACAATCTGAAGCTCAAGAGACTCTCTCAGCTAGAAGTGTCTAGCTCACATCAAGGCATGGTCCTCTTAGCCATTGGCCCGAGGAAGCTGACGTCTATAAGAAATTCCATGTTCGGCCACAGCCGGCCTCCACTGTCCCTGGAGATTGGAATGATCGCCGCGTTTATGAGGAGCTGAAATGGTTTACAAGATAGAACTGATCGTGAGCATCGATCGATCGAATAGAGAAGATATCTCCGCGCGCGCCTTGTAGAGGGCTTGGGGCTGCTTGCCGGACCACTCGTCGACTTCTCTCGAGGAGGTGGCGACAGTGTAGGTGGCTAGAATGGCGCTGCGTGTCTGTGGTGCAGATTTGCTATCAAGGCATGCAGTAGGTCTCATCGGCAGGTGTTGTGGGTATGAGACTGGACTTCGCAGAATAAGGAGGTCCCGGGAGGTCTTCTTTAGACATATTTAGGAAATGACAAAACTGTTGCTTGCGTGCGTTCTTCAAAGACCGATGAGCTTCAGAGCGATCTTGGTGCAGTATGGCGACTGCTTCGATGATAGAATTTGTGGTCGTGCGGCATCCTATTCTTCGATCGTGCATGAAGTCGCCGGAACGATAGTCGTATTCAGGTCAGAGTGAACGGAGGAAGGTGCGTCAGGGAAGCTTCAAGCCTCCAATCGCTTCATACTCCATCCTGGGGATCCTTCTCCTACTTCGGTACGAGAACTCGTTGTACTGGAGGAGAGTAGCAGGTGACTCTCTGTTCAGAAAGATCTCAAGCTTCAATGAACTTGATGTGCTGTTTTTAGTTGTGCAGTTTGACAAACGACCTATTGAACAAAGCCAAAACAATGCGACTCCGCTCGCCAAAGAGTTTGATACTTGATTGCAGCAGAATCCATGTTCTTTGGCTCTCGATCCAATGGGTAGAGTAGACTTGATTGGCCAGCAATAGGAGTAGCAGCAGCTGCGGCATACGATGATGATCGAAACCCGAGCGTTCCAACTTTCAAGGACTGACATCCACATTGGCATTGTGGAGAGCTTCCAGCGGCAGTCCTCGTGCTCCCCAACATGCATGACGCCGAAGCTCAGGAACTTTCCGGCGGGAACACTGGCATACTCTCTGCGTTCCCTCTTATTGAGACGTCGACTCCCGAGTTACGCTACCAGCAGCACGTTTGCTGTTGCCGGTCCGCAATGACGATCAGACCTCGCGGCCTGCCGGACTGAACTTTTGTGAGAATTACTCCGGCAATCGAGGGTATCTCTGGATGCTTTCCGCACTAGTTAAAAGCGATAAGTAGTTGGCCAAGACATGGAGTACCATTGCAGTGCATGCTCAAATACAATCACATGCTTCCTCGTTGGTAGAAAGTACGCCCGCCCGGCTCATATCTGGCTGATACTCGTCGAGATCCCCTGCACTGTGTCCCTCTTCATCAAACGCAGCTTCGGGATGCTTTGAGGGCTACTGATTGGGAATGTGGCTTTGGACAATGCCGGAGAGCTGGGTCGTAAGCAGCGTCCCTTCAACTCTGGGGTTTGGGTGTATGCGGTTGATTGTCCGTATTGGTCACAGCAGGCAGTAGTCGAATGGCAGGTTCTCATGGCTACAATCAGAGCGTCGTCGGGTCAGGGCGCCTTTCCGCGGAAAAGATGGTCCTTCTCAATAGTTCCCCAACGACAGACCAGGACTGCTTTCTTGCCTCCCCGCTCGCTCACGCAGAGAGCTGCGATAGATAGGCGATAGTCGAGATAGGATGCCCGGACAAAATGGTAGTGATGAGGATTGCGCCGGTAGCTTGATTCTTGAGCAGGAATGCCCTCCTGGCATAGCATTGAACTGGAAAGCTTCTGGAGTTCGGCTCCCTGTTCTGGTCGCTATTGGCTGTGTTAGAGAGCCTGAGCTGCGGCGTTGTAGCGCTGGGAGTCTTTCGGTGTCGGCTTCTTGCGGAATGTAGATTGCGGGTCGTCGAAGTGAATGAAATTAATCCACAATGGCGTGGAGATCAGCCCTCTGCCTTTGCTGCACAACTTCCTTTCCCCTGCCAACACTGTCAGCATCGCTTGTGCGTTGTCGAGCCATCAACCAGCAGCGCCGGGGGCAGCGAGACAGCGCCGTCACTATCAACCTCTCACCACCCCGTGTTCGCCTCTCTCCGGTCCACCAATGGCTCACAGACCCTCTGCCACCAAGCTTGCGTCAGCCGCCATCACCGACTTACACCGCTCCCATTCGGCACCTCTCTTCGACCCGCTCCACTCACTTAACGACGTCAATCACCAAGTACTGCCGGCGTTGCGTCACGAGACGATCGATCCCGGCTTCCCAAAGGTTCTTTTCTGGCTGTTCTTACCAGCGAGGCGGCCTTCGGCGACGATTATGCAGCAAATAACGCTCATGTTTAGTGATGTTTGCTTGGTTGGGGACAACGATGATGTTATTTTCAAATGGAATGGGAATTCGAGGCCGATTACGAGAGCTTTCCCTAGAGATGGAGATTCCGGATTGTGGCAGATTGGGGAAAGTGTTTTTGGAGACGGAACCCGGCGGTTTTTTACCTGGGAGTATTGGCTCATGAATGTTCGCACTGGTTTTTTCGGAAGAAATCATGTTGAGAAGGATTCAGTACGGGGAGTTGTATGTGTGAGGAGGTGCGATTTGCGAGTGTGGAGTATCCGGGGCATTCAATACGTTGGRTGAAGATGACGTTCCATGTTGAGAACATGGAGAAGAGGTACATTGATTCGGGGATTGATCTTTGCATTGCTAGAGGTATTGTTGTGGAGGCTAGAGAGACGGTAAAGCAGTCATGGTAGCTAGACTGGACGGGTGGAGAGGACGATGTACCTGAAGAGCTGCAAATACGGTGAAGCGCGCGAGAAGGCGTATAGAGCACGGAACGATACAAGAGATGTGGTAGCAGAGGTCGTGATGTCGATGTGGGAAAGAAGAAGCCTACCTACATGTACCCCTGCAAGGCAGAATTGGCCAATCGTAGAGCTTCCAATTCCGATCATGCATTCTCGTTCCCTGCAACCAAACAAATGCATCAACTTTCCACCCTCGTATAGTCGCACAGACCTTCCTATAAGCAGGTACCTTACTGCACAGGCACCGGCTCTCCTCTCCCGCACATGCAGGGCAGTCCGGGGAAGCTTTACAGCTAAGTTCTCAACATCTTCCATCTCCATCTTCTCTTGTACACAAGCAACCAAGGACGACAATAGCACCCACAACAGCAACAACAACATTGAACGATTGCCAACATGTCGAAGTGAGCACAGTTCAGCCCCCAACACAAGTCCCAGCAGACAATTACTGACTGACATGACTGACAGACCCGTGCACCCAGCAGCAGTCCACTTCCCAATCGCCTTTCTCTCTCTAGCATACAGCCTCGACATCCTCTCCACCCTGCGCCTGCCCGCTTTAGCAGCATACCTGCCCACCCCAACCGAAAGCTCCCGCTTATCCACCTACCTCCTCGCTCTCGGCCTGGCATCCGCCATCCCCGCCGTCCTTACAGGAGGCCAACAAGCACTTCTCATGATCTCCAAAGGGGGATTGAAAGATGAAAGCGGTAGTCTGCGACCYAAAGTCAAAGCGACCTTCACGCATGCGATTCTGAGTGATATTATGCTTGCGGTTACGACTTATGTTTGGTGGGCGAAGCATAACGGGGAGAGTGCGGCGTGGATTGTGCCGGTGGAGGGGTTGTTGTTGGCGAGCATGCTGGTTGTGGGTGGCACGGGTGGGACGTTGACGTATAACTATGGAGTGGGGATGAGCATTGGCAAGGTTGCGAAGAAGGAGCTTTGAGGATGGGGGAAAACATGCAATGGGGATGTGTAAGGTATGAGTGGTGAGTCCTTTGCGGGAGATGCTGGCATGCGTGGTTACAGATGCGGTCGTCATATCCTCGCTGCTGCACATGCAAAAAGCATGGAAAGTGGGACGTTGGCAAGGAATCAATCAGCCAGCGGTGCATCGCAGCAAACTTGGAAGGTGTATGAACACGTCATCCTCGTCAAGCGCAAAGTACGCAGGAGCAGGAATGAAGCAGCTGGRCAGGATGAGCACTGAGCAAAGACATCCAACGGATGCCGAGTGGCCAGTATGTCTACCTTATGTATGTGTTGTGACCCTCCATCTCAGCCCGTTGTGAATGGAAAAGCGTCCAGTGCAGCTCGCCCATCACTCGTCTCCATGTAAGTCAAGCAGTACGTTCCTCAATTATCTTCAGTCCTACATCCGTGCAGCAGGCACCCTCTCCTCAAGCAGCGCTCAGCAACAGGCAGCATGACAGCACAGCACAGGCATGCACCACATCCATCCGCGCCCCCACTCGAAGCATCATCATCATGTTCCTCTCCAGCATCAAGACCCCGCCTCCAACGACGCGTACCAAGTTGATAAAGATCCCCTCTCCTTCTCCAAGCCCATCGCAAGCGACAGCACATGATGARAAAAAAGAAAGAGTTTGTCCAAAAATTCGATCACGACACAAAGGCCATGATCAGCTAGTCAGTTGATAGTTTTCAACCAGCAAAAACACAATCTCGGACGAATCCTCACTGATATGCGTAGAGCCCGAGCACCTATATGCATTGAGATGTATTAGCTTGAGGTGTTTTTGGTTTGGGGGGTTGTGAGGGGAATTGCTTGCCAAGATGAGGAGGAAAGGAAGACGGAGACGGAGGGTGGAAGAAGGATTGTTTACTCGCGGTGAGATTTTGGGTTAGCGTGATGGAGCTCGCGCATCTGTGTTTAGATGTTCATAGAAGGGGTGTGGTCGAGGTTGCTTTTATTGAATGGTTGTTTGAAGGGGAGGAAACTCCTCAGTGTAGGTACAGCATTCGTTACTCCGACCTCCTCCTCACCAAGCATCTATTGGAAACACCGAGAAGTATTACATTTCTTAGCTTTCATCTCCAGTCTTCCAATCATAGGAGGGTGAAAACAGAACAGGAGAGCCAGAAACTCCGTATTCCTCTGACGGGATGGGATATACATGTTTATGCAGTAACTTAGCCTCACGATCGTCGGAGTATTTATTTCCTTCCTCGGGGTATTGTTACCATCTGCAACATCCCTTAGCTCGCGTCTACAAACCACCAATCGCAACATGATTTCGGACATTTTGAGAATCCTCCACACCACAACACCTTCCCCATCGAATCTTCAATTTTCATCTCATATCTCCACCACATAATCTAAACTGTCTCAAAGATCCAATTACCTACCCAACCAAAAGAACAAGAAAAATCCAAGCCCAAGAGAGACAAACAGGTCAACTGACACAACCCTCCGAAATCACCCACCCCAAGATTCACAAGACGGATGCTTCGGAGTATTGTCTGTACATCTACGGGGTATATTGCTTTGGTTTTGTCCCGTATCTGCGCCATCTCATTAGTCGCCGCTTTTCATCCTCCAATCACACACACACATATAGACACACACATACACACACAGAACTCTCACAGGTATGTACGGTAGGTGCGGCATACATGCCACTTGAGGCCTATTCCGCAATGTCAACGGACTTGTCTGTCCGGAACGAAAACGACTCCGAAGGAGCAGCGGACTTTTCTCAAGGTCCGATTCCGATGCAGCAAGGGGATAGAAACGAACTGTCTAACAAGTCCGGGATTCTGATGAGGATATGTCGGTTACAATTGATTGACCAGTAGTACTGAGGATGAGCTGAGAAGGTCCGGATCGTTATTTGTCCGAAGATGTCGCCGGAGTTTTGGTTGTGTGCCCGAGTGGTATGGCATGCCATTAGCTGCCGTTTAGGAATGACCAGTGAGGAGTGGGAGTGGAAGGTGGAGGGTAATATGATGGGTGATTCTTCTTGGGACTCCGCTGGTTGGGGGTGTTAGGAAGGAGGATATGGCATTTTGGCTCAGAGAAAACTGGGTTGCAGTACTACTTGACTTGGACGTATCATCCAGAGTTCGTCTTCTGCGCACTGTGAATCGGTCTCCGGCACTTTCAATGCCTACCTGGTTCGGAATTGTCACTCCCACGTGCAAAGCTGGTGTCAATGAAGGTCATTATGTCGTTTAGCAGACGGTCCTGTAGAACTGTCCGAGTCTACATCTCTCTTTACAACTTGGCCCCACCACCAATAGCCTCCTCCCTCGATATGACCGCCAACCGTCTCGGCCCGTCCTTCTGAAACTCCACCAGGACACACTCCTCTTGAAGTCCCGCCCTGCCCGCGTTCTGCGCTTCCAACTCCGGCCCTGGTCTGTTCAACCCCAGGATCGACCTTCCATCTTCCCTCCTCTTGCCGTCCCTTTGCGGGGAGACAATCGGAGAGATGCACTTCTCCGTCCACGGCGGCGTACCTCCCTTGACAAACTCCATCAAGCTCTTCCTCCTCCTCTCCAGCTCTTCTCTTGATAGTGACTCTTTCTTGATGCTTGCGTAGTCTGTAGGAGCGGCCAGATCGTCAAAGTGCTGTGCAATCTGATGCAACAAGAAGAATTGCGGGGGAAAGAGAATCACCCGTCCTTCCTGTGCTAGACGACACCATGCACTCGCGGGTAGGAATCTCGCCGTAGTATGTTCCAATCCTCCATCCGTAGTGGGTGTCGGAATCTTGACTTCATCCTCCGAACCTCCCTGCAGAGGCGTATCCGATGATGTGGGCAAGAAGTAAATGTACATTTGCGTAGTGAATCTTTTGGGGACATTCGTAGGCGTAATCCATCGCGTGAAAGGTACCAGTCCGTCGAGATCTGCTCTCCCGCCTTTCTTGCTCAACCACTGCTGGAAAGGCACCTTGTTCCCATGTACGGCTTTGCGTCCCTCTTCACTCTCCTTCTCATCCAATTCGATCAATCTCCCAAAGCCATTGTTCCTCGCCAGCAAGATGCCGCTCTCTTCAAACGTCTCCCTCACGGCTGCCATGCGGTAGACCTCGCTGTCCACATGTCTCTCCGGGGATTCGGGGTCTGGAGCGCGGCCATCGTGGAATTCCGAGACGTTTCCGCCGGGAAAGACATGTGCGGAGGGGAAGGAGGAGGATTGCTTCACTCGTTGGAGGAGCAGGATTTGATTTTGAGGAGAGATGACCAGGACTGAGGCGCTGGGTCGGGGAATTGCCGGTGCTTTCTTCTCCTTCTTGGGGCCTTTGGACTCGGAATAGCCCTTGTCGGAATAGCCCTTGTTGGACATGGTCTGGCGGCGCAATTCTTCTTCGTGCAGGGCGGAGGAGTTGTCTTGTTGTTGGACGATTGAGGGGGTGGTGGTCAGGGTACGGAGAGCGGGTGGAAGGCGGAGGATCTGACTGAGAAGAGGCTTCGCAGTTCGTGGGATGGAGTTGTTCAAGAGCATTCTATCGTTTGTACGATGGACTCTTGAAGAAGGCATAGCATGCCCGTCGGTTGCAATCTGTTTGGGCCGAGCGGGGTGAGCCGAGGCGCGAGAACATCGCGTCGCATTCTGATCCTTGTCCTGAACATGATTCTGATATAACCATTTCTTCCATGTCTTTCCTACAATTCTTACATGTCCTACTTGACCATTAGGTACCAAGCACAACCTGTGTGTGGCATTTCCTGCATTCTGGTCTTGTCATGTCAAGACGTCAGGGAGCTTCCACACTCTCAACACCTTTCTTCCACACTCTCAATACCGTTCAAAGCATCTTCGACATGACCTGAGCACCTTGCTCTTACGCCCACGCGGACGTCATGGCCTGCAAGATACGCTACGGTCTATGGGTGACGAGCGAGACTCAAACGGTGAACAGGCATGTAATCCCTCCGACATACAAGAAACGATCCCAAGGATACAGGACCCGATCCGATGCCCTTCAATGATAATCAAGTGCGCGGGAGGTTGAGGTTGAGGTATTTGAGATCCAGCATCGAGCTCAAGACTTGCTCATAAAGACTTTCTCATGGAGACTGGCGCAACTCATGCGTACGACGGCTCGCAGACTCACCTCCGTCGAAGATGAAGCCATTCAGGCAGTGAAAGCCCCATATCTGCGCTTCCGCACGAGTATGTCATCGGCTTCTTCCTCCACCATCCTCTGAGTTAAGCTGCTGCCTCTCTGCGAAAGGCGCACGGAGACACCTTCAACATGTCTCCATTGCCGTCTTGTCTGCAAGACAGTGGCGGAATGTACTCACAGCCACGTAGTTGTGCTCTCTGACCGGAACAAGACATTTTGCACCTGGTCCGCGGAGAGACGACCCAAGGTGAGATCAGGTCTCGCATTTTATGTTGCTCCAAATTCAAAAGAACTGGAGATGCCTCGACTTTGACTGCTTCATTCCATTTTCCCATTCACTCGCTACTCAAGCTGGTCTTGAGGTTTCCTTTCCATTTCACTTCCGAGCAAAACTCAACACACAAACACCATGCAAGGTCAGAGAAGCCACGATGGGGGAGCTCAAGGCATCTTCGGATCTCCTTGGGCACACAATGTAGTCAGTCGGCGGAATTATGCTCCTGTGGCAACGAGAGACACTTTCCTTGGCCCGCAGCTGGTGCTTCACCGAGGTCAACATCACCCCGCTACGCTGGTGACCGTCACTACTGCGACCTTTACCGGGGGTGGGACCACATGGACCGAGAGACAACGCATCGCCGTGAGAGACATATTTGCCCAAGGTCCCGGCATTCGCAGTCTATCTATGATTAACAGCACACTGGCCAATCACCGCACTCTTTCAATGCTCCCACCAGCCGAAGCATTGCACGATGTACTTATGTTCTTGAACGACCTCTTCTTCYCCGGTTCCATCGACGACGTTCATCTGCAGTGGGATAGTTCAATAGACCCTGCGCTTGGAACAGCACAATACTCTCGAGCCATTGAGCGACACCTAATCTGTCTAAATCCAGACCGTTGCCTAAAACATACTCCCTTTGGAGCAAACGTCCTTGGGGTCATGCTCCATGAGTTGTGCCACACTTACTTCAACATGTTCTGCTGCCGGTATCACACCACGTTCTGTCCATTGGAGTGCAGAGACGACGAGATGAAACACATCGGAGTCTCTGGACATGGACCTGCATGGGTTCGGCTCGCAAGCCATGTGGAAGGCATTGCCAAGCAATACCTGGACAAGGACATCGACCTTCACATTGAAGACGCGCTGTTCACAGAATTGGCGACACCGGGGCCGAGTTCGATCCTGGACGAAGAAGAGACTGCGAGATGCCATGTCGAGTCGCAGGCTATGTTGATGCAGTTTCGTCTGTTGGCCGATGTACCGGTCAGTGAATTGAAGCGGTATATTGAGGTGCTGGAGGCTGCCGTCGAGTCGCAGTATATGATCGTTGTACCGGTCAGTGAAATAAAACGACATGTCAAGGTGCGTGAGGCTGCTGAGCGCAACGCTTTGCGACGGCAGCAGTGAACCCTGGAGTTGCGGGAATGGCTCACGGGTTAGGATCGAAGGCGCAGTACCATCTTATCTTGTCATGGAGGGTTCAGAACATTGCRTATAGAGGAGCTGGCTCCGCTACACAAAGTCGTTCCTCGCTGCCTGCCGCTATTGCAGGTATGTGGCATCCATGCAAGCACCATGTCCAAGTACCATGTTCAATCAGGTCCCAGCTCGAAGCACTTTTCCCTTGACTGCTTGTTCCTTTCCGTCGTTGGTGCAATGGACACTTGTAGGGTTAGGGTTGATGTAGTGAATTCGCAGCAGCAACATCTGCGCTGGAGTGTTGTCATATTCCTGCTAGGTGAATAGTAGCTMCGAACGAAGGTCTTGCATGTAACTTCAAGCCTATACATTGATTTGGGAGGGAGGAAGCACATTTTCGAGTGGAAGACTGCGTCTATTTGTTTCCTGAGGTCCATCGATGTAACATTGGCGGAGTGAGGAGGGTCGTCGAACTTGACTCAGGACTATGTTGCGCACGAATTGATCGAAGTGCCCATGAGCAGACCTCTTACAGCAAGACATGACACAAGAACATCTTCAAGTTAAATCAGTTTCAACCGAACTTGCATCTAAACAGGTTCACCAATCTTAATTGAACATCATCCCCGCGGGCCTCGAATCACCTCTCCCGCAACTTAATTTGAATCTCCGCACTCTCAGACGGCATCTGAAACTCAGCAATAAAAAGACTCTCAGGCCTCTTTCCCCCAACAACCCTCACGTCATACTTCATAACAATATGCGCCAGCATCAACTTCATCTCCTGACTGGCAAAGAATCGTCCAGGACACGCATGTCTTCCATACCCGAATGTCAGATAATCAGGACCAACAGCCGTCAGACTCTGGTTCTTCTGCTCCAGAATCTTGGTCAGGCCGACCGGTGGTTCTCGTTCACGAGGCGCGGAGAAGCGGAAGCCATCCCAGTTCTTGGGATTGTCGGGATAGAAGGCGGGATCTCTGTGGATCGCGTGGCTGGCGAAACCGATGTGGACTCCATAGGGGAGATGTGTACCATCTTTCAGAGTGATGCCGCCGGGTTTGATGACCTGTTGATAGCTGTCAGAATCAAAACCTTGCATGTTGGTGCATGATGGGGAGTGCTTACATCGCGTCTGATGCCAAGCTGTGTAGCTCTCATGCGCATCGTTTCGCGAATACAAGAATCAACACGAATGAGCTTGTTGACGGCTTCCTTGCACCACTTGCCGTTGTACTCTGCGGAGATGGTGTCGCATTCTGCCCTCAGCCCCTCGACATACATGTCTGCGTCGGGGTGACTATACAAGTCCAAGAGAGTGTCGGTGAGGGTGGTGCTAGTAGTGTGAATGGCCACCATGTTGATCTGCATCAACTGCCGCACAGTCAGATCCATGTCAATTTCCTTTGACTCAGCTTGAGCACGCCTGACAAGTTCTTCTAGCAACCATTGCAAGGCGTCGGTTGGTGCTTGATAGGTCTTCGCCAGCACTGGATCCTGCATGTTCCGTAGCCTCTCCGCGATTATTGGAACACAAATTCGCTTAGCGATTGCCAAATTCCTCTGCACCGGCCAAGCTATTATGCGTCCCGCGATGGGATGCATCCACAAGGGAAAGAGCTTTAGCTTGAAGCCGGTTTCGAAGATTTTCAAGGAGTATTTCCGACTTGCTTCGAGGAAGTCCGGATTGCGACAGAGCTGCGTTCCGCTGAAGACCCTATTCGCAGCTCGGCTTACAACGTCCACGACCGAACTGAACACCTTGACCGTTGTCCATTCGTCCCGCTTAGGAGTCCATCCCTGATCCAAACCCAGCTCTATCTCTTCGTGGATGTCCTCAGTAAGCAAAGGGAGGCGCCGAGTGAGTTGTCTTCGAATCAAATCAATGTGGGGGCCGTCAGTAACGTCATGGCCATACGTATAATCCGGCTGCGTAACAAGATTACCCGGCCCATGGTGATCGAGCTGCTCGTCGGGAAAGTGCAGGATTTCTTGCATCTTTTCTGCGGGGAGCATCACAACGGGATCAGAGAGTAAGTGCGGCAAGATCCAAGTCTTGCCTGTTCTTGAGAACTGGCATCAAGTTAGTACAACTAATGCAGCAGCCGCAAAGACGAGGACGTCACCTTTTCATATCCTTCAACTACCATCGACGGAGTGCCCATCAGAGTGGYCAATCCCGCACGGAACCGTGGAAACGATTGCTTCTGCACACCAACCCATGGCTGCGAGTCGAGCCATCTGCCTTTGGTGGAGAAGATTGGAACGATGTAAAGCGTTACAAATAGATAGCCAGCGAAGACGACTGCGGTGCTGGAGGCAACGTTGAACAGGATGTCCGGAGTGAGCAGCATTGTTGAAGTTGGTGATCAAGCGAGGGTGCGCGGAGGCTGCTGAATTATCTCGTCAAGCTGACACGCGTGGGTGCATGTCGCCTCTGTCATACGACCATGATTCGGGTACTTGCTGTATGGGGTATGTACGAGTACAGCCCCAGTCCTACATGGGAATAGCTGAGCGGGAAGTCCGAACCAAATCGCGAGAGTTGTCGATAGAACGGAGTGCTCGTATTGGATGAAAACCTTCCTGTTTCTTTAGCGTGCTCTCTGTATGCGGGATACCCTTTATATGTCTCAAAACTCTTCTGTCACACCTGTTTCGAAGTTGTTTCTACTAATCAGCGTCCACGGATTCGGATCCGCAGATGTTTTGAACGGCGGTTGGTTGCATTTCAAGTAGATTGGATGTACTAGATCGAGACTCATGAGGCCAATACTGCTCCTCGACTTCATCTTATCGCGTTTGATGCAGCTTGTGGTGATTGAGTCGTGGCGGGAGATGTTGAGGATAGACGCTCTGACGCATCATGCCATCATGCTGTGAGAGAGTTCTTTCGTAGCGCGGAACGCACCCCGGCCTCGTCTTGGCTACGAGCGGCAGCGGGTGGTGACAGGCCCGTCTTGGGAGATGTAGTTGGGAGAACCCAGTCGGCTCTTGACTTGCTTGCGTTGGTTGCGTCTCACTGGACGTATCTCTGCGCTTGTGGGGAGTGAAAAAAGAAAGATGAGGTGGAGCGATGCTTTTGCAGGAGGCACATCCTTCGCCACATGCTTGCCGGTTCTCCGTGCGCCGTTGAACTCAAACCCAACCACACCATGACCCCCGCTCAAGGTATGTCAGGCACAAAGCTGGAGCTCATTGGTGTCGCGTGCCTTGTGAATGAAGAGAAGTGAGTGGGCGAAGTGAGATCATGTCAAAATGTATTGTAATCCGCATCGAGCAGGAGATTGAGGGTGACGGAAGTTGCGAGCCCAGAGTTTCAAAGTGAAGAGATTGATTGAGTGGTTGCGAGTCAGCGAACATGCTTCTTTCGAGTGGAACTACGATCAAGTGCGTAGAGCACGTGGTATGCTGGGTAGTCCCAAACTCGGTGACAATGCGAATCCAGCCCGCGTGCACTTTGGACGAAATCTGGGCCCGGATATGTGCACCACACTGACCAAGGTCTGCAGTTGTTGGATGGCTCGACTGTTGACAGTGCATTCAGTCTTCCAATCTGCTCAGATGTAGACGTTGCTCTTGCTGCTCTTTTGGGGACACTCATTGTGATCCATCTCTTCTTCATAGCATCGATGGTTCTGTCTTCCAGCGTTGGCATGCACTTGTTTCCGCACAAAGGCTGCACAGTAGCGAGTGCAGCATGTGCTGGCTACGTGCGCTGAAAGCAGCCGGACAGAGTCTTGTGGTTGTCTTCTCGCCTTCGTCAGAATTGTATTCACTACATTTTCCACTGTCAAGTATCCCATGAGATCCGCGCTTGCACGACTCAGATCTGTTGTATGTGTTGTACCCGCACTTGATGCATTGGAATGATATGTCTGGTGTATCTTGCGAGCCTCTCTGCCACCTTCCAACTCCTGTCAAGCTGCGCACCATGTAGATGATATTCAAATTGCCTGTGCGCTTCGGAGAAGAGGCCCGCCAACCCAGACTTGCGGAGCAGTATCTTGCAATAATTGAGCAATAGAATTAAAGCGAAGTTGACCCATGCCGCTGCAAGACAGAGCTGCGCAATCTTTCTTGAAACCGTCGACCTCGGAGATGTGTTGAGGCTCGAGAGGGATGAAGCTGCCGAGAGGGAGCTCATTGTGCAACCTGACACGCTCTTCCAGCTTTGTAGCCAGCATCGCGGAAAGGTGTTTCTCGTCCCTCCATCGGCTCCGTGTGAAGATACGAAGCAGACTGGCAATCTTCTCTTCGGACGTGTATGTCCCGGTCAACAGCGCGAGTGTGATTTGTTGACTGCAGGCCAGGTACCGCTTAAGCGACGCTGGCTCGGATCGTTGTGAGATGAAGTTGCGTTATCGTTTCTTCCGTTCATCGATTGTTGATGATGGGATGCCGCCATGCCCCGTCCATTTGTCCAATCGAGCATCGGTGTTTGCACTCTGGAACGATGATGGGCGGGGATGAWCGTCGATGTCGCGCTGTGCGGTGTCGCCTGCATATTTGATGGCGTGGACGCGTCGCGAAGGCTGTCGGGCAATCTGGATGCCGCGAATCTGGTGGAATTCAGTCATCTTGGAGGATCGTAGCGCAGCTCGAATCGAACCTAGTAGTCCCTACGACGACGGCATCGTTCCTGTCGCTCTGAATGATGGGAAAGATGAGTGGAACTGTTGTGAGGAAGAGCTCGGCCGGCTGAACTCCAGCAGAGTCAACACGTTCAAGGTGGACGCATGCGTGAGCGTGAGCTTCTTCGGCCATCGACGTGCCGTCACACACTATGCTGGTGGTAGGCTGCGGGCTACTCTGATGATGGTTTGATGCTACCTTGATGGCCTGATGCTGCCTTGATGGCTTGATGCCGCTTCGATGGCTTGATGCCGCTTCGATGGCTTGCTGCCGCTTCGATGCCATGTTCAATATTCACACGTTATCCACATGTATCTACCACTCGCCATCGAGCAAGGCCGCCGTCAATACCTTCACGGTCGCGGCGCGGCGGCGCAGTACGGCGCGTCAAAACGTAACGGGCGCACTCATGCCACGCGGTCACGCACGACGGGCTCACGACAACAACAACAACGACGACGACGACTACAATGAACATGTTGGAGATGAACGACGAGCTGTTCTTCTCCAGAAGCTGGTACAAGACCAACAAACTGATGAAAAAAAGGTGGTGTGCATAGCACGGTTGCAAGCAAAAATTACACCAAAGGCCCCCCCGAAGAGAGATGCACACAAGCCCAACACCACGGTTGTGCAATGCAGGTCAGACTCATGGGTTCGACAAATTCATGTGCTTGCGGAACCTTGATAAGGTCTGTGAAAGATGTTAGCTTGATGTTCAAAAAATGTATGGGAAATTTGGGGGAAACGGACAAGTATAGTCAAAGGAAGAAGGAGCAAATCGCTCTTTTAWGTTGCAAGTCGGCGCTCGCAAGCGTGATACAGCTCGCGTGTTCGTTCTGGAGACTGCGCGCCGATGACGGTGAGGTCGTCGTCAGCGGGAGGGAGGGTAGGTCACGGGGGGTTGGTATGTGCTTTCCAGTCCCTTCTCTCCCTCAGCTCTTGGCACTCCAGGCCGTTGGAAGCTCGTAGGCTGTACCTTTCTTTGATATCATAAACTCCTTTCTATATTCTCTTTGTATCCAACTCGTAAGTTCCGGCTGTTTGACCATGTTGTATGGGTTGACATGTAGTAGCTGGTGGTAGAGGCAACTGTTCGTTTCTATGTCACGACATCCATCCGCCAGCCGGAAGAGGAGAGCGGCAGTTCTTTCATTCCCTGTCTTGTGAATAGCTCGTGAAGACCGATAGTTACAACCGCTTTCTCATCTTCCAAGTCTGTCATTCATCGTGGGACTGTCGATGACCTGTGTGTCCTACCTGATGAGCTACACCACCGGAGCATCAAGTCTCTATTCTTGCAAGCTCGTTGACGGCAATGATTTCCTACGGTGGAGTAAGGATATCAAGATTGATCAATGACAAGCAATGAGATTTAGACCCAAGGCCGCAGGAGAGCTCAATCGCAATGCTGCTTCATTTGACTCTACRGTATGCTTCTCGACTTGACCGTTCACGTTTACGTACCTCCGTCTTCCATCGTCCATTGTAGCGTTCAGCATCCCATCTTGTCCTCTCCATATCGATTAATGATGAGTCTGACCATACGATTGCTGCATGCTCTCCTTTATCGGACTACGTGTCAACCAAACCACATCTCAATCTGATCTGTAAGTGAAAGCGAATATCGGCGATTCAATCTTGTTTGCTGCTGCTGCCTTGCGGTCAATTCTCACAATCACTCAATCGCMGCCGTTTTTCATCGACTTCCACCGCACCCTCACCACCACCATCACCCTCAAAACATCCACCACCACCACACACACCATCGCTCCTCTCGCTCCCTCAAAGCAACCGCGCAGCATGAAGCACTCCATCAAAATGCACGCCTTCAACATCCTCGCAATGGTGTATTTCGCGGTCGTCAAGACCATCATGTTCTTCTTCCCTGGCTGGTTCCCGCAAGACCCACCAGCAGCCCCGGAAGAACACCCTGCTCTCCCTCGCGAGCGGGAATCCGCCCTCCAAGCAGAGCGTCGCTCTGAACTCGCCGGCTTTGCGGAAAAAGCAGACCGCTTCTTCGAGGAAGAGAGCAGAGAGACTCCTGCGAGCGTGGCAGACAATTCGGTGAGTAACTTACAACCATGTCCTCATTTCTGATGCTGATTTCTCGTTGATAGGCGTACCGCCGACGTATTGCCCGGGCCTAGACGGCCGCACCGTCGACCCACGATCGAAGCGATGAACAATGTCGCGTTCGCTGCTGCTGGGAATGGGAAGGGAAAAGGCTCACATTAAGACTGTTGAGCACGGAAATGGGAACGGAAAAGGCTCACATTAAGACTGTTGAGCACGGAAATGGGAAAGGAAAAGGCTCACATTAAGACTGTTGAGCACGRAAATGGAAAAGGAAAAGGCTCACATTGAGACTGTTCAGCACGGAMATGGGAAAGGAAAAGGCTCACATTAAGACCGTTGAGCACGGACATGGGAAATGAAAAGGCTCACATTAAGACTGGTGAGCACGGAAAGGCAGATCATCACTTGCACAAAATGAAGGATGTAGGACTGGAGAAGAGTCCTCGTGAGCCTGAGATGGCAACTTCATGGACGATTGATACCTTGAACCGACGATGAACACAGCGTATCATCAAAGGAAACGAGATAGATGATGCAAACTTCACTCTCGTTCCACGATAATCACAGTTGTCTTACACGTGCACGCTGTTCATGAATGCTACACATGGCAAGTCGAGTACACCAAGTCAAGGTTCGATGTGTTGTAGAATCGCAGTCATTCAAAACTCGCTGGGAAACACAACCTCAGATAAACTAGAAGGCATGGTGGTTTGCATTACAGCATCTTCCAGAGAGAAGATAGTAGTGCGAAGGATTAAATGTTCTTGATTTCACTAGACGAGGAGGTATGAAGCAATTGGCACCTTACATGGTGATTCCCAAGCATTTCCATGACCAGCCTCCCTTGCTCAAAAGATCTCAAGCAGCATGAAGGCAGTTTCCATAAGTAAGGTCAACCTCGGTGGCAACGATCTCTACGTACAGTCTGAGGACCTCCAATTGTTCTTGCTCTTCACGACATCTTGGTGTATACGCTTGCAAAACGAACCATGGTCACAATGCTGGTGCGCTCCGCAGCCCACTGTACAGCGATAATGCTGCGTCCTCGTTGGCGAGAAGCCATATCCAAATGTACCGTCCCAGTCTTCTTCTCTTTTCTCCAGATCTTGCCGACACCTCCAGACTCTCCCGTCTTGCAGATGATGTTGCTCGGGTTGGAGAATCCTGCCGTCGTTGTGAGTCCTTCGGCAGAGAAGAACGATATCGCTGAAAGCTGTGGTTGCGTCGAAGTGACTTGAAGTCCGGAAGTGTGGAATTCCACCTTCGCAGAAACGAGCACGTAGACCAGATAAAGCCACAAATCTGGCACCTCTCTATCATCTTGCACCGTACCACACAGATGCTACACGCTCGACCTCTCTCTCAGACGCTGCGTATAACGAGCTTCGTTGGCGTTCGGTGGCACGTTCTAATCATCAGCGCTGATAGATCAGGTACATTCCTAAGGACCTCATTGGGAAYATTCTGGTCAAGCTGCAGCCGGTCGAGCAACGCTTAGATCGGCAGGCTGATTGATCGCCCTTGAGTGAGCTCAAGGTCAAACCGATCTTACGTCTCCAGGATCTTGAAGTCGGAGACGCATCTTTCAGGAGAAACGTCTTACAACCTGTGAGTGAGCGGTCGGTAACGTGCTCCRGTCATCAGCGCTGATATGCCGGATGTAGAGCGTGTGAATTCCTACGGACCTCATCCAGAACATTCTGATCCAGATGCAGCCGATTGAGCAACTCTTGAACCGGCAGGCTGAGTGATCGCCCTTGAGTGAGCTCAAGGTCAAACCGGGTTTACGCCTCCGGAGACGCATCTTTCATGAGAAACGTCTTCCATACGTGACCAGCAACCCGGCAAAGGCTGTCTGCATACTGGAACAAGGCGAGTCTCAGTGACTCGTGCTTGTCTTACGGTCGAAGGTTTTGCAGAACTGTAATCGGATGGCCCTGCTCGCATGGTGCGCGAAGTGCTGTTGAGATCKGAGAAACGTCTTCCATGCGTCAAACCAGCGCAGCGAGAACGGTCAGTATATTCGTTCATATGCATCCTTGATCTCTTCGCTTGTTGTAAAAGCCCAGGTTGAGCTCGGCGAGAATGCCAAAGTTCCTGACACCACACTCAGCCAGCGACAACGATCTGCATTCTCAGTCCTGGGAGCTTGAACACTCGGCTTTGAATCCTCCAACCTTCGCTTGCCGATCTCGACGCACAGCACTCGCCGCGCTGCATTCAAGCGACTGACTCCATTCCGGGAATGTTGCCGGAAGTTTGTGAGGCGATGTCCATGCGCACGATCGAAGCTGTCCTGCAATTCAATGACCCATATCGCCGCGAGTAGTGCTCCTGATCTTTGCCGCCAGAGTCATGCCTTTTGTGCTGAGCTTCCGCCCAATGACGCAGGTCTCCGAAGACAGTTCTGCATGTCTCACTTTCTCATGTCATATCTTGTTGTAGACACTCTCGTTGGGCTGGGCCTCCATGATCGATCCGTTGCGGGTGATGTCCTTGAAGGTTTCCCAAGCGGAAGGTGCGAGCGAGAAGTGAAGGAACAAAGTGAATGCTCAATCGAACATTCAAGACCACCTCTGAGCTTACTGGCTTTGCACGGATAGGTCTTCGCGTTTCAGCGGCCACAAAGCGTGTTCGGATACGCGAATGCGGCGGATTGCTGATAGCCTCGTGGAAAAGTCAACGCGTCGGTCGAATTCTCATCTCTGCAGATCAACAGCCGGATATCGAAGATGTGAACGTGCCGACCTTGCGCGAGGTGACAGATGGTTGAACTCATCTCGCGGACAGTCTCTTCACGATCGCTGATGAAGATACCGGAAGCCACATCCTTGACCAGATGTGGACTCCAGTCTTCAGCTCTGCGCGTCTTGCCCTAGGAAGCAATGAGCTGTCCATGCAGCGCTTACTCTTGAATTTGGAGCAAACCCGCGACCATCGACGCAAGTGTCGAAGGCCCGGGATCTTTTGGAACGGTGTCGTCCTTCTGAGCTGGAACGGTGTCATCCTTCTTAGAGCGCCCTTTTGCTTCATCGGTTGCCGAATGGTGTCGTTGATCTGCGTGGGTGCACTGATCGCCTGCGAATGAAAGCGGCGTTCGCAGCGCCTGGTCCATCATCGAACGGCGCCATCGCTGGGATGAAGTATGCTCGGTGTTTGTTCGTGGTGTAAGACTTCATGAAGCATGTATCGCGGTCGATGACACTGGGAGACGGTAGACCTTTCACCTGATGTCCATCTGCCGGGCAGCCAGGTTGGAGTGCAGCCCAGCGGTCCAAATGTCCCCTTCAACTCGCTATTACCACTGTGAGAGTGCGCTCGCAAGTTCTCGAGGTTCGAGTGATGATGAGGCATGCCAGCGAGGCTCTCAATCGTAGCGTGTTCTTAGATTGACCAGGGCTGTAGTGGGCGATCTGCATTCATGTCGCTGAACAGCTAAAAGTCCGGAGTTGTCGGCGCCTTCGAGGCCGCTTGTAGTCGTGTAACGCTGCTGCGTGCTGCGGTGTCGTCAGAGTGCCTGCTGAATGAGATGTTGTGGCGTAGTCGCGTCAAATGTGGCGGTCCGATCGATGAGCAGGCCTGGTGTGCCGGAGGTGAAGGCGAATGTAGGATGAAGTTGCGGACGCATATCAATCGCGTCAAAATGTCCATTCTCACCGGTCTGGTCTCAAGGGTAGCGAGAATGGGCTTGTCAAGAGTTTGTTGCGGAAGTCTTCGACGCGTGCATCCGCCGTCTCTTGGACAGTATGCAGCGCCTAGAGATTGCCATGTAGTCTCAACGCAGGACACTGCTCACATCGTTGTAAACTGCTGTCCTTCAGGAGACGCGTTCTTTCATAGCCATTGAATGCTGTGATCCGGCAAGCCCGCAGGACTATTCAATTCCAGCACCGGTCTGATACAACTCGGAGAACATCTCATGCTAACGTCTCTTGAGGCGTCGTACTGCATGGTGTGTTACTAGTCTTTGCTGCTCTTGTCGAATATAATCATCTCCGGCATACGTCAATCGGCTGTAGGTAGCACTGAAGCCGCGAATGGGAGTTGTGATGGAAAATCGGGTCAAGGTAGCATTTCCAGCCCAAATTCCATACCACGGCGCGACTACCTCAAGTCCAATCGATGAGGAAAGACGGCCAACCACGCCTCATCATCAATAGTAGTCCACACCCTAACGGCGGCTCCATAAGAACCGCATGCAATGTCTGCGTGACTCCTCCTTTCAAACCTCCCACTCTCCACCATTCTGTAGCTGCTCTGTGGCGGAAGATCTCAAGTGAGGCCAAACAAGTCGTGTACTCTAAAGGCCGCTCTACGGCTCCGCTTTGCGAGTGTACTTATGATTCGCAATTTCCAGCGGCTCTCATGCATTGGCAAGCCTGTCTGTCTGTCTGCTGTCTGCCGTGGCCTACTGGGATCGGATTCGAGCAGGCAATGTAACATAACTAATACTGTTCAAATAGGATTTCCTTCCTGAGGAAGATGATTTTTTTGCTTCTGGCTTCATTGCGATATATGTTTTGGCCGGTTTTGAAATTTTAGCGACGGTGAGGTCGTGAGTTCAACTCCCCGTGTTGTTTCCGTAGAGTGGTCTTGATTTGAGGGGTTCACCTTGCTTTTGCTTTTTGCAACGGTGAATGTCCCACCATACATCAAGATGACGGAAAGCAGTAAGCAATATCCATCACTACCCTCGATTCACCATGATGCCTCCGCAGCTCAACTGAATGCAAGACTACGCGTGTCTAAAACGATCTGAGGGAGTTCGTCACAGCAATGGAACCAAAAACGTTTTACGCCGGTTGCCTCCTCGGATGCCAAGGCTTGTCGAGCGATTCCCCATCGTCACCCACCAGCCGAGCCATTCGACTCAGACCTCAAACAATCTATTGTGAGCAATTCTTCATCCAGGCTAGAAGTGACGTGTGCCATAAAACGCGTCCAGAACGCGTCCATTTGCGAGCATTCATCATGCAAGAGCATACCTGCTCCTCTCGTACCGTAAAGACGTCACCAATGTTAGCCAGTTCGACATTCACACTCGCGTTTCGGTTGATTTTCCGGACTCATGATAAATTCAAAGAGATGTACACGCTACACGAGGGTTCCGAAGCGACCAGAACCCCAGCAGAAAGATCCATCGTCTACACCATGTTTGCAGGGGGCGCACCACGCGTCTCGTGAACTTCCACCGAGTACATTGAGCTTGTAGAGGCCAGCCTCGTCACCAAGTCTATCAGGACAAGTATATACCATGCTAGACCATTGTTGCAGAATCCTTCCATCCCTAAAGGCATAAGCAGGCGTCACACACCGCATTCGGTGGCGTAGGAAGATAAATACACGCGAGGATCAGAGCAGTCTACAGACTCGAGCTTCCTTCATCTTGTAGGAACGAGCGATGTGGATGAAGAGCTATGTACAAGGAATATGTCGTGGTGAGGCAGGTCAGAGTGGTAACGGCTTGAGATGGATCCACGCTGGAACAAACAGCCAGGAGCTCCTATAGAGACGACTGCCCTGAGATCTCTTCGACGAGGTCGCCATCAGAAAGCGTGGCTCTGCTGCACGGAAGAGTGGAGCTCGGCGCAGTGCAGACCATATCCCCCTGTCTCCCCTGACTAGCACAGAATTGGAAGGTCGGACCTGATGTCCCGACCCTTTCTGATCCTCAATAGTCGCACCTGCCAACGATCGAGGCGACACTTGTGCTGTCTTCCAACTTCTGACCACTCCTACACTCCAATCCCAACTCGATGTCTTGCTCTTGATCGATCTGCTCACGAATGTATCCTGTACGTGTTCATCTGCATCCTTCTTGACGCTCCCCTGAGGCCATTTCATCTGCTGATCGATGGTATTTCCTTTTCTACGTCCTCAAAACTGCGTATTACTTGCGATCATGCCGATCATGAGCCCAAAGTCCGGGAAAGGTACATGTTATCACGGCCATGCGGTGCAGCTTTCGAGTTTGCTGTGCGCGTTTCTTAGCAGGATGTCTGGCATACTCATGCTCCGTGCTCACAGCGATGATGTTGTCAGAGTCGACTTTTTTCTGCCCTTTCCTCCACACTGCTCGACGTCTTTTTCCGGCTCCCATCTTACTTCGTTCTGGATCGCAGCGCTCTCGTTCGTCAAAAGGAGGTGGCAGCACCGCAGTATTGTCGGGCCCGTGACTTTGATTGTGATGCTGAGATATCTGCACCGTCGTAATTCGATCAGGGATGTTTGAGAGAGCGGATATCGTGCGGAAGGACAGATGGGATTTGGTGTAGGCGGAACGTCCGGAGGCCAAAGCCGCGCTGGTCGAGAAAGACTGTGCGCCGGAAGGTCGATTGYATCCATCTTACAGCCAGCAAACCAAGCTCCAGCGGAATCATCGTAAGCGTGACTGATTCTCCTGCCTTCGGGGCCTCCCTTGGCCGTGAGCGCAGCTACAGCGGCGAGGGTGACGACGAAGGCGGAGGTTCTGGTAGAGACTACAATCTCATACTACATCATTGTAAGCTTGTTCAGCTCTGCTCGATGCCGCAGGAGTTGACGGTCAGTATCGTGGATACTCGGCCAAGCGCAAAGACCACGATCAGGATTCGGCAAACCGTGAGGGGCACGACCGTGACGGCTGTGATATGGTGATTTCAGGGCTCCTGCGCTCTCTGGATCTATCCAAAGCGCTGCRGGCGAGTCAATACTGTCCACACTCTCCTCTTGGAATGTCTCGAAAGCTCTCGTCCATGTCTTAGCCGCATCAAAGAATTCAGGGGAACCACCGGCGACGGCGGCGATACTTTGAGTCTCTCGCCGCTGGAACAGAGACTGTGTGAATGTGTAAAGTAATGACTTAGATATGTCGATGAGTGTGTCGAAAATGTAAGTGCTCGTCCATCAACCGCAATCTCAATATTTTCGCACCACTCCAAACATTCAGCCTCGTTTCCGCATTCCAACATCACAAACAAACCACACACAAAGGCTCGAACGAACTCTCTCACGCACAGCAATCATGTCCGTCAACTCCGGCAACATCGAATACTATGCCGCAAGCATCGCTTTATCTCGCCACAGCGTCCTCCGCTGGCGACGCTCCGTTGCTCTGGCGCTCGCACTCCAATGCCCATTACCCGTGCTCCGGCCCACTATGCTGGGCATGTTGGACTGGAGCAGAACACTCAAGAGAATGGAGATGGCGTTTCCGAAGAAGAGAGGGCCGGCTGCGTGGTGTGAGGGAGCGGATGGCGCTCCACCTCCCGTTTACTGGGACGACTCGGACGATGGTATTGACCCACGAGCAAGCGCATAGGTTGTGTGCTTTCTACAGTCCTCCGACAAGGCCATGGGGCCGCGGCAAAGACTGTGCACGGCAGCAGCTTCTCTTCAGCGGAGCATCGATGCGGCCTTCAACGACAACATTGCGTCCACAGCCGCTGCGGAAGACCGACCGAAATATCCGCAGCCTGAAAGGGCCAGGCTTCCTCCATGCGGAAACACCAGCCTCGATTTGGAAAAGGTTTGAAGGAAGAGCAGCGGAAAGGAAGGAGACAAAACAACTAGAGCCAAGGACGGCGGCAAACAGATGGTATCAAGCCGCTATAGTATGGTGTATTCCATGCAGCTTCGACAGCAGAGGTCTTACTTGGACTACATTTTCCAGGAGCTTGGACTGACCGCCAATCTACCTTCGGCCCAGTCTCAAAAGAGACTTCCCAAAGAAGTCTGCAGAGTCGACTGAGCGCCAGGTCTAGCCGCGAATCTACCCATCGAAATTACCGCCATGTGCGCTACCACATCCTGGTCTGAAAGTTCCAGTTCACTGTCAACGTCGACCGATTGCGAAGATACTGCTCAGCTTCCATGCGCTTCAGATCTGGATGGCTGTATGTGCACGTCTGCTGAGACTGTCAGCATTGACAACTGCAGGCGAAATAGACTGCACGTACTTCGCTTCTTCTCACGCTGCATTCCTGGAGAGTCATTCTGCGTCTCACGACCTTGAGATTGGAACGCAAGTGCCGGCTGTTTCCAACTCTTCCATCCAATTCGCAAACCAGTCCTTGTCTGGCAGTGGCCAATTGAAAGTCCGCTGAGAGGCCCATGACCAGAAAGATGCAACTTGCTCAATTCTTCTTCGAGGGCGGTCGGAACAGCCAGGCTCACGCCTGTACCTCACGGAGAGGTCAAAGAGTCATGCAAGATGGGTACTTCGAAAGCGTTAAACAAGCTGAGTCCTGGGGCACATCCTCGGACTTGTTGTTGAGTCCTTCTGTGGAGGCTGCAGAGGGGCCATCTTGACCACTTCGAACGCAATCCGGCGAAGCTCTGAAGGCCATGCTTGCTCGAGTGCTTCTTGGTGCCGGCCACGCCGGCAGGAAATATTCCTGTACCTCGTGGAGAGATGGAAGATTCAAACAGCTGCAGTCGACTTCGCAAGAGACAATGCATACGAGAGTCTGCGAGATCCATCAACAACAACTGCCTGAACTTCTGAAGCAAACGAGCAAACTTTGCCCTGGAGCGATGCGACTTGTCCTGAGATGATGGCATCGGGAGGCTTGAGCTTGGTCATCTTGTGCTCGTTCGATCGTCCAAGCCGGTGGAGGGAAGCTTCAATCCTCCAGATTCGATGGGTGCAAAGTCGGACACAAACGCACCACACAAGGCTCGATTCTCGTTGCCCATCTTGCTTCCTTGAGGCGCCGGCTTTGCCGCGAGGAGGTATTCCTGAACCACAAATGTGATAGGAAGCAAGATGATAGAGCCAAGCGTGGTCTTCCAGCTGGGCACAATTTCCATGCTGGAGACACAAAGATCAAAACGAACAATAACGATGAAATCCGCACCACACACCCACCGCACACACTCAGTACCCATCTTGCTTCCTCTGATCGCCAGCTGAGCCGCGAGATCAAGATGATCTTGAACCACAAAAGTGGTAGGAAGTCAAGATGATTAGAGTTCCGCAAGGTTCTTCCAGCTGGGAATGCCCATCCAGTCCTTGGAGAACGTGAAATCAACGCTGGGCTCCATCTGGGCAGTGCTCCATAATGGTGACCGCTAAGCAAGAAAGAAAAGAGGTTCGAACAGCCACTCCAGTCGCCACACTCGGTTAGACTTAGAGATCAGGAACACACACGCAAAATGAAAAGACAAGTCGGACAGCCACTCCAGTCGCCACAATCGGTTAGACTTGAAGATCAAGAGCACACGCAAAATGAAGAAGATCAAGAGCACACGCAAAATGAAGAAGAWCAAGAGCACACGCAAAACGAAAAGACAAGTCGAACAGCCACTCCAGTCGCCACAGTCGGTTAGACTTGAAGATCAAGAGCACACGCAAAATGAAAAGACAAGTCGAACAGCCACTCCAGTCGCCACAATCGGTTAGACTTGGAGATCAGGAACACACACGCAGTAGCCTCGAAGGACAATCCGCTTCTTGGCCGATATCAAAACCGATCGCAACGCAGCTCCAGTCCGGCCGGATCCGAGGAGAGCAAACGGGGCAAACGAAAAACAGACCCACTTCTTGTCGACAAATGAAAGGTTGGAATGACGGAGGTTGTTGAGATTGATGTTGTTGATTCTGTCGCAGTATTCTTGCAAGTTCCGTCGAAGGGCAGTAGGATGAGGACGGATCCCAGCCCTCGGCAGAGCCACGTCCGCCGCATGATCCGCGACATCCAACGAGAGTAGACCAAGGCCAGCACAAGAGACAAACTGAGAGAGTCTGCAAGATGCGAGCCGAGGAGACCCATCGCGGAGATGTACTGCGGGTGCGGTTTCCGAAGCAGTGCCAAGGGAGGTGAGTCCGCCGAAACGGTGTCTTGATGGAAAGTCTTGAAGTCCATTGGTCGATGTCGATGTCCAGCTGGGTACGATGTCGTCCGCTCCAGACTGTTGTGCAACTCCGGACAAGCAATGCAGAAGGCGACGTTCATGAAAAGTCGGCACTTGCCTGCCAGTGTCGAGAGTCGAACCGCAGGCGCGGGTGTCGGAAGTACGCCAAAATGGATGTCGAAAATCGTCCAGAGATTTTGCTTCAAGCTATCTTGCTTCAAGGTCGAACGTTTTGCTTCAAGCTATCTTGCTTCAAGGTCGAACGTTTTGCTTCCAGCTATCTTGCCAGGACCCGGAATGGAAATCGCACAAGTTGCTCGCCAACCGAAACCGCTGATGTCCTGGCCGCCGACGGATCGGCAAACCAACCACAACAACGGATCTGAAGGCAAGACTTTGAATGGACCACGTACACGATGAGGCAGTAGACATCGCAAGGATGTGCTTGATAGCCCTCGCTGCAGCAGTCCCCCCTCGAATGCGATATGAGGCGATCTCACACAAAACAAGCGTACCCATGCCGTTTTGCCGTTCCCGTCTTGCCATTCATACCGTTGAGCAAGGTGAGCTGAGCAAGCTGTCAGAATGAAACACTGAAGTCTCAAATCCCAACGCTCCTCGACTCTGACCTCTGCGGTGGTGAAGGCGTGGCGGTCTTGAAGTAGATCGAGCTGGGATGAGGCACTGAATTCTCAAATCCCGAGACAATCGTGGTTTGGGACAAGTCGGAACAGATCTAGAGGTAGCGATGACCAGGGCTGATACGATGCGAAGCATCGAGGCGTGGTATATGTTCTGCTGCACTCGGAGGCAAAGTCGGGATAGATATCTGGAGGCAGCGATGACCAGGACTGATACAATGCCGAAGCACAGATGCGTGGTATATGCTCTGCCGCACTCGAAAAGCAAAGGGAAACAAAGAACAACATGACAGCAAAAGGGACCACCCCGCCACGCACACGACAACAATGTCGAATGCATGGTGGATGGGGTGGGCTTACACCGGGCACGAGTGGCCTCGCGGCTGCCACGAAGAATGGGAGCGATGCCGTTAGATGTATAGCTCAGAAGAGCGAGAGCTGGTCAGGAGGATTTCCTTCGACGTCTTGATGTCTTGATGACGGAGGGCGCCGCGACTTGCGATTTTTGATTGTCGATGGTGGCGCTGAAGATGTCTTTGTGGGTTGGAGGCGGCAGGGTCTTGATGGGCGAATCATGCATTCTGGATGTGCATTGCCAATTGCCTTTGATCATTGAAGGTTATGCCACACTTGGAGAAGGTCCGAGTCCAAGGAAGTCGAAGCCATGGTCGGATATCGGAGTCGGGGATGCTGAGCACGTGACCATGAGGTCTGCACCTTCAAGAGCCAGCAGCGGCTGGCGACGACAACAAGGTCTCAACGATGCTCGTGTCTATGCCATGGAGGTCTTTGTCTTGTGTGTGCCTGACGGAACGCCTCCTTTTGCAAGTCTTCAAGTCGACTTTTGGTTATGTCGACCTGACGAGCGGACCAGCACAGCGGCGGTGCATCTCGCACTGCTACATTGCATCCAGAGATGCACTTCATGTCCAGCTGGAAGGTTGTTGAAGGCCATTGACCGAGTTGGTCAAGTCCGAGGTCACTGCCCGCATGGATTTTATGCCTCGAGGGTGCGGGGGAGTCGGAGTCGGAAGAAGTTGCGACGATGGGTGTTATGAGGCGGGTGATGAAAGCTGAAGTGGCAGAGGCTGTTGAATCAGCTACTGCTATTCCGCCGGTGCAGGTGTTGTGGCGGAGAGGTGGAGCATCATCGTCGTCGTTGTTGGGCTGCGCGGGCTGGCGGAGGAGTTCCCCGGGCAGCAAGTCAGTGGCAGCCGCACAATTGAGCGCATTGCCTGACAAGCATGGAGCAGCAAGCCATGGTGCTACTCAAGGCCTGTGGCATGTCGTTGTGGTTGCCAAGCAGCTGGTGTGGGTGGTGGTGGTGGTGGAAGGAAGTGTGATGTGTTGGAGCAGAAGCCGCTTTTTGTGGCCTTTGCTCAGCGACCATCCATTGCTGGATACTCAAGGCATCCACATAGCTACGCTCGCATGGCCGTGAAGATCGGTTGCCGCGACGGCGTGAGAGCTGGCGAATGTTGTGGTGGATGTTGGCGAGGATGTGTGGAGGAAGAGGGAAGCTTCGGTGATGGAAGTGAACTTGAGTGCTCCGAACTCTTGCCAAGCCAACCATTATCGCTCCCCATTGTCCACACAGCTACTTCCGGCTTTTGATAGATGCTGTGGGACGAGATCGTGAGCAAGATGAGGGTGCTTTGGTGCATGGTAGACTCCTGCAGCTATGGAAATGACTGTACAGGGCTCACGAGGCCACAACAACCATCTTCTGGTGGACGAAGAAGACTCGGACTGCTGCTACTGCGTGAGGGCACGCTCGGGCCTCGCACCGCCAGCAGCACTTGGAGATTCACAAAGGTTCTTCACGGCGAACAAGCGACGCTCATAAGGCGATTCATGCCCGGCTGCAGCACTCACTTGCGAGCGCCAACGTGGGAGAGACGGCTGCAGATTCTTGTTTACGGAGGAGACAGCCATGCTTGCATGAAAGGTCGCAGGCTGCTCTCCCCTGCCACAGTTTGACAATATCCGGACTTGGGCAAGCAGAGCGCTCCAGCGCAGTCGCTCGAGAAGGCGAGCCTGGCAGATGATCCTCCGCATGGGTAATGTAAGTAAGGCCATCATCCTTCATATCCATCTCCAGACTCTTCTCCAAGTTCTCGCTCCTGTCCTTCTCCGAAAATCCTTCAGGGCCCGCAAGCCGAAGCAAGGGACTCGCTTCATTTCCTCGTAGCTGCCTTGAAGAACATGTTACACCGCTTCCTCCATCGACTGTCAGGGAGAAATCACAGCGGCGATACTCTCACTTCTGCGCTTTCTCTCTGTTAACGCCGACTTCCGCTTGGAATACTGCTGAGCAACGAGCTCATCCCACCAAGCGCCATTCTCTGCCTCGCTACAGCAACCACCCGGCGCCCAAGTCTCTCACCTGCTTGACAAGCTCTCAGCAATGCACCACAGTATGATCTTCCACCGGGAAGCGCAGAACTCGTGTGCCCCTTTCTCACAGATCATCCGCTCCGCCCTTGTCACCGCATCCTCACGATACCATACACAATCAGTATTCAAAAAGCGGCCTGCGAGTAGAAACTGAGGGGTAGACAGGGCCATGCGTCGCGGCACGGGCGGTGAGCTGCTCCTCCGTGCATGATGAGCACGGCTTTCAGCCATCTTGAAACCACGCATGGAAACTCTCCCCTGTCTAGCAGCAGGTACCAGGCGCAGAACGTGGCTTGAACAGCGTCTTGAATGTACACAGAAAGAACTACGGGGCTCGGGAGGCTCATAGGCCTTGTGCATGAGGTGTTTGGCGAAGGATGCACGAGATGTGCTGCTGCTGAGCCCGGAGCGGCGAAGCCTTGCCCTTGGAGACTGGACACCACACACGCAGCTTACAGCCTACATGCGAGAGCGAGAGCAGACAAGAAATCCAGACTGGTCAGGCTTGGAGGCTTGATATGACGGATATGGATCATGCCGGGATGCTTTCCCAGCTCTGCGAGCCTATTGACATCGCTGGTACATCAGTCAACCTTTCACGGCTGACAGCGCCCTTGAGTCAGGACAAACTCCGCAACAGTCAGCTGTCTGAACGTTGGTTTGATTGATTGACTGAGCTATGATCCTATCATAAATTCAATCAATCAAGCGCATCTCAGACAGTCAAGGTGATGCCTCAAACACACCTTCTCCTTGCGCTAAGACTTGTGAGCTACGATAGGCGTGACACCTGCACATTTCTGTCCTTCACATTGGACTTCCTTGAGATGGATCATTGAACCATATCATTCTCCAGATGCCGAAGTTGTTGATGTCCAAACACTTCATTCTCTCTCTCGATGTCTCAATATGTGCTCCCTCCCTGCACATGCCAAGACCTCTGGTCTGTGAAGAGGAGGTTGATGAGGCTGACATAAAGTTGCCTTCTGAGCTTAGCGACACCGTGGCTCAAGTATCGGAGCAGGTTGACTCTTTGTTCCTGAAGTTGTCATCATGTCTGTACTTCCCGTTCCCATACAGTGTGCTTCCCGGCATTGAGGCTCTCTTAGGGTTAGGGTTGAGGTAGTGGGGTTGGGCGTGATGGACGATGTAGTGGACGACCTACCGATCTTTTGTTTCGGATCATACAGCATGTAGATAGCATTGATTGCAACTCAGTTCTGCAGTAGTCGATGTGTATTCGTCCGATAATGGGCGTGGAATGTTGAGCTCAACTGTCCGTACGTCGTACTCGAAATCAAATCTACATTGCCACCACAGACATCTCTCCATGCTCGAATAACTTGACACATTCACGTCACATGGATCTAATGTCATCAGCTTAAATACCCGACGACCATCCTACAGCTCTGGATGAAAGGTCGAACATGCTTCGAAAACCAACTCCTCTAGGCCCAAACCTCCTCCCATCATCCACCATCAAGATCGTCGATAGGTATCTTCAAAAGAAAACTCCCGAAACTCCACTACCTACGAAGTCACGCATCATCAACATTCTCACATCCGATCTCGGCATCAACAATTCTCCTCCCGACATCGTCCCCACCACCAACCTCCACAAMCCTCCAGAGAGAAAAAAAGTATTACGCACAAAAGCCCCGATAGCCTACCCTCTGGACTCAAGAAACAATCGAGATCCCCCGCCACTAACACAAGAAATGCCACAAGACCAGGACCAGCAGATCTCTCTCGGCTATCATCGGTGACTCCACAATTCGTAGATTCTCATAGTGACCAATCATATCCCAATTTCACTTTGGAACTTTGTGCCGTCGGGTTAAAATCATAAAATAGGTGCAGCTATAAACGGGTGTGCCCTAAGGTACCATTGGGAGCGAAGACGTTTTAGGGAATTTTTTCCAGGTGGGTTTTTGTGTTCCTGCATATCGGGATTTGGCGGTTGGCAACAAGCAGATTGGTTGTGTTGGTTTTTTTGGTGGGAATTATCGCTTGTATGTGTAAGGTAAATGGCTTTGGATCTTTGGATTTGATGGCGATGGATGGGTGTGATGTGGTTTCAACTGTCTTGGGATGAGATGTGTTTAATGAGAGATGGAGAAGGAGTACGGTACATGTTGRATAGCTCCGTCGAGAGAGCATCTGGCACATCCATCATCGCAAACATAACTTAGCAAAGTCGGCCTCGAGACAATCACAACCTGTTGAGATGTTCAAGACTCGGAAATTGTATCAAGTAAAGTCATTATGCATCATTATCATAAGCAAGCACGAACACGTCCTCGTGCTCGTGCCTGCAAAAGGATCTACTATCTTCATGCAATCATCCAAACCGTCCCAAATCGCTCAGTATGCCAGGTCGCTCGCTCTCGCGCTCATGCATTGCAAAAGTAACCCATTTCACCAATCAAATCTCTCTTCAATCTTCAAGTCCTCCCTCTTCAAGCCAATCCAAAGACTCCCTTCAGTCTCCTCCACATCTCCGCCTGCATGGCAGCCTTCGTCTCTCCAGTCCGGCTCGCTGCGTCCTTGTTCTCGGCAGCCCGGCGAAGGAGATAGTTCAAGCATTCGAACATGGATCCCCAGCTTGTGAACTTGTAGACCTTCTCCACCGGTTCGATGCCCTTTGCCTTGTTCTCCTTGGCGGCTGCGAGGAGGCTGCAGGAGACTTCATCGGCCATTCCTTGGAGTTGGGAGTAGACCAAAGGAGTCAGTWCTTCACCTCGAGCGGCTTGCTCTTGGCGGAGTTCCTGAGCGATCTTGACGGTAGCTGCATTGTGTGATGCTACGACGACTCGGACGGCGGGGAAGGTCTCATCGCTGGTGGCTGGCTTGAGGAGGTTGTTGTATTTGCGCTTGATGAGGCCGGCCATGACAGTGTCGTATGCGTTGTGTGTGTCTTCAATCGTGGGCCAGATCAGGTCTCGCTTCTCGGTCGCGAGGTATGCGCCGCGGACGAGCTTGGCGCCGAGAGTGAAGCCTTCATCCTTGGCGATCTTCAGGTGCTGGGCGAGTTCGCCAGGTGCTTGCTTGAGGTAGAGCTGGTACGTGTTGTACATGATGCACTTTCCATCCCGGTTGAATGCGCGCTGGAGGTTGAGGGTCCACTTGTGGTAGCCTTGCAAGTTCCACGTCTCTTCTGCAGATGGTAGAAGTGCAATGTCCTTCTCGGCGGCGGACTTACAGACGGTCTGCATGGCAGCATCCATCTCCTCGCTAGGAGATTTCTCTTCCGCCATTCTCCGCATCGCTGCAGGTCCCATGCCTGACCACTTCAGTGCCACAAAGTCACCTTCAGCGGCCATGCGGATCGAGTCAAGCATGCCCTTGCGCCAGATTGCGACATCTTCGAGCTCGTTGCTCTTCACATCTTTGAGAACCTCGAGTGCGTACTCCAAAACGACTCCGGAGTATCCGAGCTGCCGAACCTCTGCGCACGTCTTTGCGACTTCGGCATCATTTCCGCCCGCGCAGAACTGCTTGTAGAAGGTCTTCATGAGGAGGGTCTTCATGATGGGGTTCTTGTCTATGCGGAGGAGCGGGTTCTTGGTCTCGAGCATCGTGCGCAAGATTCCGGTGGATGCGCTCAAGAGGATCGGGGAGCTGGACATGGCCGTGATGAGGTAGGTCCGTAGGATGTGAGAGAGGGGGAGTGCGGCGAGTGGCGGTGCCATGCTCGCTTCTGTTGACTGTGGGATTGTTGTTGTTGGTGTGGGAGTGAGAGTGGCGGCGGAGGTTGTGATGGCAATGTCCTTGGAGGGTGTGGAGTGGAGGTTCCTCTTTGAAGAGTGAAGTCTTTGCTGTTGAGTCGAGTGAAGTGTTTGCGCCCGGCAAAGGAAATTGGTGTGCTTTTGGACGATGCCGGTGATGATGGCGCTCTCATTCCTCAGGCCCCTGGTGGGCATCATGACGGACATTTTCTGAATGGCTAAACCGGGGGATACAAGTCGGTGTGGAAAGGGTGTCAAGGATGGAAGTTGGGGTGGCACGGTGAGAGGACAAAGAAGAGATGTTATACTTGGCCTGGCCGTTCCCCGGACAGCCCTACTACTCACTGACCACCTGCAAGCCCTTATCGAACTGGTGATGGTGTTGATACAAGAGGATCCATGGATGGACTGGTCGCAATCAGCGGTTACCGTCGGCATCTTGGCGAAATCGTGGAAATTGAGACCGCATTGGCTCCGAACGTCATCATCTTTCACCCCCACTTCCRGCAAACGACGGCGCCGATATCGGACATGGCCCGAAATAGGAAAGGCTGGATTGGAAGCTAAGATCTGTCGGCAGGTGAGATTCAACGTCACTTGATGCTGCATTTCGATGAGATTCGACCGCATCTTCTCGCAGAAATGTTTGATGAGATAGACTGGTATGCGCCTACTTCTCCGTGATTCATGCACATCTCTCCGCTCTCGCTTCGATTACACCGGACTATATTGTGCTATTGACAGTCCACAAAGATGCAATGTGGGATGTTCCCTCCCTAGGGATACTCCTCTAATATGGCAAATGGAGGCTCTTAGGGCGGATCTTGTGCTATTATTACAGCTGCATTGTGGGAAGAGATCCATCTTGCGGTGATACAGCCATAAATCGCCCGTAATCTAGGTATGTCTCTCTACTCTCGCTTCGATCACACGGGACTATATTGTGCTATTAACAGTCCACAAAGATGCACTGCGAGCTATCCCCTTCCCAGGGATACTCCCCTGATATGGCGAATGGAGGCTCCTGGGGCGGATCTTGTGCTATTATCACAGCTGTATTGTGGGAAGTGATCCAACTTACGGTGATATAGCCACAAATCGCCCTAACTCTCGGCATGTCTCTCCACTTTCGCTCCGGGTAGAAAGGGTCATATTGTACTACTGATAGTTAACAAAGATGCACTGTGGGCTGTCTTCGTCCTAGGGAGCCTCCTCTGATGTGGTAAACGGAGGCTTTTGGGCGGATCTTTTGCTATCATCACAGCTGCATTGTGTGAAGAAACCCCAACTTACGGTGGTATAATCCCAAATCGCCCCTACTCTGAGTGTATCTCTCCACTTTCGCTTCGGAGAGAAAGAGCCATATCACACCACCGGTACTTAACAAAGCCGCACTGTGGGTCGGAATTCATCAGGAGAAGGCTCTAATCGAGCATTTTCATTCTCAAATCTATCTCTTGTTCGCTTAAGAGAGCGCTGTCTCTCACTGCGCGCTCGTAGTCTTTCCACCCAAGCTCGATTTTCAGCATTGCGTGCAGCTGGGATTGCAGCTCTTCGCCGAGAGATCTCTCAAATTCGACTGTTTCTTCCGCAGCGGCAAGCACTCTGCCCATACCAAAAGGCTTCTTGTGCAGGCTCTCTGCACGGAGCTCCAGTCTTCTGGCTAGGAGTAGCCAGTGCTGGCCGTGGCCGGTGACTCCAAGGCGGAGCTTGCAGTCCGATTTTTCGCAATTGTCGACCCTAACCTCGTTTCCGTGCACCATTATCCAAGCATGAGCCATTTCATGGAGAATGGTCTCCAGTAGGTCCTTATTGCTGGTATGCTTCTTGAAGTCGACCTGAATGAGTATCTTGTACTCATCTTCATCTTCATCCAATACCACAGACGTCAAGCCCATGCATGCCCATCCGTCACATGTCAGATTCTTCTTTGACCTGAGAATTATCCATTGATGTAGCTGGCTCTTGAAGTAGTGGGCGTCCAGGCTACGGACAATATCCTCGGAACGGTCTCTCAGGTCTTGTCTGCTGATGAGAGCGTCTTTCCACTTCTCAAATCCAGCGCCTTTGCCTACAGCCTCTTCGAATGATGTCCAATAGTGCGGCAAAGGGTGCGGACCGTCGACAATGGCGTCTGTATGCTCATAGTCGTTCTCCGGATCGTCCATCCACTCCAGAAGCCCTTTGATCTCCGTATGGTCGTGGTGTTCTYCTGAGTCTGATTGCGACATTTTGATGGTTTGATGTGGTGTATCTGGCCTGGAAGTGGTGGAATGTGATGAAATCCGATAGAAGAAGGCCGCAGGAGATGGTTGTATTCAAAAGAAGTACAATGGCATCGACTAAACTGCCGTGCGGCCTGATTTGGTGTTCCAATATGTCTTGGCGGTTGCCTCCAGCAGCACTTCTTGATGTTTGTAGATCGATTTTGAACCTCCGCCACCCAAATCACGCCCCAAAACGCGACAAAAGCCCAAATAACATCCGCCAATAGCTTCGGAAACACTTACAGATCCATATCTCATCATCCAGCCACACATCCAGCCCATCATATGACCCAAGCCCCAGCGAGGCGMCAGCGCACAACGTCAAGCAAGAGTAGCCAGACCGGCGTCTGATTGCTGCTGTTTTCCGGCGCCTGTCCAGCCTTCGTATGAAGCTCCACTTGACTCTGGTGCCTGAAAGCAGACACTTGCATCGCCAACCCTCTTCATCGCACGCAACTCTTCCTCTTCCCCTGCCTCCTCTTCCTCGTCCGACACTAGACACTACACCACCATCAAGCAACAATGACGACGAACAAGGCACCAAACCCAACGTACACCAGTTCCAAGGATGAAGCTGAAGCACCATGCCTCCAGTTGCTCGCGGATCGATGACCGGGGACATGATCCATCTAAGCGCGGCACCGCAGCCTAGATCCATAAACTCCTCAGCGACGGCTTCTGGCAGCAAGTATGTCACTCGCGCTTCCCAGTGCCGCAAGGCGTAGGACTTCTGAAAGACAATCCTACAGCAGGGCGACGAGAACAGCGGCGTGGAACGCTCTGCCCGGCCGAAAGAGAAAGAAAGCTTTGGAGAGTGCCAGAAAGTCTCGCTGGAGATCCAAGAGATGAAGCTCGCGCTTGCAGTGGATACGTGGCTGCCGAGTGAGACTAGAAGCTAAGTATTCCAACGCAATTTTCATGAAGCGGTGGCTTGCTTGGGGATTTCCTCTCTTTCACAAGAGTCTTGTATGCCAGTCCAGGTGGTGTAATTTGATAGATGGTCTCTTTAGGTTTGCGTTGTGAGCCCATAATCGAGAGCTGAGTCTTCAACTCTCACCCACAACGAGTGAGGCACCTCCACTGTCTCCAGGAACGATAGCAGAAGTCCAGGGCCGTCCCGGAGCCGCCCCATAGCCCGAGCAACTCCTGCCACCGAGCTTAGCTGGACTGCAATTCGGCTACCCCAAAGTACCGCCTCACAGCAGCTCCCGCCTGGAACGATGACCCAGCCCTACCCGAGATGAGACGCATTCTTTCAGGAAGAGGATCGAAAGTCGAAAGATTCTTTTCAGGCTTCATCCAGGCCCTCACATACCACGGTTGGAACATAGGCCCTTTGATGGATCTCTCCATGCCTGGATTCGGTGTCTGTCGACTACAGTGAATCCCCGTAATGCTTTTAGAATTTCGAGGAATTGGAGGCTTTGGCCGAAAGGTCTTGAAGTTACGCAGAATTTGTTCTACTCAGTGATTGAGCATTTCGCCAGAGACTCTGGCGTCTTTCCGAAGCTACTCTGTACTATGGTTGGGGACGATCTTCTCGTTTAAGCCTGCCTCTAAGGGCCTGAGACGAATGCTGCAGAGCGAGAGCGAATGTCCAGCGTTCCAATCGAATCTTCCAAGACTGGAGGCGGTTCCATTGAAACATTGAAGGATTCTCCATGTTCACCGACCGGAGTTCTGTTGCCACCCGTTTCCTTCCCAAAGCTTGACGGCAAGCTATGTCTTTGGGAAGACTTCCCGATGCATAAAGCACAAGTTAGCGATTGAGAGCGATTTGCCTTGCTTTCATGATATACTGTCCATTGATGCGGGACGATGCTACTGTAGCAGCGATTCGATGGTTGGAAAGAAGATTGATGTCCCAAAGCGAACCCTTCTGCCCTTGAAATTCGTCATGGCCCCCGGATCAATCGTTGTGGGAAGCGACCTTCAAAGCCTGGACTTGCCGGTTTGCCAACCGGACTGGGAAGCTCCAACGTTGATCTTTCTTGTGAGAGGAGAGCAAGATGGACCAATTGTATCATGCTTTTGACGAAATTACTTTCGTGGTAAGCACAAGATTGCCTGTTTGGAACGTTAGTTCCGTGGAATCAAAGCCAGATCCATCGAAGCTTGATGTGACATCAACCCAGAGCTGAATCCACAGCTCTGCACGGGAAGGTAAGCTATATCCCTGATTCAAGTCTCTACAACTTGCTCGAAATCCTTCATCCTCTGACAATCAGCTATTCGACTAATCCTCACTCCCAAGCAGTCACTGGCAGATCTTGCTCCAACAAGATGCATCCAGAAATCAAGAAACTGGCCATGGTTGGCTGCGGTGCCATGGGAGGTGGAATGGCACTGCTATTTGCTGAGAAAGGCATCGATGTACTCCTGAAGGACCCCTCCAACGAAGCCATGGACAAAGTCCTTAAAATCGCCAAAACGGATGGCGTCGCCGGCCGGATTTCGAAATATCAAGACTACAAGTCATTATGCCAGAGCTTTKATTCCATCAAGGTGTTTGTATGGTCGCTGCCGCATGGATATGTGGGAGACAGAGTACTTGATGAGCTCATGCCTCATCTCGAGGTTGGGGATATCATCATTGATGCTGCCAATGAGCATTGGGAGAACTCGGAGCGGAGGATTGGCAAGTGTCACACCAAAGGCATCAGATACGTTGCCATGGGTGTTTCTGGTGGTTATCAAGCAGCGTATGATCGTCTTTCATCTTGCTTTGCTGATACATTAGCTGACATGGGGGATGTAGCCGCCGCGGACCTTCCATGTGTCCCAGCACTGACGCAGAGACTTTCGACATCGTCATGCCACTTCTTGAGAAGGCTGCGGCCAGAGCACCAGATGGCACTCCATGCGTAGCGAGAATCGGAACAGGCTCTGCTGGACATTACTGCAAGATGATCCACAACGGTATCGAGCACGGCATGATGTCTGCCGTTTCTGAAGCCTGGGGGATCATGAAAAATGGCTTGGGCATGGATAACGATCAAATTGCCTTCGAGTTCCACAAATGGAACACTCATGGTGAGCTCCAAGGCACATTCCTCGTTCGTATCGCCGCCGAAATCTGTGCGACTTTCGACGATCAAGGCAATCGAGTTCTGGATAGTGTGGGGGACAAAGTCGTGCAGGACTTCACTAGGGAGGAGGGTACGGGAATCTGGTCCAATACTGAGGCTATCATGCAGCATGTCCCAGCTCCGACATTAGCTGCTGCTCATTTCCTGCGCTTGGCCTCWGGCAATCTCCACGAGCGCCGCAAAGCAGCGAAGAACTTTGGCAACTCGACCTGGCAAGCCAAGAATATGGAAGATATTGACTCTGTTGACGGTTACCTAGAAGGCCTACGTCTAGCAGTCTATGCCACCTGTCTTGCCTCTTATATTCAAGGCATGAACATCATTGACAAGGCGGATAAGATGTACAAGATGAACGTCAATTATCTGGGTCTGCTTCAGATCTGGCGCTCGGGATGTATCATCCAAGCAGATGCAATGTCCTCGAATGTCTTGATGCCCATCTACAAGAACTACAAGACCAAAGCCGACAAGAATCCAATGTTCGAGTCGATCGTGGCGAGCGAGTTTAGGAATTGCATGGAGGGTAATGATGTGGAAGAAGGCATGAAATGGACTGTAATGCACGCTCTCAAAGGCGATCAGCATGTTCCAGCCATGACTGCGGCACTGGAATGGATCAAATATCAAACCAGCACGGATTTACCGACGAGCATGTATGAGGCGCAGCTGGATTACTTTGGCAAGCACATGTATGATCGTAAGGGAGAAGTAGAAGATGCAGAGGGATTGCCCACTGTGGGCAAGTATCACTACGAGTGGAAGAAGGCTTGAGCGCATGTACAATGATCGATTGTGGAATGGAATGGAATACTTCTCTCTTTGTCGAAATCGCATTCCAACCTGCTGACTGGACATGAAAGCGATTAAGTTCTACGTATATGTATGATAGCAGTGGCGCTGGCGTGATGCCGGGATATGTATAGTTCCAACCAGGTTACTCCGAGCTCTGAGATGGAGATGGATGAGAACTGATGGTTTGATACTCTGCGTTCTTTGTCTGCTCTTCAAATCACGAAAAGGCAGATCAAAATTACGGCCAGGATGTACGTTGGTTGAGACAGAGGCCCGTGGTTTATACGTAAGGGGAGATCATCTATTGCTCATGCAGTCTATGTCTTTGTTTCCATGCGATCCAGGTTGTCGTAAAGTCATTCTCATGTATCGTGTCTAATCCTCCAACTCCTCCATCGCTTCCCTCCTTTCCCTCAACATCTCCCTCGCATCTCCCTGCTCCAAAACCCTGCCCTTGCCCAACACAATGCAAAAATCTGCATCCTTGACAGCCTCCAGCCGATGCGCAACAGTGATGACTGTGCTTCCACCCAGCTCCTTCTTCAACACCTCTTGAATCTGATCGGCAGTCGCACGATCGATGCTCGCCGTCGCTTCATCCAAGATGATTACTGCACTTCTCCGTAGTACTGCGCGCGCCAAACCTACAAGTTGACGCTGTCCTTGGCTGAGATTCCGGCCGCCGCTTTCAATGTTCGTCGCCAGATCCCAGCCTTGACGAGCACAGACTCGGGATAAGACAGTAGAGCATTCCTCATCTGTGTGCTCGTCTACCGGGTCAAGGTTCGCCCGCATGGTTCCGGGAAAGAGCACTGGATCCTGTGCGAGGAAGGTAATTCTAGTGCGAAGAAGCTGTTTGTCGACTTCTGCGAGGTCAATGCCATCGATAAGGATGCTTCCCGAGCTGGGGAGAATGGTGGCGAGCAGACTGAGGGCTAGTGTGCTCTTCCCGCTGCCGGTACGGCCTAGAACAGCGGTCTTACTGCCGCCTTTGACGGTGAAGGAGACCTGGTGCAGTGCAGGATCCAAATGCTGCGCATACTTGATTGTGACGTCTTTGAACTCGATGTCTCCTCCGCAGGAAGGCCACCATGCAGGCGGTTCGACGTGTCCCTTTTCCTCCTGTTGTAGGTGAAGAAGCTCGACGACCCGCTCGACGCTGACGAACTGCATTTGGAGATTGCCATACTGTTTGCACAGTCCATGCGTTGTGATGACGAACTTGGTTGCGGAGACAAGGGCGAATGCTGTCAGTCCGGGGCTGAGGTCTGTCAAGAGTGCAAGGACGAGAAGGAGGAAAGTGGCCAGAGATGAGAGGATGTCATAGCGGTACATGAGCCAGGCTTGGGTGCTCCAGTAGAAATGATCCATCTTTTGGAATGTGTCGACGACGTGGATTACCCTGTCTTGGAAGCGAGATTGAGCATTGAAGGCACGCACTGTAGCAAGTCCATTGAGAAGCTCGCCAAAGTTTGACATGAGAGGGGTGAGTGACACCATTTCCAATCGACGCAGACTCTGACTTGTCGGGATGAAAGTTCTGAAGACCAGAACGAACAGGGCTGCCAGGATGATGGTGAAGATGAGGAACATTGGAGTAATGCTTGCAATTACCACCACAGCACTCAGCCAGCTGAGCAACATCCAGGAGATTGAAGCAAACTGTTGGCTGATCCCGCCGTCTATGACACCAATGTCCGAGGTCATGCGATTCATCAGTCGACCGACGGGTGTTGTGTCGTAGAAGCGGAAAGTGGCACCGGCGACCTTCTCCATGACTTCCTGGAACATGTGCTTGGCTGCGGTGTACACTATGCATAGTAGAACCGCTTGGGACAGGATGAAGAACAAGGACTGGCCAAGAGCGAGGAGAAGGAAGATAACCWGCCAAGGTTTGATGTTGTCCCTTGGGGATGGTAGGTCATGGAACAGGAAGGAGCCGGAAGCCTGACGGGTGTGGAAGATCGGGTCGCCGTAAGCCGAGAGTTGAGGTGACAAGAGGCCAAAGACTTCCATGTCTGTGGTATGATTGTGAGCACCTCCAGACATGAAGACCCCGAGAGGGGTGCTGCTGGCCTTCCGATCGTAAGCCTCGCCCCATGCCTTGAGGAACCAGGTCTCCCCGAGCGCAAAGAATCGATAGATGACCAAGATGATGACCGTGAGCGCCCACAAGCGCAAATCTCCCGCTTTGATGTACTGCCAGTAGACACTGGTCTTGACGCCACCATAGGCCCGGAATTCATCCTCGATAAACTTCTCCGGAATCGCAGCGGTAGACTTCTGTTTCCTCACTTCTTCGCCAATCTCTTCTTCCTCTGATTTCATGGCTGCTTGTGGTGCCAGAGTGTTCTCGGCGGCAAGAGCGTCTTGGTCCAGGACATCTGCTCTTCCACCTTCGATTTTCACGATCTGWTCTGCGCAGTCAAAGACCAAGTCCGTACGATGCGTAATCAGCACAGTCGTTCGACCTTTCAACAAAGGACCCCTGATACACTCCCGTACAATGGCCTCGGCAGTTTGTTGATCCAGTGCAGCCAGTGGGTCGTCCAGGAGAAGAATGCCCGCTCTGCTATATACAGCTCTTGCAAGTGCAACTCTCGCCCTCTGGCCTCCACTCAGCCCAATTCCGTTTTCTCCAATCAGAGACAGGTCCCCGGCTTTGAACTCGGCCAGATCTGGCGTCAGCGCGCAAGCATCCAAAACAGTTCGATACCGCTCGCTCTCATACGGTGCATCGAATAGAATGTTGTCTCTTATTGACATGCTTTGTAACCAAGGAGTTTGGGAACAGTATCCCATTGGCTCCTGAGGGCGGATGAGTTGGCCGTCGAGCATGTCTAGTTCGCCCAGAAGTGCTTGCAGCAGTGCTGTTTTGCCCGCTGCGACTTGACCACAAATGACCGTCAGACCTTCTGGGAAAGAGATGTTAATCTCTTTCAAGACCGGGGTAGTAGAGCCGGGCCATGCAAACGATGCGTGATCCAAGGCAAGTTTGTCGCCGATCAACGCTTCGGTCGCCATCTCCTGCAGGTCATCCTCGGCCATGAAATCTTCAATTCGGCCAGCTGCTACCCAAGCATTGATCAACGAGATGATGAGATTGGGAAGCTCTCGAAGCTGAGAGGTCATCATGCCAAAGAGCTGCAATGCTGGAAAGGCAATGTCGACTGTCAAGTCTTTCTTCGCAATCACGGTGTAGCTGTAGAAGGCTACCACAGGCGTCAGATCGTAGCTCAGCGTGTTGATGAACCCGACAACGAGTCTCCAAACAGTGGTCAGAACCCTCAGCCAAAGCTCTTTCTGTCTTGCCGTGAGAATCTTGGAGAGCCATGCGCCTTGCCAGCCGTACCATCGAAGATGACGTATCGCCTCAACAAATKGCGAGATGAGCTGGAGTTTCAAGTCGGTGGCAGTGCGTCGTTTCTTCTCGTACCAGACCAGGACACGAGCGAGGATGGCGTTCATGAATTGTGCCAGAATCACGAGCGCCACCGACATAAGCGCAGGCCAGCCGAGATAGGCTACCACCAGCGAGACGGAGAAGATTATGGCGATTGGTTTGCGGAYGATCTGATCAAATTCCCAAAGACGCTGAGCAACCTCGTAGACATCATTGCGCATCAAGTTGAGAATCTTGCCCATGGAGGCGGGTTCTTTGGCGGGAGGTGGCGGAGATTTGGCGAAGGTCATTTTGGAGAGCGTCCTGCTCCACCAACCCGACGGCGTTGGTTTTGGTGTTTCTTCGCCGTTGCCATTGCCATCGGAATGACCGTTCTGGGCTTTTACGATCTCGGGTGGCTGAAATGAGATCTTCCGGCCGAGTGTCTTTTCGTACAACATCGTGATCATTTCTCCTCTTGACCGCTCGTAAGCTCTTCTTCCAAACCATAGGTTGAAGACTCCCGATTGCGTTTTCAGTAGGCGTACGCAAAGAGCCATCCCAGCATATGTGAGTGCGACTCTCTTGGGGCTTGTTTCATCCCGCATTGATGCCAGAATGAGCTGCAGAAAGATTGGTTCTGCATACTCCGCGATTTGCTCGAATATTCCCAGAAGAGTAATGATGAGAAGGTCGAGGCCATTGGCGCGCAGAATGCGGCGGATGACTGTTCCCTTTAGCTGGCGGAAGTTATGATGCAGGAACCGATGTTGAAATTCATGGGGTAGCGACCAGACGTCTTCGTCTTCGAGCTGACGCTTGCTACCCACTGCCAACAAAGGTGTCATCCATCTGACTGTCATGAATAGCCATGGGCTGAGAGCTTCCTCAGGGCTGCGAAGGTACGAGGTCGGAGTGGTGAAGGGCATGCTAGTGTCCTTGGAAGGGAGGAGCGGATCTCTGAATGGCATGACCAGTGTAAGCGCCGTGGCCAGTACTCCTAGAGCAGTGCTAATGCTGTTGAGAATGAATATACGGGTATCATTCCACCGGTAATTTTCCAGTAGAATGGCTTCCGCGATAGTGCTCGCCACCAGAACTCCCAGAATCGCATAAGGCACCGTTCGAGGGCGGTACAGCATGATCTCCAACACGGCAATGAACCATGGTAGAACAGGAGTCAATGCCAGCGCGGAGCGGTGGTCGAGGAGGAGCGAGGCTGCCATTCGGACAACGAGACCAGAGGCGCAGAGCACCGCAAGAGTAAAGGACTTGGCGGTCCATCTTCCTTTGACTCCCTCAATTTCGGGAAAGACTTCGGGGAAGTCTTCCTGGACGAACGGCTGCGTCCATTTTGGGTGCCATTTAATGAACACTCGAAGGACCTGTACGAGGAGGATCACAGCACCCAAAATCGCAGGGAGTGTGGCAATGAAAGGCAGGAAACATGGCCGAAAGTGCGCGGTGCTCGAGTTCCAGACGTGAGAGAGGCAGATTCGATCCGGGTCGAGTAGTCTATCGTTCAGTATGGCGTTCTGTTGGTCCATGGCCGCGGATGTGGTATCGTCAATGACGAAGATTGTGGTAAGTCAAGTGTGGTGGCGCGGCATTGCTCGACGTCGTTGACGTTCAAAGCCGAGTCGTCGTCGTTGTCGTAGAAGAAGTCACTACAATCTCAGTCGAGGTGCTGCCTGGAAGGAAGGTTAATAATGATGCGCGGGAACGGAAAAATGCAGGTCGATCGAGGACGAGGCGGATGCACGGACCCACACCAAGAGGGCCGCTCCGTTCTGTGGGGCCGACGTGCCGACATTCACTTGATCACCGCAAAGGACGAAAAGGGAAGGAGCTTGTGGAGTGTCCTGCTTGGACTGGCCGAGTGTCTTTAGAGTTATAAGCGCTGTAGTGGTTACATTCATTGGAGCTATAGGTTTGCTGATAAACGATGATCGCGAAGGATATGTGTAATACTAAGCTATCTAATGCGACGATAAAGGATCTATATCCTTCTTACAGTGGTTTGCCTAGCAAGTGAATGGAGAAAGAAGCCAAACATAGAACTGATTAGAAGGGCGTAGAAGGCACGCGCCACACCCTCGAACACATGCCACAGTTGTGGGGGGAGCTCCATCCATGTCGTTGGATCTGTTCGAGTGCCAGCTCACAGAACCTCAGCTAACTTTCATCTCACGAACGTGTTGTAGAGTCCTGCGTCCTAGCGTGATAAGTGCCATTGTAAGAGACGCACTCGCGAAACGAAAATCGTAAAAGCCAATCCTCGGTATGGTCGCTCATCCCATTCGGTCGCTGGAGTGTAGATGTTACCAAATGCCTGATCGGCTTCTGTGCAAGTCTTCAGATCAAGAACTGTCTCTGGACATGAGCCTTTGTATTCAATCTATACCAAAGACCCGGGTAGGTAGTCTCTTCCAGCATGGAGATAAGTGCTTCGTTGGACATTGACGGCCAATTTACGACGCCAGTGACCCAGCATTTGGTCCGTTTGGGTATCATGCTCTGTAAACATCTCGAGCATCATTGTTGTCGAGGGGATGTATGTCAAAGGAGGATAAAGAGTCTTGAAAGATGATCACTCACCCAGAGCTCACACCCGGCCCGAGCGCGCCGAACCTCGGCTTCTTCCACACACGCGCCTGACAGCGAAACAATTCATAACATCTTACAGCAACGACCACACTCTTTTATACGCTCAGGTTATGCCATAGCACCCTCTCAACATGGCAGACTTCGCCGCCGCCCAAGCGCGAATAATCGAACGCCGCGCCGCGACCGCACAAGCCCTTGCCGCTGAACGATCCGCGTCCGACGCTCTACGATCCGCACAACTCACCCACTTACCCCCTTCACTCCGCTCGCATGTGATATCTTTGTTGAATTTCCCCCAAAACTCACTCTTTGGAAGTCGGCCTGCTTACCGGGTGGGACAAGTCGACTCGGAGCTCCTGGACGAAGCGCTGCTTTCTCTGCTCAAGAAACAGGCGAGCGAAGGGTTGAAACTATACGGAGCGCATCTCAAAGACGACTGGGATGCGGAGTTGAGCTTGTTGCTCAGGGCTGTGTTGTGGAAGTTGAGCATTTGGGACCATGGAGCGAGTTATGGTGCCAGTCTGCAAGGGTTGAAATACATCGACGCGAGGGTCAGGGAACGGGAGAAGGAGAGCGATAAGTGGCAGCGAGGAATCTACGGATTGGTGACTGTGGGAGGAAGATATGCCTGGCAAAGATGGGAAGATTGGTTGAGCAACGCAGAGAATGGTTATGAGGAACCCAGCCGATGGACCAAATTGCTGGGAAATGCGACGACAGTGCTGGATTCCACGCACAATGTCGCTGCTTTTGCCTCCTTTTGTGTGTTTCTGGTGAATGGGAGGTATCGCACCATCACAGATCGGGTGTTGAGGATGAGATTGGTGCCCGCRAGTAACCAGACGAATCGGGAGGTGAGCTTCGAGTACTTGAATCGACAGCTGGTCTGGCATGCTTTTACGGAGTTCCTGCTCTTCTTGCTGCCGTTGGTGGGAATCTCAAGATGGAGGAGGTGGATTTCCAGAGCATGGAAGAAGACGAAGATGTACGTCACAAAACTGCGCACGGGCGAGGATGAAGACGATGAGGATGTCAAGGGTGGAGAATTGGCCTTCTTGCCAGAACGGACGTGTGCGATATGCTATTCAGATCAGAATCCCGCGGGTGGGAGCACTGAGCAGGAGATTGTTGCTGGAGGTGGAAACAGCGGCATCATTGGAAGTGCGATGACCGACATCACCAATCCATACGAAGCCGATCCCTGTGGATGTGTGTATTGCTTCGTCTGTCTGGCGCAGAAGATCGAAGCTGAGGAAGGAGAGGGATGGACGTGCTTGCGTTGTGGAGCTGTTGCGAAGGAATGCAGGCCATGGAGTGGAGATGTGGTTGTCGAGCGCAGCCGTCCGTCAAGCCGGCCATCGACTGGGAGAGGGAGGAGTGCAACAGGTGCTATGAGGAGCGCTGGGGGAGAAGGCAGTCCGCAAAGTTTTCGTCGAAAGAGCGTAATGTTTGATCTCGATGATGAAGAGAAGCGGGCGATGCTGGAGGACGAGAGGGATGCTGAGGCTGATCTCGAAACGCTCGATCCCATGCCTATTGAGGAGGGCGAAGAAAGCATGGCGTGGAGTAAGATTGATGGAGACGTTGTCGGCCAAGAGGAGTATGATGAGCATCAGGAAGATGATGGTTATGGTTCCAGGTCGGACGATGAGGAGAGTGAGAGATGATAGGTACACATCGCATTACATGCATTTACCTCCTTCTTCACATGCTGCCCAATCAGTCTGAGACAGCCTTGGTTGAATAGACACCACTATCGAGTCAGCCGACTCTGTTTGGAGTCCTCCAATGAGCCATCAACCAAGCCTTCCTACGATCCAGCACTCTGGGGTTCGCCGCATTGCACAATCCATTCGGAAGCACGGATCTGTGCCTTCAGGCCACTCACTTAGGTCACTTCGAAGTTGCCAAACACGCCTACGCAAGCAAGACCGAGACCATCAAGTGTCCAGACAATCAGCAAATTTGCCGTCACTTCTCATACTCGCCATGCCAACGAACACTGAGATGCTCCCGACCTCGAGTGCGAGACTTTGTCATAACAACATCTGCGGCCGACCCTCTGCCTGCTTACACCTATCATGACCACTAACAATGTACTCAGCTGTTAGGTTCTTGCCCCAATGCATGACCAACCTTGCACTCGTAGATCGGATAGTCTCATTTGTGACCAACGTCAAGCTATGGCCTGCTGGCATTCAATATCGATTGCAAACAAAGCGTCACATTCGACGGAGACGAAGGGTGTAATTAATTAGACTTGGACTTCTATGAAGGTCTGCTAGCTACCGAAACGTATACCGATTTTTTTTTCACAATTTGCTCTCTTTTTTTCGACCCCAAAAACAACCTCAAAACTCAACTCCATCTTTCTTTCCTTGAATTCCGTCCTGTTCTCTCCTTGGACTGCATGTCTGAGTACACTGAGGTGCAACTGCGCACCGCAGTCGGCATCATTCAGCCGGGAGATCACGGCCAACTCCATCGCGATGGGATTTGGCGAGGAGGGCGACATTCTCCTACTCCGCGCAGTCTCCACGCACCGCTGCCACATGCCTCCGACTCACCGAAGCGCTTCGTGGGCGCCTGTTCAGCAAATTGGCCAAGTAATCCCGAACTAGAAGGTTCGCGGGATCTTCACCGTGCGTCGAGTCGCAGGACGGCTGCGTGTGCTCCTGCTCAGTAGTCTCGTCGTCGGACCTCTCGCAGGACTTCATGTCGGCTTGCTCGTCAGGCCTTTCCTTGCATTCCTTGAAGACATTCATGTTCTCGTGCTCAAAAATGTCGTCCTTTGATTCGAATGAATCGATCTGCTCCTGGGTGATGCCCCCTTCTTCGCTCCGAAGCCCGCGGAAGATTTCCTTGGCGATATTGGTCAAAGCAAAGTACATGATCTTGTGCACGAATTCTTTGACGGAAGCACTCATCCTGCGGCTAGGATGACGATCTTCCCACCTTTCGTGGATCATTTCCTCCACGTCTTCGACCAGGCAGATTACATTTATGTAATCTTTTCTCTCTATCCTGCGGTAGACCTTTGGCTCCGTCGCAACATACTCCTTGACCAACGAATAAGGGAGTTTCAGGACGCATTGGAGCATGCAGTCCATAGCCCGGCGTCCATCGACGCTGGAAGCGACGTCTCGCATGAGGGCTTGCATCTTCAAGCCCGCCGCCCGCGCTTCGGGATCCGAGAACTTTCCAGATACGCTGGGATCGGTCCAATCGTGACGGCTGCTGTCCTGCACTTGCAAGCCATATGCTATGTTGCAGACCAGATCCCGAAGGCGATTGGGGAAGTGCCCTGGTGTCAGGGGTGAGCTTAAAACCCACTCGGCTCTGAAACGGCCGTTGATCTCGAGATCTGTCCTGATCTTGAGGACTTCCCGGGCGCTTCGAACGTCTCTCCCGGAACTCCACCATTCTGTTTGGCAGATGGGACATTCGTTGTGGTATGAAACTCGCAGCATGTTCATGCATCTGTGGTGGAAGAGGTGCGGGCATTTGGCATTGGCAAGTCCCTCTTCTGGTGCGATTGGGAACGGGCAGACACCGCATAACTCTCTGAGTCTTTCCGCCGGAGCTGCAGAAGTAGACTCTAGGAAGGCTTCTCGGGTGGCATTGAGGCCCTCCTGGACAATCAGCGCGGCTTCGGCGGAGATGAAGGTGCTTGGAAGATACGACATCTTGGAGTAAATGTCGTTGAGTGAATACGGTTGATGGTGTGGAGTTGAGCGRGTGCGGTTGTTGGTGAGATGTTGAGTGAGTGCAGTTGACGGCGGTATTGGGATCAAGTGTTGGAGTGTGGTTTTTTGAGTCTCTGGACCACGCCGAAAATTTGTTGTGCTGGAAAGGTAAGGCTTGGTATGGTAATGGTAATCGGTGGGAGAGAGGGCAGGTAGCAGTAAAGACTGTAGATTTTGTAGGCTCGATTGTTGCTGTCCTCAAACCCTCCGGCCCACTTCCGCAGCATCTTGGGTATACGTCTTCAAACGATGTGTCAACTTGCGGCTTTCGAAGGTACGTCCTCAAAGCTGATGAGTTAACTTTAAGCTTGAGGTATATGTCTTCAACTCAGGTACGAAGTCTGCGGGTTGACTAGCGAGTACCAAGAACTCTACACATACGTACTGGGCTTCCATATGCGCTGATGTGTCCAGTAGAAGCAGTCTTTCTTGGCGGTCCCCCTTTGGGGTATCCAGCCGGGATTCAGAAGAGTCGGCAATGCATTCAGTATCTGGATGCCGCTTAGATAGGAGCCGCCGGATCGAAGCAAGTTTACATCCAGGCAACTAAGTACCGTCCCGCCGGTGATGGACATTCCTGTCGTTGTCGTGATTGTTGGTGGAGATGGAAAAGCCAAAAATTCGATGATTGACAGTTGTATCCTGATACTGGCACCACRGAGCCGCACAACATAGAGCTATGCACATTCGTAGACTTCTGCTCATAGTTAGCATCTGGGCAAACAAGCATCGACATTGGATTCTGTCTGTTGTCTTCCTCCAAGTAATTCCGCTTGCGAGCTGCCCGCCTACCTCCCAAAGCCAAGTGGTATGAAAAGGCTTCGTTCAATTTCTTGTAGCAATTCTGCGTTTCAGGAGAAAGTGCCTCATAATTTGATATGACCGCGGTAAAATTTGAAGGTGGTTAGCAAGAAGCATTGCGAACCAAATGCAGACTGAGTGGAGAGATCAACCTTACCTATCTCGGACATGGATCTTACATCTGGAAGACTCCCACTGATCCTGCGCAGTTCTGCAGCGTTGCGGCAGTACAGCGAGCGTGATGCTTCTATGAGAATGCTGCGTTTCATCTCTTTCATGTGAAATCGTGCTGGTCGGAATGTCGCGGAAGGAGACCGGAGCCTAACACTGAGTCGTCATCGGCCACCAACCGAACATTCATAGCTGCACCGGTGCAGCCTCCAAGAAAAGCTGTGCAAGGCATATCTCATCTTCATGAAAGCATGAAGCTATACAAGCAGGCCCATCTGTACGGTTGAAAGTCAGTACAGGCGGTAAGTTCTTTGATGTTTGGATCTTTCCAAACTCGCAACTGCACCTCAGCCAACACCATCCTCGGCTGCGTCTCGAACTCTTCTCTCAAACGAAACTTCCACCACAACGAACGATACCAAGAATGTCGAAAAGCRAGGTTGCTCACCTCCCTCTTTCGACTTCTGGTCCGCAGAGACGGGCCTTGACCGGCACTGCTCTTCGCCAAACCCCATGCCTGAAATAAGGGCTCTGCATTTACAGAAGCTGAACGCTCGATCTTCAATCTTCAAGGTCTTCTTCCCGCTTCAGTCAATACACGTTCAGAACAAGTTTCGAGGGCATACACACAATATCAGACCCACAAGATGGATCTGGAAAAGAACACTTTCATGACCAGCGTGAGAGCGGGACGAAGTTCTTTACTATCGCCTCGTTCATAAGCACTGGCAAGAAAGTTTCCATCATCTACACGCCGACAGAGGGAGAGGCCATTGCGGATTTCAGCAAACTTTTCCGCGGGCCGGAGGGTTGTTTCCTTGCCATTGGCGATGGAAAGGAAGTGGTGGAGAAAGCAATGGAGAGCTACGGTCGTGCGGAGGATATCGACGTCATTGTAGTGAGCGATGGCGAACAGATTCTCGGGATTGGCGACCAAGGAGTTATTGGCATCCTGATCAGTATCGCGAAGCTCGTCATTTATGCGCTGTGCGCTGGTGTCCATCCGAATCGAGTCTTGCCCGTGGTTCTCGACATTGGAACAGATAATAAGGGCCTCATGGTAGATGATCTTTACCTCGATGTGAAGAAGCCACGGACAAGAGGAGGGGAGTATGACAATTTCCTCGATACGTTTGTGCAAGCTGCGAAGAAGAAGTTCCCGGCTGCGTATCTTCACTTCGAAGACTTCGGCCTGGCAAATGTGCGGACCATCCTTGATCGATATACGCCGCAGATTGCCTGCTTCAACGACGATGTGCAAGGAACGGGGTGTGTTACTCTAGCGACCATACATGCTGCACTGCATGTGTCCAGAATAGACATTGGAGATTTGCGGGTTGTAATGTTCGGATCTGTGTCTGCGGGGACAGGCATTGCGGATCAGATTCGAGATGCGATTTCGGTGGAGAGTGGAAAGTCGAAGGAAGAGGGTGTGAAGCAGATCTTCTGCGTTGAGAAGCCGGGCTTACTGTTGCAGAGCTAGAAATATCAGCTTACGCCTGCGCAGCATCCATATGCAAGGGACGATGGACTGGAAGGATGGGAACAGAGAGCTGGTAGATATAATCAGGAAGGTCAAACCGCATGTTCTGATGGGCACAAGTACCACGCCCAAGGCTTTTACCAAGGATGATGTGCAGGAGACGTCGAAACATGTGGAGCGACCGATAATCTTCCCGCTTTCGAATCCGACGAGGCTGCACGAAGCCAGTCCCAAGGATCTGTTCGATTGGTATGGTGGGAATGTCCTTTTTGCGACTGGGTCACCATTCCCACCTGTAAATACCAAAGATGGCAAGAGGGGGATCGCTGAGTGCAACAATAGCATGACATTCTAAGTTGTATCCAGTGTCGAAGCTGGTTGGTGAAGTGACGCTAACCCGACCAAGCCCAGGCATTGGTCTCGGTGTTGTCCTTCCTCGAGCCAGACTACTCAGGACTGAGATGCTGGTTGCTGCACAAGTCTCTTGCTGCACAGGCGTCGGCGCTAAAGGATTACAATGCTGCATTGTTGCCTGATTTCAGCGATGTCCGAGAGATAAGCATCAAGATTGCTGCTGCAGCGTTCAAGCAGGCAGTCAAAGAGGATGTGCATCAAGGAAAAGGACATTCCTTCCGACGATGCTGACTTGGAAGAATCGATTCGCGATCAAATGTGGGTTCCAGAGTATCGCGCGCTGAAAAGATTCGAGCGGCGATGGGCGAAACAGGCAGTAAACCTAGGTGTCGAACGCTCTCACAGCCATGCATAGAGGCAATGGTGTTGGGTGGTCTTTTGTGTGAATGTACATTGTCATCGTTCCGGTGTCGTCGTCGTCGTCGTTGGTGGACCGTGCGTATCGATGTCGCCGCCGCCGCCGCCTTTAAAGCTCAATGCGAGCTGCCTTGACAACAGCAACACCTTCACACTGCACCACCACCACCACCACCACACCACACCACCGCCTCCGCCGTCTCCACCACCACCACGCAGCATGAGACTCGCCGTGTTCCTGCACGGCGACTGGGGAAATGTGGTGCTTTGGGTGCGCGTGTACGTACAAAACCCGCATCTGCTGTAGAGGGGGACTATGTGATCTGACATTGCGTAGCGCGGGTCCACCGGACCTGTACAACGCTTGGGATCCGAGATCCCAGTTTGTGTGAGTTCCCTCTCCCTCATTGGGCCTCGCAAGGATGTATGGACTGACTGCAAGTGCAACAGCCGCACCGCCGCGCCGCCAGCGCAGTGGGGTGGGGGCACCACTCCAGACCCCAACTTCTGGGACTGTTTGTAGGTCACACCCTCTCCGCAAGTGAACAAMAGCACTGCGAGGATTAACGGTGAGCTAATCGGTTGCAATGCAGCGAGATCTTGGGGATGGAGGACCAGCGGGTCCTCATGGCCGGCCTCCTGGCGGCCATGTGGGCGCAAGTGCGCCCACCGCACGGGTTTTAGTGGTATGTTGCGTGTTTTACCTTGCATTCACTCCCTTGTTGCCATCAACGACCCTCGAAACTCTGGCACTCTTCCAGCTCGGCAACAAGCCAGGGAAGAAATTGCTTTGCTATGCCGTTCATAACGAGGAATGCCATCGGGAGCCTGCTGGAGCCTTGGCAATTAAATGGGCGTCATTCGCTGCCATAGGGAACATCCTCAACCTGGTGCTATCCACCGTGCCAGTACGCCCAGATCCAGGACCGGCGTAAGCTGTTCTAGGTGTCTGATTTTCTTCCAACGCGGCATCACGCTCAGCAAAGCTTTACCGCGCTATATAATTCAAGATCCCGCTTCGTTTCCGGAGCATATCAGAGTGCGTCGCGGCGTTCGGTGGCGATCGCCAATGGATGGAAAATGCCACTTTCTCTGCATACCCTCGCTTGCTCCGCCCGTCTCTGGACCAGCTTCCGGGCAGAATCAAGAGTTTCAGCACCTACGAGAACATTGCAGAGTCTTTGAGACCTATCAAGATCCACTGCCTGCTGGAGAGTAGCTGGGAAATGGTCGAGCGAGAGAAGGGGCAGCGCCCCTGCACATGCGGAATCCGAATCCGGGACTCCAGACCTGGCCATTTGAGACTCCGCGCTCATCTCATTTTTCTTCTCATGCACTCGCTGTCTGCTTTTATGGTCCTCAAAGAACAAATGCTGACGATATTCGCAGACCGTAAGTTCTCGCGATATCTTCCTTGAAAGAGATTCATCCGGAAGTCGCGCGCTAGCGCGACACGCTACCCCACAATCGTCATCTAAACCTTATCGAAACCTTAATCGTCGCGACTGCCTTCGCGACGTTCCCCCACATTAACATCACTTTTCCATCTCACCCATGCTGACCGCCCTTTAGCACCCACCATGGCGGACGACAGCGACGACTCCCTCGACATCATCAGCAGTCGCGTCGCTCCTGCGGCGCCCCCTCGACCAACCGGCTTCGCCGCGGCTACGGGGAACGGACATGGCGAGCGCATCGCTTTCTCGGACGATGAGGACGCGGACGCGGCATATCTCAACTTCAAAAATCGCAAAAAAATCGCCGCAAAGAAGACGAATGATGCAGCAAAGAAATCAAAGGCGAGAATGGCGAAGAAGGGCGCGGTCGTGGGCCGCAAAGAGCCTCGAACTGCCCTCCCAACAGCCAAGAGAGACCGCGAATCGGACAGCAGCGACGACGAACACGACCTAATGGAAGACACCCTCCCCGAATATCTCAAATCCCGGCGCAAGGCGTGGGAACAGACCCGCGCAGAACTCGGCAATGCCGGCCTCCTCATCCCTCCTCACTTTGAGCCCGACTTCTTCGGCTATGTGGATCTCGAAGAGGTGGCAGAGAGACCCAGCTTCCCCGTCACTCCACCACTGTCATATTTCGACATCAAACTCCGCAGTGCTGGYGTCATCCCCGCCGCAATTGCACAATGGCTGAAGCCGTATCAGATCGACGGCACCGCATGGCTGCATGAGATGTTTGTGGCGCAGAAAGGATGCCTTCTTGGAGACGACATGGGACTTGGAAAGACCATCCAAGTCATATCGTTCTTGACAGTCGCATTTGGCAAGACCGGAGACGAGCGAGATGCGAAGCGCATGCGCATGTGGCGGCGACGATACCCAGACAACAATCTCAACACATTCAACCCGAAGATATGGTATCCGCGGGTACTCATCATCTGTCCCGGTGGATTGCTGGCGAATTGGCAAAAAGAGCTCGAAACTTGGGGATGGTGGCATCTCTATGTCTTCCACGGCAACAATGCGGCCAAAGAAGCTGCACTAGCTGCGGCAGAGAACGGGCGGCTCGAAATCATGCTCACAACATACCACACCTACCTTCTCAACGAGAGCGCCATCAACAACATCCATTGGGACTGTGTCATTGCGGATGAGTGCCACACCATCAAGTCGCGCAAGACGGAAATTACTCAGGCCATGTGCAAGCTCAATGCTTTGTGTCGAATTGGTCTGAGTGGGACGATGATCCAAAACAACTATGACGAGTTGTGGACGCTTCTCAACTGGGCCAATCCGGGGGCTGTGGGAGCGATTGCTTCGTGGAAGCGGTGTATCAGCATACCCTTGAAGATTGGCCAGAGCCATGATGCGACCATGTCACAACTCTCAAAAGCAAGACGAGTGGCCACGAAGTTGGTGAACAAACTGCTTCCTCGATTCTTCAAGCGCCGAACCAAGGCTTTGATTGCGCATCAGCTGCCGAAGAAGAGCGATCTAGTCGTGTTTTGCCCGCTGACCGAAACTCAGTCTGAAGCATACAACAACTTTTGTGATTCCGAGCTGGTCCACGCCATTCGAGACTCTGCGCTGCCATGCAATTGCGGTTCCGGAAAGAAGCAAGGATCGTGCTGCCGGGCTGAGGTTGAGGGGTTCGGGAAGTGGCAAAATCACGTCTTCCCAGTACTGGTCACGTTGCAGAAGCTCTCGAACCATGTCGCGCTGCTCGTTCCAGATGGTGTGACCGACCCTGAAAAACTCGAGAAGGAACTTCAGCGACTGGAAATGGCCTTTCCCGATTCCTGGAAGGAACTTTATGCTGCACGCAAAAGCATGCTGACTCACAAGAATACTAAATTCTGCGGCAAGTGGTTGGTGTTGAGGAAGCTTCTCAGACTGTGGTACGACAATGGAGACAAGGTTCTGGTGTTTTCTCACTCCGTCCGGCTGCTCAAGCTGCTGCAGAGTCTTTTCAACACAACTCCCTTCAACGTGTCCTACTTGGACGGCAGCATGAGCTATGCCGATCGACAAGCGGCAGTGGATGACTTCAATTCCGATCCAGGCCAGTTTGTCTTTTTAATCTCGACGAAAGCGGGTGGTGTGGGACTGAACATAACCAGCGCGAACAAAGTTGTGGTTGTGGATCCGAACTGGAATCCTTCTTATGATCTGCAAGCTCAAGATCGTGCATACCGCATCGGGCAGGTCAGAGATGTGGATGTTTTTCGGCTTGTCTCGGCGGGTACTGTGGAAGAAATTGTCTATGCGAGACAAATTTACAAGCAGCAACAGGCCAACATCGGCTATAACGCATCCGTCGAGCGCCGCTACTTTACTGGTATCCAAGATCAGAAGGACCAAAAGGGCGAGATCTTCGGGCTGAGGAACCTCTTTGCTCCTCAACAGGGGAATCTCGTGTTGAGGGACATTGTCAATAAAACCAACATTGCCGAGACGAGAGCTGGTGTGCAAATCGCTGGACTAGATCTTGAGGCTGCGGGTGAAGATGAAGATGGTTTCGGTCCACTGGATTCCAAGGAAGATGCGGCGATCAACTTGCTTGCAGCGGAAATCATCGACGAGCCAGCGCAGAGACGCATGTTGGCCAACGCGAAAGCCAAGCGCAAGGATCCCGTGCAGGCCATTCTACAACAGGCTGGGGTGGAATATACACATGAGAATGCTGAGGTCATCGGTACGAGTAAAATCGAGACGAGAATCAGCAGTCGTGCGCAAAAGGCTGGCGATGATGCAGATCACATCAACGAGCTCGCATTTGCGGGGAATCAAGAAGACTTGGAGGGTTTGATGATGGGTGGGGATGACGATAACGGTGTTGATTGTGGAGATGGGCTTGGAGAGGTGCGTTACAGATTCCGACCGCCTGAGGACGTGAGGCGCAGGCAGTTCTGTGCCATGGCGCAATTCTTTGGGTATGGGGAGAAAGTCACCGAGTTTGCGCTCGTCGTTGAGGGATGGACGCAGGCTGAGCGGAGGGATTGTCTGGAGAGGTTTTATTTGGAGAGGAGGAGGGAGTTGGGTGCGAGAAGATGATTGTCCGCAGTCGTCAGCGCGCGAGAACGTTGATTGGGCGGAGTTATGGTTTGCTTTTCACTATGATACCCCTGGGCATAGACTCTCCGGCGTGAGAGCGGAGTTCTTTTGATTGCATGGTCTTGCATGCATTACGAGATGACATGAGAATGAGGATATGAATGCATGGCTTGAGATGAGCTTTCTTCCCGTCCCTCGTGCAATGCTGTTGTTCACGATGCTGTGCAGTGCGCCTCTTTTCTTATGATGATACATGTGCAGTCTTCCTGCGGGGGWTCGTTGCTTTTGGAGAGCGGTGGACCGTTGACGAGGTATGTATTGTACAATCTGAGAGACGTTCTATGACGTCCCTCTCGTGAATAAGAAGGAAGTCTTGGATCCGTTCACGAGCGAAAGTTTCTGGATGACTGGTCACTGACACGGGACATTGTCATGTTGTTCGAGGTTTGAGCTGCTCGTCAATGCATACTTTGTGCATGAGGGTTGCCTTTTGGCATGTAATAGCGTTTGCGGAGAATGAGACTGTGTGTTGAGAGCACTTCGTCGTGATGTTCGAAGTAAAGACTTGTGTTCAGCCTGCAGAGCATACTACCAGTAACTTCAAGTTGCGGAAGTGATGGAACCGCAGTTAATTGATCGATATCAGGTCTTTGATGGCAGTGAGCTCCTGTATTTCTTTCCAACGATGATCAAGATGATCTGTATACTCAGATTCATGACCAGAGCTATGTGTGTGATTGATACCGTGCTGTCGACATGAATAGCTACTACCCCAACCCTAACCCTTACATGCCCGAGTTGAATGGGCGCGATGTGTATGTTCGTACAACTTTATAACAACACATTCTTGCTAGGCTCTGAGTCGATGATGTTGTGAAGTATACTATATTTGATAGCAATGTAATGAGGTCGGGTCTGTGAGTAGTCGTCTTGCGGGAGGAGAGCGCCTGGCATCTGCCGGTCCGGCACCATCACAACAGCTTCACGGCAAGGCAACGTTGCTTACCATCTTGAAGAGCGAACCCTATTTGCTGAAACGGCACACTGGCTTTGTGTAGCAAAGCTGCTGCGTTCAGGAGTCTTGCCGCGGAGAAGCGGCTGCTTTGCCCCTAAGTCGCACATGTCTTTGCAACATCACGACACCGCYCTTTCGTTACATTGTGAGGCACTTATGTTGAAGAGGAGATCTTGTTCATTCAATCACTACACTCGCTTTGTAGTAACAGCGGCGCTGCTTCGCTCATTGCGGTATCCGGAGACACATGCCAAGACTTGGTGAAGATATGGGATTCAACCGCCTTTTGCCCACTATCTTTGAATAGATTTTCGATCTGCCGGCACGAGAGACAAGTAAACAGAGTATGCCCTTCAATTTGGTACACTCGAGAAGTCCGTAAGCGGTGTAGTCTTGGAGAGACCTCCGAATTGAGTCGGATGTTCCTCGGCCACCTGAACATCTCATGTACTAGTACTACCAAAAATTTCTGGCCATCATCCAATACAGCGTATTGGTCGCATTGTGGCGCTCTGGCCGAGGTTCGTTTCATCACACTCACTGCAAACAGTGGCTTTACTAACGCATCTTACAGTGGTTATGGCGCCGTCTTCAGGTATCCTGGATATGGCGGTTCGAAAGAGCGTGGGTTCGAGTCCCACGGGCGTCAACATTTTTTTGCTTATCCTGAGGTGCTCCTGCTTGTTCGAAGGGAGTGCAAGATCAAGATTTTTGCAATTTTGGCAGGTGCAAAGTGAGTGGAAGCCTTGCCAAGACTCCACACCCCCTCCGCAATCCTCTTTTGTTCACGGAGAAGCTCCGCTGAGTCGGCCTCGAGGTTCTGGGGCTACTTAGGGGTAGCTGGTCCATATGTCACGATTTGACACTCGGAGTCTTGGACTGTTCCACTGAGCATGCGAAATGTCCCACTACATGTCAAAGAGCACGCGGGAATTCTTGAATATGTGGAAGGTCGATAGGTGAAATGTTGCATAGTCATGCATGGTGTTGTATAGGACCAAACATAGATTGGCCTATGCTGGGGTCTCTAAGGCAGAGCTCACCTGTCACTCCTTCGCGAGTTCAGCCAGCACAACGAATAAGATATGATAGTGTTATCGGGTGCATTGTGATTGTATACGTCGCTAGATACTCAGGCTGGATTGCCATGGTACGGGTGAGTATGGAGTCATCAAACAGTAGGTATCTGCCATGACAATGTGCAACACCGAATAGCAATAACATGAACGACACTGGTCCTCCTTGCATCCGAATACGCTCATATTTGTCTAGACCTCACTGTCCGACCTAGCTCTGGCCAGTCATCCATACGCTTCATCGAAAAGATCTGCTTGGAAAGACTCATATGAAAGCAAGCTGAAGTGGCAGACTTACTGCAAGCAATGAGATTTCTCGCCATATCCATAAGCGTGATGGCCAAGCATCACCAACTCGTGCAGCTTTCTTGATGAAAGTGTGTAGGGAGGAGCTTCCAGACGATCATCGAATCGTGTATCGCAGGTTTCAGGTAAGCGTGCAAGGCTCGCTCAACCGTATCAAAGATGTCTTCCTCCTGCTACTCCTCAGTGTATTCCATTACTGCCATGTGAATAAGTGTAAGCGGGTCTCCCGGGGGTTTGCGTGGACGGACGGGCGTTGAGGTGGTCATCACGAGGTAAAGGAGGTCGGTTTCGGACAACGGTGCGAGCTTCGATCGTCAGTCCCGCATCAATATTCTTACAGCGGAAGTCGGGAGGCTGTCATTGCGGTCTGAAAGGAGGGTGACAGAATGCTGTCTTTGTCAAAGAAGAAGGAGAAGAAGCTCCAATATCGCCGCGGAGTTCCGGTCCCACCAGTTCTTCGAAGCCCAGGTTTAGCGGCCAGCTCCGCAACGTTCATGCATCTGCAAATCGTACAAACCGCGTCTGAGATCCGGATGGAAAGAAAATCTCAACAACATCCTGGTACCAGAACTTTTCAATCGACCTCAATGCGCCACGGCGCTCTTTATATAGTGGAGCTGCCAGCCAGCCAACGGTCCGAATGAACTGTAAGCTCATTTCTTATCTCAAGTACCTCTGAACCTTCTCTTATCAACTCTGTCACGTCTTCCCGTTCTCTGTTTATTGACTGCCCGTTGTCGTGCTTCTCCACTGCCATTGGAAATTGACCGACCTCATCGAACGACTCGGAAGAGGTCACGACCCCAACGGACTCCTCCCCGGCATCACTACGGTACCGGTACGGAGTGAGCTTTGTGGCATTGCATCACCGCTAGCGGGGTCTGTCTGTCACGAGCCCCGAACTCCTCATCCTTCTGTATTCACGAACGATCAGGAGATATACGACCTGCTTTGTGAAATGGTGACAAACGAGCGACGCTCCTCCATGGAGTCCTTTGAACGATGGCGCTCCCAATCACCAACCGGATCCGAGCGGAGGAAGCTGTCCTTCAACCCGGTGGGAGAATGGAYGCCGGCCGTGCAAGAGGTTATGCCCGTAGGCGCATTTGAGGTCACCAAGGGGAAAAGGATACTCCAGACGGCAGTGGCAGTGCTATACTGTCTATTCGCGGCTGGTGTGGTGTTTGGCTTTGCAGCTATCAAGCCAGTGCTCGTTGAGGAGGGTGTGTACAAGGACAAATGCACCCAGAAGGAGCTGGAAGATGGGGTATGGGTATGCTACGAGCAGGAGTTGAGGCTCAATCTCATGTTTACAGTCGCAGCTGTATCAACCAACGTTTGCGCTCTTCCAGTGGGAACTATCCTTGACAAGTTCGGGCCTCGAGTCGCAAGCATAATCGGAACCGTCTTCCTCTTTGCAGGCGCACTATTCCTCGCCTTTGCCGCAGAAATGTACCAGTACTTTGATGCGTACATTCCTGGATATCTCTTTCTAGCTGTCGGAGGGCCGTTCATATTCATATCCTCCTTCCAGCTGAGCAACACCTTCCCACAACATTCCGGCCTCATTCTCGCCCTCTTGACCGGTGCCTTCGATACCAGTAGCGCAATCTTCCTTGGATTCCGTCTTCTCTACCAAGGCACGGGAGGCGACTTCAACACCAAGAAGTTCTTCCTGATCTACCTCATCGTTCCGGTCCTCGTCTTCATTGCCCAAGTAGTGATCATGCCGTCCGAGTCTTACAAGACTGTTGGCGAGCTTGTGAAACAGATCGAAGACTCTTCATCATCGGTCCACTCCTCGGACTCGGAAATCTTGGACGACAACCGCCGTCAACAGGTTCAGTCCGCCCGTCGTGCTCGTCGCGAAAGTGCTGCTTCCGAAATCAGCGCTCTTCTTAGTTCCAAAGCCGGCGATAAGCATGCGAAAGATGAGGAGGCAAAGGCCGCACGTTCAGGCGTTTTCGKAGCCCTTCATGGTCAGACTCCCGTCCAGCAAATCCTCACACCATGGTTCATCCTCATTGCCCTCTTCACCATCATCCAGATGTTGCGCATCAACTACTTCGTTGCTACCGTGCGCACTCAATATAGTGATATGCTGCATTCGCACTCCAAAGCAGTTCAGATCAATGACTTCTTCGACATTGCTCTACCTTTAGGCGGTGTCGTTGCAGTACCATTCATCGGATTCGTCCTCGACCACACCAGCACAACATTTGTTCTCGGCCTTCTGGTGACCATCGCAACGACAATCGGTGTCTTTGGTCTCATTCCTGAGATGTGGGCTGGATACGCCAATGTCATACTCTTCGTCATCTATCGGCCTTTGTACTACACCGCGGTCTCGGATTACAGCGCCAAAGTGTTTGGCTTTGAGACTTTTGGAAAAGTATACGGCCTCATCATATGTATGGCTGGTCTGTTCAACTTCACTCAGGCTGCGTTGGACGCTCTGACGCACAAAGTCTTCCACAACAATCCCATCCCTGTCAATGCGATACTATGTGGCACAGCTGCGGCTGTGGGTGTTGTTCTGGTTGGATATGTGTGGAGGAAGAGCGTTACTTTGGCGAAAGATAAAGTGAAAGCGGAGGCAGAGGAGGCGAGAGAGGTGCTGATGCCTGATGCGGAAGAAGAGAGAGTGAATCGGCCACATGGACATGAGACCTACGGAACGGCTTGAGAAGATTGATGTCATATGATCTGACGATATGGATGAGTGCAAGAACTGGAAGCGTTTTCAGGCATGGGCTTCGATGAACATGGCGCCGGTTGGGTATTTGGAGAGTCGAGATCTGAGCAAAAGCTGTACCTTACGATGTATATCACAAAATAATGACAAACATGGAACCCTTCACTTTCCCACCGTTCGCTCCACCCTTCCCAGTGTCGCCTTCCAGGAGCGTCTTGAACTCCGCAACCCGCAACAGTATCCGCATCCTTCWCCAAACGATACGCCACAGCATGTGTATCAACTTCAAAGGTATATGCCGCGCATACTTCTTCCCATCGCGGTGAATCGCATCGATACCTAGCCTCCACCAATCGCACCGCAGCTCTACCTGAGACCGACTCAGCACGGGCCACGCTGGCCGGAGTCGACTGACCGATTTCCCTCACTCGCCAGCTTCCACATCAATTCAACACGCAATGAGATTGACCAAATGGAGTCGAGTTGTCCGGAACTAAGGTACAAGGCAGCAGCAGCTCACGGTGACTTGCGCGGTAACTTTGGTCTCTACGTCCATTCAATGCTCTGCTGAAGGCCCAGAGATCAGCATACAGTCGCGATGAGCTCTCCAACTTCATCAACGAATCTTTTCTCACCAATGAAGTCAACGCCGTCAATCGACGCTATCTCCAACTCGAACTCGATGAATTGCGCTCCATTGCCTACCGCTCTGGAGGCGCATCAGCATTCAAGGAGGTTCAGAAACTGGAGAGTGGTTTGAGCAAAGCACCCATCTTGATGAAGCTGAATGACATCGAGGCAGTTGCCAAGCTACCATTCAAGACTGCAGGGCCAGCTCACTATACGACTGCCTCTGAGGTTGCCCTCCTGCGGTACCATGTGGCCTGCTTGCCAATGCCTACATATTTCCTACTGACGTCTTTTCCAACAAGCAAGGCAATCTAGGCACCCAGGATACAGCTTGCCAAAGTCTTCAGCACGATGCTTATCAAGACCACTTTATGTTTACCAGGAACTTTTGCGCTCTCGAGCCTGAGCTTGCTGCGATCGGCTTTCCTACCGACGGATTCCTCATCAAACCGGATGTCACAACAGATGGACTGACATGCATGCTAGGGCTGAGCCTGCCGGCTTTTGATCAAGCACTCGTGGAAAGTGAGAACGCCCGTACCAAAAGTATACCCGCCGGGCTGGAGCCTCGATCACCATGCCTCATCTCAAAGGCTGAGCAAAAGGTCAAATTACAGCTAGCCGAGGAATTTGTGGCGCGCAAGTGTGCAGAGAGTCTGCCTGGAAACTCTGGCCCTCGACACTCTAGCACAGCGACTTACATCCTGGAAATATGTGCCCAAAGAGGATCCAACAGAGATTGTGTCGGTAGTAGACTGGCATTCTTTGAAAGTTTTACCTCTGCTTTTTCAGGTCCGTCTTCCAGGATTCCTGGATCTTCCTGAACAACACGAAATCGGATGGCCTGTCTCCGAACATCTGGATAAGCTAAGTGATATGGAGGAAGACGACGGCATGCTAGCGGAGCACGAGTATAACYAAGAATTTATGGGCMAAGCGTACGAGGCTGCGAGCGGGTTCAAGAACGCACAGGTGTATAAGGCGCTTCAACTGCCTTCCTGCATCACGGACTTATTCAAGCGAGGTCTCAAGAGGAGGGAGTTGTTCCTCTTGTGGACTGACTGACACCACTGTCAGAATTCTGGGAAGAAACGGGCTGTGATGGGAGTGTCCAATCGACTTTACCTCGGAAGATCTGGTCAAGCACGAACGGGAGTTTGAAGACTATTCGAACCTTCATTGTATTCGAGCATTCCCCGCGAATAATTGGACACAGATATAGAGGGATGGTCACCACCTGGAACCGACTTCAAATCCAAGCGACACTAGAAGCAGGATTTGTCGGATTTGACGATAGAAAGAAGTGCTGAAGCTGGCAAGACTCCAGAGGAAGTGCATGCGACCTGGCCATTTTGACACTCGTGAGCCGCTACGACATGCGCCTCAAATTCGGGCCCGCTGAGTATCGCCTACCGTCGAGCTATGTCTCTCGAGAATGAGCAGGAAAATCGCCCAAGACTCCAGATTCCAACGACGTTATCCAAACTACCCGAGGTGGGATGATGTCGTCCTCTTCCACGTCATGTTGGAGTTCGGTCACTTGGGTGCTACGCTGCTTCAAAGTCTGGCTCCAACCAGACAGATGCCAGCGGCGGCGAGTGGATCCAGCATGCTCCTCGACGTGAGACGATGCAGATGAGATGGCATCAGTATCTACGGTATTCCTACTGATCACACGCTCGTACATCTTCTGACAATGAGCAGTTCCCAGCAGGCACAGAAGTTCGGGGACAGACATGTGATCCTTAGCATCAAAAACAGCAGAGTAAATGGCCTCATCTGCAACCCGCCGCCGAGGAACATAAGTAGCGCCAGAGTGTCATACCCTTCGAGGTCGGCCGCCACAGACCGGCCAACTCGGGATCTCATGTTGCTCCATCTTCCGCTGCCCAAACATTCACCGCGATATGTCTCGATGTCGATCGAGCGGCGATCGATGCCGCAGATGCTTTGTCACTTCCTGCCACACCACAAAGGATCTTGGGAGATTTCCCGACGGCAACAAAAAGCGGGTTCTCGCATGGACAAGAAGATTTGGATATATTTTGGTATTTCCACGGAATTATATCCCGCTTTTAGCGCCGGGACGGTCCCGCTGCAGGTCGGGCCTTTGTGGCTTGCAGCGCCCACAGCCAATCAGCATAAGCGCCCAACACTTCCTGAAACTCTTCATGATGGTGTCTCGGCGGAGGAGACCTGTCAATCCTATGACAGACGGCCATGGACAGAGAATTGCATCGCTTCGGCCTCGATGCGCTTGTGCAAGTATGGTGTTCATGTACCAGAAACAGCCGCGAGCCGGCCTTCCTCCTTTGGCAGTCTTCTGGGACCCGTGAGCCAACCAATGCTGGTTGTTGCAGTGTCTGCTTTGTTCGACGAGACTTCATGTCCTGCAATAGCAGAGGCTCGGGATGGATCACCGCGGGTTTCGCACAGACTTCCCAAGACTCGCATGTGTGGTGCGGGAAGCTCAGATCAAGTCTCCACCACATGGCCGCATCACGACCTCACACTGTACTCAAAGGTTCGAGGCCACGCTGCAGTGCACACCATTCGACTTCCTTCAGGTGTTCTTGTGCTTTGTGCCTTGTGCTGGGTCATTTCGCGGTGAGATTTCCATTCACTGCGTTTGCCACATCCCATTGTCCTTCTTGTTCCATTTTTCCCATTGTCTCACGCCGGCCGTCTTCCGTTCTTTGTCGCACCTTCGAGAACATAAACGACAACAATCGTCTTGTTCGCGCGGATGATTCAGATCCTCTGACTTTTCCCGACCAACCTCCTCATCACACACACGCACGCGCACACGCATTCGAAGTCGGCTGGCCTGCTTCTTCTCGAAAATCGACGCATTCACCACTGCAACCGTCACCACAGGACATACCCCACCACTTCACCTACTTCTACCCTCCGAAGCTGGACTTCTGCCCTCGCACACACGTCCACAAACACGATCCGACACGATACGACACCATATTCAAAGCATGTTCGCACTTCGAAGATACCTTGCGCTCGCCGCACTCATAGCAGCCTTCTCTGCCGGCGCCGCCGCCCACACCTGGGTTGAAGAATACCAAGTCATTTCGGAAAATGGAACTTACACTGGCGCTGTGGGCTACACCCGCGGCTATGTACCGCGTTCTGACCCAACCTTCAATGGATTCTCCATGCTCTGGCTCCAACCCGATTCCACCGCCCGAAACAGCGACCAGACAACGCGAACCCRCATCAACTCCACCGACTTTGTGTGTCCACCCCAACAACGAACATCAAACTACACAGCCGCCTTCCCCAAACTTCAGGTGTCTCCTGGTGACTTTGTCGCAATGAAGTACCTCGAGAATGGTCACACTACACTTCCCTGGAACATCACCGGCAAGCCTGCCGCCGGTGGCACTGTCTTTGTTTTCGGAACCACCCAGCCGTCTGACACCGAGACCATCGCCGACGTCATGCAGTGGAATACCGCCGGCGATGGTGGCAACAAGCGCGGATTTCYCTTGACGGCCCAGAACTTCGACGACGGACGATGCCACCAAGTCAACTGCGGAAGCATCTCCCAACAGCGACAAATGCTGACTCCCAACCACCCTGTCGACCAGAACACCACTAGCGTCGAGTCGTGGTGTGAGTCGGACGTGAAGATCCCCGAAAGTGCCGCTACCGGCCTCCTCACCATCTACTGGGTTTGGCAGTGGCCCACCGCACCAAACGTCGATTGCAATGCTCCCGCTGGCAAAGACGAATACTACACCTCCTGCGCCGACTTCGACGTCGTAGCTGCCGGTTCGGCCAAGAATGTCGCAGTCGCCGTCGCCAGTGATGCACCCGCCGCAAATCCGCAAACCGCTGCCGTCAGCGACTGGAAATCTCGCACCGCACACACGACCTCTCCATCTGTCGATCTCATGGACAACACCAACAGCAAAGTCGCAAGATCTGTGGCGCCTGTTCAGACCGCATTTGCCAGCGCGTGCTCCGTTCAAGCTAGCATCATCTCGGCCAACAACCTTGGCGTCTGGCCACAAGTCTATGTCCCAAACACATGTTCCGTCGTAACTACCTTCGGCACTGCCGCTGCATCCGCAGCCGCTGCTGAGTTTGACAAGGCCGCTTCTTCATACTCAGCCGGCTCAAAGGAGGCCTGGAATGCTGCATTCGCAAAGGCTGGAGTGCCAATTCAGACACCCGTGCCCTGGTCTGCGGCTTTCTCGACTGGAAGCGCTTCACCTGCACCGTCAAGTGCTCCGGCATATGTCCCGGCTGAGACTGGGTCATCGAGCATGGCAGCTCCTTCAGGTGCTCAGTCAAGTGCTCCTGCAAGTGCTGCTTCTCCCGCACCCACTGGGTCGGCGCCTCAAGCCGTGGCAACGAGCATCGAGACTGTAGTCGTCGTTATCACATCGACTCTCCCTCCAGGCGTGCCAATACCGACTGATGGTGTCTACACTGGTGTACCGATACCGAGTAATGGTACTTACACTGGTGTACCGATACCCACAATCAGCACAGTTGGGCGTCGTCATGCGCGAAGCTTCTAGACAATGGATGGAAAACAGGACTGCTACGGAGTAAAATGTATAGACACATGCAAGCGTTAGTATAAGGCCAGCATCTGTGGAGTTTGGGTGGTACTTTGAGGCATTTAGCGTATACCCCTTTGAGTGAATGAAATTTCTCGACTGGAACATGTGCTTCACTCCCAATTCTCACAGTGTGAAGTGTGCATGACAGCCTGTTTGAGAGATGCCCAGGTAGTGGAAAGTGAGAAGAGCAAGAGGTATAGGCGGGTGTTGCCCGATGCGAGCGGTTTGCCCATCAGGTGATGAAAGTTCACATGTAAAAGGCTCACATCATGCACAACTACTCAGGCTCCACTTGAGAGCATTGCAGCAGTATTGAACATATCTCAAATCATCTCCTGAGCAGTACAGTAATCTCAAAGATTTAAGATTTGTACACATTCCCAAATCTCAGCCACGTCTCCGAGTCTTTTGTTCCACGAAATGAAAGTCACACTTTTGTTTACTCCGGCATTGCTTTTTGTACGAGGCAGTGTACCGGGTTGTTGGAAATGTATGACAAAGGGCAAAAGATATCGGTCCCTGAATCACAGATTGTTTCAAGAATCCGATTCAATCGGATGTGGCACTCTTTGAGGCAGGGAGTGGTATATATCCTTGAGAGTCTAGATGTGCTACCGTTACCCTGTGGAACCTGAGTATTGATATGAGATGGGAGGGTTTTGATCAGTGCTTGATGGTGACAGCTGGTGGAGCTCTGGGATTTGTAGCTTTCAGTAGCACTGTGCTTCTTCAAAGTAAGTGTAATATCACGAGTATCGTGCCGTGATAGAAGTGGAGACCGTCCTTAAGCAAAAGAATCGGTTCCAGAAGGAATCGAACCCCCTCTACTGGGAATACAGAGTGCGTTCATGATGCTGGAATGATCAATCGTTCACCTGTAGATCCGCAATAGCCCAAGCGTGCTACCATTACACCATGGAACCTCTCAATCGGAACGGACTGCTTGTGGAAAGGATGCCATTTGTAGTATGCTTTTGCCGGAGGGCTAATGGACTCATTGAAATTGTCTGTGATTGTAGTAGAGAAGATCTCCAGCAAGAACGCAGTCCTAAAGAGCGAAAGAATGGTTCTAGAAGGAATCGAACCTCCTCTGCTGGGAGACAGATTGTGCCAGGGCAAAGCCTGATACGAACTGGCCACCATGGATGCGTTTTACGGCATGCATGGAGTACCCTCATGAGCCCAGGATGCTACCATTACACCATAGAGCCATATGTTGGGATGAGTTGGCGAAGAATCAGATGGCATACATACTAGGCAATCGCAAAGCATGTGAAAATAGTGCCTGTTGAGAATCAGTGATTGGGAGAAAAGAGATTGAGGCATATGCTGATTGAACTTACAATTTGTAGCTGCTAGAGCTCTCATCTGCAGCCTCCGAAGTACCGGGATGGAGATCGAGAGTGACTTGTCCACCGACATCCTCAACTTTCGATATCCTTCTCAGCAACCCACTCAATCTCAAAGTCCCTCGCAGACATGCCTTTGATCTTCCACCCACTGACTTTGGCATTCTTCCATCCCAGCTTCTCACAGCTGAGAGTGCCATCAAACTTCTCGCAAGCATTTCCAGAGAAGACGATATAACCACCATCCGTGATGAATTCTTCTTCCGCTCCATCAGTCAGGAGCTGACCTTGCCATTTAAGCCAGAACTTCGGAGAGCGAAAGCTGTTCTTCTCGAACTCTGCTGCTTTTTGTCTTTCTTTGCGATCATCCTGATCGCTTTCATTGTCTTCATCCTCTGGCAATTCGTCCTCATCAGCAGCATTCTCATCCCCTTCTGCTTGAGCATCTTCTTCGTCGTTCTTCTCCACCAGATCTCGGATAACTCGCTTCATTGTCTTGCGACTTCCCGCCATCAACACATTCGCACTCAAGCATCCAGGTATGWACAGCTCTCCAATAAGAGCATTTCCCTGCTCATTCAGAGTATAAATTTCCAGCTTCGCAGACTTGGCATCTCCATCCGGATTGGGAGGAAACTTTGGACTTTTGATCTCGTAGCTCCCGAAAGTCTTCTGTACATTGAAACCATGAGAATTCGATTTGCCGCCTCTTCCTCGCTGAACTCGATTGTGTGTATGTCGATTGGAAAATGCTGCTTCTTGCCAGTCGTCGCTCATGTTTGGATGGGAAAGTTTGATGGTGAATGAGGAGGAGGTGGGCGTCATGGAAGGAGGTGAGCTTAGAATTCACTCGAGTAGGTTTGATGACGTAACAACAACCACCGCTTTCTTCACACCAAGATAAACGTGTCTGCGTCTTCCTCTTGCCAGTCTACCAGCTCTCCAAACATGCCTTGTTCCAGCACGCAGGATCCCACATACTTGTAATGCTCACTATCAACTTGTCGCAGTATCGCAGGATAATCGTGACCATGTAGAATACAGATGACATCGTCAGCCATTAGCATGTGATTGGAACCGCCAAAACTGTCACTGGAAGTCACAAAGAGGTGCTCAATAAGCGGCTGCCTCACAGCATCCGCACATTTGTCGGACGAACCTCCGAGGAGCTTTTGCTCCCGTTCCAGACGGGAGATGAATTCGTGCTCGGCCTCTGTAAGGTCTTCATACATCACCGTCGAATTCTCCTGTATCTCGCCGGCTTCTCGAACCGTTACTTTTTCTCGATGCTGGAAGTAGACCTGACCGACCTGATCGACGTGCTCGTAGAAACTGAGCTTGGAACCATCTTCATAGCTTTGGTATTGTTCGTGGTAGTGTTGGTTTTGATCCGCTGAGATCATCAGTTTTATCAAGTTGCGGTCATTGACGACTACACCTCTGCGCTTCATGCTTCGCTCCAAACGACTCAAGCAAGCAGCGAAAGGTATGGGGTAGTTGGCAGACTGCATGGCTGAGTTGAAACAACTGGTGACGAATCGAGCATGTCTCGGTTGATAAGCAACTTGTACAGATCCGATCCTCTTGCCTTGTACCTTTAGCTCGGCGGGGTTATCATCCAAGCGCGGCACATACCGGCGTCCAGCAGAAGCGCGAAAGACATGCGATGGTTCTTGGGCTCCGTTTCGAGATTGTAAGGTATGGAGTGGAAATCCTGGATATGCACTGGACCAGTCTGGAACCCACGATGGGAGTCTTATGTGTTCATCGCCACGCTCGTCCCCGTCTGCATGATTGACACCATCACTGATCAATAGCATATCTAGCGCTCCTTCGAGTGCAAGAATCTTTCTCGCTGCGATGGAGTAGACCAAAATCGTGTTCAATGCGTAGTCTGGTCTGATCTGTACCTCCTCCAAGTCGTCGCAGAATCCAAGTATGCCATAGACAAAGTCTCGCGGATCGGTGGCATGCAGTCTACCCTTGATTTTGAGGTAGCGCATGCTGGTGAGTATGCCGTAGAAAGTCCGCTGGAATTGGGTGTGGTCTTGATAGTTTGCCATGAAATCAAACACTCGCCATCCTGGAGTTGAGTCCCAGAGAGAATAGTCGTAAATCCTGTCGCCGCGTATTATGCTATCAACAGCTGTGACAAGTTGATGAATTTGGCAGGGTGCCCATAGATCACTGCCAATCAACATGTACACCTAAGTTTGAGTGTGTTGTTTTAGCTCCATTCAATGATGAACTCCTCACGAATTCACGCACTTTTCTCGCTCGCTTGACTTCCTGCAGAATCCACACGCGAGTGAACTGCTCTGTCAGCGTGTACATTAGACTTGATTTTTCGGTTCTCGCTCTCACCCAATCGAATGACATAAGTTCRACAACCGCCTGCAGAACTGCCCGAGAAGCAACCTCATATTCGGCAGGGAAGTCTCGCATGAAGTTCTTGATCTCATGTCTCACTTTGAGAGGTTGCGCGTAGCTTGCATGGCTGTCGAACCTCGTCCATGCGGCGTCCTGGATCTCATAATCTCCCGTGTTGGGTAGTGCGCAGATCATCAAGTTGATGAGAATAAGTCGCGAGAACTCTGTAGCTTCACCTAGCCAAACTACACAGCTTTCAGCTTGGCAGTAGATGTCCGCCATGATGGCTACTTGCGAATTCCGCTCCTGAATGTCATCTTGATCGATGCAGATTTGGTCGATCCACATCAGGCCGGTGTAGCATTCCTTCGCTATGAATGGTAGGGCTTTACGCAGGGTGTCTGTGATTCGTAAAGACAGCAAGGTGCCACCTTCAGTCTCAATGGGTAGCGCAAGATCGCGAGCTCCGATCCCCCAAGTATAAGATAGCGTTTGGTACGGGGGTACTACGTCAAGAGGGTGGTGGATCAGCCGAAACCGTAAGGGTCCGCCAACAACATCGCTGTGTATAGAAAGAAGTCTGATATGGCGGCCAGACTCCAGAGGTTGGTAGGTGTATGATGCCAGATCAGGGTCCAGTGCTATTGGCTTTGGCGGTTCGGCTGGGAGCAGGTCGTAGAATACCATGTTGCTAGATTCGATTTATTCAGCAGTGAGTTCCGCGTTGCTTTTTGTATTTGAAAGATTATTCTAAACTAACCTTGTGGTGGTCTGATATCACATTAGTACGTTGAGCGCCACCGGACGGCCGAGATCATCTTGGCATTTTGAGGCTGAAGACGAATACAGTATGTGTGCTAAAGGTTTTGTGAGTACTATCCGCAGAATCAGAAGTATCAATATCGAGTCCATGCCTTGGTAATGGAAATGCTTGGTCAGAACTTGCCGCTGCCTGACGCTACAAATGAACTTGCCTTCGATGGAAGAGAGGCCCAATGTTCCCAATACTTTCTGCCTATAAGCAGCCAAATGACGGGAAATGTAGAACATTACTGATGCTGTTACTTGACGCAAACCGACAGGCGTTGAGGGGAAGCTTGGTAACGAACACACCCCTCGAAGACTCCCATCAAAGCAGAAGTGCCAAGAATTCGAACGCTTCGACTTCCTCGCAACTCCTCTCCATCGCCCGTAATCATGTTTGGTTTGCGAACGCTTCGCTGAAAACAACGCCCAACAACGCACTCGCTAGATCAATCCTTGCTAATACGGAGCTTGTTGCGCGGCAGGTTCCGACAAACAGGGCAGAGCCATTCGCCCTTGGGTTCTTCCGTCACACCGACGCACTTGTAGTGAAACCATTGATATTGACACTCGTCGTTATCGCAGCCGACCATATCGCCGTATGACACCTTGTGGCAGAGACAGTAGATAGTCTCGTCGTCGTTTTCATCGGCCTCACCACTGCCATCGAGCTGTGTAGTTCCCATGGCCGAGGAAGGAGACACAGACCCATCATCGTCAGAGCCGGATAGCGATGCGTTTGTGGAAGGAGTCGTGGTGCGATCACGAGCAAGCTGGCGTCGGCGATCGGATGAGGATTTCTTGCTTGGACGGTTAGATCGGCTGGATCCGCCCTTTTTGTGCGAGTTGGAGGGTGGCGGCTTGCGCGCAGGATTCGCAGACTGGGAGAGCGGTCCTTTCTTCTGCCCCGATGCAGCCGGTCGAGCTGGCTGTACGCTACCGGCACGAGAGTGAGATGCGGTGGGGACCGGCGTTCCTGCTTTGGGTGTTCCAGGTCCCAGTGAAGATTGGCGAAGCCCGGATGAGGTAGCAGGTGCCATGGAAGCAAGTGACGATCCGGCAAGACGACGGCGCTTGGGATCAGAACTGCTTTCACGAGACGAGCGCGGAGCAGACGCTGCAATAGCACCGGCGGCCGGAGAGCTGCGGTTTGCTGCTGGATTGAGGCGCATCTGGGCGACGTTTGGAATGCTCCCCGTGCTGACAATGTTGCCGCTAACAGCTTGGAGTGGGAGAGCAGTGTTGATGCCGGGAGCTGGAGTATTGGCACCTGTACGAGGCTGATTGAATGAAGGCGGAGCCTCCCAATCAGCTGGGAACTCGCCTTTGACGGTAAGTGCATTGATGCCGCTGTCGAGCTTCTTCGTTACACGGTCAATGAGAATCTGCGCGCGTTGCGCGAGACCACATTTTGCTTCTTGCAGAATCTCGCACTTGTCGAAACACTCCCTGATGGTCTTGCTGAATGCTTCATCCTTCGGGTTGCGAACATGACCACCGTTCATTCGAGTCCATTTCTGGAGTTGGCCCTCCCGCTTCTCAATTTCCGACTTGAATTGGGCAATTTGCATATCCTTTGCTTGAATCTCCTCCATAATGTGGTGAATCTCGGCGGGGATGTTGGCGACTTCATGGATCAAGTCAGTAATCTCATCCTCTGTACCTTAGAGAGCGAAGACGCGTTCCTCGTCTCTGTCCACTGCAGTGTTGTGACAGGGTAGAGATACAAGAAGAGAGAGTAAGCAATACTATCGCGAGATGGTGTGTTTACTCACCATCGTGTGTGAAAGCTTCTAGCACAGCGGCCGCATCTTCCGGTTGAGCAGTCATACTGCCAAGCAAGTTCGGAGGAAACGCGCGTGCTTTCGACTTCCGGGATACAATGCAATCTACAAATCAGTTGCGCGGTATCGCGGGGTAGTTCAATGACGACCCAAGGACAGCGAATGAGATGCACCAATCTGTGTGATGGAAAGTGGGACGATCAACGGGTGATTGATGAATGTTGTCGACGTCCTGTTGGGCGCGCTCGCAAACGTGATGTCGAAACGGATCGTCCCCGCCGATCTTGCAGCCCTACCCACGATGCTAG